CCCAAAGGAACAATTACGGCAAAGGGGCACCGTTATACACGGGAGCAGCCTACCTATCCACTCCACCATATGAGCCAAGCGACCCAAACCAAAGAATTTGTGATATAATTCGCGTTAGTGCAATGATTGGCGGATCTTGGCTCGAGAATTTGGCGCCTAAACCCCACGTCTGTTTGCCGCCATCCTACAACCATCTAGGCAACTATTTGCGTCTAAACTAGCGAGAAAGCTAACATAAGATTGTAGTGGAGGTCCGACCTTTACCTATAAACTATTGAACCAGCTGAGTGCACTAGCAAGCGTTACCCCTGAGCGGAACACCGCCAATGCCTTATAAGTTAACAACAAGACAGGTGCCATGTTCAGGGGCAAAGGTCTGTCTTCTTATTCGGCTTGAAAACTTTATCTCATCATGCGTCTCAAGCTGATCTTGGCCTATGGCAGCATTGTTGCCATTTATGGGGCAGATGCACGCACACGCTGCAAAACACGATCTCACACGCACAGCTCGACACTCAGCCTAGAAACCTTACTGTTAGCTTCAGTTTCAACGCCCGAAAGCATACTCAGCCCAAGCTCATCAGAGTCCACTCCACCCGTATCGACACCTTCGTCGACACCTTCATCGACATCTACGTCAACGCCTTCATCTAGTCTAGACGACATCACTTCTACCCCGGTCATTGTCACCTCTAGCTCGTCATCAGACACTTCAGCAACACCTGCACTGAGCAGTACCCCAAGTTCCGACAGCGGTGTTTCTCCTGTATCGACTACTCTCGAATCTACATCTCTGCTAGCTACCTCGACTACCGCTGTTTCCTCTACGAGCTCGATATCCTCAGCCCCTGCATCGACGAGTACTACCCCTGCCGAGGTATATACGGGCGGTTTCGCCACATTCTATTTCCAGAATGGCAGTCCTCCAGCATGTGGCGGTCGGCCTCGCTCTGACAGCGAACTAATCGTTGCATTGGACATGAGGCGATACGGGTCCGATTATTCGGCTCCCAGTCCCTACTGTTCGAAGGTGATCCGTGTCACCAACGCGATTAATGGTCGGTCTGTTGACGTCACCGTCGTTGACGTGTGTCCAACTTGTCTCAACTCAAATTCCCTAGATCTGTCACCGACCGCATTCCAGGCTATTGGCGACTTGAATGACGGAATGGTTCCCATTGTGTGGCAGTTTGTTTGACGAGCCAACTACAGCGAATGGAAGCCGGAGTTGAAGAGAGGCATAAACTAGAACGTCCGGCAAACATCTAATTGATAATACTATACCCACCAAGCCGAAAAATCCACGTTATTCAAAGGAAGGAAATACATTATCATTCTGTAGATACCAATAGTGCATTCAAAGCAGTAGACTTAAGCAGAAACTGATCCCAGACCCTTCTACAACCAATAGCCCAAAAGCTTCGATCAGGTTTGTCCGATTCGTTTATTTTTGTTTCATGTCGACAATCCCAAGATAGGGGGTCAAAAAGGGCAGAGGATATGACAAATCTATCGGATTTGGTTTATTGTTTAGTCAATGATTATTTCCTCTGTAGGGCAGAGGATGTATCAATCCGTGTAGTTGGTGGATTAGTGAGCGGGTCTTAGTAATGCAGCGGAACGTTTTGTTCCGCTGACGGTAGCTGTAACCCTTGTCAACAGCTTCTCGAACGGATCATCGTGTTCCGTCCGTTCAGTATATCAAGCTTCAAGTTCATTCACACCTGGCTTTTTATTCATCGCTTCGTGGACTAACATCTTAACCCGAATTATAATCCATCGCCCCAACTTATCTTTAAAAATACATCCGCCAACTTACTCTTGCAGCCCAAGAAACAACCTAAACAACTATGTCTGAAGCTCTGTGGCCCGAAGATTCTATGTTCGAACACTTCACTGTGTTTGAAGAGATGTAAGTCAAATCTTAAAATGCTTGTTGGTGTACGCTAACACTTTGTAGATTCAAAATTGTCGATAAGCACGAGATCAAAACTGCCATCCTGATCCCTAAAGAACTGAAACCCGGCCCCCATCCGATTATAATCAACCTACACGGTGGATTCCTGGTTTACGGCCACTCTCTCTTCGCGCCCTTTTTCCCTCCGTGGGCACTTAAGCTGGCTCTCGAGAATTCCGCCATTGTTGTGTCACCCGACCACCGCCTCCTCCCCTCTGCAAACGGTGTGGCGGATGTGTTGGAGGATCTCGAAAGCTTCTGGCAGTGGACGCGCTCCAGCCTCGCCGGGGTACTGAAGGATCGAGCACCAACTGTCTCCCTTGACTTCTCTCATCTTCTTGTGACGGGCGGATCAGCAGGCGGGTACCTCGCATCGCAGCTCGCATTGTCTCATCCAGATGAGATTTCGGCGGTTGCGATGGCATATCCCTTCGTGGATCCCAAGGACCGAGTCATTGTTGAAGGCCCCGCCCCCGGAGAGCCAAGCATCCTCCGCTTCAATGTAGAAGAGTTGCCATCAAAGGACTCTGTGGTGTCATGGATTGAAGAGACGAGGAAGACCACTACATCTAAAGCTGGATGGGACAGAACACAATGGGCCGTTTCTGCTGCTACGAACGGGATATATTTCTCGCAGATTTTCGACAATCTTGGGCTCGACCTTCCGGATTTCTTTCCTCTGGAGAGACTCAAGCGCGGTGCTAAGCTACCGAAGAAGGTGTAAGTGCGGTGAAATGGGAGATTGCTCCTAAAGCTCCGATCCCAGATATGTGGGTGATGCTAACCGAGTTGTTCGCAGATGGATATTGCACGGAGATGACGACAGTGTTGTCTACCTTCGCACTTCCCGCCACTTTGTTGCCCTGGCTCAAGAAAAGCTGCCCGAGACTACGATTAGGCTCGATATTGCCAAGGGAGAAGACCATGCTTTCGATCTTCAGAAGACCTCTTGGGAGTTGCACGCGATTGGTGGCTTGGACTTTGTCAAGAATGGTTGGCTTAAGAACTAGAATCGTGACCGATGGATAGTTCGTCATTTGTCGGCTATGCAGTAACTTGTGATTTCAATTTCAGATCTTTATAGTTAGAAAAATCAACTTCGAATGCTATCGTTAGACATGATTGTTTATTTTCACGAGATAGGAGGCATTATTGTTCAACGATGCTCCGGTTATTAAGTGTCCAGGTGTCACCATTAGTCTATCAGCAATACTTGGATTTCAAAGAATGGCACGAAATGGGGGCTGTACGGCTTGGTGCCCTCACTGGGAAGTCCGTGCCCTAAACATATACTCCATCAATATATACGAAATCATCTACAACCACAGCTGTCAAGGAGTTCGAAGATGAGTACAAGTTCAATTGGAAGGTGGCCAAGTCTGGTCGTAGTTGCGCCAGAGAAAATCGCCGGGGCTGGGGGGTTGGACCAAGCATTGCACCTCCCAAATATCAATAACAACATGAAATTGGCCACGGAAATCATCATAGAAACAGATCAGGTTCGTTCACATTGCTTGAAGGTGTCACGCGCGCTACTTTAGCGCGTACGGGAGATGAAGATGACAGCCCGTTGCCGCGCAGATGGCTTTGAAAATTGGAAACATGAACTGAGAGGCGCCAATCACCCCGAAATAAACTCAAGGAGAGCCTTGCCGCGTAATTGTTCTAAGCCGACAAGGCGAAGCGTTGTGGCGCTCCTGACCAACTCCGCAAGAGATCGCCAGCCAATTCAGACATCTCAACTGAAGTTCCCAAGGTTCCAGCGTCCTAGCTCGAGTCAATACGATGGCAGGGGGCGAAGTGTCTCTTGCGTACAGAATGTACTCCCACTAAATGCCCAGTTTGTTACTCGGTCGGAGGCTTGTGGCGTGCTGCCCGTACGGCAAACCAGAGCAACGAAATGCAATCGGTCAGCGCTCTCTTCTTATTCCTTGCCGTGGCGTTCTTCTCCGTTCTCAAATCTCATCTGATTATTCAACCATCGCACCAATGTGAATACAGCAAACGATCACATGTTGATGACTATCTTTGGTCCCGGTGGTTGGCAGGTTAGTCTCACTATGCAAAAGTTTTGCATTTTTTGCTTTTCAAACAAGAACGGGAATAGAGAGTGAGTATCAATTAGAAATCACAATTAGGCCAACTTTGCTTGCGGCTTATGGCTGTTTCTCCTGCGGACGAGATTACGCCATTCGTCTTCACTGAAGCTATACTGGCATATCTGCCATAACCTTGGTTACATCAATACAGCACTGGGTAGTGACAAGTCAAAATATTTCACAACAAATGTCTCTCCAATATCAAATGAGAATTCGCACTCAATTAGTGGTCATTAGCTGAGTCACGTCGAGACTGTTTTCCAAGCAAATCTATTGATTGATTGTCATTATCATTTTTTATTTTTGTTGGATTTTTATAGATTTTGTAGGCGAGAATTGAATGAATAATCTCAGTCCACTACCATGGATATTTCCTAATCTCATCCTCCTTTTCTAGGTCCAGCCCCCTATCCAACTGCTCCTGGTGCTTCGCATCTAGATACTCAAGCAGTACCTCACCGTACCTTTCTCTACCCTTGTATCTGGCCACCGAGTCATCCCAACTTCGAACCGCGCTCGCAAGTCGACCAGGGACATAGTCTTCACTAACCAACTCCGTCACGGGCAAGAAGTAGGTGCGGATGGTGAAAACAACACCTCCAGATTTGGGTAATCTGCGGAGCGTCTGACGCTCAGATCGGAACCAGTGATGATCAATGGCCTTGTTCTTCTCGGCTGTGCTCCAGCTAATGCCGGGGGAATCCTCGTCGCCAATGCTGTGACTCCAGGACAGGGAGTCGTCAACTTGCATGAAGTAGTTGTTGCGGCTATAGAAATCATCGCACTTCAAGCGGCGGAAGAACTTCATCATTCCAGACTCCAGCTTCTCTTTGAAATGGGGGACATCTCCGGATGTGTGGATGTCCGAGAGAGTCATGCCAAACTTGTCGGAGAATCTCCAGAAGCCGGCAAGCAGAATAGCACCAGCGAGCAGGCGGTATTGTCCGTCCGGCTGCTCGATCATGATGGCGAGATCATCCTGCACAAGTCGCGCGCAGAGGGCCATGGGATCCTCCGCCAGGGGTCTCTCCACAATGTTGATATCCTCCCCAGACCACTTGTTCTTGATACCGGTCGCAGTTCGCTCATATAAACTTGGGTAGCGATCGGGTAGGTAGTTCACCAACTCCTCGAGCAGTTCAATAGCGGCGGGGAAGGCATCGGGGTGTGTCTCGACACATTTAGACCCGCGCTCTTTAATGCGAACAGCCTTGTCAGCGTGGTATTTGGGGAAATCGCTGTCAAGCTCGATCCATTCGGTTGGATGAATCGTTCGGAGACCCATAGTTACGTGGTACTTGGGTCCGTAGCGGAAAGCCCGGTACGGCAAGGGTTTGGTGTCTTTGATGTCCCAGTTCGGGTAGGCTGGGACTGGGGGCATCTTGAAGTTCCGTGATTCCTCGACGGCCTTGACTGGAGAGAACTTCTCCCCTGCGGGGAGCTTTTCGAGCCGCCCTGGGCTGCTCTCACGAACATGTTGGCGACGGGCTTGGGGGGAGAGCCATTGGCGGTATGCCACCACGGCTAGAGAGAGGAAGATAGCTATCACCGCCGGAGTGATAATAGTGCTCATCTTTGTAAGGTCGATCGGCAAAGCCATGGTGAGAGAGGCCACGATGGTTTGGCGGCGGGGAGGGGAGGGGAGGGGGATGGTCGATGTACTATTATCGGAACGATTGATAAAGGAACCTTTTATTGATCCATGTACATATGGCTCTAGTTGATTTATCACTCTGCCTAGTAGATCTAGGGTTGAACGGCTTGAATCCAGATGGTTGAACGAGGATATCTGTTCTTTTGTAGAACTCTGGTCAAGTCTATGCAGTCCCGCTCTCCCAGACTGCGACAAAGGAGCGGCCTCTTTCGGGACCAACGTCACTTCCCTTCAGAGCGCCGGAATGAGACAAACTACGCTGACAGTACAGATCCTTCACCCATTGGTTATCGATAAGTAACCACAATGATCGTCAAGGTGGTATGTGCCAAATCCGGGCATGCTTATCGTCGTCGCACTGAGCAGCGAGTTTATGCCTAAACAAGTAATGCTATCCGGTGTTATCATCATCCCCTCTTCCCCACAAAGTCTGCAGCCAATCTGAACCGGCCGATTCGCGAGGGAGCTTCTTTGGGCGCTAGCCGGCTCCGGGTGAGGGCGCTGAAAAGCGTAATCACAGTCGTCGAGCACATCTCGTGGTCTCAGCAGAGTCAGATCCAGGCTGGAATCGACAATTAGTTCCAGTCTATGCGGTGGTCTCACAATAACAACTAGAATAGGGAGACATTCGCGGGAGGGTCAGAGAAACCCAGATAGGCTTCCCATCCGAGCCGATCCTTGGAGTATTTTAGATCAGGGGTGTCTTCTTGCTAGATGAATCCTAGACCAGATCAACCTCAAATCTCAGTATATTATTCAAAAAACATTCCTCTCAAGTTCCTTCAATCAATCAACTCTCAAATTCAATATAACACACTCCTCTTACTACACGCCACCATGTCTTCTCCCGCCATGAAGGTCTTCCCCCAGGCCCAGTCCAAGTATCAGATCCCGCTGCTCGCCGGCAACAACGCCTACCTGGGTGATGTCTTCTCTAGCGACAAGACAAACCCCGAGAAGCCTATTTCCGCCGGCTTCTACCGTCTCAAGGAGGGCGAGCCCCTCACCTACACCTACAAGTACGACGAGATGAAGATCATCCTGGAGGGTGACTACACCATCTCAGACGAGACCGGCCAGAAGCACGTCGCCACACCGGGAGATGTCTTCTTCTTCCCCAAGGGTTCAACCATCACCTTCACCACGCAGAACGGCGGCCTGGCATTCTACGTCGGCCAGAGGAAGGAGAGCGATTTCTAAATCAACAGGCATATAGAACAAGCATTTTTAACAAAATAAATTGAATTAAAATTGTTAAATAGTAATCCATTATTTCCGTACAATATTCCGTGATGGGATATTCATTTCTGTCCCGCCCTTCTCCGTCAACACCAAAAACAAAAACAGTAGAATGATCACAGCATAATGCAACCATAGTAGTCAAAGACGGAATAATGATTTAAAGAAAAGAAATCATGAATACATCCCGCCCATTCTGACGCCTAGCTTCATTAATCATTCAAAGTGCTAGTCAAAACAGAACCAAGGCTTGTTCGTCAAAATAACCCCAAGTGTACAATCAAATACATCTACCTAGCCAAAAAGCGACCGCAGATCCTGCGAATCCATCACATCGAACCAGTGCACAGAAGTAAATCCCGCAGGCTCGGCGTCATACGCGGCCCAGACGGCCTTCACCAGCTCCTTGGCAACCATGACCGGCCGCGGCTGCAGGGTGCTCTCCAGCAGGTCCAGCCGTTTCATGATGAACGCGCGGGCGTTGGCGACCTCGAGTCCCATGCGCGATACAGCCTCCGGTGACGCCGGCTCCCCATTGCCCGACTTGTAGATCTGATCAATGTAGCCCAAGATGTCTGAGCTGTCGTCGAATGAGACACCCATCTCGATGTTCCTTGCGTCGGACGGGGAGAAGCCCGTCTGCTCTGTGTCGAATTTCGCGCCGTACTCGTAGCGCAGTCCCGTGCTGGCGCAGATGTAGAGCATGGGCTGGATCACGCGGCTGCCCGAGTCCGGCGGGACCTGCTCCAGCAGCTTCACGAGACGCAGGGTGAGGGGGACAATCCACTTGTCCCAGGGCACAGGCCCGTTCCATGGGAAAGCCGACTCTCTGGGCAGCCGCATTGACACGAGCTCGGGGAATGTAACGTAGAGCTGGAGTAATGACGCGAGCTGGTATGCCTCTGCCACGAAGGTCAGGTGAAGCCACGGCGTGCGCTGGTCTCCGGTGTCGTTGAGGTCAGCCAGGGCAGCGAAAGGTGAGAATTCAAGCTCCAAGAGCTGTTCTTCAATCTTTTGGGCTTCCTCCAGATCCTGCATGCCCGCTGGGAGATCCCGTAGTGAGCCGAGAGGCATGGATAGCTTTTTCCGGTACGCTCGGCAGAGCCCGATTGATTGAGAAAAGAGACGCTGCGTCCGGGACGACACGCCCGTCCAAGGATGAGGCAGCATATCGATGATCCCCTCGCCTGTTGCTTCCTGAGGCTGCATCTGTTCTTCGGACGGGCTCTCCAGCGTGTCTGTCGGATCCATGTCATCCACCACCACGAGGAGCATCTCCCAATAGAGAAGGCTCTTCTTGAAAAAGGTCAACTGTTCCAGGTCTTCATTCCGCATGGGCACAAATTGCTGCCGTAGACGACAGAGAAGGAGCTTCGCTTCCTTCAGGAAGGGTAAGCCCATGCGCCCGGAGTCCAGCCAGCACACAGTCGTGCCTAAGCAAAAGAGAGAGAAGAGAAGGCCAGTAGGTATCGTGTCCAACTGTGCCTTGGCTCTGATGGAGCGAGCCTCTGCCTGGATGCAGACTGTCGCCGTCCGCAAAAGATTCAGTGCGGACGGCCGCATCTGCGGTAACCGGGCAGCAAGGAAGCTGGCCGACATGCTCTGCAGCGAATTGAACACAGTGGCGGAGTTGTGCCACAGATCCCCCGCAAGCTTCCGGTTCAGATTGCTGTCGGAGTCAAAGGCAGACCATGCTGGACATACCTGGTCAAACCAGCTGCTGATGAGAGTCAGCGTTGCGTCGGAACCGCCCATTGATATTCGCGGTGTCCGAGGAATTGGCTGGGGAAGTGCAACTGCAGGAGGAGGGACAGCAGTAGGTAATTGGGGATTTCCTATTTTCAGGTTGGACAAGGACATCGCAGGCTCCATCTCAGCACCGAGCTGGGGCACCAAGCTGGTTTCGGAGCACGAGTCGGACATGAAGTCAAAGGCAAGGTTGGCGCCCAGTACCCAGGAAGAATCCTGCGAGGATTTATCCAAGGCAGAGAGCATACCCAGCTCTTCGATATCCTCGTCAAGCTGGTATGGCAAGACTCGAGGGACCGACGATGCCCGATCGGCACTGCCTATTATAATATCGGGAGCATTATTCAAGACGGCGTCGTCCTTGTTGTGGTCGAAGGAAAGATCGTCGAATTGGTTGTCTCTGGGCGGAGACTGCTCGTCGTCATCCAGGGCGTTGGGCTGGTGCTTGTAGGACCATTTGAAGCCTTTCCAGTAGCCTCCGCATCGTAAACCCTTGTCGGTGCATTTCTGGCAGCTCGGGCGCTTTTCGTCGCATTTGATCTGTAGTAGGAGGAGACACGGGTGTGAGCTTCAGGTCGTGGGACAGCCATCCGCATCTTGGGGAGGGGTAAGGAAACGGTTCGTACATGTTTGGATTTACATGTGAGGCAGCCTGCCCGAGACCGTGACTTGGTTGGGGCACTCTGTCTCCGAGGGCGCCGCTTGTGGTCAGGGGTAGCTTGCTTGGTGGCCTCGGTCATGGTCGTTCACTCCCTGCGCAGTCGAGGGCTTCTGATAGCTGGCATGCAGAAGTGTGATTTGGTCAAGAGACCTCACGTATGCAGAAGCAATCTGGATCGGAGAGTCAATCTGGGGAATGACACTGGGTCTGCTCCTTGTGAGTGGACTCGGGGCTGGTGGAGAAGTACAACAGGCCTTATCAGTGGGGGTGGTGGGTCCTGGCCTCTGATTGGCTGGTCGGGAGTCGATTATCGCTTATACCCCGCATTGTAAAATGAGCCCTGTGATTGGCCAGGACTTTCCTCGTCGCTGACTCGGGATTCCGCACGAGGGAGATAATGGGATTCCAGCCTGTTACTAATTAATGCCTAGCAGCGAGGTTCGCAGAGATAAGAGCGGGTGTGAGCATCCACCTGTGACCCCAAGCGGGCCGTTGTCTCGATCTGCCTCCTTACTTCTTCCCCTTACCAACCCTTGCGGGCGTTGCTGTGCCCAGACCTTCGTGGCAGTGTTGCAATTTCGGGTAGCGAGGATCAGAAACAATGCTGACCCTTTCCAATCATCTCTCCGCACGGTCCGACATCGCTATTTTCTCACCAACAGCATGTCTACGCTCTTCTTGCCCCTATCCGGTAAAAATTGGAGTAATAAACGGTCACACGCAAGTGCCGTGTCTCGCATCTGGCTTTTGAATAACAAAATTACACTGAAATATAATGAGTAACTCTCGCCTCCTTCAATGCGATTCTACGTGCCGTCCTGTACAACAGGTATTTAAAATGGTCTCAAGAACTAATGAGTAGGGCTATTTCTTGTGAGATAGATGAGATTGATTGCATGTGCCCTAGGAGCCCTCACCTTACCTGGTTCTGGAAAATCCAAAACTTGGAACAAACACTCACTCTGAGGAAACAACAGCCTACTTGACAGTTGGAAGCAAAAAAATAGATGGGCTTGTTGATGCTTAGCTTCACTGAATTCGCTCGTCATTCATAGCGATGGTTAGAAGTGACAGCGTATAGGGTAAGTCGTGGAAGCAGGGGGCACCAGACAAGACACAATGTGTTAAAAAATAAAATAATGCACATCACAAATTAAATAAGGATGAATAGGAAATTTCAATTGAGGGAGTGTAGTAATCCAAGCACGGATCGTAGAATAAAACATCGCATCAGCCCTGATAGCTACCCTCATCATTGTCCCCCTCGCTGCCACTGTAGGGGAGCGTCTGGCTGTCGGTTCGCAGCCCTGCAAGCCCTTTATTGCAATCGGGACTGGTTTTGAGGTGCTTCTTAATTGAACCCGCCTTTGGCAATATTGTCGAGCAGACCATGCAGCGGCGTCTGGGGTCGGGTATTCCATTTGCCTTTGCCCATTCCTTGTGGAAGACGTAGTAGTGCTCGTTCAACTCCTTCGTAGATCCGGTCGACTTGTCACAGGTATACCGGACCCCCCCGACAATGGTTTCAGATTGGCATGAGTGAGGTCGCTCGTGCGTGTTGCGATGTCTCCTGTCGCGTGATCAGCGTCGAGTTTACTCAAGCCTCCAGTCATTTTGATGAAGACGTACGTTTCATCACGACCCTTTTTGAACCATTTCCCACAACAAAACCTATATCCTTTACGAGTATTACCTAAATTAATTAGTCTGAGTATATGTGAAGAGATTGCATGTCGTACCCTCATTATCTGTCTTTGTGAGAATAGTGCCATCTGTTCCTCCATAGCACCCAGCCGCCCCAGAGGCCTGGGGATCACTTCCGGATGCATATGATTGATACTGAGTCTAAGTCGCAGCATTTGGATCAGAGTGGCCCTGGGTGGGTGAGAAATAGTGCTGATACTGGCTAGGGTACTCAGCGGAAACATAGACCTGATCAGCGGAGGGGTATGTCCCTCCTTGGGCGGGAACACCCTCAGGGTTGTTTACGCCTTCATACGAGTGTTCTTGATGATGGGGGTATTGGGAGGAGGAGCCACCTGCTTGATTATAGTAGGCGCTCCAATCATAGTTGCCCCCAGAGTTATCGTAAGATCCCATTGCTAAGTAGACTGGTCTGTCAGCGCGTGTTCTTTGAGAAAGGTAGGCGGTGAATGCATACGTCCTGCAGGATGACTGGCTCGAGAACTGATAGTGACAGCCTGTGAGCGTAGGAACGCGTCCACAGATGAATAAAAGCCCTGAAGGCTTGCTCTTGGTAGAAAAAAGAAGTCTAATAGGAGGAAGCCGATGTAATTTGGAAGTCGATGGAAGTAGAGCTGTCGATGGAGGAAACAAAATCATTCGCTTTTTTGGGGCGAGACGAGCTCTATTTATGCTACTCTCGTCTATGAGTCCCTCCAACTTTACTTGGATATGTTGTATGAGCGCATTGATTTTGCGAACCATATTGGTTGGCAAGGCGTTTCTGCGGGAGGCCAGCGAGGCCGCAACAATGGAACCTATGAGGAGCGTAGAGTTGACCTCCCCTAGCAGTCATTACTCAGTTTTGCTTTTTCTAGCATGCCAATACCATTTTGAAGTTGGCCGACACATCCTGAATGATTGAATGCTTTGGGGCGAGATGCGGAGAACTGGTTGGCCCCTTGCATGATGACTTCCTTGATTGGCCTTGGCGCCTCAGTGTATGATCAAATCAAGTCCTCGGAGCAACCAACAAAATAGAGAGCAACACGTGTCATCCAACAGATCGAATGAGGATCAAGCCAGTGTAGGAGTCTCTAATTTCATGTTGCATATTCGGTTATGTTTATGTACCACTTCACCGGCTGTGGTCAGGCCAAATTTGTGCACGAATCTAGCGGGCGTGGTTGGGAGTAGCCCTGCATACTATAGGTCTTAGAAAAATGGCATTTGAAATACTTGTCTAAGAATAAAGTTTCGTGTGTTTCTTGGCTATTACGTTTCTTGTTTGTATGCGGCGAAGGCTACGTGATCCGGGTATCGACATGCATTTACCACAGGCGATTGCGAAAGCCGCCGGAGAGGGGCATGCCTTAATACCTGGAACAACCTATAAGTGCCGGAAAGTTTATATGAGGAGCAACAAGAATTTGGAAGCCCAGCACTGTGATTCTGTACGATGTGTAGGCCTCATGGACATTTTACTTGGCTGCTTGGAAGCTCCAGGTTAGAAAGCCTCCCCCATCTGCTCTGACTAGTGCATGCGAGTGCAAAGGACATGCGTTTGTGCCTTGAGTTTTGCTGCATGATGGCGGAGTTTTTGGGGCAATGAGTCAATCGAGTGTGCTCCGTGGCATGACCAGGCGATACCAATCCATGTCACATCCACTGAGTGTAACGGTGGTACGAAATCGGCGTTATCACAGTTACGATCTAAGCAACGACAGTGATATACAATGCGACCGAAACCTTCAATACGTACCTTAGGAGATTTTCTGACTTCAAGAAGCAGCTGTGGGTACTGACGGGAGTTCTTCAGTCTTTGAAGGAACTCGCAGGCGCCTCATCAGAATGTATGCCAACCGTCTCACCAGCTGATACAGAATTGCAAGTAGAAACTGAACAATGGAATCCTCGGTTACGGGAATCGAACTATGGGAACGAGCACATCATCAATTTCACAGAATTCCTAATCTGATAGAACAAAAATCAGGCTAACCATTGCTCATGCTAATTTGTACTCCCACGCAAATCATCAATGGAAGCCTAGCGAATCACTGTGAGTCTAGGTAGACAGTCGAGACGAACCTCCAAGAATTTTCAACTATCTCGAGCCATCCCTGACTGAGTACATGAGTTGGGAAGCACCTCTGTGGGGGATAATCACGGCAGGTTCTCATGTGCACGATTGGGTACTTCAAACGTGTCTGATGAGTTTGAGCGGGTAGATCATGTACACAACACACCCACTGTAATTGTCAAGCGGGTGCGACCGTTGCATGGTAGTGTGATTAGCCAAGGCCTACTGCTCACGAGCCTTGTGCTACGAGATCTTAAGATCTAGCACCTTTAATTGAGTTCCTACAGTGTAACAAGAGACCAATCTTAAAGCTGTGCTAGACCCCGGGAGTGTGTTTAATGATGTTCATTGTGATACCTGTCAGTTGCGTGTTTGCCGACATCAGCAACCAAATGCGGGCTGTAGATCTAGATTTCATTTCAAGCATGGGTAACACGACATCGGCCATCCTGCTCCCCCAAGTGCCCATCTCCCATAATGCCTTGAGGATTTACATATGTTTTTTTGGTCCCTGGAATGAATCAGGACGATTTGAATGTCCCCATTGCCCAAATTTTTGTTGCACGACCCTGGCACATACAAGCAACCCCTGGAACTAACTAAACTCCCTGAGGTTGGTGCCTGTAATCAGTCCCCTAGAGCCAGCGTATTCCATCAGCAGAATGCGAGTTTTGGCTCCATCATCCTCAATCAATCCGGTGCATCCAGCACGACCGAACCAATCCTCGTCGTGCTCATTCTACAGATCGGAGGAGCAAGCCTAGAAATAGGGAGCAGATGGTTGGAGTCCCGAGGAGCAAAGGATGCCATTTGTGCGTCAAGCGACGGGTCAAATGCGACGAGACCAAGCCGCAATGCCACGCCTGTGTCCGGTACGGCGTTGCGTGTCCCGGCTACGATCGCACAGTCAAGTTTGTCAATGAGAAGCATCAAGTCCGCCCGCGAGTCAAGTCCAAACCGCAAAAACCCTCTTCGGCGCCATCATCTGGGTTGGGTGCTCTCTCCGTGGCGCCCGGGACAGAGGATGAGTCTCCCACGGCGCGGCCAGGAAACACCTCGCTGTCTACAACCGTCGTACTTTCTCCCACAGCGCTGTCCCCTACAATCGATCGCGCGCAGTTCATCTGCACCATGCTGGACACGCTCTACACGACGGCATCACGCAAGGAAATCAGCTTCCTCAATCCCTGGTTCGACGGCATCCAGGACCAGTTCGGTGCAAAGGCGACCCTGGACAGCGCCGCCGCGTCGCTCATCCTCCATATGCTTGGCAAGGCCACAGGAGACACCCGGTTAGTCGGCGAGAGTCGGTCGCTGTACGGGCAGTCGTTGATGGCCCTGCAGTCGGCCCTGAATCACAAGACGGAGTGGAAGGCGTCGGAGACTCTCAGTGCGTCCACGGTGCTGTGTCTTTTTGAGGTATTCCCGCTCGTTTTTCGACTGTGTTTTACCGCATGCTGACGATTCGTGTCCCGTCTAGCTCTTCGCTGGTACAAAAAGCGCCGTCAGCTGGATGGAACATGCCAAAGGAGTGACATGGCTCATTCAGCAGCGGGGGCCCGAGTGCTTCAAAGACGGGTGGGATCGAGTGACGTTTAAGAATTTCCGTGCCCTGGTGGTATGAAGCTTCTCTTTCTTAATTGTCGCATCCGTTCGAAATATCCGCAGTGTTGGTATCGCAGAAAGCTTTGTGCTAACTTCTAACTAGATCATGAACTCGATATTTTCCGGGGAGGATTGTTTTCTGGTCCAAGACAAGTGGCAGGACGTAATGACGGATGGTTCGGCGGGCAGTGGTCGGGGGATGTTGGTCGACGCTCTCACGGCGAAACGATCGAAGGTGACAGACGAGTACTTTGCTCTACTGGCCAAAATCCCCAGTGTCCTGCGCCGCGCATATCCATTGCGAGAGGCGAGGAAAAAGGGATTGGAGGTTGATACCACCACTGTTGAACGTCTGCGTAGGTATGCCACTGGCCTTTGCAGAGATTATCTTGCATTCGAGAAGGATATCAGGCAAATCGTCGCGGATCCGATTGATGTGCCGTCCCAAGACCTCAGGTCGCCTTTCGCTACTGTATTCTGGTACGAAAACCCCTGGGTCGGGGCATTGCACATGGGCTACTGGGCGTCCATGCTCATTGTGCAGGAGTGCCTCCTACACTGCAACATGGCAAGCCTGGATGGGATCCGGTTTACCGACTCGATCCCAGACATGGCCAGTAAGATTCTCCGGTCGTTTGAGAACGTCGGCGGAGGCATCATGGGTGGCTACCGCGTAGGCTACGCCATGCGGGTGGTCTACGAATTCGTGGATCTGCCCACGCAGCTATGGATCACATCCCTCCTCCATGACTACGAAGGCACGTATGCAGGGCTCCAGGTGAGCGCGTTCCCAGCGCCAGAGCACGTCGAGGGCAGCGAGCTGCTGCCCAAGTGGCTGTCCCAGATGCGCCCGGAGCTCTAGCACGAAATGAGGAGTGTCTGGGAGGAGCCGGATAAGCGGCAATGGGGCCTGTCACTCACATCAGCTTCGTGGTATAAATCCTTATAGAGTTTAGCTTGATGACGAGCCACGGGAATCTCCCCTGCTAACTCGAAAGGGAGACCCATTCGATCCATTTCCTCGCCGTGTCTCGCGAGTGCGAGACGGCTTGTCCGCGCTCCCAGACCAAAGAGGCCTCGCGGATCAGCAAGCCACGCTTCGAGCGGGGCGTCAGCTTGCAATTTGCAAGTGCCGGTTGCCGTGCCTCTCGCCAGGGAAGCGACCGCCTCGTGGTATAATACCCAAGAAGGGTAAGAATCCTGGGTTTGTGGAGCACATCAACCTGAGACCCTGCGGCTCCTGGAGGCATCACTCGTGGGATCTCACCCAACTCAGCCTTAGGGCCTGGGGGAAATGGACCCGTCGATATTTCTATTGCGCCTCTAGTCGAATGGCATGCCGTTTCCGATCATGGGAATGCTAGCACGTAGGGCTGTGCTCGAGAGTTGTCATTATTGAGGAATTAGGTTCGAGTTGAAGAATACTAAATATTTAAACCCCTCGTCCCACTCAGTTTTTGAAGATGAAGCAAAGCATCGAGGAGTCAAATAATCTGCATCATCTACACCGACTACCAGCAATCCGAGCGAATCGACTAGCCCACGCCGCCGCCTCTATCCATCATGTTGGGCCCGCACACTTCATTGAGCATCGCCCAGATCGTCTTCTTCGTTCCTATTGTCTTTCTAGCGATATGGCTTGTGGTCCGCAATTGGTCAAAGCATCCACGCATGGCCTGGTGGCCCATGGTGCCTTTTAGCTTGAGTATGTTCAACATCTGTCAACCACTCGCTTTGGTATAGCAGCAGCTAACACGCTTCTTTTTGAACAGTGCGACTTGCAGGAGGGCCTATCGTCATCGCTCTCGGGAAGGACCCTTCAAACATTGGACTTATCGTGGCGGCTATCGTTCTCCTCAACGTTGGAACCATCCCTCTAATCGTTGCTATGTCCGGATTCTTCAGGATTATGTGAGTCTATCTACACTCAAAACCTATAGATATCGTCCGACTAACAGATGCGCCAAATAAAGCTTGATGGACAACTACCCTCCATCCAAACGCACCGTAGCCGCCCACAAGGTGCTCCGAATTGCAATCATCATCGCTACTGGCCTTCTTACCGGCGGCGGAAGTATCATCAGCCAAGAGTCACAGTCTACCCGTGACACCGGGCGTATCTTGCAGCATGTAGGATACGCAATTTTCGCAGCCCTGATTGTCTTCTTCTTTGGCGCTCATGTCCGCTTCTACCGCATGAGGCACTCTTTTATCCCCACCAGCCGCAAGGTATGGCATTCTGCTCTCCTTTCTAGGCCCATGCATACAACGACGAGAACTAACACTTTCATCGGCTAGGTCAACTTGGCCGCCCTTGCTGCCCTCCCATTCTTGGCTCTCCGCTGCGCATACGGAATCCTGCAGGTGACCTTTGAGTTCAACGCGGCCACCGTTTGGAATCCCGTCTACGGCTCCGCCGTCGCCTTTGCCTTTATGGGCCTGGTTGCCGAGTATATTGTGGTTCTCATCGTCCTCTACACCGGATTCTCGATGCCCCCAGACCGAGGTACTTCGGACCAAGGCGCATCAGTCCTTAATAAGGCTGATAGCCCCGGCCAATCTGTTTAAGTTAGATGGAGACAGGATTCTGGTTCATACTAGAGTCTCAGCGGCGAGAACTAAAGACACGTGTTTTTTTGAAGCCCTTATTTTGGAGTTAAAACTGACGGGAGCGAGGTATAAACATTGCTCCTAACTTAGGGTATAGATCGAGGCTTAACCTAACATGGCTTTCTTTGTATGCGAATAAATTTATATTCAATGATGAACATCGGTAGCATCAAGGCTAGATTTCCAGTAATTGGACTAACTTATGACTACTAATATGCTATTAGGAAATGTTGATCATTGTTGGTCTTGGGGACATTGTCCTGACCGTGCACCAGTCAGTGAGGCCTTCTAATGTTGCTGATTGTCCGAATTTCAAACGATAGTGGTCGTAAGGCGGTTGCTGTGAGCGGGAATTGGAACCGCATAGCCTCTTAATGATGGTTTTCAATGCTTTTGATTGGTATACGATAGTTTACCTGGCTTCCATGTGCTCCCTGTTTGGAACTTCAAGCCGCAGCCATTTCACGTATCTCGCACCAAGCAAATTCCTCGGACATTGGTATATGTTTTACTGGGTTTAGATGGTCTAGAAGCGAGGGTATGACGGGCTGACTGACGCAAAGCCGTCCATGCTTACATACAGACTCGAATTCCTGGAAACCCAACCGTTTTCGTTACGTTCAGCTACTTCAAAGAGTTTTAGTTCTCGACTTATTGTCAAGAAAAAGGCTCTAAATCATTTGTCGAGGCTGGTTTTCGGCACATACTGTCGATGAACTACAATAGGCGTCTTGTGGCATGCTATGGAAAATGTCTGGCCGCATTTGAATACAACCTCGGGGGCGGGGCTGAGTAGGCAGGCGCCTTCTCGGTTGCTTATTTCTCACGAGCACAGCAATTTTGGCTTCCCTAAAGGGATTGTCAGGTAATCCCGCTCCGTTTTGGCCAGGCATTTTCGCTACCCGTCAAGGCATTCCCTGTCCTGTAACCGGTGGACAGCGAGATTGCACACAGCAATTTTAACCCCCCGAGAGATTGTAGGTTGAGGTAAGCGGCTCCTCCCTTCGGCTCGAGATTCGTACAAAGCACTACAAGGCAGATAGCAGTTTGCGTCCTTTTGGCTGTGATGCAGGTGGTGGACAGAAAATCATGATGTCCTTCCCCTAGATTCCTACCCATAGATCACCACCACTTTGAATATAGGACATCGAGACAAAGAGGGCAGCAGTGACTACCAGACAAACAGGGACAAGAAGGCTACCTAGACAGAGAAAGACAGTGGCATAGCAACAATCCTTGCCCTTGCGTAAAACGATAATACTGTCAAGTATGGTACTTATTTTCCATGATGTATCGATGTTCCAAGCCATTTTCGATAAATAATGTGGCCTAGAATAGAAAGTTAAGATAGGGAAAATTGATTACTCACTATGTTTTAGACGGCCACTTGGATGGTACGAATTCGATCCATCTTCGCTGACCTCATTATTAATTCACAGGCGCTTGATTGGATGGTTGAATGGCGGGCCAAACCTATCCAGGAAGTTACGCTCCGTGACTATCCATGTGACAAGACACCACGGAGAACTTTTACCACAAAAGGATATTATTCACCGCGGCTTTCCAGATGCTTGTGCTATCCAAACTCCCCCGCATAATCACTCCGCTAGCGGACATGCTATCGTGGGGGGATATATGGGGGCATTTCAATGTATATAACACCTTTCTTTCTGTCAATTTGGGATTGAAGCTGAGAAATACCATAGCTTCCTTCCATTTGAACGGGAGGGATTTTGAGATCCAACTCTGTCGCCATCACCAACATGCCTCATGCCTCGGTTGACACAGCGTATCCCGCCGACATCTCTCTCCATGTAAACGATGGCCCGTTAAAACTGGACGAGATCGCTCTCCTACAACCATCATATGTCTCAGAGCCTATGGATCAGCTCCGTGAGCGGTATCGCCGGGAAGGCTACCTCTTCTTGAAGGGCCTCCTCCCACGAGAGGACGTCCTGTCCGCTCGTGAATCGTATTTCCGCGACTTGTCCGCGAGTGGCGTACTAGAACCCGGTTCGGCTCCAGTAGAGGGAATCTTTAACTCGAGTGCCTCCGCTGCGGACTACCCGGGTATTGGTGCAGGATCGGTCAAGAACGCTCGTCCGGGAGAGACGGATAAATCAGCTGTTTTCACAGATTTAGCACTCAAAGCACATACAGCACAGTGGTACGCAGGTTCAGAAGCTGGTGACCAGCTCGGATTTGCCAATCATCCTACGCTGACCGAGTTCATATCCCAATTCACACAATGGGGGGATGATACCCTTCCTGTGAAGAGATCGCTGTTGCGGAACAACACACCTGGTAACCGAGCAATTGGTGTGCACTATGATCAAACCTTCATGAGATACGGAGAACCTACCTCTGTGACAGCATGGGTTCCGATTGGGGATGTAAAAATTGATGGGGGCGGCCTAATCTATCTTGAAGGAGGTCAGTTTCAACCATTTGTCTCGTGACAGGACTAAATTACTAACGTACCTGGCGTTCTAGGGGAGAAATTGGGTGAGGAGATTGAGCAAGAATTCACCAAGAAGGCGAAGGAAACTGGGCTGAGCGAGGAAGAGACGAAGAATGCGTTTAATAAGAATATGATGAGCTCGGGCTTCCTATGTGAGGGGCCAGGAGATTTCGGGCGCAGATATAACAGAAAGTGGCTTGTCACTTCGTATGAGGCGGGTGATGTTGTTCTTCACACGCCGCATATGGTAAGTTTTTGGTCCCTTGAGTGTTCTTATTTTTCAATTCTCCATGCTGATCACAAGAATATCAGATTCATGCATCCACTATAAACCATGATGCAGAGGGCAGAATCCGCCTAGGGACAGACTTACGCTTCGTTAACAAGGCGCGTACTTGGGACACAGTAAGAACCATCCCCCCCTCCTGCTGCCCAAGTGGCTGTTTGATAACCGATCTTTGGCAGCGATGGTCCAATCACTATACCTTTGATGATGGCGTTTAAGTACTTTATCATGCCGTATACAAAAGGGCCCTGTAACACTGATTGTCATATCCCGGCTAATGAAGCTAAATGATATACCCTAGCCTCCTAACATTAGTTGAGATTCCCTTCATTAATCCTCTCATCAATCCTATTACTTCCTTTTTTTTTTGCCGCGCGTTTCATTTGGCCCAATTCCAGTGGATTTGGTTTTCATCAAGTCTATTTATGAGGACACTAATTATAGTAGCTCAATCGAGAATAAGTTTGGCCGAGACACAAAGAAGAGCTGGCCAAGAAATCACAATGAAAAGGGTTTGTATGTACGAAAGAGCGTTAAGCGACTGACTTTGACCTCGAGGCACCACAATACGTAATTATGCACACGGACATTACTGCCAAGATTGTCATAGAAATGTGGCCAATCAGCCAGGCATTTGACAGCCAGCTGTCCTCATAGGATGCTTGGCGATGGCGAGCTGGATCAAAAGATCCTTATTTTGGTGTTTAAGTTTACGACGTGGTCATTCTAAGTAGGGTCTTTGGTAGACCCAAGTTCAGATGTGCCACAAAGTAATCACCTTATTGCCTTATTGAACAGCATACTTCCCATCTAAGTTCCTCAGTCACAGGGCAATGTTGAATTTTTGTTTTGACGTCCAGTTCGCTAATCAGGGTGCCTCATCTGGGTGCTGATCATTGACCCAATCAAAATGGTTCGAATCCATGATCTTCAGTTGGTCCTTTGCGCCGCGATATTATTATTTTTTTCCTCGAGTGCACATGTAATAGAGAGAACAGACCAGACCGACAACACCACCTTTATTAACCGATATATCCAAGGTGGAACGAACCAAAGAATAGCCCATCACGAAGGTAGCCCACCAATCCTTTTAGTATTTGTAGATGATATTTGATACCTTCTTGCAAAGCTAGGGCGAAACGCTGACCTTTGCCCCAGCCGTTACACTAGGCGATTTCTATACATTTAGGGCGGCCAAACATCGACTTTGGTGGAAAAGAAGCAAACAAATGACGCGGAATCATTGGAATGTAGGCCATTGATGCCTTTTAATACGTCGTTCCAGTCCGCTAACCACATTTCTTTCTCATTTCCAAAACAGTCAGCAAAACACTTGCAATACCACTCAACAAACCGTGGAAACCCGGATCGGTCGAGATCAAAGAAATTGCTTATAAGAACGACATGCGGGCCACTAATTTTGCTGGCCTGTGGGCTGATCCCAAAAGAAACGCTATATACCGATGGGCTGGTGAGCTCTCTCGCTCAGCTCGATATGAAGAGGGCCAAGAAAACGAGATGTACATGCTTTCAGTAGATGGTAGTGGGGATGGGACATGGAGCATCAAGAAGCCAGCCCAGCAGGCAGCTTTCGACAACATTATCCCAAGTACTCATGGGCAATCAGTATTCTGCGACGGCCTCGGATTCTACATTGGGGGTTACGTTTACTCAGGATCATCTTATGGGGAGAGCAACAGAGGGTCGCCTGGTGTCCGCATGTACAACGCGAGCTCATCCGAATGGTCCAACATCACAGATTTCGACTCGAGTGGTCCTCAGGGCGATAATTGGAACGGCGCTGCTGTCTGCGTAGAAGGCTTTGGAAGCTCTCCGCTGGTCGTACTTCTTGGTGGAGCAAAACGTTTTGAGTCAGAACATCAGCCTCTCACTTTTGTTACCATATACGATCCGATCACACAGAAGTGGTATCGACAAGATACGGTGAAAGACACCAACGGATTTCCTTCAGAACGAGAATATTTCTGTACTGCTGCGGCTCAAGGGAAAAATGAAACGCTCGAGGTGTAAGTCCGGGGCTGTTCCACAACCCTAAATATCTAATGAATTTTGCTTGTTCTGACACAACTAGATATATGTTTGGGGGCTTGTCGACCAAGAAAAAAGCATTGGATGACTTTTGGGTTTTGTCTTTACCGGCCTTTAAATGGTTTCAACTCTCAAGCCCTCAAAGTCCAGACGCTATCCGTCATGGGCATAAATGTGTAATTGCTGGAAGTAGGCAGTTCATTTCCGTCGGGGGCATAGCAAAATATACGGGCGGGGGGTTCAAAAGCAATGATGTCTGGCCGAGGGGAATAGGCATTTTCGATCTCGTCACTTCGGCATAGGTGGACTCATATGATCCCGACCAAGGCGAATATGACTCGCCAGCAAACATTCAAGAGATTTACAAGAACGGGTATGTGGAATTTTGAATGGCATTTTCGTGTTCTTTTAGTTAGTCATACTGACGAATAGGCAGTGAAGCAGACGGCTATAATTATACGCCTACAATCCAGGAGCTGTTCTGGAAAAATCGATCAAGCAACAGTAGGTAATGCTTACCGAGTTCTTCTATCATCATCTAACAAGACGTGGAAATTGACACTAGAGACTGGGAAATAAACACAATACAAGATAGTCAGTCCTCAGGCGGCAAAGTTTCGGCTGGTGCCATAGCTGGGGCTACGATTGGAGGCGTTGCTGTCGTTGTGTTGATCGCCACAGGGATATTCCTTTTGCGCCGTCGCCGCCAACCAGGCAACAAGCCAATGCCCTTGCCAACCGAGGACTTTAAAAGGCCGAGTGATCAATTACTGCCCCCTTATCAGCAAGTTATTTCGGGAGCTGGTGCGCCTGTCATGGAACTCAACTCAACGCCAGTATTGGAAATAGACGGCCGTCAGTCTCTGCACATTAGAACACAGGGCATAACAGAACTTCCAACACCTGAAATTGGCTCTACTCGGTCTCCGCCCAGGTAGCTATACCCAATTCCGGTGATAGAACAACGTCATTGATCAGTATGATGCGGATCTAGGCTATGACAACGATACCAGCCGGGATTGGGAGATAGGCGGAAGCGAAACTGAAACATCTCAAAGGCTATGTTCCCAGCGATAGTTTGGTTAGAGTGTGAGTCTTCCCAAGAGTAGTGACTGCTCAGATTCCACTAATATGTTCAGAAAGGCTTATTCCTTTACCCTCCTTTGGGTGACCATAGCACTACAGCGCTTGAAATGGGTTAATGAAGCCATATCTTGAGCTGAAAGCTTTCAACAGGGCACACAGATTAATAGGTGATATAAAACAACTGGAGTCACATAGAAGGAAGTGACATGTTTCTCACTTTTGGCCAGTTTTGACAGATAGCCAACTGACAAGCGTTTTGACTTTGCGTTTTACTTCATAGACATATCAGCGATGTATAAGCGTATTGCAAAGACTACATTGCTGTTAATAAACGAAGAATACCTTGGCACTATCATTAAATACATGTGTTGCATAGTACATTGCATACCTTTCGACAATTATTTTTATTCACTTTTGGAATTGAGTTTCGTTGTATTCCGCCCCGAGTATCTCCAAAGCTTGGACGTCCTAATCACAATTATTTTTCTGAGCCTCAACTCGCGAATAGCAATGCGTTTTGCTTATTGAAAGATGCGATATTTCTAACTACTCGAGGTAATAATATGATTATCAAGATCATTAATACGACGAAACGTCATTTCTGCGGAGATAGCCAGAACATTAAACATAGGATCAAATCTCCCTTAAATTTCAAGCAGTGCCCTTCCTACCACCTACCCAGAAAGACATACGTAATCGACTGAGGTAAAGTATTGCACACTAAAACTCCTTTTATGTAACGCAGACCCGACTGAGAAGTAATGCGTTTGACAGTGTTAAAAAGAAAGGCGCGTCTCAGCCAAGGATCCAGCGGATCACGAGTAAGATTCCCAACGTACTTCCTGTTTATAGGTTCCAGGTCGACGTGACCTCATCTATGTCAGCGCCATGTTGGGACATGTTGATATGAACCCAGCTTTTATACTGCCCCAAGCTAATAGCCTGGCTTCCAAAGTAAGCCTCAACTGCAATCGCCAGGGTTGGACGCCTAGCGAAGTCGAGAAAGATTGCCCCGTAAATCGCCCCCTCATCATCACTTCCCTCAAATATGGGTGACACCACGTTGGCTGTCATGGTACCAGCCTGAGGCATCGGTTTCAGCCAATAGTCTCCTGTGTCACTGAGTTCTCTATTGAAAATTCCGTTCGACATCTACTCCGAGCCTTAGCTGGCGGAGGAAAACGGAGAAGCGCGACGAGAAGTGATCCGTAGCCTCAATGTAGGCGACCATGGTTGATGTAGGCTTGCCCATCTCATGTCAGCCAAATCCGGGAGGAGGAACCTGAGGTAGTCCTTTCTACCCTACCGCGAGAGGTGCGGTCTATGCGGGAGAAGTGCAAAGCATGCGAAATCTCTGAAGGCACAAGTGTCGGTGGCGTGGTGGCCGTACCGAATAAGCCAGGGTCAAATTTTTGAAGTCTACCCTTGAAGTGAATCAACGGATAGCCTGTAATTATCGACATTGGCTCGCAAATGCATCGGGCTGGGGCAGATTGTCGGGAAACACAATCTCGATTCGCTCGGCCTGGTCCTCCGTCGCTTGGAGGGTGCGTTGCTTTCCCAGAGGAAATCGGTCTTTATCAGCAGGTAGCCTGAAGAATGGCGCAAATTTCTTATGGACCTTGCTGTAGTTCTGCCAGGCAAAGTTCAATATGCGAATGTGGTCCACCTTCTCTGCAGCAGTGTTGAGGTCTATCAAGGACCCATCGCGGATTCTTGTGTCTACCCAAACTGGGAGTACGGCGAGAGGAACGGAAACCCCCTCTAGAATCCGAGCAACTAAATTTTGGCCGAGGATGCGAGTGTCAGCATCGTTAGTCAACAAGTCGATGCCTGGATCCCTATCCTCATTCCCGACACGGCCCCTTTCGTCGGTCATATAGAGAGCCATGGGACCCGCGAGTATCAACTCTCCACAGATGCTCGACATATGGATGTTTTGCTGCATCCCCATTGACGCGAAAAGTGGCATCCAGTGTAGGCATTCTGAATGTGTAGTGTTTCGCCCGTATGGTAATGACACAGTTGTGTGTTAATTTCTTTTTCTTAGTAGGGGTTGTTTTATGCTGTGTTAGCTGTAAGTGATAATGTTACGAAGTTTGAGCAAGGGGATCTGGGAATGAAGAGGCATATTTACAGGACAAGACCATTTTTCACGGGCTCATATTCTACCCATATGCTTCCTACACAAGGCTGAAGTATAAGACCCAAGGCCTGGCAAAAGGGCTGAAAAGCGTCACGAGAGCTGGGTCTGGTAGCTGAAAGCTGAAACTCCGGGGTTCTCGTATTACATACGTTACTTTCTGAGTTACTGCAATGTGTAACATTATCAACTCTACTTTTCCTTTCCTACAACGGTCTAACATCATACATGTGGCTTTCGCGTTCTAGAATTAAAAGTGTTTAAGCCACATTCGCAAGTCAAATATTAACGAACTATGTTTATCCGCCGCAACCAAAATAACTCTTCTTTGGTGTGGCTGATTCGGAGGGAGTCCGACACTAGGCTTTTTCCACGGCCATCTGGGTCACAGACTGCTCTCGTCGAATCTTTGTCACTCAGCTTATAGGAATGATGGCACCTAAGTTCTTAAATTTGTTCAAATCTCATCCGTGGCTAAATTTAAGTGCTTGAGGTGGTGGGCCACTGCGGTTAGGCGGATTGAAGAGGAGAAAGCAATAGTATCTAGGGCATGGCCGCAGACAGACGGACAGACTTTTAATCATGATTCAATTGCCATATGTCTGTAATCAGCCAGTACCAGCTTTTGTCTTATTGCATTAACGACTCAGGTGAGTGATAAGGCCCCGCCTACAGCTTTTGCTACTCCATGACTTTTGCGACATGAACTCCAGTCTATGTAGATGGCTACGTCTGATCATAGAGATTCCCGTCATCAACAGAGACCAAGTCAGTATAACAAGATGATTCAGAGCCCACTGTTGATGATTCTGACTGCTCCGACAGCAACATATCTCCAGTTGGCCAGATATGCCCTGATCGTGGTACAAAGAAAAAGGTAAGGGACATAATATCTGACCAAAGAGCTAATTCTACAACATTCGCTCCGATGCACCAATTCCAGTGACCGTGACAGAAGTGACCATGACAAAGACTAGTGCTGTTCGAAGAGGTAGTAAGCTCCGGGCGGAGCAGAGTCGGGATGCATAAACAACGGTGATGAGAATGTGCTTGGCTTCGCGGGCTGCAAGTATCCTCACCTACTCCCTGAACAGTAACCATTTTATGTTTCGCCTCGGTTTTCAACGTTTACATGCGGCTGACCTGAATATTTCGTGATTAAACCGACGATGACATAAATAACCATAAACTTCAGTGGTGGCATGTGCGGAAATGAGAATGACTATCGATATTCAACGCTTCTTCGTCATGGTTTCATACCGTCAGATGGCCAGGTCTCCTATACACCTCCAGACATTCATTCACAGCGAATGATGTCAGAACATAAATCATAATATGTTGTTGTCAAATAAGTATCTCAAATAAAATCCGCATGTAAATGTCGCTCCTATGCTGCCCTTGAATGCATGTGCTTGGCATTAAAATCATAATCGCTAACCCAGAGGAAGATCGCAATGTCATTCATTCATTCAATAACTGCCGATGAGAGGTATTAGCAAATTTATAAAAGCTTGGACTGGCGGCGACGGCAGGGGAAAGAGGACAAGCATACTTGAGAAGTTGCATTCCACTCGTCAAAACACGCTGTGCAGAAACATACAGCGCCAAGCGAGCAATTCTAACATCCTGTGCGCCATTTCCAATGTCCAATTGACTGTAGCTCGCCTCCAGCAACTGGGCCAGTTCTAGGAGGTACTTCGATATATCCGCAGGCTGTTTCAGCGATGAGATGCCTCCTAATACGACAGCCCAATGGGCGAGGGTCCGGACGATGTCGACAGCGGCTTTCTCCGTGAGAAGGGAAAAATCAGCGGTCAGGAGCTGCTCTACTCCGAAATCCGCAGCACTTAGAAGAGAGTTGAGTTGATCAAGAGACGACTGAAGAAACGATGCTTGTTGTCGGTCTAGTGGTGTTTGGTGGTTGAGCCTAGAAATGTGGCATGTGGTGTTATCAAGGGCCTGAGGTAGCACTAAGGCAGCCAATGGCGCAGGCTTGAAGTAGAATTGAAGAGAGTTATTGTGGTCCGCGACAGGATGATTTACCAATACGGACTCGGGAAACTGTTGGCAAGGAGAGCTGTTAGTCTTTTGGGCATGAGAGCGGGGCTCAAAACGCCTGCTTAGTGACGTAAAGAGGAGGGAGGAGGAGAGGGACTAGCCACTTTGTTTCGGATGAGTTGGCTTGGGTCAGCATCTGCAAGTTGAAGAGCAGCGGTCGCCAGGATGAGATCACCCTCTGTGAGTGTCCGCGCCACCTGCAGGGCCGGAAAGACAACCTCGGGAGAGGCGCCAGTGATGGCACAGATTATCTGAGAGACATGTATCCGGTACACGTCAAATGGATTTGGCGCTGGCCTGTCGACATTGCCTTCTAGGGCCAGCAGGGTGGACGTGAGTGTCTCCATGTCCGTAGAACTGAGGGATGGAGACTCTTGACAGCCTTGATCTACCTGGCGATGTGTTTCACGGACTGTATCGTTTGTGCCGTGGTGGAGCGGTCGGATGGACAGCACAGATGGCAAGCTCATGGAGATGGACGCGCCGACTCAGGGGTCAAGCGGCCGGATGCAGTGGTTTATATAAATGATCTGGGAGAGGATCCGGAATGGAATAGAGGAGGAAGAGGCCGAGATATGACTACGTTGTGAGGCAAAGCCAGTGCGCGTTCAATCCTTCAGTATGTTGGATGTCAGGCCTGCGTTGTATTTGTTGTGTTTGCGGGCGAGGCTGATCGGCTCAGGGCCTGTGCGAGGGACATTTTGATGACTCATGTGACTTCCTCCTCACTACAAGAATCAGAGCACCCCAATAGAGACAAAGAAAACTACGGTCGGCGTGGTGTGCGAGGGCCCGAGATCCAGTCAGCATCCAGTATTCAGCCGCACCCAAACAAAAGGGAGCGTTGTCGTTGCATGCAAGAAAACAGGGTCCCATGGAGCGGGCGGCCGCCAGCACACGAGTAGCTCAGTGGCCCGACCATGGCAATATCCGGTGTTCCTCCGCCCGTGTCTTGGGCATATTGAGATTGACGTTTGACAGATGCAGGGCGCCGTCTGGGCTGTCGTACGTTGAGTTGGGCTACGGGATAGGGGCAGGCGACTCTTCCTCTTCACGACAGCCGTGTCCTCAACCACGCGTATGATTCCAGCTACATATCTGACAGCAGTGACAGAGGCCCACGATGGTCAGCATTGAAAAAAAAACCATATTCAATACCAAACACGATCGCCTAGTTTAGCCCCCACCGATGGCCCCCGTTTGGGTCACCATCCCTGTCTTATTCCGCCCTTCGACCCGCCTCAGACACGTTCCCCGACCGATTTCCAAGGCGGCGGCCGCTTCGTTTTAGCCCCCAGATTCTGTTGGAAGTTCTGGAAATGATTAAAAAGGGCCTAACCGCCCAGGTCGGCCGCTCCCAGTCTTGCTCGACCGCAAATCATGATTCCACTTCCAGCCCAATCCTTTTCTTGCTTGGCGTATCATTTTCCTTTTACGTTTGGTCACGTAAACGCCCTCATACAAACAATTGGTCTTTTTTGTTCTCACTTTTGTGCCCAAAGGTCGATCTGACCTAAGAGCGGAACAGTCACGGGTCAAATCCGGATGCCGCGACACGAAAAGGGATTTTTATGAACACCGATTCGTATTAAAATGCATATCTGAATATTTGTCTATGCGTCTTTCGTCTACGTGCGCGTCGCCATCGCCAATCGAATCCCAGCTGAACCTATGTCGGAAACTTCAAGCTAAGCAGTTCGGGCGCACACCTTATGCTTGACAAAGCTACTACTAATCCATATTTGCACTTTCTCTTATTCTCAATCGGCCGATGCTTGTTTCGGATTCTCTTATTGCGCCCAGCAGCTCCTCCGTCTACAGCATATTGCCACCGTTCCAAGGCACCCACCCTTATTGTCCATGTAATAGGCATACAAGCGCGGCATGGATGCTATCAATAGCATCAGGATCGTAACACTGTGATGACCTACCTGGAAAGCTCTCTCGGTCGTCGTGTGCAATAGCTGGCACCAGCATGGGCAATCCGTTTCCCATCCATCCCGATGTAGTAGCTTCACTCCATGCCTTCTTGGTTATAGTCCCTTTCCACCAACTATTTCACATGCAACTCGTCGGCCGCCAATAGGACACTCTTCTAGTAGTTGACCCACAGTTTCTTATAATGAAGCCTAGATATGGCGGACAATATGGAATAAGCCGCTTAGCGACAGGCTCAGTTTGATGTTGGTGGGTCATTATCAACCTTGGGACATGCTAAAAGGATTGGAAGGATTGCCATCTCCTGACTTCTCGGGCGGGATCTATTTCACAGACGAAAGAAGGCACCGGCGGCATACAAATCTCGGATGCAAGGAATGAATCGAGTACTTATTTATATACATTCACTGAGCATATAGAGAGACTTTCCATTTGGATATTCACCCCATTTCCTATCAGAAAACGTACTCACACAATTCCAAAGCGCAAAATCTCCACCTAGCAGATGTTCTTGCTAGCGTTGCCAGTGATGGCCCAGAAAATGTTCTCGGCACAGGGAGACTCCCGGACCGAATTATTGTTCACCTCGACCTCGAAGAAGATGCCACTCGTGTTGGGGAACTCAGAACGAGCAGCAACGCGGACCTCCCCCCCTCCGTTGATAACACCATCTCTAATAGCCAGGTTGTAGCAATTCTCGATGAGCACGGCGTTGTTGCCGTTGTTGGCAAGGTCGATGTACTTGATTTCGGCTGCGCCGGACATGGAAACACAGAAGATGCCGCGACCACCGCCACGAGAGTAGACCTTGTCAATGTAGACGTTTGTCGTAGTATACTGACCGTTTGCAAGCTGTCCGTTGTTGTTGGCGAATCGAAGAGTGGCGTATCCAGTTCCAGCCGCAACGTTGTTGCCTTCAACATATCCGACCCATGCGTTAATAGTCTTCTGAAGCAAGAGACCGCACTCGCCAACGTTGCGAGCAATGACCGAGTTGATGGTCAGGCCATCAATATTCCACGTCTCCACCGCATGGCTACCAGCACCCGTCACGGTGATAACGTCCATCCTGACGTTATAGTTCTGAGCAAGGTCACGATCAAATCGAATCCCTAGGCCGCCGCTAAGGTTCATGGTGATCTTTCCAAGGTTCAGGTTGCGTGTGCCGGAGAAGCGAAGACCAAAGTATGGGTTTCCAGTCATGGTCAGGTAGGGGATGCTGACATCATTCTGGTTGGTTACTTCGATTGCACCCCGTCCACTTCGGGCGACCGCGTTGAGAGTGCCGCAGACCTCAAACGTCTTGCCTCCAGTGACGGTAATAGTGTTGGAACCGATAGAGCCAGAAGACCACACGACCAGCCGCTGCCCGCTGCTGATACGGTCGAGAGCGGTCTGGATGGCGAGGCGGTAATCAGTGCCACTGTACACGTTGGCTCCGTTCACAGTCGCTGTGAAGGTGCCAGAACCGGAGACACTTGCTTGGGTCGATCCGTCACCACATGCAGCGTTGACGGCGCCTGCCAGGGCGAGGGCCGCGGTGAAGATGGTCGAGAGAGAAAGCATGGTGCTTTTTTTCCTTATGCTGATCGTCAGCTAATGCCGCTTGGTTGATCACAGCTTGGTTCCGGCCTCGTCATGATGGGACGGTCAGGGGAAATGGACCCTTTTAACCCAACCAATCCTTGGCGTCCGGTAGTTGTTGATGAGCTATCCGCGAACCACGAACTCCATAAATGCCAAGCTCCCACTTGCGGGGTCGGGCTATCTTGATATATGATGATGGCTAAATTTTGGCGGAGGGCTTTGCTCCGATATGCGTGTTGGGACTGGTTGGGAATGGAAAGCTACACCTCCAATCCGTGTTCCACCTATCGGGATTAATAGATAGCTTTAATTTGACTTCTAGCGTCTACTTCTTGTGGAAGCTTCTCTTCCGCAATCCTGCTAGTGGATGGTGTTTCCCAAAGCTTCTTGGCCTGGATGTAACCCTGTTGTCGTATCTTAATCGTTCGGTATTTCACTCCGACAGGGAATTAAATGAAGAGAACTAGTTCCATTAACACCTCTTTTCGTTTTGCGCAACATCTAGCTCATGGCAAGGAGCATGTTAAATGTGACGATGGCAATCTGTCGCTATCTCACCCCGATCCAATGGCTTAACTAGGGTTCCATTTCTTTATGTTTTGATAAGCTTACACGGGCTCACCTTCCGAGACTCTCAATAAAGGATAGAATTCGTTGAAGAAGGAAGGTGTGAAGGTTCTCATCTTACTTTGACATCTATTTCTGAATACCTAGTTAGCCTTGATGCCGATGATATCTAGCAAGCTCTTTGGATATATAGTTTCTCATTTGACGATTATGAGCTCTTGTCCAGCCAGATATAGTGAAAAAATGACGAAATAAACAGAACTGTAGCAGCAATACAATACACTTCAAGTACTTGATGGTTGGTTGCATTGCCTGTAATGCCCCTGATCGGTGTGTGGGGTGAGGGCATTACGGGAGAGAAAGGCCCGAGGATGCGAGAGCAGGGCGCAGATCATGCCATGACCCCGGTACTTCCGCGCAGATACTATTGGCACGCGTATGGCAAGAAGCTCTCGTCAAGATTAAGGTAATCGGACGGCAAGAACTTTGCTTCGAGGTATCTGGGGCTCAGTTCTTCCAGCTTTAATCTCATTTAACATTCGAGCATCAAAACCTAGTGCGACAACAGTTAAATTGGGCTAGGAGATGATTAAATACTTATGAGCCGTCAAAAGGGCTCCAAAGAACTAGGTCTTGTGATTATAATGTCACACAAACTGATTGTGATGAAGCAAGACTATCTACATGTTGGCGGTGTTCCCACCCCAAAGGTCGATTATCGGCGTATCAATCCGACGAGTGCCGAATTACTTTCTCCGAACCTCCCACATGGTTTGCATTCGTTGAACTTGACCTGGTGTAAACGACGTCCTGCATTGCCTGTAGATGATTGGTTAGCAAGAGAATCGATAACGAGCCAAGATGGTTTACTCACGCCGGGCTGTAGTTCATATGATTGTTGGTCAGGTCAGGTCCGACACCAGGGCAGCTATAACGAGTCTTGCAGCTCCCCATGGCAGTTCCGTTCTGGGCTGGAGTATCGGCCACCAAGTCGCCATTGCCGGTGCAGCCGCCCTGGAAGGTGTGCAGGAGACCAAGCCAGTGACCCATCTCGTGAACTCCCACCTTGCCCTTAGACTTATCGCCGTCGTCCTTGTTCGGTATGGTGCTCCTTTGGATCTCGATGCCGTCCTCTATGAAGGTGTTGGAGGTTTCCGGGTGGTTCTTGTTTGGCAGAGTGCCGAAGCCAACGACGCCTGTGGCATTGAGGCCCTTTAGGATCCACACGTTGAGATCCGTGTATTTTCCCTTGCGGAACTTCTTTTTGAACACCTTCCTGTCGACGGCCATAGACCAGGTCTCGTTCCTGATTCGCTCGCTTCCACCGAGCTTCAAGGTGAAGTTGTGTTGGGCGAATTCGTCCCTGAGCATATTGAACTGTCTCTCGATTCCACCATCCTGATTGCGTTGTCAGTAAAATTTGGGCTTTCCAATGAATGTGTAAATGTACTCACCGTGACATAGTCTTCAGTAGCGTTGGGAGATATCACATGGATGTAAACGTTGATTTCCCGGAGAGAAGCGCTTGGAACACCGGAAGGACTTGGTGTACTAGAAGCACTTGAAGTAATCGAAGCACTTGGGGCGGTAGAAGCATCGGAAGCAATTGGGGTGCTGGAAGCATCAGTCGCACTTGAAGCACTCGGAGTACCGGAAGCACCTGGAGTGCTCAAAGCATCAGAAGCACTAGAAACACCCGAAGGACTCGGAGTACCAGATGCACTTGGAGTACTAGAAACATCAGAAGCACTTGGAGTACTCAGAGCATCGGAAGCACTAGAAGCACCAGAAGCACTTGGAGTACCGGAAGCACTTGGAGTACCGGAAGCACTCGGGGTACCGGAAGCACTTGGAACACTTGCAAGGCTAGTAGTAGGGCGACGGGAGCACCTCTTTCTCTTCTTCACACTACGAACAGAGTGAGAATTCTTGGCACTCAACTCCGCAACTAGTTGAAGAAACTCGTCGGGCACCTCCCCGCTCCCGCATCCCTGGGAGGATAGCTCCGCCTCTTCGCGAGCCTCAAGGGTTGCAGCCGACGCTGCAGCCGTAAAAAGGGTAATAACATTAAAGAATCGCATCTTCAAGAAGAAAACCAAAGGAGTGACTTGGTGAGGTGGTTGTAGAATCAGTATCTAGGAATTCATATTGGCGATGCGGTGCGGCCTATTTGTACAATCGAGGGCTTTACTTGCAACGCATGATTTCTCGACCAAGGCTGAAGCCAGAGCCCCCAACTTCCAAATCAATCGGTCCAGGTTGGACGAAAATAGCCCGAAAGTGGGTTGTGGACTTTCGGCCAGTCTCACATAAAGGACATTTGTTAGGGCGAATCTGAGAGTGGTAAGGGCCGAGATTAGAGGGAGATCCTACGAAGAAACACCGCCACCTGATCCAATGCAAAATCTTCGATATTGATTCTAAATTGGTTTCAATATTCCTTCGCCATAAAATTAATATCAGCTGCATTGAGTTCGGCGACGTGTTGCTCTTGTCGTCCATCCCGGATCCACGATTTACTTAAATGGTAGACTCAAGGCCAACCACGCATTAGGGTTTGTGGCGATCCGGCCGACAGTTCTTTTCAAGGCCGGTCTGTAAGGATCGAGATGGAACTAAGCCCTATACCAAAGTCCCTGTTCGGAGAAGTTCTCAGAAGGGATATAAGCAAAGACAGCCAAGGCTATAATAGTACCTTGTTCTTTCGTTGTCTGTTCCCTAATACGTCAAGGAGTAAATATAACCCCCAGACTCTTAATGTATGCAAATCCAGAGTTCATGTCAACTTTACTTGTAGAGTAATAATAAGCGAGGAGATGCTGCAGTATATCTTGGGTCTGTCGGTCTTCTTATATTTGATGCTTTGTCAAGTAAACTGTGGGCACACACTCCCTAATTACATGCCTTTTTACAAATTCAAATCACACTTTTCCAATCACGTCTCCACAGCCAAAATGCTCCCAACGGAACATCCTCGTTCCAGTTTGATAAATAGCACCCTGAGATTCCCAGTGGCGTTACTGCGCCTCTCCATTGGAAACCATGGCGGCCAGTATATCTCTTCTGGATCATGACACCACAGGTCTCCAGATCCACAGACCCTTCCAACGTAAATTCCCCAATCCCATCTTTGCATGCCGATGCCACTATTTCGATTTGATGGTCTGATTCAGACGATTTATGGAACCGAATGTGTCTCATCAACGGGTCATTGCGAGACCGGCCATTACGAGACCGGCCACTTAGCCCGTATGTATACATCCCTTCCCATACGCATGAATCGATATCGTTGATGAGAGCTCTAGTCCGTGCCTTATACCACAACTCCCAAAACCAGCTAGCTGGTAGCGAGTAAGGAGGGCCTTCCTTGTCCCTTGATACCCTAGTGGCTGTGGGCAAGGGGATACTCTCCGCTAGGCCGCTAGTTACCACAGTAGGAGCTTGATCGTCGGGCGATGGCTGTCTCCTCGCCTGCGAAAAGAATGGGATATTTTCCGGGGGTGGGGGTGCATTCTCTGCCTTTGGATCCTGCCGCAGACAGACGCGTGCAGCTACAGCGCACAAGAGCAGTGCGATGCTCGGAAGAATATTCCCGTAGGTATTGTTGTCCCAAGACGTATCCAAGTAGCGCCTCATGGCATTATCAGTGAAATCAATGTTAAGTTCATCCTGCTCATGATCACCATCTTGATCCAGATCACCTTCGGGATCGGGCTGTGATCCCCTAGAATTTTGTATGGCACAAATGGCCGAGCAGAATGAGGTTTCCAAACCCAGTGAAGAGCTCAATATTTGTTCAGCCGTTTCAAGCTCCGGTTTGTCAGAGTATGTACAGGCGCAGAGCTCATTAAGGGCATGCATGACATCCTCATCGCAAGCCGATAGACCTTAGGGAAGTCAGCATCGAGTCAAACTGAGGCACCGTTCAACTTACATCCCCAGACCACTGACGTAGCCAGAAGCCCAATAGTTCTTTTCAGAGGTTCAACGTTCTCTGAAAGTTCAGCGATCCCGGTAAGGCCATCTGCGCTCATCGCCGAGGTCACCATTGAAACCGATCTGACCTGTGTGCGTATGTCTTTTCCAAGGAAGCTCAAGCGGGACGCGGCCACAGCAAGATACTTCCACCATGCTCTGTGATAATAAGCCTGGTCCTGCAGAGGCCGCTGAGTAACCCTACTCAATTGATCGGTAATGGAGGTCACCAAAGCTTTCTCGCTCGTAATTGACCGTGACGAGACTTGGGGAATCTACCAGCCAAAACAGGTACCAATCAGCAACAGCCATCACGGAAGTCTTGCGGAAGCTTGGAACATACATTGTATTCGAACACCTGCCGGAACAAAGTATTGTCGTACGTGTTCCGAAGCAGTCGGCAGGTCTCGGTCAACGCAAGAACATCGTGCGGCGCACAGTACCACGCGACGTGATGCAAGAGCTCGATGGGCAAACCTGTAATAAGCGTCATGGCCAAAATGAGGTTCAAAAGTCCTAACTTGACGACGGTAGCCAACCAGAAGGACAGCTGTTTGCAATACTAACTGCGGAGGTAACCAACGTGCAGCAGGTAATTGACTACTGCACATGCGTCAGCGTGCGGGGCTGCTGCCTGGAAATTATGAGGGCATACAGCAATCTGACGACATGAGCGATTATATAATCTGGGCAGATGATATCACCCACCAGCAAGCAAGGATGCAGTGCTGCCTCGGAACATACTTTTAGTAGAACGGCGTGAAACCAAACGGGGGAAGGCCGTTACAGGGGCCCCTGAAGGCATCTCAGAGTCCCAATTTTAGGGAATATTTTTGGCCTTCCAGCGTGCTCCATCTCAGCCGAACTGCTCTCGCCACCAGTGCGTTGGGTAACCCTTCGTCGGATCATTCGGCTAATAATAATTAAGGGTTCCTCGTTGCCATCTTAGAGGAAACCTGGGTTTAGACTTAACACACACGGTCAACTACTGTATCTCTTTTGCATGAAGTGTCGAATACTGAGGACCATTCAAGGTACGATATCCATTTTCACGTACATCTTACCAACGAACCAAGGATAAGGCGGTCCAAAGAATTCATGTCCACTGAGAGCATAGCCTTGTTGCCTTGTTAATGTCACGTCACACTCGATGACTGTGTCTGCCAGCTGCAGACGTTCAATAAGCAATCTAGTGACAGTATGACAGCTTTCAACTCCGGATAAGCAGGGGGTTGGGTAGAAGCTTAAATACTAGGTAAGCAGGAGTAAAGGCCAATCTCATGATCAGCCAAAGTCCTCCGTGTGTATTATCTGTCTCTCGCATGCAGTAAGAATCAAACGTGACGGGCATACGTATTAATACCAATGGCCGACAAAATGCTGGTTCTGGGATGACCCCGATGGAGTTGTGGATTTCTAAGTTGGTGTCACAGTATAACTGCCATCTTTCGATACAGCCTTTGTAATTGACCGGCGTTATCTTGAGATAGTGTTGGTTGGTGATTTACCAAAAGTAGCCCCACCTATTATCATCTTCCAAGCTTTGGGTCAGATGTTGGTCAGATGGGTCGAAAATATGCAATGGAACCCTACTCCAAGATGAGACTTTAAGCATGAATTAATTCACCGCCATTAGGTTCTCAGGAAAGCATACGAACATCTCCGCGGCTGTTAAAAGCCCGAGTAATGATCACGAGGGTAGTTCTTAAGGTGAAATGGTGGGCTCTAGGGTAGGCATAAATTGTCGAGCGTCTGTCTCGGCATCACGCGGATGTGTTCCGCCAGAGAGGGGTGGTGTAATCTTACGCACCACGAATCATCCGGGCAGAATTGCCCTCAACGGAATCTGCCATTTGGTAAGTAAGTAGAGGGTGCCGGGAGAATCAAGTACAGGGATTATTTGAGAAAACATCATGCGCCTGTTTGTCTGAGGCGTTGACACGCCTCGACCAGCGGTGGTTTGTTAGACTGCTTCCAGAATCACAAGGCCACTGCGCAATCTAATTGCTTTCCGTGTCTCAGTCGTAGTGGACCCGATCAAATCTTAGAATGTAACCAACCAGGACGATGTCTGGGGCAGTGTCCTCTGGCGTCAGCTCTAGCACATCCTCCAAAAGCCAGCTGGACTCCTGGCTCGATTTGAAGCCATTATGCGGAAGCCAGTGGCCAGCTGAAGCTCAATCATTCTCGGAAAGCTGCCCGCGTATGTTCCTCCGGGTGCTGATGTCCAATCGATCATCTGCGGGTGATGTCAGCGCGAATCCCTGCTCAGGTGCCATCAGCCATGTATCAGGCTGGGGCTGTGGATGGGCTGCAGATGGATGTGTAACACAGTGAGAGGAGTGTGCTATTGAAGCCTGCCTGATGACCCAGACCGCCACTTCTGGCTCAATGGTTCAGTGGTTGATGTCTTGCCTGCTTTCTTTTCCCTCCCATGGTGGCGCTCGGGCTCCAGCTGTGCTGAGGGTAATCTTGCTCTCTCTGTCGCATGAAATCACCCAACAGGCTTAATATGGAGTCAAGAAGACCAAAGCGCCATTACGCCCGCCTTTTCGCATTCATTCGCGTCCGTCTAGGTAATCATCTACCCGCGTCCGACCGCTCATCAGATGGTTGCCGGTCGCCTTGTTGTCCGACACAGGGCCACATATTTGTACATGGTGAACGCCTTGGTCATTCGCAAACGTATTATTCCTTTTTCATCTCGTGATGGTCTAGATTGACGCCAGCGGCGGCGCCATCGCACGGCTCGATAGGCAATGTCAGGCACCAAACCTACCCGACTCGCTGTTGCTGGTCACCATCTTCTTGCGCCACGTCGTAGATGTAATGAAATGAAAAGCGCCCGGCTGTCAGCTGCTCATGTTCATGCCTGAGCACACTCCCGCTTCTGTGTGGGTGGAGGCATCACTGCGCCGAGAAACTGTGAACTGCATTTTGTGACAGACAACAGTCATGCAACCCAAAGCCCAAGGTCCTTGTTGGGGCACGTTACCTATCTGGAGATATTATGCTTGATGACCTGTACCGTAAGCTCTCTGACTGCCAGCCTGCTGTGGTGAGAAACGGCATTGAATTCGAGTGAGAAGAGGCTGGCTGATATGCAGGTGAAAACTGGCATGCAATGTCAATGGCAACGTGTGTAACTGTCGTGTTAAACAGCGACACTAGCCCCCAGGCCACCAAGTACACAAACACACAAACGCTACGGTTGATGTCGTATCGATCGTAGGCCAGCCGGTCGGTACTTTCGGGAGCTTCAGGCGTCAAGGGGGCCTCCCCTGAAATGCTACCACACGAGCCCACATCCCGCGTTTTTCTTGTCCAAGGACGCGCCGCGGATTAATCATAGAGGGGCTGGCCTGCACACACCTCCTGGATTGGTTTGCTGGCCCTGGCACGCTGAGTCTAGTGACCCTTCCCATGCAAGTTTGAGCCTTATACTGTGGTGCCCCCTGTATCGGCGGCAGACATCCCATGATTGTTCATCCTTGTTTGCTCGCGTGGCCTAGTTAGGAGCTGCGTGCATGCTGATGGATGGGCGGATGGATGAGTGTATGACGAACTCGCTGCATATTGGATCGGAGGCCGTGTATTTGCTGTCCACCCATCAATAATCCGCCATGGTGCCCCTCCTCTGTAGGATTATCGGGAAGTAGGTACATGGAATCATCTCCAGTCCCTGTGAAGCTTTTGTCGTTAAAACGGAACAATGCTATAGTGGCTTGGCTGGCTGGAACGACTCCATCCTGTCTAATTCGCCCACCTTTCCGACTGAGACCCGAACCTACCGTTATCTCACCAGCTCCTGCGCCTCAACATACATTGTTGCTGACAGAGGCAGAGACCTGCCCGACCGGCGGACGCCAGGCCAAGATACGGGCGACCGAGCCCGAGACACACGGCGCCCATGCGGCACTAACCCGTAGTAAATGAGTTGGGATACTCGCATATGCAGGTATCTTCCAGCTACCCCGACCCCGGCCAACCATATCGCTAACCTTCTTTTCTGATTTGCTTGTTCTTCCGCGTCTTTGTCTTGGACCCCTGAGCGATTCCTGCTTGCTTCTTCCCCGCTCGGACACCTATGTCCCTCTTTTTTTCTTTTACGAGCTGCAACTAACAAGGTAGTCCCCCGTCGCTTAGAATAAGTAAATTGATCGGCAACACCAGCTTCAGCTCAACGTCCATCCAGTGGAGATGACGGCATGAAATGGGGTTAGCCAGCCCTGTATGTGAGCGAACTTGGGGGAACAGCGAACAGTCCACCCCTCCATCAAATTCACATGATGTAGCTGACTGGATGCCTTCCCCCACCCTGTTTCTCGTACCGGCTCTGGGCCCTGGAGTAGTATGATCTTTCTCGCCCGCCACAGACACGAAAAGAGGTTGGCGGCGGCGTTTCTTGGCGCGCTTGCGGAGAGACATGGCAAGCGGGTGATTTCCACCGGCTGAGCGTTGGAAAGACAAGAGAGCCGAGGGGTTTCGAAAGCAAGATTCGTATGTCAGGTCCAAGCAGTATGACGCCAGGTCAGCTGGCGGTGACCTCGTCTCGTTTCGTCGAGAGCGAGTCCACGAAATTGTATAAAGCAGGGCTGTTCGCACGACGTTCTACATGCTTTTATCTTCTCATCATCCTCATCAACAAGCACTCACTCATTGCCTCTTCGCGCCTTAGGCTGCTCATTTCTTGCTCCTCCAGCTCGATCTGTATATTCTGATATATCCTTATCACCGATACATACAACCCCAAGCAACCAACATATCCTCCTTCCGTGATAGCTCCATATAGCCATCATGCTCTTCGGATCTTATCTTCTGGGCTTCGCCCTGGCAGCTGTGGCTGCCGCCTCTCCCGTCTCCAAGCCTGAGCTGGATAAGCGCCAAGTCCCCGTTGGAACTATCATCTATGGCTGCACTGTCCCCAACACCATCGCCCTGACTTTTGACGACGGTCCCTTCGCCTACACTGATCAAGTTATCAGTGCTCTGGGTGCCGCTGGTATGCGGGCCACCTTCTTCCTCAACGGACAGAATTGGGCTTCCATCTGGGATTACCAGAGCACTGTCCAGCGCATGATTAACGAGGGCCACCAAGTCGGCTCACACACGTAAGTTGTACATTCATTTCTCATTTGTGCATGCTCTAGGCATTTTCTTACATGCATGTCATCACACAGCTGGTCCCACCCTAACCTCGCAACTCTTGGCCCTGGGGATGTCACCTACCAGATGAACGAGCTGGACAACGCCCTCTACAGCATCATCGGAAAGGCGCCCACATACATGCGCCCACCATACTTCAGCGTCAGCGCCGAGAATCTCCAGACTCTTGGAGGCCTTGGCTTCAAGGTCATCCACTCTGACGTTGACACCCTTGACTGGGCTAACACCGGCAGCCCGCAAGTCGCCATTGACAACTTCAACAACGGTGTCAACAACGGCGGCAGACTTGTCCTTGCCCACGATGTGCACGCCTCAACGGCGAATACTGTCGTTCCGGCCATGATCTCCTCTATCCAGTCCCGAGGACTCCAAGGTTAGTGGCTTTCATGTTCTACCCTTCCAAACTGTTCTCGTGCCCTCTTTATAATCTTTCAAATGCTGACTGGGTGCTTCAATAACAGCCGTTACTGTGGGCGAGTGCCTCGGCGACTCCCCAGCTAACTGGTACAAATAAGGAGTGAATCTCATTGCGGGTTCTTCCAACTCGCCTATAGAGAGGACGCGTCTCATGGATGAGGCCTCAGACATGGGACTGGAGGACGCTTTTTAATGATGGATTGTGCTTGGAATGATGACCTTGGAATTTTTTGACAATTGCAACATGATTAACTTCGATTCGTGTTTATAGAAGATAAATTTTGTGAATTTCATTTCGTTCAATCAGACTTTAATAAACAGTACAACTATCTGCCAGGTGACGCATGAACAAGTCTGTTTGGATAAACATATTATCTGTAAAGCGAGACATCACATGGGATGATGCCGCCAAATCTGTTTGAGATATTCTTTATTCTGTGACAAAATTCGGCTTTTCAAGCTTTTATTATCTCTAACGTTGATGAGATTTTAAGGTATACTCAAAGGTCACTACCAATCATCTGATATCCATCTAAGTAATACAGTAGCAGCACAAGTTCTAAACTATACTGCTTTCATCTACTTCTCATAATAGCATACCATGGGGAATCCTGTGTTGAGAGACAGGGAGTGAAATATGAATTTGAACGGATTTATTTGGAGGTTGGGCTATATTCTGTACGGGAGACAATTAACGGGCTCTGTTTACGCATCATCTGATTTCATTATGGTATCTATTGCTGGGTACAATAGCCCGCGTTTGGAGATTTGAAATGATTTAAGAATGAGAGTGAGAATGTGGCGTAAGAGCCGGCCTGATATATTGTGATGGCAAAGATATATCCTCCTCCGCAAGCTTGAAAAGTCTTATGAGAAAGAAGGACCATCTTATAAACGGATAGCCTGCAAATTATAGATATGTAGCCCAATTCCCTTGTGTTGTTGGATGCCACAAGAGCCAAGAAGTCGGAAAGCAGCGAGTGATATCCCGTGACGCGTAAAATCCAACGTTGAAAACCCATAAAACTACTAACATGATTCTCTAGAGCGTGGTTTTACTCTACAGACTTATATCCAATGTTGTATCTACTCATTTCCTGCCATGTCGATGATGGGTTTGTGGATCGACCGTGGATCTTCGGCACGGCGCCGTTAGCCGAGTCCGCCTATGAAACTACAGCAATCCACCATGTGCTTTGATTGTGTACGACGCTTCCCTCATGACAGGCATGAGTGCCGGCCCTGAGCGCCATGAGGCCCCGGTTATTGCCCCAGGAAGCCCCGGTAGACACGGCACATAGGCCGAATCGAAGGAACTTTTCGGTGAACTCGAGTCCTGATAAGGAAGAAAATTTCATATGAACGCGGAGCGAGAGTAGGAAGTGGGCCCTGGTATATCTGCAACGCCGTCTAGAAGGGTTTGATATGGCCCACCGTATACGGATACCGGCACTGGCCAGTATGAGATGTCAGACCAGGACAAAGCATGACATCCACTGCGGTGGGAACTCATATATTGTACCGAGAGATCAAGCTGCCACGTGGGTTTATGTACGAAAAATGTTTCCCTGGTATGGTTGTCTTGTTTAATGCATAAATAATTGTTATCACCCTGGCGGTGCCGAAGTTTGTTTCTATTAAGCATCGATTGTCGAGAATCTGACTATTCATTGTGTTGAGTTGTCGGGCCCTGGCAGCTTCATTGTTGTTAAACTCTATTCTCTTTCTCTTCCGTCGAGAATCTGACAAGCCCCGATATCGAGGACTAAATCTTTTTTCTCGATATAGGATAATCTCTAACAAAACCATGGCCGAAAAAATTACCAACAAGGTCAACACCTCAGGCGTGTCTGTGGAAAACTCATCATCGGAACACAATGATACCGAGGATGGCTCGAGGAAAGTTCCGGACACCCGCCAGCGCATCTCAGATATCTTCACAATTATCTGCGCTGGAGCAGCTCTGATCTCGGATGGTTACCAAAACAACCTCATGACCATGTCAAACGTCCTCTTCAAGCAGGAATACCCAGCCGAGTACACCTCCACTGTCAGCACTCGGGTATCCAATGCTCTGCTTGTAGGAGAAGTCCTGGGCCAGGTCGCGATCGGTCTAACATGCGACTACATGGGCCGCAAAACAGCAATTGTTCTGACTACCCTCTGTATTGTCATTGGTGGTATTCTTGCCACTGCCTCTCACGGGGTTACTATCGATGGCATGTTCTGGATGCTCACAGTCTCCCGCGGTATCGTTGGATTTGGTGCTGGTGGCGAGTATCCCGCCAGCAGTACCTCCGCCTCTGAGTCCGCCAACGAATATGTCCCCAAGAGCCGCGGTCCCATCTTCATTCTGGTAACCAACCTACCCCTGTCTTTCGGAGGTCCCCTCGCGGTGTCCGTCTTCATGATCGTTCTTTCTGCTGCCGGGACGGACCATCTATCAACAGTATGGCGAGTCTGTTTCGGTATCGGCATCATCCTGCCCCTGAGCGTCTTCTATTTCCGACTCAAAATGATCAACTCGAAGCTGTACCGTGCTGGTGCTATCAAGCGAAGAGTGCCCTATCTCCTCGTTCTACGCTACTACTGGAAGACTCTCATCGGCACCTGTGGCGCCTGGTTCCTCTATGACTTTGTCACTTTCCCCAACGGCGTCTTCTCCGGCACCATTCTCGCCTCCGTCGTTCCATCAGGAGGGAACAGCCTTCTCCACACGGCAGAGTGGCAATTGCTTCTTGGTGCGATCGCTCTCCCTGGTGTGTTCCTTGGCGCTTTCTTATGCGACCGTGTCGGGCGCAAGACCACCATGATGATCGGCTTCACAGGCTATCTAGTCTTCGGACTGATTATTGGTTGCGCCTACGACCAGATCACCAAAATTACTGCCCTGTTTGTCGTCTTTTATGGTCTCATGCAGAGCTCTGGAAACATGGGTCCCGGTGATATGCTTGGTCTCCTCTCTTCCGAGAGCTATGCCACCAGCGTTCGCGGAACCTGCTATGGAATCAGTGCGGCCCTGGGTAAGGTCGGTGCGGCTGTCGGTACCCAAGCCTTCACGCCAATCCAGACAAACCTCGGAAAGAAGTGGACTTTTATCATCGCTGCCATCTGCGGTGTGGTTGGTGTGATTGTCACTTATTTCTTTGTGCCTGATGTTAAGGGGGATGATTTGGCGGAGAGCGATGAGAAATTCCGGCAGTATCTGATCGAAAATGGATGGGACGGCGAGATGGGAGAGGGCAACCTGAAGCACGAGGTGGATGATGTACCAGTTCCCGCTTACAGCGTGAAAGAGAAGGTTGAGTCTTAGTAGCGGATTGAATGGGATGAAATGGGCGTCTGATTGTGTAGTGCCTTAGTATTGATTATGCTGAGGAAAGTACAGCGTTGAAATAGTTACTTAGTTGCGATTAATGAGCTCATATAATACATGATTCCCTTCATTAACTACCTCTGGCTGAAGGTCTCCCCACCCACTTAAAGTACACCCAAGCTAGAATCAACATCCACTAAAAGAAGACGAGAAAACAAATTCTAGAATACGTTGAAACCTCTGTTTATACTCTGATACGACTCACAAACAGCCGTCGGTAAATTCGAACAGAGCCTCAGCGGGGTTTCGAGCGCGAGGGCGTCTATTGGTGGAATAATTGCTCCTCACCTTTCTATATAGCCCATGACGTACCACCTCTTTAACGACATGCAGCTTCATCGTTGATTCTTATTCTGCTAGCTACAGGAGCAGTTAGTCTACTCACATCTGCAGATGCCTGATAGCGATGGCTGACTCCGCCGAAGCCATTTTCACCAACCCGGTGATCCAAGGGTTCAACCCGGATCCGACCGTCTGCGTTGTCCCCGCCACACAAACGAAGCCTGCGCAGTACTTTCTGTCAACATCTACGTTCGAATATTTCCCTGGAGCGGCCATCTATCATTCCGAGGATTTGATCAATTGGGATTTGATCGGTCATGCACTCAATCGCCGGAGCCAGATAGATATGCGCACGGTCGAGCCTGGGGCTGGGTCATGGGCAAGCACCCTGCGATATCGAGCCAGCGAGAAGAGATGGTATCTTACGAACGGCGTGTTCCAAAGGTATCGCCCGGTGGTGGATGAGAGGATATTCCCGCGAGGGTTCTACATCTACACTGACAACATCTGGGACGACTCCGCCTGGTCAGAGCCTGTCTACTTTGATAATCCCGGATTCGACCAAGACTTATTCTGGGACGATGACGGCAAGGTCTATCTTTCGACCACTGTTCGGATGAAGGAGAGAACCCCTGGGCTGAAGCTGAAAGACTTTGCTATCCACATCTCCGAGATTGATCTTCCTAGTGGTCGAACGCTTACGCCCCCCGAGTTGATCCGATCGACGCCTTTGGGTGTCTCGGAAGGCTCTCATATAATTAAGAAGGGAAAATACTACTACTTGTTCACTGCGGAAGGCGGAACAGAAGCAGGACACCAGGAGTGGGCTTTTCGCGGTACTGAGGGGCCATATGGACCCTGGGAGGGACAGGGGAAGGCCCTATGGTACAATGGCCCAGACGAGGAGGTGCAGCGAACTGGCCATTGCGATATTTTCGAGGATGGGGATGGAGACTGGTGGGCGGTAATGCTGGGAGTGCGGCCCGTCAAGAATCAAGACAACAAGTGGCTGGAGCCACCTATGGGTCGTGAGACTTTCTTGGTGAAGGTGGACTGGAAGGATGATTGGCCAGTTTTCAATGACGGCCAGAATGTCACACTTCGGACATCTGGACGTAAACCAATCGAGCAGTTATCCAGCGTCGAATTTGGTGGTGGGGTGAAATGGAAGGCAAATCTCGATAAGTCAGAACTTGAGCTTGGATGGTATCACAAAAGTAAGAACGGCATCACCCTAAAGCGAATGTTTAAAAGGTTGGTACTAACTGTGTGAATCTAGATACTCCGATCAAAACCTGCTATACATTAACCGAAGAGCCGGGTGTCCTCAGGATATACGGCAACTGCTACAGCCTTACTTCTCCTGAGTCACCCGCCCTGCTACTTCGAAAACAATCTTCCTACAACGAGAAATTTATCACTTTAATGAATTTCCGTCCCACTAGGGTGGGCTATGAATCCGGGGTTGTGCTTTGGTGGAATCAATACTCCTTTGCATCAATTGGTGTCACTGCAATCAAGGATTCAGACAGCGTCGGCTATAAGCAAACCGTTGTCCTTCGTAAGCCGACAGGAACCAATGGAGAGTTTAAGGTAAGATCTACATTGATCATTGGACACTCGCGGAGCTTCCCAATACTAAATCTGTGATGAACAGGTTACCTACCCATTCTTGGATGCTGGGAAGGACTTTGACTCTTCTTTACCAGTAAAGCTATCGATCCAATCGAAGCCAACAGACTACACATTGAGCCTGCAGTCAGCGAACTCCGTAATAAACACCACAGTTGCATCAGAGACGTTGACTATTTTCCCTCCTGTTGGAGGCGCATTCTGTGGAGCCATGTACGGGATATATTCTTTTGGCTCTAGCGAACCAGTTCTGGACCCTTCAGACTTTCGGGCAATACTAATTACGGATGAGTCCTGAGACGAAGTGGTGCACATGGATGAATCTGGTATGGTACCTTTCAAGACACACGGTAGTTGCTAGTATCGCAGGTTGATTGATCACACAATAAGATAAGTCATGAGACGAGCGCGTACAATGAGCCTTTACAACACTCAATTCGACGAAGGGTTTAAGAGGATGGATGTGAGACATTATGCTGATTGTTCAAGAACTGGCTGTTTTTTGTAGAGCAATGAATTCAAAGCTTGATTGATCCCACGCTCCTGCAACGTAGCTAGTTCATATGTGTAATTTCGTGGTTGAAGTTATATTATAATCGCGTAGCTAATATCTGTGATCTGGGCGGCGTTCTCTGTCTACTCTCATTCAGCTTGGTAAGTAAGCACATCGAGATTATTGATGTGAAGAACTAATTCGGAACCTAATTTTCCATGAAAGTAATTTTCAACAGTGGGCGATATATCTCCAATCCCTGTAGTATATAATATTGTGTTCGAAACGGTGATAGGCATTGTTTTCTCCACGAGCTCATGGCCAATTGGATATTAGCCGGAAAGCGTGGAAATATCGCGTGGAATGCCCAGCGTAAGAAATCTTCCCAGATTACTTCTTTTTTCCACCAATAAACTGATCGTTGGACTGGGCTCGTTACATCCCTGTCAACAAACCACCAAACTAGCGCTGCAATCGCACGTATTAACACGCAGTGCAACCGGGGAAACGTGGCTTGGAAGACCCTTTATCGGTTCCTCCCCTGATCTCCATGGGGCATTGGTTTAGCCTGAAGGTCAAATCGGATGAGATTAGGTTGGCTTACGCCTCCTGCGGGGGGTTTGTGGAGGCTGGGGATTTCTCCAAGTTCGGAGAAGACTATAATTACTGGAGGGTACGTTGCTCCTTGAGGTTTCATTATCTGCCAACACAGGGTTGAAAGTATCCTTTGCAAAATGCGGTTCTCTAGTCTTCTCGGTCTTTGGGCATCCTCCGCCGTTGCATTGGAACGGACGGTCCCTCCCCGCCCAACCATCACTCCCGGCCCTCTACAGCCTTACAAGGCTTTCCCCGTATCTCCACCGCGGACAAAGACGTGTTTTGTGAAGCCTAGCTGCACGAAGGGAAAGGATGATTCGGCCAAGATCCTCGCTGCCTTTGAGGAGTGCAATGACGGCGGTACAGTAGTGTTTGATGAAGAGTACACGATCTGTTCGCCGCTGGACCTCCGTTTCTTGAAGCATGTGGATATCGCCATAACGGGAACCATCAAGTTCTGTGACGATATCGACTATTGGCTTCCGCGGACATTCAAGTTTCAGTTCCAGGGATCCTCCACCTGGTGGGTTATTGGCGGCGAGGACATCAACATTTATGGCTCCGGCGTCGGGACGCTTGATGGCAATGGCCAGGCGTGGTACGATCGGTTTGCTACCAATAAGACACTCCAGCGCCCCCTGCTGCTGGTGACGGATGGGCTGCATGGTGGAAGCATTACAGGTCTCAATATGAAGAACTCGCCAAATGTAAGTCCGGATCATCAACGCTACAAGATGACTTGACAAGAGAAGAGATGCTGACCGTGACTTCTAGTGGCACAATCTCATTGCGAATAGTTCCGATATTCTGATATCTAACATTGAGGTACATGCTGGGTCAACAAGCGCAAATCCGGCCAAGAATCTTGATGGCTGGGATACTTACCGCTCTGATAACATCGTTATTCAAAATTCTTACCTCGACCATGATGATGACTGCGTGTCGTTTAAGCCCAACAGCACAAACATTATTGTCCAGGGTGAGCTAGTCTCCCGGAAAAGTATGCCATAGAAAGCTGAAGACTAATAATGCAATGCAGGTTTGGTGTGCAACAGCTCGCACGGCATCTCCGTCGGCTCTCTGGGCCAGTACCCCGAGTATTTCGACATCGTTGAGAATCTATACATCTACAATGTCACTCTGAGCAATGCCACCGATGGTGCCAGACTCAAGGTCTGGCCCGGGTCGGAGACTGATTTCCAGCCAGGTCTTGGAGGTGGCGGCGGCTCAGGATACGTCCGCAATGTCACATATGATACTTTCGGGAACATCAACAACGATGGCGCCATCAAGATCGATCAATGTTATGGAGAGAAGAACGCCACTCGCTGCGAGGAGTTCCCGTCAAAGATGAACATTACCGATGTGTTGTTCAAGAACTTCTATGGGACGACGTCGAAGTCGAATGATCCCATTGTTGGGTCTCTTATTTGCTCTACCGAAACTGTAAGTGAATTCCGTCTGAAACCCCCCCCACCCGTTCGATGACTTTTGGATACTGATATTGGTTAGTCGTGTGACAACATTCGGGCAGAAAACATCTCTATCACTCCACCGAGCGGGAAGCCAGCTCAGTGGCTATGCAGGCATATGGACGAGAGTCTACTCGACCTTCCTGGCGTGGGTTGTATCGCAGGCTGAGTTCCGAAGTAATGCCAGTGTCTTGCATGATAATAGTACATAAATGAGTTCTATATTTTGTAATTTACAAACGTAAAGCACCGATTTTGAGCCTATGGAAAGCTTGCCAAATTTTTTCGCCTTGTGTAGTGCCCTGCGCCCATGGTCTATATATATCGACCAGCGAATCTAGCCACTCCCGTGATGATGACTACTTTGCTTGTCACCACCCCATTCTTGTAATCTATGCAATGCGACAAGCGTCACAGCCAGACAGGACCGACTTAAAGGTTTAAATTGAAGAACGTTCTAGAACCGAAGCGAAAATGTCATTAGGGCCCTGTCCCTGGTAGCCTGCACCCGGGGCCGCCGTTTACTTGGGGTGCTGGCCATTGGACTGCGGCAGGTTCGTGAGGGGCAGATCGGATGTCTTCTCCTTTGGCTTGCTGGTCTTGGCCACGGAGTAGAGAACGCCGCTCACGAAGCCCATGAGGATGGCGACGACACCGCCAAATGTCACCGGCTCCTTGAAGAAGACGAGGCCGGCGATGGCCATGGGGAGCTTGTTGAGCGCGCCGGACATGGCATAGGTGGTGGAGGATGTCGCCCGGATGCACCAGGCTGTGCAGTAGGAGATGAGGAGGGCGCCAAGGCCGGAGTAGATCATGCCAATGATCAAACTCTGGCGAGCTGCGGGGGGGAAGTTGCGCTCCAGGTTGGCGGAGGACCAGTCCTCCAAGAAAAGGGAGCCGCCCAGCAAGAGAGGGATGGTGAGAACATTGTTGTAGTAGATGACTAGACGGACGGAACAATGTTAGAGCTGGCAGATGAGGAAAATGGCAAGGACATAGTAAACGTACCGTCCCAGTTCTTGAGGTTGATTTTCTTCATGCCTCCACGCATGCCAAGGGCGTAAGTGGAGGCAGCCAAGACATTGATCAGCATCCAGAAGTATCCGGCATTCAAGGTAGACAGACGGGAGTTGGCGGCAGAGCTCTTGGCGTCACTGAAGTCGGACCAAGCGGCGAGGACAGAGCTGAGGACCATGAGGATAAAGGAAACCAGGCTGAGGGGGCTGACGCTGCCGTTGAACCAAATGACCTCCCCGTAGGCAATGACGACAACGGCGAGGTTCTTGAAGATGGTGTAGACGGGCACAGAGAGAAATTGAAGAGCCTTGTTTCCCGTGAAGATCATGGTGACCAGCATCAACGCGATGGGAAACCCTGGGTAGGGAGGATCAGTCAGATAATGCTAGAGGGAACTGCTAAGACAGATTGTAGCTTACATTTCTTGGCTTTAGAGGGGTTGTAGAGGTCAACACCGCTGATGATGCCCAGCTGCTGCATCAACACAACAGCGACAGTGACGATGATGTGCTACGGGTCAAAGCTATTAGCGGAATGGGCCAGGCTGGAGGAGGCCATCTAGACTACTCACCTGAATGGCTAGGTAGAGCAGGTGGAGATTCCAGGAGTTGCCAGACACAACAAACTTGTTGACTAGCGTCATGCTGGTCGAGGCGAAGCAGTAGGCGAGGACGGCAACCGTGCCGTTCTCCTCGATGGACGCCCACGAGGCCTTGAGCGAGGCGCCGGCCTGGTGCTGCTGCTTCGGGGCGAATCTACCCGCATCCCCATTCCCATTCAAGGGGGACCCGCCTCTGGGCGATCGCAGGGGAAGGTCGTCATTCTTCTTGTCGCTCATGGCTGGATGCGTGGGATGGGGGCTGAGCACAATTGACGAGCACAGAGAGAAGGGAGTGTGTGTGTTGCTCACCTCTGTTTATTTTTTTATCGCTCGAAATTAAGACAAATTACCCCTGATTGATGACTGTCGCTGTTTTACAATCCAGCGAGAGACTCGATTGGCCTGATACGAGCACGCTATTGCGGCGCACAGACCACTCACGGCTTGTGCTGAATCCACTCGAGGATTGATTTTCATTTCAATTCTTAATTTAGCCCTCCCTGCAGCATAAAATAGGACAGAGTGTGAGGAGTATTGCCGTGTCATTCCCAGGATATCTTTGTATGACAGGTAGATGACAACGAGAGCTGCGATTGGATGCGACGCAAACTCGACTCGCTGATACCTCGCTGTAGGTAATCACTGAGCCACTGCCGGCAGGCGCTAAAGCTGGGCGCTGGCTTCTGAAATCTCAGCCAAGAAACCCCACATTTTGCTCTGCAGGCGATCGGAGTCCGCTGTAAGTTATCGATAAGAACAGCAGCGTAATCTCCTGTCACAGCGGATGAAATAACACGGTCCTGGATTCAATTGACAATGGCAAGTGGATAAGAAACGATTGTTTGATGATTGGTTTGCTAAATTTTTAATTACCAGGTTCACTATTGCCGCGTTTCTGCTGGAGTTTTATGTCGATAGTCTTCCTGTGCCAGTGCATCTCATCATGTTCTCGATTGCCTCTCCTAGAACGCGCCCGTGATGAGACCACCAAAGAAGTTGCGGACTTCCTGAACCCACGCATCAGGCTCACTGACCGCAGGGAAATGGCCACCAGCATCATGCCTCGACATATACACGACATTGACCCAACGCTCCGCCCAGTCGCGTGGCTACTTCCAAGGTCAGTACATTGACTGTGTCTCGTCGAAAGGGGGGAAATGCATACCAAAAAGTTGGTGTTCTCGATGCCAGTTGTACTAGGGCCTCCCCACTGCGTGAGTGCAGTTGGGACCGTAGTTACGGGAAAGGCCTGGGCCTTGGGCTGAGACTGCAGTCAGTTTATGCTTCACCAAGAGACATGATTGCATTCAATTTCCACTCACGTCGAAGCACTCCTTGTATGATCTCAGGCCACCCCATACACCCTGTATCCACAACATCAGAGCATCCGTGATGACTTCCGTTGAGCTATACACGTATGCTCCGCTAATAGGATGCATCAGCTGCAGAATCCACCCGGCAAAGCCAACCGGCGTGTCCGACATGGCTTGTCCAATGGCCAGAGGCGCCTGGGAGTGGACGGTCGAGTAGCTCGAGCGGGTGCCGAACCATGTCGTAATGGAGCTGATGAAGGCCGATTCTTCCGCCGTCGTCTGGTTCTGCGCGTACCGCTCCAGGTCTGTCGAGTTAGGCTGCATCAGGAAGAAGTCGGTGAAGTGGCCGATGAGGCTTTCGGACACATCGTGGGCCATCCACATGCCCACCATCCAGCCTAAATCCGTGCTCGCGACGCCATACTTCTCGTAGCCCAGCGTCTTCATCAACTTGTCAAAGGCTATTCCCATCCGGCTGGGACTGAGGCCCGCGTATTCCGGGGCAGGACTGAACCCATAGCCAGGCAGATCTGGTGCAACAACATGGAAGGTGACGTTGGAAGACCCATTCCCTGATGACAGAGGCTTGATCACCTTGGACCACTCAAGGTGCGAAGAAGGCCAGCCGTGCAGGAGGAGCAGCGGGATGGCATCTGGATCATCCGACCGCTCATGGACGAAGTGAAGTGGAACCGGGTGATTCCAATCTTCAGGCCCATCAACAGTTACAGCGTAGTGAGAGAAGTTGGAGTTGATCTCATCCTGCACTTCGAACCAGTCATAACTGTTCGCCCAGTCTTTGGCCAAGGTGACCATTGTCTCATGCGGCGGGCCCTCAATCCACTCAGCATTGCTGTCGTCTTTGAGGTCCGGTGAAGGACGATAGAGTTTTGCCTTGAGCTGAGTTTCCTCAATGAACTGCTTGTCGACTGAGATGGTGTATGGGACAGGGGTTGATGCGTTATAAGGGAAGTCAAAGTTCAACGAGCGTGCTTCCCCCAGCAGAGGCATCAAAACCCCCGTGAAAAGGGCGTTCTGCAATCGCATGGTGTCAATTGGTTTTGCGAGAGATTGAAAGAGACAGTGATGATGCGCTTGTAGTTCCACAGCTTAAGCGAGGCAATGGTTGGTTTATATACGCCGCTGCCATGGTATATGAATCCTCCCTGTCTCCGTATCTCATTTGTCATGCGGCAGACTATAGAGTTTAGGCACTGATCCATGTCCCAGGTAGTTCACGTCTCACTGTTTCTAAATCGACCGATACACAAAATGTATAGTGAAAAGAGACGATCTTTGTCGTGTTCTCCCTTGTTGGATCCACGCAAGCTGACATCTCTCGCCCAATTGAGACCGGCCGCTTACAAACGCGCTGCACGGATGTCGGGGGAAGAGCCCTCGGATTTCCGACTAATCCAATAAGAGTGCTTTGCAGGTATTCCTGTCGCAAATTCTTGCCATGTGGAATTTGTAATTAAACCGACCTTCAGACTCCGCGGAACTGGCGTCGCTGGGTCATCCCGGCGGCATCCAGAGTATCTCAGATCTCCACCGCTTGGCACTTGATAAATAATTGATGCAGACTCGGGCCTACCTGCCCAAAAGGCTTTCCAGATAATCGACTAGAGGGAGGGCGTATGGTCATAAGCAACAGAGCGTAGGCTCATAAAGAACAATAACCAGAGTGGAGTTTCCTCCATTGTCAAAATGGGTAAACTATCGTTGCCCCATGCATTCGTCGCAGCGAGAAGACTTTGAGATAATGCCTTTTCCCTCTCTCTCCCTGTCTCTCTCTGTGTGGCTTATTTTCCTTGGGTTATTTTCCTTATATTTATCCTTATTACGACTCAGAGAGCCGGGTGTTGCCCGTCGGGGCGAATATCAAATCTGCGCGAAGTTAAGAACGCCCTCGCTTCATAGCAGATCTCGTCTGCGGACAGGTCGTCCCCGATGCCGACGTGTCTATTCAGACACGGGATAAAGCACGAGCGCCGCTGTCCCAGGAGGACAGTGCCCACCAACTCGCGAACCCTGTAGTTGCCCGTATGGAATGCCATTATCTTGTCGTGAGAGCAGACCCGGGTAGCGCCCGCTCCCTGTATCCTCAGGGCGTCCTTGGTGTGGGCAATTGACTCCTCATCGGTCGCTGTCTCGAAGTCGACCGCTGGCACAGGCTGGTGCCCAGGCTTCTAGACCTGGGCATCAGTCTGCGCGAAGATCCATCGCACAGTATTAGGACTGCAGCATCGGTTGAGTGGTCAGAGGGACCAGCGGCAGATCGCCGGAACTACATGTAGACAGGTCACGAGTTAGCGAGTGTATTGGTGAATGGAGAAAGAGTCTGGCTTTAGATTGATTCGGTCAAGATTGATGGAAACCCATAATGATGAAGTCTCTAGGCAAAAAGGGAATCCTTGCTCAGGATTTCTTAGGTTAACCTCATATACTACTACAAATTCTTTTTTATTTTAAGCTTATTACGGTTGGTTTAAGAAATATTGGGATTTGCGCTTTGAATACATCAGTGTCGGCTAAACACACATTTTGTTTGCTTCCAGCACGTTCTGGGGGACCAGAAAGTGGCTACTGCACGTGACACGCAACAGATAGCACACTCAGAGAGATAAGGCAGAAAACGCGTAATTGGATTGAGTTGATCAACGAGATGATGATGATGATGAAGGAAGAAGAAATCTCTCCTCTTCCAAAGCTAGCTATCTCTATTTATTCTAGTAACTGCAAGCTGATTCCTGCTTGCATCTATCAATCTTCCTTCCTTCAACTCTCTTCTCGGCTAATCTCACCCAATTGGGCTCCCCGCTAGCTGGAACTGCAGCACGAACGGCTGAAGCTGGGCAAAGTTTGAGTTGTCGAAATTGTTCCACTCGAGAATTTGGGGATCTGACGCACAATTCTTCAGAACGTGTGCTTTCGAGAATAAATATGTCTTTATTATTGATGTTGAGGTTGGAGCACTCGAAAAAGGTAAGGTGCCAGGTCGTTTTGCGACCTTGCGCATGTGGTCTTTCTTTTTGCACGGGGTGCACTCGCTATATATCACTTTTGCAGATCCACGTTGGTTGCAGACGCGGGAGGTGTATCCAATTCGCCCGCATCTCTGACATGATGATCGCTGAGTGGAAGTGCAGTTAAATAAGCGATGGCTTACGAAGAGTAGTGAAACGAATGAGCTCAATTGGCATTCCTGTTAGCCTACGATCCTAAAGATACCTAGTGAGACGAAGGGCGACTTCCGTAACTGGAAGCTATAGTTAAATTACTAATCAAGGTTATGAAAACCTGAATCTCTCCAGTTTCTACCCTACCTAATCCGTGTTGTGAGGGCATGCCGCACCTTCCGTCGTTGACGTTAGTTACCTAGACAAGAGGCCTCCCTGATCACGGGCCCCTCACAGAATTATCATAGCTTCGTCATCACTTCGCAAGTCATCAGTTATTTGATCAATTCCATCACTTTTCCCTGGGGTAGAATGGCAGCTGACGGCCCGGAGAGAACGATATGGCCATAGAAAGAGATAGAAAGAGCCTTGGGATCAAATCAGCTACCGCGGGAAAGGATACCATTCATACTTTCTATCAGTTTCAATCACTCCGCTTTGTTTTTTGACAGCATAGAAGTATCATCATCATCATGGTTGGTTTGGATTCTTCACGCAGCTTGCCTTCGGTATCGATGGCAGATGTCGATGATATCGCTACTACGTCAGGCCAGGGCTAGGGTTCAGATATAACGACGGCTAGCGAACCTCCAGGCGGACGACAGAATCATCTGGATCACCGGGCGATATGGCGCTACCTTTCTGCAGAAGGGGGGGAGGGGGAAGGGAAGGGAAGGGGCCTCGTCATGGTCATCCTCATCCTCGTCCTCGCCCTCTTCTTCATCTTATTAAGACCCCTCTGCACTCATACTTTGATTCCAAGTTAGAGTGGGTTTGGTAATCGAGGAGCTATGAAGGGCCATGATCGCCCACTTGATTTGACTTCCTCCTGAGCGTCCTTCTTCCTGGAGAGTTCCATATCGAGACTGTTCTTCCTGCAGGTCGACACATCCACAATCATAGCTGGGATGAAAGCAATCCCCGCAGCAATGATAACTCCATAACCAAATTGAGCGAACCAATTTTCGGCCATTGTGATGCTTTGGAATTTGGAAATCTGAAATCGAGAAAGTGAAAACAAGTCTGCTGCTTGCTATAGTCACAGAAGGAAAGAAGAAACGACCAGAAGAAACGACAGCACTAGGGGGGGAGCTGCTGTCACCATAACTACCACAAGAATTCTATTAGTTCTATTAGAAACACTGGCACGGGCGTAGAGAGGAAGGGGCCGCCCTTCCAGCTGTCCACACCATCGACAACTCCTACACCCTTCCAACTGTCCACACTGTTGACGACTCCTGCTCCCTTCCAGAGCCGTCTACAACGCCGATAGCCCCTGTAATTATGCAGTCGTTCACACCGTCAGCAGCTCCCGCACCCATCCAGTTGTCCACGCTGTAGATGGCCCCTAGGAACGTGGACATGCCAAATGTGCCGGCTCTAGGACTTACGATAAGATCCCCCAGGAGCTGCCTGTGAGGTAGGCGATATTATCATGCGTCGACCCTGGGAGCAATAACTGCTGGGCTAATTCTCAAAGACGGCATTTCTGCCGTGGTCTTGTCTTGGTCTTGGTCTTGCTGCTACCGACAGTGACAATGGCGAGAACTTGGGCCGTTAACAACAGGCTCACGATGGCCACAGCAGCTCGGCTCTTTCTGAACTTGTCCATGTTTACTTCTAGCACTACTTCAAAGGCAAGTGATCAATTCATGTGCAATAATACCACAATAAATCTACCATAACAACCATACCATAATAGCCACATGCATACCAATATCTATACTTCACAACCCATACATAATATCTACACCAGAAATGAAACTAGCTGAGCTTCTTCTTTATTATTTTTGTCTAGATTCCCTTTCTTACCAGCGATATAAAAGCTAACTTCTTCGCCTAGAAAACTCCTATCGGTCCACATTTCAGGTTCGCGTAATACTGAAGAACTGCCGCAGTAGGCTCACAGGCTGGTTACGACCAAGCTGCGTGCCTGCGGCAATCACGTGGGCCAATCCTTCCAATAAATTGACTGGAATACAATAGCCCTTATGGGTTGTTGTATGATCTGCAAGACGTCTATCTCCTTTGAAGAGGCCAAGGATAAGGACTTCAGAAAGGAGGCAAGGTGTATCAACACAACTGGGAGGACGTACTATCCTCCTTCCCGTGCCGAGGTTGCTACAAGCGGGATATATAATTTTAAAACTGGAATACATTGAGTTCAGGCTGTTTTTATTATCAGCTAGAGGCTACCGGGACCAAGTAATAAAACATAGAATCAGGACCATCAGTTACATGTATCAATGATTTAATAAGACAACGAATTTCAATGTTAAGTAAGAAGAACCGATGTTCGCCCAGTTCCTGAATTGGGAAGATCCGAGAAAGAGACACGTTGTATTGGACAAACAGTCATCCCGCGTGTCTCGTGCTAAAGGTATGAAGTTGTAGACGAAGAGAAAAGCCACGCACTTCCTGGTATCATACTCACACCGGCGCATAGAATTCAAGAAGCAGTGGTGAAACCACCCTGTCAGTGTCGGTACAGTCACAATAATAAGGTTAGGGTCATCTCAAGATGTGTTCGACAATGGGTTTTGGGGCTAGTCGCCGTGGCTGGGTACAGGCAATCCGGAGACTCCTCTCATTATAGAAATGCATTTGCGGGACCTGAGTAGACTTTTCTGGACCAGTCATACTTGATATAATAGTGACTTTATTCTCGTGGTATGCATCTAGAATGTTATCCCATTCCAGCACTTCGGTAGGGGTCCACAACCTCACCAGATATTGAGTCAGTGGAAGTTAATCCTAACACTGTATCTGCTGCATTGTATGGGCTGGCTGCTATAAAATTTACTACCGCCCAGGCGCTACTTCAAGCAGTCCGCCAGTCTTCGAGTGATGTCATCTTTGTTGAAGATGTATCTACAGAGGATTTTGCAAAATTTCGCTGAGAGAACTTCTCCCCAGCATATTACCTACTTATCGTTGTAATTCCTACCCGTCGTAATGAAAGAAGTTATAGAAAACTTGACTACCTTATCAAGAGCGAGATCATAGCCATTGGTCTAGAAGATGAGTAGGCCGATACGGCGCTGCAACTCCACGAGCAGAACATGGCGGGGGTGCTCTAGAAGGTGATTCAGGTGGAGGCCCAATTGGGTGCGATGACGATATATACCCTTGGCCAACTTTTGTTATCGAAATTAGATACTCGCAATCTATAAGTGCCTTCCGCATCTAGAATCATCTCGAACTGCCCATCAACAGCCAAATTGCGGCGGCCTTGAAGAATTCCTTTGTTTTCATCAGAATGAGGAGTTTAGTATCGACTATGGTCACATAATCGCGGGTGATGGGTTCCATTTTAGCGGCTGTATTTTCGAGTAGAAAATCAGCTTTTAGCCGTGAAGTTTTCCCAAGGTTGATACCTAGTTCATGGGGCATACATAGTTTTGTATCCTTCATCCTCGAATGCTCTAGATCAGGAACAATCGTCCAAGCCTTTAGCGAACCTGCGAACCCATTAATACGAGCTAGAAACCGACTTCAGGATTGATGGAGATGGCTCTGGGATATCTGGGATCATTGCTGATGCTCTGCATTTTTCAGCTTTTTTCCTGCTGGATGGCATAAAGAAGTTGCAGGCATATGCTAAGGCAACGCAAACATTGCACCTACTCTGGAGTCAGGGTCTGATTAAATGTAACTCAATCTCTGGGAGATTAGAGCACCGGACATCCGAATCTGTATCAAGACAGTTACAAGAATATCCGTACATTATTCAATAGCTTAATCTGACTAACAATGAATTATATTTTCGCCTATTAAGCCAAGATAGCACCAGACCCCTTTGTCTATATCCTCTCAGCCGACTCACCTTCTGAGCTTGAAGTCGATAAGCAAGCTCTAGTCCGGGCTTTGGGTGGCGTATGTGCTTTGAAGCATCAACAAACGTTCCCACGGTTCATGAGAGCTTGATCAGGTCTCCTCCCATAAGCCAAGCAGGGGATGATGAACCTAGCCAACGACGTTTCAAGAGGGTCACTGTTGAGTTACAAGCTAAACAGCGCCGAGGTAGAAATGGGAAGTGAAGACATATGGCCAGTGCGCTAGCTCGCATACATAGCACCATGACAATTATGACATTCTATGTAGGCAACCGGATGATGCATGCTCAATTCCAATGTCTAAATTTCGAATATGCGAAACTGTCAGACAGCTGATTATTTATCCTGTCTAGGATCCGGTGAAGAAACATCTCTCGGTAATCCCAGTTGCTGGCCGTGGCGAAGCATTTGAGATTTCTTCAAGTACCACATAAGCCTAAACATGCATATGCATCAAATGGGGTTCATATGCATTTATAGGGTTCCAGACTCATCATATGAAATAAACGCAAAGAAAATCACCTGCGAAACCCAAAGAACTTTTGTTTGACCCAAGTGTCAACCAAGCAACTCATCTTCCATTCTCTAGGCACCATAAAAAAACAATAACAATCACAATTATGGACACCCATCGCCGCGCAGTGCTTGGCACGCCCGAACTCCTGGAGTACATCCTTCTACAGATGGACATGAGGACTCTCCTGGCCGCCCAGCGTGTCTGCCGCGCGTGGAATAATATCATCACCAGAGGACCCTCGCTCAGACAGAAGCTGTTCTTTCAGCCAGCACCATACTCCAATGTCGCAGAAAAGAACCCTCTCCTTGCAGAGTTATTCCCTCAGTGGTTCGCGCATGGCGAGTGGGCAAATAGGCTGGAGATGTTCGCGGCCAAGGACCTGAGTACCCTGGCCTTTGTCCGCAAGGAGTTGAATTCTGCCTTCCAGTATGAAAAGGCGAGCTGGAAAAAAATGTTCTTAACTCAGCCGCCGATCGGGTCATTCGTCTGCTGCCAGATCTTGTACGTCATGGATGGGGAGGGCTGTGATTTATCAGTTATTTCGGAGCAAGGTGAAACACCATATGCACGTACTGGCGGGCAACTCGCCATTCCAGAGGCGAAGAGCACCAGAAATCCCCTAACTATGGAGACGTTTTACCGGCAAGTGACGAAAATATACGGGACAAGAAGCGGCGATGCATATGAATGGCTGTTTGTTTGGGGCGACGAGACAAGCCAGCAGACAATACCCGATCATCTTGGCCGTTATACTATCCAAGAAGAGAACAAGGAAGAACTGGAAAAACTACTACGAAGGGACGGCTTGGTTATGTTTGAGAAGGCGAACATGGCCTGCACCGATTGGAGCGGAGACTTTTTCCCCAGGGAATATCACATCGATGATGGGCTGGTAGACTTTTTACGGGAGTGGGATGAGTTGTGTGAAGATGAGTTGCGTAAGGATGGGTTGCGGAGGTCTACATCATGAAGCGTGTTTTGCCTATCATGTACATAAAAGTCACATATTGCTTAAAAGTCACCCAAGTCTTGCGAAACCCCAGCAAGCATCTTGAAGCAGCTTGGTTCTTATACTCTCTTACAAAGTGCAAATGCGCGTAGTGCCCGACACAAGGAATCACTAGAAACAACCTGACCTATTGGCCACCTCTATTGCCTGATGTGGAGATATTATCGACAATTTTTATTTTGTCACACGCCCAAACTCTCGAGAATTTTCACGTCAACCTCCGGGACGATTATTACAGAGACGATCTTGGGTTTCCATAGAGGTTGTAAAAATGAAATAAGTTGAGGGAGATGACTGCCCTTAAGAGGCTCACTATCAGCATGCAAACCCTCACCGAATGCTTTCTGGCAATCCACGGAGTGCGCAATCGATGCCTATACCTCTGAAAGTTTCGGGAGGGCCGTGGCTTGAGGAATGTCCCGAACAGCTGGAGCACCTTAGACAGATTCTGGATAAACCCAGTCATCTCCTTAAGTTCGTCGAGAGTGGTCGCTTTGGCGAGCTTGACTGCATCCATTTACTGTCAATAATGAGCACATCACTCCAGAAGGGATCAAACTGCGACCTGGTGTGCCACGGCCGAGACTGGTGATTGTTTTCCAGGATGCATGGCGTTCACTTTACCATGCCATCGGCTTTACATAGAAGCACCGAATGAAAAAGACTCTATGTTCCCGGATCTACGTGGAGTACTGGCGAGAAAATTAGTTGAACTAGCGAGGTGGAGCTGCGCTTAGCCTTGCGGACCGGCGGAAGGGTTTGGCAGTCATTTAATCAACAAGATGGATAAGAAGTATGAACTCTACTATCTAAGCATAGGCATGCATTGATTCATATCATGCATATAAGCTCCCAACTCTTCTGTGGTAGAATCTTCCACATGTCAAGACTAACCGCGGTGCTCCTATATGAAGTTCGCATCCACATCCCGTCTCTTTCGATAATAGGCCAACAAAAGAGTTTAAATTCCCCGCGGGATGAATTCAGAGTCTTTTCTGCATAAACTACCGCGAGTGTCACTTCCTCAAGTGTTCCTGTATGCTGCTGGCCCTTCCGTTGGTGCTCTTCAAGAATCTCGTAAAAGTTGCTCCCTATCATCACGGAGAATGGGAATGTCCTGATAGGATCCTTGAACATAGTTGCGAGTTTAGGCCAGAACGTGGCATCGACAGCAATTGTAGGGTCATATCTTACTTTTGCTGTCTGTGTGTAAAATAACAACGCGCTATGCTTCATGGCTGGGGTTGAAACCAGTGCTTGCGGAAAGTCTGCTTCTGTGATGTCTGCTTCCCACTTGCTGTCTCCATTACCAGTCTCACTACTGTCTAATAGTTCAGCCAGTGGTTTCATCTTGCTGATCCAATTTTGTCCATCTTGAATCGCGACCAACTCAGCTGCTGAGTTGAACGTGTAGAATGATGGACTGTGAAAGCTGTCTCCATCAAAACGCGAATGATCAAGTTGACGACCCCCTGCCCATCCCATCCATGACCAAGATGGAAATGAGGCTCGCGTGATTGCACCATCGATGCTTTTCACTGGATGCGTTCCATTCCTCAGCCTTATTTCTGTGTCAAATTGCCACTCCCAATTGAGAAATGGGGTAAAGAATCTATGAGGTAGACCCCAGGAGAATTCATGACCGCCCCATTTCTTGTCTAAGTGATTCTGAACCCCAAGGTAGGCTCTCTGAATGTCTGATTCATAGGTCAAGTTGCGTCCCGAAAAAGTGATGGCGAGAGACTGACATTCAAGCGGATTAAGCACGTTGTCAGAGTTCTTGTACGGCTCTGCATCGCTAACTTCTGAGGGAAAATGCTCTACTGTATCTTCGCTGAGCAAGCCCCTACGGCAACTCCAATAAACCTGTTCGGCAGTGAAGATCAACAGTCGTCTCGAGACCAGACCCTCCTGAAATGTCCAGGCACGTTGTGCCCACGGTGTGCCCGATATCCACTCAGGTTCCTGAAAGAAAGCTAGCGGTTGAAGTTGTTTTGAGTCTACTGAATCAATGAACTGGACGCCTCGTGCTCGTAATCTATGTTGCTCCAAGTGTCTTGTCTCTGGGCGAACCCCAGGTATACCTACGTGAGCATTCGCACCAGAAGCAGCAACAATAGTAATGACGCTTTGCCGGTAAATAGAGTCCATGCTATCAACAATCTCAGTCATGTCAGATTTATCGTCCTGGATGATGCATAAACTGTCCACCCAGATAAACTGTATTTGAAGACCATGGCAGATTTTCAGAGCACCCCTTATTGTCAGTGGTGGCGGTGTTTTAGTGAGACTGCCTGGTGTCATGAGATGCTTCAGATTGTCTCTAGAGAGTCTCAAGAACGGTTCCACCCCCCATACGTAGCTTAGAGTCGCAAATTGGGGATAATGAATCCTCCTAGAGACATCGATGATGCACATTCTGTTGACATCTACAAGACGCAGGCGTGGGACCCGCGTTGCCCTGTACTGATTTTTGCAAAGTTCATGGTGGTCATCGCAGATATTCATCCAACGCCCCAAAGTAGAAAAGTCAATCTGAAGCGGTCGCTGGCGCCCAAGCGCAACCTGCAGGCGTCCTACAGTCGACTCTGGCCGATCCTCCCACGCGAGGCCCCGCGAGGACTCAGGTCCCTCCGTTCTCCAACTACCAGGGGCAATATAAGAAAATGTATCGTAGCCATACCCGTTTTTAGGCTTGTGCATAACAGGAACACGTCCCCCCGGACCAGCTCGTTGAAGCAAGATGTCGACACCATACGAGCCAGAAACCACCGAAAGGCTAATGACTGTCCGATAGCTTATACCTTCACCTTCACCAAAGGACCAATTTTGAGCTTTTTTCGACTCGATCACAATAACCACCTTTGCATTACGACGGATCTCCTCGTCGGTTAGACGCGGTGCGTGTCGGTCATTGTCTGTCTTTGTTGTATCGTAGCGCAGCCGGTAATCAATCAAGCGAAGTAAACCTGAGCAAAATTCGCATTTTTGGCTCTCTGATCGCAGATCCTCGAGCAGAATTGACCTCCGAGATTTGTCGCCATTGTAATTGTGAGGATCTGTGCCTGCGAGCTCAAACTCGATGGAGTCACACCAATGCATACTGTAAACATAGACAAAGAAAGGAAGAAGGTAGGATGAGTTATTGCAAAAACTAAGAAATGCCGCAATCACAGCAAGCCCCTCCTGGCCTGTCCAATGGGATTGCTTAATGTTGCAATATGCCTTGTGGGCGAACTGCAGCCGTGCTGGTGTTGCGCCAGTGACAGCTCGTGCGTGCAATTCAGCCCCGGATCACTCAATACTTGGCATATGCTCTTATTAGGTAAGTCTATGCGTATATCTGCTCTCATTCGGCCCCAAAACTTTCGTAACTTGAAGGATAACAATAGCTAATTGAGATGCGCCTGTGAGCGACCAGCTGCAGGGAACCAAAACCTCCATCGCTTTTAACGGATTGTAGTATAGGGCCCTGAATTCTAATGTTCGGGAATGAATCCACCGGCCTTCCTTTGATCTAAAGTAACGGATGCCTGTTTAGGCTATTATTCATTACCACAAAAGAAATTTTATTCGGGGTTTGATTCAGATTATATAGTTTCTGCATGCATATGGAACCTGCCCAACGTTGAAAGGTCGGCCACATAGTTGATAGAATATTTTCCCATAGAAGATAAGCCTTCTATTCGTTATAGTTCAATGCCTTTTATTCCTTTATTGGCCTGTGTCTCCATCACAGGCCCAGTTAGCGACAGCCTCTGCATGAACGGCTGCCGGTTCTATAACGGGCACCCCGTCTCCCAAGTTATCCTGTCCTAAGACAAATCCAAGGTCCGTACTGCCAAGGATGATAGCTTGCGCACCTCTGCCTATCAGGGCCTTCGCCTCTCTTACGAACATATCCCTCGTACTTTCAGTCACAGCAGCCGCTCCCTTCGCAACCTCCTCCAACATGCCGCGATTGACTTCATTCAGGGACGCTTCCGAGTCTGGCACGAGCACAGTGAAGCCATTCTCGGGGTTTTCCAGCGGCCCAATGAACCAGTTGGGGTCATCACGGCTGAGCATGGTGGCTTTGGGCCCAAGAAGACCCAGCCTCTGGATATGAGGATATTTGGATTTGATGTGGGCGGCGAGGAAATCGGCAATATGCAGAACTGAGCCTCCACCCGGCGCGACGGCCTGGGAGATCTGCTCGGATGCTTTGTGCGCCAGGATCGCGCAGATCACAACCCCGTCAATTTCATTCCTCAGGGACGCAACGGGGCCCGTGTACTCGCGAGCAAAACTGTCCCAGTCACCCTTGCCGGCATAGCCGATCATCTCTTCCAGATCGGTGCTGTAGAGGTACAGTTTCGGGCCCCTCCTAGGCCCGAGCCGGTTCCGAACTGTGCGCGTGATGATGTTATAGTAGAGGGTTGTGACGTCGGCCGTCATACCCCCGAGGAGGAGCAATTTCTTCATGTTTTCGGCAGGAGGGAATTTGTGTAAGATGGTTTCGTCTCACTCCTTCGAGAGGAGAGGGGGGAAGATAACCTTGTTGAATCTCGGCGGGTCTGCAAGGACTAAACTCTGACTCATCTCGACCGTTAGTCCGCTTAAAGCCGGACGAGTGTCGTTGGATACCTGCCGAATCTCGGAATAATGTTGACTGCTTCTAGAAAATAGCGTCTTGGGATAGTCCAAGTTGGAGGCGTTGGCAATAAAAAGTACCTACCATATCCGGTCTGCATGGTATGGTCAGCTTTGCGGCGGCCGCCCTTATACGCTCGCAAACACTTTCTAACCTTTGAAGTATCGCTAAAGCATTTTCCCCCGTAGCTTCCGGGTGGTAATTGTTTCTTTGTATCTAACCCCGGGTAGAGCGGCCGAACCGTGCATTGTTGAAGCTATTACCCCAGTTCATGTCACAGGATCGTGAGCCTGACTACCAACCCACTGGCGACCGCCTTCGACTCCCGATCGCCTACTTTGCATATTATTTCGTACAATTCCTAGGACTTACCAAAGATCCCCTTAGCTATTACTAGTTTCTTGCAGATTAAAGAGTCATACGGGAATAATGATTAGCCTGTGCAGAGTAGCCATGGCTAGCCTTGCAACGAAACACTCAACAACCTAAGCCCATCCAAATCCTAAAGCAACAAGAAGATCTCCATTTATAATTCTTTACACTTCATTTCTCACACGTGTGTGAATCCTAAATCAACGCTGAACTTAATTACTCTCTGAAATTTTGTCAAGGAGAGGATAGCTCTCTTCTTAACTGTTTCGGAAAGCTAACAAGTAACATGATTAATACTGGGTTATGACAACAATCATACAAGTTGTATAGTCTGCAGCTATTCTCGAGGAGTAGTATTAAGATGGCAATCGAAGGGGCATTGGCCCATGCAAAAGCGACATGGGTAACATTACATGGTGAGATGATGAAGACGTGAGAATTCAGAGGATTGAACTCCATTGTATCACCTTGAAACGGAAGATATGATTACGCCTGATCCTAAGCATTAGAACGTGCATGCAAATGTACCATGTCAATGAATAAATCAGGGCCCTATTTCGGAATTCCGCTGCAAGGGTTGCATGATGACAAGCTGAAAGAAATACAGTCGAAGACTATCGGTTCAACTCCTTTGCACGATGCTATCTTACAGGTGGGCAAATTTCCAGATTGATCGAAAAGAGGGAAAAGGGAAGGTCGACCAGCGACCTTACAGATCCGGGCGACGTGTAACCCCCTGCCCCTGAGATTTCGCTAATCAGGTTTCAATCCCACGCCGGAGCTTATCGTCAATGGCTTCAGGATGCACTTGCAGATAATGAAGCTGTATTGGCAACGTGATCAGTTCAATTAAATTGAGCGAGAGTTTCCAGGAAGGGCAAGAATGGCATTGGTTTCGGGGCTTTCCAGCAACCTAGCTTAGTACATGGTTGTCCAAAGTCCTCACATATTGATCGATGGCCTGTCGCGCAACAAAGCAATTCGCCTGCCTGCAGCACGTGTACAGGGCAAGGTAGCACGCAACCGAGCAAGCCAGCTGAGCCCGAAGCCGCAAACGATCAATCCAGGTGCCATCAACACACCCACCCCGACAGGACTGCGCGAATGAAACCAGAGAGTAGGAACGGAAAATGGGGCCGGAGCGGCAACGAACAGCGAGAGTAAGCACCCTGCCTCCCGCCTCAGTACCTGGTCAAGCTGGTCCAAGAAGGTTTGGTCCCTTTGGAGGCTGCTAGGTACATTGTGGCTCAGCGGGCAGGGCAAGGATCGCGGATGGCTGATCAGTCAGTGCGGCCGCCCCCATTTTGTGAGGCAATTACCAAAGGCTTCGCTGCTATTCGCGGGAAATACTCTGGTACTTTTTAACGGTTCTAAGTTGGTTCATGATATGTCATGATATGAAGCACTGTTACCGTTGCCGTGCCTTCAATGGAACGTTTGTTATATTGTTACGCGCAAGCTCTTGGTCTTAGCGAGAACGCGCAAAAGGCTCCAATAGGCAGGTTCAAGGGATTCAAATTGATGACATTCAACCACTACATCGGGGCTCATTCCTCGAAGCAGCTAGTCGTGGCCTTTCTCCCACTTCGTTCCGTTCCTACGGGCAAGTGCCGGAATGGAACAAGGTTCCGATTCCAAATCATAATTCCAAATCACGCGTAAAATTCTGCGGAGAAGGTTGACTTTGATCGCTGTTGGCGCTTCGCTCTGCATGATCGTATAGGGTGAGCCGACGGAAGTTGTTCTAAAAAAAGAAGTGTCACACAGTCTGTCACCGCAAATTACCCGTGGCTCGTGGGGGAACAAGGGTAGCATGTAGCTGGGAAGCAACCCCTAAGGGTAGGTGGAATGGATGTCGAGCTAGAAGGATTCTTCTGCAAGGCGCCCAAGAGAGAGCGAGAACGTGTTGCGAGCCTATCATGTGGCCCGGCTCAGGGTGGCATGGCATGAGAATATTGTTGAGGATTAGGACGTTGCGCTTTTCCGATTGTCCTGCTGGGGGCGAATGAACCCAAATGATCCTTTGTTGGCCCTTATCAACGTGCAGGGGGCACGAGATGGACTGCGCGCGAGCCCTGGGAGTGGTATTGAGCCCATTGTCTGGTCTATAATACGGCAAGGATGGGCTTGCTATGGGGTGGAATGTCGTCACCACACGCTCTGGAGGGAGCCAGCGGGCCACGGTGAGCATATCCCTCACCAATCAACTGGTCGAGCGGCGGGAGAAGGCATGTTGGCACGGCGTAGAGTCGAGAGATGCATGATGCGAGGTGGAGGGAACCACGTACAGCAGGTCAGCTGAAGAAGCAAGCAGGTTCTATCACATTTATTTTTAGACGCGTGCGTATGCTGCCAAGAGCTGTGATATGTCAAAAATCCCAATGTTCGACTCCGACTGAGTGAATCACGAACGATTTGGACGAGGGTCGATGCACGCGAGGCGCTGGACTGTGAGAAGCGGTGACATTGGGAGCGGGTGAGGCCGGGATAGGGAGGGGGACATGGAGCCAAGCACCACAAAATAGACGTGTAATAGGGGGAATGGGCAAGCGAGGCAGGCACAGTGTGTTTGCCTCGCTGACCTCCATGTGTTATGGACCGCAGGGCTCAGGCGGAGGCTTGGGCTGGCCAAACAACATTGGACGTGTTGGGGCTGCCCCCAAGGTCCCAAGCCCAGCAACGCACAACGGACGGCCGATCACATGGCCAGGGTGCCCGTTGGCACTCGTAAGCAAATCTGACAAATAAGCAATCTGCCAGCAGACCGAGTTTGGGTATCACGCCCCCGATACGACGGCCATTGGTGCTGTCCCATGCCGAGGACAGTGGCAAAGCCCACCCGGTTCCCCCTCCTTGGTCCATTGATAGATTTTCAATTAACCTTCCGTGATAGGGCCCTGTTCTCGGCATGCAGGCCGTCAGTCAATCCTCATTAATCTAATTCCCGCGGTACAACTGCGAGGCCCAGTTGTGCCCCCTGCCCCTGGCCTGCGATTGGGCCGCCCTGATCTTCCAAGCGCTTGCCCATCACATCTTGCTCGAGGACCAATCACGAAGGTCGCAATGGGCATTGACTCCCACCCGGTAGTTGCATGCTTTAGTGCTACTCTAGTGTTACTCGTAATCACGGCCTAGGCGTCTTGGGGCCTAGAGGAGCAGGGTTCCTGCGTCAATGTCCCAGCCTGCCAACCGGCCGGAGGTGTAGCTCTTTTGCTTGTGGCACCGCCTTGCCTTAGCAATCAGCAGAGTCCGAAATCTGACAGACGAGAATGAAATACCAAGACATGGACCGTGTGGAGGGGACCGGTGGACCAGAAAAACCTTGCTTGTTTGCCTGCCTGCTTGTCTGGGCGGGGGGTAAGTGGGGAGATGAGACCTTGTCGTTATGTTGCGAGGGGGATGAATGATCCTCGGTGACTGAGTATCTGAGATTTCTCTATATATATGGCGGGAATCTTCGACTTGTTTGTGAGACAATCTTTTCCTTGGATGGCTGAGAAGCTGGCTCTGATTCATATCTTGCCAGTCACTGCAAGCTCGTTTGGACTTGGCTTCCCGTGCAAGCAATCCACTTCGATCCATACAAAGCAATGCCTGAGCACACACTCTCCCCCCGAGGCCTCCTGGCCCTCGGTCTGAGTGCGCTCCCTCTTGTCTCTGCCGCCTCCTGCCCGTATATCCGTGGCAATCCAGCTCCCGCCAACGGTGGTGCTGCTGCCCGCCGAGCTCTTCATCCTGAGGCTATCCTCGAGCCTCGGGCTACATCCGACGAAACCGACTTCGGTCGCTGCCCTAGAAAAAGCAAGCTCGCCGGGGGTGGCACCCGGAGCAAGGATTGGTGGCCCTGCCAACTGAGCCTTGCGGTGCTACGTCAGAACGCTGACAAAGTTAATCCTTTTGATGATGATTTTGATTATGCTACTGAGTTTGCCAAACTGGATGGTAAGAAACCAATCTCCCGTCTTACACCACCTTGGGGAGGAATATTGCTGACCAATTGATTCGACAGTGGAGCAACTGAAGAAGGATTTCGCTGAGCTTCAAAAGAACTCACAGGACTGGTGGCCTGCTGACTTCGGTGATTATGGCCCGTTCTTCATCCGCATGTCATGGCACAGCGCCGGCACCTACCGCCATTTCGATGGCCGAGGAGGTGGTGGTCAGGGCCAGCAGCGGTTTGCTCCCCTGAACAGCTGGCCGGATAATGCGAGTCTGGACAAGGCCCGCCGACTGCTCTGTACGTTCTCCTTTGCCCCAGGATTGCCATGATGCCTAGCACACTAACTCATTCTGCATCAATCAGGGCCCATCAAGCAAAAGTATGGCAAGGCTCTTTCTTGGGCTGATCTGCTCGTCTTCGCGGGCAACGAGGCTCTGAAGAACATGGGCTTCCCCATCCATGGCTTCGCCTTTGGCCGCGTTGATACCTGGCAGTCTGACGAGGGCGTCTACTGGGGTTCCGAGGAGGAGTTCTTCTCCAAGAATGCCAGCGACTACGACCGTTACGACGGCAGCACTGATATCTACGAGCGCGCTGACAAGCTCGAGGAGCCTCTTGCTGATACCAACATGGGCTTGATCTACGTTGATCCCCGTGGACCCCATGGCACTCCCGACCCCAAGGCCTCTGCACTTGACATCCGCGTGACCTTTGGTCGTATGGGTATGAACGACGAGGAGACCGTTGCTCTCATCGCCGGTGGCCACGCCTTTGGCAAGACTCATGGCGCCGTCAAGGGTGACCAGATTGGCCCTGAGCCCAACGGCGCGGGCATTGAGCACCAAGAGCTTGGATGGATCAATGGACGCAACTCTGGCGTTGGCACTGACGCGTACACCAGTGGACTTGAGGTTATCTGGTCTGAAACGCCTACAAAGTGGGCCAACGGTACGTTGAACGGCTGTGATTCCATGCAGAGTCGAGGATCGGCTCCGTGAAACTGAGATTAAGTTTTACTAACGTATAATGCCGCCGACAGAGTTCCTCCACTCACTTCATACCAACGAATGGACCCTTGTCGAGAGCCCTGATGGTGCTCCTCAGTGGGAGGCGCTCAGCGCCAATGCGACCTACCCAGACGCCTTCATCGAGGGCAAGTTCCACAGGCCTACTATGCTGACGAGTGATCTTGCCCTCATCAAGGACGACATCTACTTCAACATCTCCAAGACTTTCCTCGATGACTTCGACCTGTTGACTGAGAAGTTTGCCCTTGCTTGGTGTAAGTACCTCAGTGAAACAAAACAAAACAGCCCACTCGGCTGGAGCCATGCCTGCTGGATTGCTAATCATCCCCGTCTCATCATAGACAAGCTTCTCCACCGTGACATGGGCCCTGCTTCACGCTACCTCGGCCCTGATGTCCCCAAGGATGTCCAGCTCTGGCAAGATCCCCTGCCAACTGTGACCTACCAAAAGATTGACGACAGTGACGTCGCCAGTCTCAAGTCGGAGATCCTTGCCTCTTCAAACCTCAACGTGTCCAGCCTCATCACTACCGCTTGGGGCTCGGCCGCCAGCTTCCGTATCTCTGACAAGCGTGGTGGCGCGAATGGCGCCCGCATTGCCCTTGAGCCACAGCGCTCCTGGAAGGCGAACAACCCTGCCCGTCTCGAGATTGTCCTCGGTGCTGTACGTAGTATTCTCCCCTCCCCGGCTGATCGCAAACGATGCGTGATCCGCTGCGTGTTTGAAGTCGCTAACCGGTTGCCTTGGCCCGCAGCTTAACGAAATCAAGGACAAGTTCAACTCCGCCAACAAGGAGAAGCAAGTGTCTCTGGCCGACTTGATCATCCTGGGCGGAAATGCCGCTGTGGAGAAGGCTGCCAAGGATGCCGGCATCGAGATCACCGTTCCCTTCACTGCCGGCCGCGTCGATACGACTCAGGAGCTCACCGACGTCACCACCTTTGCCTACTGTACGTTTCAATCTCCCCACACGATGATGCCAATTTACCCACCAGAATGATACTAACTTGCTTGGTTACAGTGGAGGACAAAGCCGACGGCTTCCGCAACTACGGCGTGGGCAACACCCGCTCCAACACCGAGGAGATCCTCGTCGACAAGGCCAACCTGCTCAACCTCAGTCCCCCCGAGCTGACCGTCCTGGTCGGCGGCCTGCGCGCCCTCAGCGCCAACTACGACGGCTCGAGCCACGGCATCTTCACCGACCGCCCCGGCACGCTGACCAACGACTTCTTCGTCAACCTGCTCGACATGCGCACCGTCTGGACCCCCATCGCCGACAGCAACGACGAGTACTTTGAGGGCAAGGACCGCTCGGGCGGCAGCGTCAAGTACACCGCCACCCGCTCGGACCTCATCTTCGGCTCGCACCCTGAGCTGCGCGCCGTGGCCGAGGTGTACGCCGCCGGCGACGCGCAGGAGAAGTTCGTCAAGGACTTTGTCAAGGCCTGGGCTAAGGTCTCGGAGCTGGACCGCTATGACATCAAGGGCCGCAAGCAGAACAATGTACACTAAATCTGCTACGTGATGAGAGAGATGTGCCGCAAGGCTCTAGATGATAATACCTTGTAGTACATTGCCTAAATGCTAATGCCCGTTCTGCCTTTACCAATGCCGTATCTTTCGTGTTCTTTCTTAAATTGTTAGAGACACTTATACATCATGTTTTAGTTGCCTTTTGCATAAGCTATGTAAGCTGTAGGTATTTCTGAAAAACAATCGTCTCCTGTTTCCATATTAGGCCGGTGTGGTTTGATTCATTATACTGGTAGAATAGTACTAGCTCAACTTCAGCTCAGGGTCGCTCAAAGCCGTTGAGGTATTCGCCTAGCCACAGCTCACGCAGCTCATCAGTCGCAGTCCAGGAGCTGGGGCATAGTCCCAAGAACTGGGATCAGCTAGACAGTCTACTCCTGCTGATAACGGGTAGCCCTTAAACTTGGCCTTGCTATTACAGGCGTGCTGGGCCCGAGTGTCAAGGCTTTGGATCTGATAGACCATTGTTTAGCAAATTTAGCAATTTTTCTCAAAACTCTAAGAATAAAATTAATTTAAAATATCTAGTTATTTTTAAAACGTATTTGTAATTCTTTAATATTCGCAAAAAAGAACGCTCCAGGTTAAAAGTATTTAATAAATAATTATAGCTAATTCTCCATCTCAAATAAAAGCTCGAATTATTATCTTAACTCCAATCCTTCAAGTGTCGTTAAACGGCCCCAGATTGCGCCTAAGCCTAATACCAGCCACCATTGATGTTTCAATGATATTGGGAACGTCAACACTGGAATGCGTCGACCCACCAAGCTGATCAACTCTTTTCATTCGGAAAAGTGTTTCCTTATACACCTCGTCAGGAAGATAACCACACTGCTTTAGTGAAGCTTGCCATATGTCCAAAACATGAAGATGTGCTGCGATAGTGAACAATGAATGGTGGTGACCTGATTTGGAGTCATCCGTCCAAAACCAATGAATATCAGCCCCGGATTTTATTACAGAGGCCAACAGAGTAGTGAAGAATCGCTCGATTTTATTCTTACAACACGAATAACAAATGTCTTCGTCGTCGGCATCCGAGCCAATGCAGTCAGAGTAGTAGGACGATCCATCAGAACAGTCACTACCTGAATCTGAAGAATCAGCTGAGTTTTCTGAATCGTCATTGTCTTTGTCTCCCTCCGCATCCGGGCTATAGAAGTCATAAATATGTGGAAAGTGATGGAAGATGCAAAAACGAATTTGGCGGAATATTTCCGCGAGTAATGGATATCCGTTATCAAACTTGTGATTCGGGTTACCGCCTGTCGCAAGATAGAGTGCCATGAGATACTGAATCCTATCAGAGCATTCATCGAAGCTACCACCATGCAATGTAGGGCTAAGGAAATGTTCCGGCTGCAAAAATATCCCATATTCAGTGGCGAGTGTCACACACTGTTGCGCCTCCAGACTTTCGGTATGTTCGTGGATGCCCCAAAAGTATGGTAGAGATCTTTTTTTAGACCAGAAATCATTCCAGATAATACCTTCATCCAATTCTCTTCGATCATCGGGTTCACAAAGGTTTATGATCGAAGAGAGCAATTGATGGCCAGTTTCAAGGTCCGGAATGTAGATCAACAGCTCTTGAACACATATACCAAAATACAAATTGCCATCAGTTAATAGAGTCTCTGCGTATTCTGTGCTTAGAAGATAGTTTGCGATGCGTATGGAATTTGAAAAAACCGCACACTGAAAATCTGTTAGCCACCTCCTTAAGGTCTGGCGAAATATTGCACTTACATCTAGAAGATTTAATCCGATATCATCAACATCCCAGATTCCAAACTTACGAGTCTCAAGAGCTCTTTGAAAACCGATGACATCGTCTTGTCTAATGATGTTGTCAATTGGCGAACCATCGCGTATCACGCCAACTATCCTAAGTCTAGGGCAAATGTTGAAATACCCATCTGTGCTCGGCTCAGAAGAATGCAGTAGGGATATTCCGCGGGAAAATAGCCATTGACTGGGTGTAAAGCCAATTTTCAGTCGAAAATAAGTTTGAGAAGATTGTATAGGTAAAGTCCTGGTTCGGTACGTAGTGATGACAATGTCCAAGGTTCCAAACCCAATATATCGAGAGCATGCATAGGTGAACAGTATCACTTTGTTTCGAGATGGGGGAACTTTTGGATTTCCCATCAGAGTATGTGAATGGCCAGAGCTGTCGACACTCACATTCTCTAAACTCTGGTCTGGTGAATGTCTCTGAGTCCCTTGTTTGGGCTTGTGGCTTTCAAAAACGTTCTGGTCGCGTGAATGAGTGGCAACCTCTGTAGCAAGCTCGTCAATCATCTTATCAGTGATGTCCAATCGACTTCTCAACGGCTCGAGTTGTCTCTTCAGTTCCAACCTGACAATTTTTCCAAGTTGATTCACACTGCTGGCTGCGATCGTTGTAATCTGTGATTTGGTGGCGAGCTGACTGTAGCGAGTTGCTGCTATTGTTTCCATGGAGGCAAGAGAGGTTTGGAGTTCTGTGCTACATAATTCCACATCTCTCTGGATTTGGAGAAGTGTTGACGCGGTCTTTCTACCCTGCTCTGTGCCAGCAACCACAGTCCTCGCTAACTCTTCCGATAGACGTGACTGTTCTAAACACAATTCCCGCATGCTCTTTTCGAGTTCTAGACTTATAGCATGTTTTTTTAAGTCTTCAACTCTACATTGTTTTGTTAGCGATCATCTCGAAGAAAATGATAACAGGGGCCGTACCGTCCAAGTACCCCCAGCGCCAAAGTGGCTGCAGTCTTTCGCTGCTCCAGTCGAAGTATGATATTGTTGATCCCTTTTTGGTCCCGACAGAAGTTGAACCTTCCCTTGAAACTTATAGAAGACGGCGAAGGTAGCAGATTAGCTAGACACTTCAAATCGTTCGAATAATTCCAAGCGATTTGGCCAAGGGAACTTGTTAGAACATGGCCATATTGATTTATTTGATCGGGGGGGATTTGTTGAGCAGCCATTGCAAATGTATGTAGGTCAATCATGAGTTTTTCGGCTTCGTCCATTGCTGTTCATTCGTTAGCCGTCGAAAATTGACACGATAAGCGATGCGCTTCCAGCCTCTCACCTCGATCCAGATGCTCGATGGACTCTTCGGCGTGGCGGAAGGTGCTGATTAGCGAACGACACTTTTTGGAGGTTTTGATTGATGCATCCAACAGCTGGACACATCCAGCCACAGCTCCGAAAATGCTAACGGGGTCCATGTTTGATTATTTTCAAGACTTGCGAGGTCTGTTGAAAAAACAAATTTGGGTATGTGAAGATAACAAGTACCGCAGATGCCACGTCATGAAGAGTAACGATGAAATGTGCAGCTTTTGCGGGAAAGAAACAATTCTTGTTTTCTTCGTGCCCAATCTCACGTGAGGGGAACATCATAATGCTACGACACTTGGCCAATCAAGCTCCTTGTAGGCTGAGCGAGTAGAAAGTGCACTTTCAGCAGCTAATGCAATGTCGCGTCACTGTTTCCAGCCACATTGCCTTTCCAAATAGGGACAAAAGTGCAAGTCACATAATAGGCGTTACATCAAGAAGCGGTGTCTCATTTCTCATGTCACCCATCTCAAGGCAGACATCCAAAACCATGAGCCATAGCACTCCTTCACTAATGGATGTATGTATTTGCAGTCAAAAGGGGGCCATCAACTTGCGGAGAAGTTACCATACGTATTAATAGCTAAGTAATGTAGTCTCTGTCTAGTACATGATGACAATTATGATATATATATTTAGTATACTCATTCAGTGCATTGAGGATCGCTATAAGCGAAGCGATCAGGAAAGCGACACCACATAATAGCAAGGCACAAGACCGTAACGGAGTAGAAGAAGTTTCATCACCTAAGGGCCATTCCATCAAAGAGTTACCCCAATAGAAGGCCTGGTATTTCAAGTGCCATCTCATCGCAAGGGATTGTACATTTAGTATTGGGCTCAGTTCTAGGCCAAGGCACCGGAGAAGGTTTTATTGCAGAATACTACTAAGCTTGAAGCGACCTCAATCCAGCCCAGGTTAGGCTCAGACCTCGCTCAGATTCTATAATTATTAATCAGTTTCAAAAACGAAAGCAGCTTTTGGTGACGTTGTTTAAAAAGAACATCTCTTCTCTTTCCAAGACGCAGGCTTAGGCGGAGAGTGCAATGAGAGTCAAGCGAACTATTGCATCATGCATTTTGCTTGCCCTTCAACTCACCCAAGATCTTCAAACACTTCTCATTCCAGAGGAGGTTCTTTATCTCAGCAGTGGAAGGGAAATCACTTTGGAAGCATTTGTCGTGGCCCTCTTCACGTTGCCTCTATAACTTAGCGTGATTCTTTACTGATCTCGTCGCTGATCAGCTAGTAGTGTGGGTCCTTCACCCCTAATAATAACACCTCTGCAAAAATCAACGCTGAGCCAGTCGCATTCATTCTTGTTCTCATCGCATGCACCAGGCGGCTCTACGAAAATGCCATCCGCGAGGCGGAAGAAAACTACCGGCCATGGAGGCTTGACCTTTGTTAATGTCCAGCATCCCGACGATATCAGAATGAAATGCAATCAGACCGTGATACGAAGCGGCGCGATGGCCGCCATTGGTCTGACGCGACGGAAGCGACCCCGGCCAGTCACGATCGAACTGGAAGTGAAGGAAGACGTGCAGTACGGCCACGTCTCGAGGCAAGATACTCATAGAGATGTGCACTTCATCGTATCTAGAGAGTCCACTGTCTCGGCCAATGTTGAACCACGGTTGCCGAGCATTGCGGCAGCACTTCCTCACTTGGGCCACTTTGCCGTCGAACCCGACAGGAGAGCACGGGAACTCCTCTCATTCAGTGCGTTCACACTCATTCACTAGCCACTTCTGACCATTCTTTAATTCTTTTACAGTGGAGGGAGAAGCAAGTTACATCTACCGACCCTTCCGGGCCGAATGGTTCAATATGGCCGTTTTGGAACCCAGCGCGTACTATCTCTGCCTCGCCAATGCGGCCCTGTTTTTGAACCAGTTTCTCACGGGCCACGGAGGACTTGAGTATACCGACTGCGTTGAATCTTCCAAATACTATGGTCTATGTTTGAGCAGGGTCACCGGGCAGCTCGCCAACCAATCCCGTGGTATCACTCAAGGTTTAATCACGACTGTCCTTGGCTTTGTTTGTCATAACCTGAGTTTAGGAAACTGGGACCGCTGCGACATGCACCTCGAGGGACTAGAGCGTATCATAAGTGCTCGAGGAGGGTTCCACGGCCTGGGCCCTTATGTTCCATACTTTGCTTCCTGGTGAGGAATAAGATCTGACGAAACTAGACTATCTATGAATATACCGTCGACTAACTGAATCAGGTTCGATGTCAGCAATGCTGCTGTTCACGATCGGCCACCGCGGTTTCTGTCTCCCGGCACGGTAGAAGATGGACCTGCGCAACATGAGACACTCCCTGACGCTATGTCTGATGTCGTATCGCAACTTACCCGTACTGGTCCTCACCTCTCGAGTCTTGGTGATTGCCTGGCAGCACTAGCTCGCGTCGCAACTTATTGCAAGAAAAACACAGACCAGCCAGGTTTCTGGGAAGGCGGGCCTAAAGCAGCGAATTTGATCGGTCCAGTAGCTCACCTTGCGTTGCGCATCCCACGATTTTCTTTCGATCTACGTTCCGTTGAGAAAGCAGCCGAACAGGACTTAATCCTCCATGAAGCGGTCCGGCTTGCTATATTGGTCTTTATAGCCGCATTGAAGCAGGCATTCTCGCTTACGGCCGACGAGATTATTTCCTTGACTGGGCGCCTAGAATATACAATTTCCCTGATGGACCGTATATCTGGCTTCCCTGAACTGCGACTATGGGTCAACGTAGTCTGTGCCTGCAGTACAGCGCATCAGGTGTCAAGGCATCAAGTATTAGAAATAGGACGCGCGATGCGAGATCTAAGCTTGATAGACAGCCAAGATGTTTTTGGTAAAATGGAGAAGCTCATATGGATTCCTCATCTATTCAAGGCTACAGAGTTACAGATTGACGAGGATGAGTCTGGGGTCCGCGCTCCAACAACCAAACTCACGTCCCTTGACATCTCGACGAGTTAATGCGACCCCATAACTGCCTTTCGATGGCATCTCCTCGGTATTAGAAGCATTAGTTTCCAGTAATACCTCCGCTGACTGAGATTGTTTGGCCTGTAACCCATCGGCTCAACTCAGATGTGAGGAGTAGTACTGCGTCGGCAATGTCTTCTGCTCGACCTGCTCTCTCCTCGGCCCGCGTCATAGGGATCAAATGACTGTGGATGGCCTCCTGTATATGCGGCGGCAAACACTCTGTTTTGACTGGCCCAGGCATGACGGTGTTGATTGTGATACCGAACTCTCGCCCCAGCTATAAGAAAAAAAGGATTGGTCAACTCCTATCCGCCATGCCATCAAAAATTCTTGGAAAGCATACCTGCATAGACACGGCAAATGAGAGGGTGTCGAGGGATGCCTTCCCGGCGGCATATAGCGGGCTCGCAGGAGTACCTAGTTTTGAGGAGATGGAGCCTATGTTGACAATGCGCCCGCCTCGTGGCATCTTGGGGACCACCTGCTGGATCATGAAGATGGGGCCATACAGCGCTGTCCCCATCAATGTGTCGATGCCTTCTTTGGTCTCTTTCAATAGTGGAGTGGCCATACCAGCAGCGGCATTGTTCACTGGAGAATATACTCTATTAGTTATCTCAAGGATGAGATGAGAAAATGGGCCACACACCTAAAATGTCAATTTTGCCGGTTTTGAAGGCCTCAAGGGTAGCATTGACGAGCTTAGCCGCCCCCTCGGGGGTTGAAATGTTGGCTTGGACCACGGTCGCCCTCCCTCCCACCTCTTCAACTTTCTTAGCGACACCGGCGGCTCGCGTTGCGACAGAGTCAGAGACGTGGTTGATTGTTACACTCGCTCCGTTACGGGCGAGGGCGAGAGCAATGGCAGCACCAATTCCATTCTCACGCCCAGAGCCGGTCACAATGGCAACCTTACCAGCGAGGGAGAGTGTGTCAGGAGCCATGATGAGAGAAGGAGAGAAGGATAAAGATGGAATCTAAATTTGCTTAGGGTGTTCGATCTAAGCTGTGGAAATAATTCAGTATTATAACTGTGAATGATGAAAGGGCCAATGACTCAAATATGTATTGAACCTGAGGTGGTGTGATTCTCCGGCCTCTTTATACTTGAAGCACCAGCGGGACTCGCACTTCTCTAAACGCCGTGACGAGGCTCATCAAAGGACGATTATGGAAACTTTCAGCTAGCGAGTTCACCGGAAATATCGGCCCCTGATTCACTCAAACGTCTACACATCATTGGGTAACCGGAAGCCATCTCGCTGTGCAAACTGAAGTAGCTCATTTGATGACGGGCTGATGGCCAAAGTTTGCTGTAGCTATTCCCAAAGTAGAAAATTGTCATCCCTGCCTGCAGCCGACGAAAAGGGAAAAAGGTGTATCCCTGCTGCAGCTCTGGAATCAAACCAACCAGCGCTAAATTAGAGGGGTCTGTGTTAGATTCACGGATACAGCTAATAACAACCAGCTCCTTATTCAATTAATATTACGTAGTTAATTATGTAGCATGTTATTAAAACTAATGTGAAGAGAGTTATTATGAGGTATTATGTTAATAGAAGGCATGGTGTGGATTGAATGAGCAATAGATGTTATTGAATAAGATCTCTCCATTACTTGATCTACAGATATCTCAGATTTTGCCTGAATAATAAACTGTTGGCAGCCTTTTACATGAAGCCCAATATCTCAACAGACTCTTTATTCAAAGATGAGTCTCCATTTTTGATACCACTTCTCGGCCGGCAAAGCAGGCTTCTCTTGCAGGATAATCTCCTCCACGCCGGTGTGTAGATCGACCTCCTCGGGGCGCAGGGCAATCCTGTCCTTGGCTCCGACAGTGAACTTGTGGCCAATATAAAGCACTGCAAAAATCGCAATGCCAATATATGATGTGATAAAATCAGCAACACTCCAATATCCATGCACGAAGACCTTGAATCCATTCACGAGGAGCAGGATGCTGAACCCAATAAGGCTAACCCATGCTGCGAACGGCTGAAGGCGAGACCGAAAAGGGATATCAGTAACTGCCTGGGCCTCGGCGGCTTTTCGAAAGCGGAGGTAGATGATGCAACAGCATATCCAGCTTTGGAACGCTCCGGTATTGATCAGGTTGGCCATCCAATTGAAGACAGCAGAGCCCGAAGCAGCCACATTCAGATATGCCAACGCGCTGAATGAGGCACTGAGGGCGGTGGCATAATATGGCACTCCTGACTTGGAACATCGGCTGAAGATGGCGGGTGCGTGTCCAGCGACTGACAGAGAGTAGAGGGCTCGGCTGGCGAGGTACAGGTATGAGTTGCCCGCGGACCACGCAGAAAGAACAATGACGGCGTTGATGACCGAATCAAGGGCTTTGATGCCAGCATCGCGAGCACCGATAGCCCATGGAGATGCTGCGGCCCCAGAGCCCGGAGATAAGAGATCCTTGTTATTGCTAGGCACGATAATTCCAATAGCAATAGCGCCGAGAATGTAGAATGTGATGAGACGGAAAAAGTAGCGAATGGTTGCCTTGGGAATGTTCCGTCGAGGGCTCTCCATCTCACCACCAGTGATGACAAGAAGTTCCGGAGCGAAGCCAAAAGCGTAGACGGAGAATGTCGTACAGCCAATAAACGCGGCGAATTTGCCTACTGCGCCCTCAACCAAGTACGCATTAACAGGACCCGGGTTTCCCCAGTATCTAAAGTAGAGCGGATCATGGTTCGGTCCTCCGCCAAAGAAGAGCACAACTGCCATGATGAGAAGTCCCAGAATTCCAATGACTTTCGTTGACGCGAACCAAAACTCCGTTTCACCGTACACGCGAACTGGGAGACAGTTGCACAGGATGATGACGGCGCCGACAATGGTTAACCAAACAGCATTGTGGACGGGAGGGTTCCAATAGTCGATGACTAGAGCGGTGACATTGATCTCGGCCGGCACTGTGATGGCAAAGATATACCAGTAAACCCACCCAAGTGTGAATCCTAGGCTTCTAGAGACAAATCTAGAACCATAGTAAGACACAGAGCAACCGGGAATCGGGAGGTAACTGGACATTTCTCCAGTTGCCGTTGCCACACCGTAAAGAAGAATGGTGATGGTGCTATAAGCAAGCAAAAGGAACAATGGCCCACCCATCCGCAAGACCTGTCCAGATCCGACGAAGAGGCCAGTACCAATTGTCCCTCCGAGGGCTATCATTTGCGCATGGCGCGACATCAGGCCACGTTTGGTTTCCACATTTTGATTGGGTGTAGAATCGACTTCCCCACGCATAACCGAGGAAGCATATGTAGTCTCGTTGGGGGACTTTTCCTTCATGGGCTCCGAGGGACCAGGAGGATTCATTGAGACAGACATAGCATATATTTTGTGAAAGTTCGAGAACTGAGAGACCATGAAACAAAGGTATAGAATAGTTTTCTGGTTGCCATTCCCTTAGATCGTTGAGACAGTCGTAGTCCTTTTTATCCCCGATTGTCATCTCAAGCGCATGAAGCGTTCGTCAAACGTTTAGTTGGGACCGTGGAGACCTGCCACAAGAGTAACCAATGACTAGACAAGCATAGTGGCTGACTCAAGGATACAGAGATAAAACTCCGCCTAACCCGTCCTTGTTATCAAGATAGGTTGATACCACCCTGTCCCTCATCTGGGGTATCTCTTTGGGCCAGGCTATCCTGAAGGGAGCTTAGTCAAAAGAAAGCTGAGCTATATTACTAGAGTTTCATGATAAGATTACTATATAAAGGTCTCTCATTTAGGATGTTCCATGTCGTGTGACGGTTTCCCCGCACGCTACGATTCCCTTTTGGGGCTATTTGGTACCATGTGTCATAGAAGATGCTCATAATGGACCCCTTGTCTTGCTTCCCCAGATGAGTCCAGACCCATTGGTCCCCGCAAGCAAGCTATGGGTTAGAATTTAACGACCAAATGACCTCTATCAGACCAAAACGAGTTGACAAGGGTGAAGATAGCTGATATGAAAGGCTTGGCCATTCTATACCTGTTTTTGTATCCAACATAGTGTGGCGTTTGGTCAGATGCAATTTCAAAACCTGGTTGATTATATCAAATTCCGCCGTGTTGGGCAAAAACGCCCGAATGAAGATAATCTCACTAATAACACCTCTTTCTCGTCCAGACTACAAATCTCGGCTGATATCTTTCAGATGATGTTACGGCCATCTAGTCGTCTATGTGTCAAATCATCCTAAAAGCTACAAAGCATAGACAGCAGAATAGATACGTTGGTGACCTCAGATCTTGATTCTTGTGACATTCATTGCTTGATGAGAATGAATGCTAGATGCCGTATCGCAACCCTCTTATAAAATGCCAGTTCAATTTATGTTCTACGTCAGGGAGGGGGAGCAAATGACACAAAGTTGACATTTAGTTCTTGAAATCTCCGTGTGTCAACTCATTTTCCAAGTCGTAGTAAACCTGAAACTCGCAGTAGCATACTTCAGGATCACTCTCGACATCAAAGTTGAAGTTCGCCTCCTCCTCTGTAATCAGAACCTTTTGAACTCCGCTTGCCGCGGCGGCTTCAGCCAGCAGTTGCACCTGGCAACTTCTCTCCATCGAAGTGAATAGGAACGCAGCTTCATCCACAGTCTGGCCCACGGTGAGTATGCCATGGTTTCGCAAGATGCAGCCCTTACCCTTTGGTCCGAGAGCAGCAGCGATGCGGTCGCCCTCTTCGCTGCCCAGGACAACGCCGCCGTAGCTGTCATAAACGCTGTGGGCTTCTCCTCTGAACTTGCACGCGTCTTGGGTCAACATCTCCAAGCGGCGGCCAAACACGGACCACGCTTTCCCGTGAACACTATGGGAATGGCATACAGCATGGGCGTCAGGTCTAGCTCGATGGACAGACGCATGGATGAGGAAACCGGCAGTGTTTGGGGGGACCGATCGGTTTCCGCCAATCACAGCTCCATCCAGATCAACGAGGATCATGTCGCTGACCTTGAGCAGCCCAAAATGGCGACCCAGAGGGTTTGTCCAGAACGCGTTGGGGAATTCCGGGTCACGGACTGAGATGTGTCCGCTCATGCCCTCGACATAGCCTTTCCTGTACCAGTGGCGGAAAGCAGCAGCCATATGCTCCAGCTGCCACTGGCGATGAGAGGCGAAATCGGGATGCTTCGGGATGCCTGCAAGAGTAACATCTCCATGAGACATCGCCTGAAGCGGGGTCTTGTTTTTTAGTTCATCGCCGTGGCTGGTGTGCGAAATCTCCTTTGGCTTGATGCTTGTGTTTGTGATAGGAGCGGTGGCAAGAACCGAAGGGGCCATTGTGGGAGACTTTAGAAAGCAAAGAAACAAATTTTGATAATTCTTTATGCTTGGGAAAACAGTGATTTGTAAATTTGAGAAGGTTTTATTCGCACGATTGTGTCAGCTGGGAAGGTCCAGGAATTCAACAGGTGCTTAGAAATATAAAGAGCTACCACTGTCTAGCTTCAGCAAGAGCATCTCCAATATATGACATCAGAAAATAAGTTTCGGCATGTCTACTACGTGAAACGATCATTTCTAGTATCCCTAGCTTCATGCACTCGAAGGCCAACATGTCCATAGAGGGCGCCCGGCGAGAGGGGCGATCCATTTAGAAGGGCACTCAGGCTCGTCTAATCCAAGGGTTTTCCGCAACTTCTTCAACAGGTGCACAGATGACTCCATCCCTGTCTGTGTTGTGAGAGGGCGCTCCGATTGGAGAGACGTTCCATTTTGGACGGTACTCACGCTTGTCTAGTTCAAGGGTCTTCTGCAAGTTCTTCAGCAAGTGTCCCGATGACTTCATCCTTATCTATGTTGTAAGAGGGCGCTCCAGACATCTAACAAGCGATCTACTAGCGTCCTACTAGTCGAGACTGGAGAGATCGACCGAGGCTTGTGTTTTGGGAGGGCGCTCCAGGGGTGACGGCAAGCTACTATTTCTGGTAACTTTCCACGGCGGCGTGTGACATGGAGACATGGGAGTCTATCAGTCCGTTTCCTGCTTTAGAATCTTATTCATTATCTCATAATCATCAGCAACGAGAGTATTGGCAGAAATATTTATTAAGTTCTTGGCGAAATTAGAGCGAGGACAACCATTGCTTCGAAGCCCCTCCCGCAAGTAACATCATGGAGGCATTTGGTGTAAACTAATTGAGCGCGACTGGCGTATTTGCCAACACCTGATCCTGGAATAGTCATGCCGAAAATAAGTACGAGACCAATACTGGAGAGAGATATTTGTGAATATGTTATTTAGCTACCACTAAGTTTCGGAATTTTTTTTACAGTCTGTTCCCCATGTTTACATGGACAGCCTTGATCTGCGTATAGGCTTCTAATCCAGCCTCGCCGAGTTCTCTGCCAATGCCACTCTGCTTGACGCCTCCAAAGGGAACTCTTGGATCACAATCTTGACTGCTATTCACCCAAACCATTCCCGCGTCGATCTCCTGAGCAACTCTGTGGGCTCGCTCAAGATCAGTTGTAAATAGAGCAGAGCCAAGCCCGTATTTTGTATTATTGGCCAATGCGATAGCCTCATCCTCGGTCTTGAATGTTGCGATGACCACAACTGGGCCGAATATTTCCTCCTGGAAAACACGCATCGAGGGTTTGACATCAGTAAACACCGTAGGAGCAACCCAGAAACCTTTTCCTTCGGTCCCGACTGTGACAGCATGTCCACCAGTTGCAATGACCGCACCCTCGGTCTTTCCAATGCTGAGGTATTCAAGGACGCGCTCATGTTGAGCCTTAGATACAAGAGGACCTTGATAGGTATCTTTGGACCACTGGTAACCTACTTTGCTGACAGACTCGGTAGTTTCCACAAAACTCTTGACGAATTTGTCGTAAATTCCCTCTTGAACCAGGATGCGTGAGGTGGCAGTACAAATTTGACCTTGGTTCGACATGATGCCAAAATGAGACCACTTGACAGCCTGTTCCAGATCTGCGTCATCAAACACAAGAAGTGGTGATTTACCGCCTGTCTCAAGCGTGATATTCTTCAATGTTTTGGCCGCTGCTCCCATGATACTGACTGCTGTTTGAGTAGAACCCGTAAAAGCAATCTTATCGATCAAAGGATGGTTGACTAAGGCAGACCCAGTTTCCCTTCCAGGTCCATTTACAATATTGACCACGCCTGGAGGAAACCCAGCTTCCTTGATGAGCTCAGCAAGCACAAGGATGCTAAGAGGCGTTTGCTCTGCAGGCTTGAGAACAACAGTGTTCCCGCAGGCGAGGGCTGGTCCCAGCTTCCAAATAGCCATACAAAGCGGATAGTTCCAAGGGATGATCTGAGCAATGACTCCAATTGGTTGTCGAATAGTATAGGCATATTTCTGATGAGTGGTGCTGATGGTCTGACCGAAAGTCTTGTCAGCCCACCCGGCATAATAGCGAATAACAGCAACTGCTTCCACGAGGTCGCCCTCAATTGCTTCTTTGTATGACTTTCCTGTTTACCTTTTATTAGGTCTGACATTGGCATGTGGGATGGGAGTCCAGAAATCATACCGTTGTCCCACGCATCAATGGTGGCAAAGAGCTCTCGCTTCTTCTCGAGGAGGTTGGCAAGACGCGACATGAGAAGCCCCCGGTCCGACCCTGGGAGCAGCTTCCACGTGTCTTTGGTGAGGGCCGCCTTCGCCGCCTGGACAGCTTTGTCTACATCAGCCTCATTCGCTGCTTGAACGGTAGCAATGACTTTCTCAGTCCTGTGCCCTGTTAGCATTCAGAGAAAATCTACCGGAAGGAGTGAATACTCACGCAGGATCGATTGAAGTCAGTACCAAACCGCCCGAGGATTCAACAAATTCGTTGTTGATAAAAAGGCCAGTTGGCTGGCTGTATTTCGTGCCATTCGGGGCTTCGAGGTCAATTGATAGAGGTGCCATGATAATTTGATTCTGAGGTTGGTCAAAGAAGGGTTACTGAAGTAGACTTATACCCCGACTTGAAGATAAGCGAGATGAATATAAGGGCATTCAATAGAGAGGATGTGTGAATCTAGAATTGCCCTTTATATACTGAACCAGGGTGTGGATTTTGTAGGATGGCTTCTTCAGAATTGAGACAGTTCGTACATTCTACAAAGGAAGGGTTCAATGAGGAGGGTCTCCTATGTGGTCGTGTGAGAAGCATAATTCTATCGTGGATGCCTTCTGAAATAAGCCTGCTCCGCTCTCACGATGTTGCAGGCTGAGTCTTTGAGTGTCTTGCTTTCCGATAGGGACTGCTGGTCACAAGTATGCAAGAATAGCGTGCCATCGCTTATCCTTCGCCCTATCTAACTCTCTTGGGGCTAAGATAGGTCTCGAGCTCAACCCCGCTTGGTTTCAAGCCCTTGGTTGCTGCAATCAATAGACTGACACGCACTCACTCACTGAGTGAGTGTGGAGTTGCCCGTGGAGACATGCCTAATTCAGAGAACTTATCAGGTGCAACCCCAGACCCGGCGTATGTTTTCCTGTCTTCTTCCGATTCTGCTCATCCACATTTGGGCGTGATTCCCACCACAAGATCCTGTTCCATATGTTTGCTCTTACTGTTGTTTCTTAGCAATAATATCTCCATTTGTTCATCGACGCTAACAACACGTCTTCTCCAGACAACTCTCGGGTGAGATCCACAAATGCCCGTGACAAACCGAGTTCGGGCGGAGCATACCCGGACATTCACTGGGTGTCGAACATGCCGAAGACGCCATGCAAAATGTGACGAGGAGAGACCAGAGTGCGGTGCCTGCAGTCGCCTGGGGTTGAAGTGCGGCGGCTATTCTGCTCAGCTATCATGGATAACAAATGAAGATGATGCAGATTCGAATGACCACCAAACTCTCTGCTATCGTTACCCTCTGTTCTCTGGTATGTACAGTCATCTTACCGGTGATAAGATTGTAGCGTAACTAATCGTGGACCGAGGTTCTAGATCTCGAACGGCGAATAATGAGCGACAGTTTGTCGCAAAGCTTGGGCCTCAAATCAGCTGGCGAAGTCTTACTCAAACTAGACTTGGCTTCCAAGAAGGTTGAAGCGGGCTTGGATCTCTACCTGGGCCCATTTGGGGTCTTTCAAGCAGTACACGACAGTATAAAGTCCATCTCAGCAGAGTCACAAACCAGTGCTTCTTTGCTGGGTGTCGGTCCGGATGCCGAAAATCCCCAGAGCGAGGAGTCTGATGAGTCCATCACCGAGTTCGAAGAGATAAGAAATGGACAATCTCATCCAACAGACCTTGAACCTCTCCTCGACAACACAACATTTTCGCTCATTGGCGAACATCATATGACAATTCCAGATGCATTTACAAGTCCGGCTTCCGATCTTTTCAATGATATTGCATTAGATCCGGCATTTCTATCCATCTCCGACGATACAAATACTCTAGAAACCACTGATAACGATGGTTATATCGCCCAAGATGATGCCAGAGTGTTATGTAACGACCTAGATGCCTCCATGATGATCTCACAAAGCATCGACACAGTCAACAGCCAGGCAAATCTTAATCTTCCAGAACAGGCTGCCAATCTATTGCGCTACTATCAACAACACGTTTCGTCTTCTACAAGCTCTATTCAAATCAACCGGCAGTCTCCGTGGCAACTTATATTTTTACCTTGTGTTTTCGAGACGTTTGCGGAGATCACGTTGATGAGCAGCACTTCCCATACCAGAAATACCATCCTCCACGCAGTACTTGCCCACAGCGCTTTTCGATTGCACAAACCGAATAACCCGTCCAAGCCGACTGAATACTGGGGGCATGTGGGCTTGAGACATAGGAACAAAGCCCAGTTTCATTTAAAGAAAGCTGTAGAAACCGAAATGGCGAATCATGAGCAGAAAACGTACAAGGAACTTCTAATGGCCTTCTTAGCCATGGCCATGACATCGGTTAGTACTCATGCCGATCGTCTTAAAACATTTCCACTAACTCATTGCAGCTATATCGAGGATGCCCAACGGCGAAGGTGTTCCTCGTAGATGCCGAGAGGCTCATCAGAGTCCGGCGCCTCAGCAATCATAGCAAACCCTACAAGATTCGCGTCCTACATCACTTGTACACGTACCTTCGTATCATGGTGGAGAGCATCGCCACTCTCACTCCATCTTCATCTGACCCCGAAACACATGCGCTCCAAGCGCTTCCCAACGCCCGGTCGTTCCGGGTCAGCAAAGAAACCCTCAATATTGGGCTTGATCCTACCGTTGAGAAAACTGCCGAGCTAGGCTACGGCGACATTCATCTAGAGGTCCAAGGACTCTGGAAGCAAACATTACACTACAACCTCCAGGGGATACCCGAATCTCTCATGACGCTTATCGCGCAGACGACTTCTCTTGCCAATGAAAAAGCACACCTCGAGACCAGGGCTGGATGTGATTTGAGGCTGTCTGCCGACTTGAAACATCACATCAAAACATTGGAAGAATCAATTTGGGCATGGTCTCTTCCTTCTGAGTTGACAGCCATCTCGACCCATAAACCCGCTGCAGTGCTACCTGGTAACCAAGATTTGATACATCAACCTTGTACTCAGTCCATGGTTCAAGCTATACATCGCGCACTGGTTATATACTTCTATCGTCGGATACACGACGTTAGTGCAATGGTTCTCCAAGATCATGTACGACAAGCACTGGAGAGTCTCGAGCTCTGCATTGAAAAGATGGTTGAAGACGACGATTTTGCGCCGAGCCTCGCGTGGGCGGCGTACATCTCTGCATGTGAGGCTACCACTCCAGATCTCCAGAAGAGGGCGCTGAAGTGTGTATCGATTAGTGATAGGCGCGGCGTCTACTTCACCTCGAAACCATCAACAGAGGTAGTGTTATCAATTTGGGGGGAGAGGTGTCATGAAACCACACTTCCTTATAAATGGAATTCTATGCTTCAAGAAATTCACGTCTAACGAATGTATACCATCTATTATTCATCAGTCATTATGTATCTTTAAATATATCATGTTGAGACAATTCAATTAGCAACCATGTTCTAAATACTGAACAACAATAATCAACTGCGGTAGGGAGATTTTCTCTTGGCCTCATTTCAAATAGTAGCATCATAGGCTAAATGGGGGACTCCTTGATGAATGAGTTAACACAAGTTTTCCAGTTATCATTGATTTCTCTCGTCTCCGTCGCAGACAAATTCTCACAAGTCTGAAGTATTGGGTGGGAATTTGAAAAAGTCTTCGTTTCCCATGAGATAGCGCTAAAATTTATTCGGTTTACCAATGGTCAACAATACGTTATAGAAATCGGGTTGCTTTTAATTATAGCTAGCGAGATTTCTATGATATATTGCGATGTCTTCTTCATCTCTATTTCCAATTTACAACACTCCACTAACATTGAGAATGTTGAATAGCTCCTCTTTATCTTTCCCTTCTACCATGGTATATGGCTTCCTGACACCACCCGTGGCCCATCCTCGAAGCTCCATGCCCGTCTTGACAGCAGCCGGGTACCCATACGACTCCAGCCACTTGCAGACGGGCCAAATACGAGCCCATAGCTCTTGGCCCTTCTGAAGGTCATGTTCCACGGCGATGGCGTTCCACAGCTGGACGGAGAGCTCGGGGATGAAGTTTGTGGCTCCCCAAACAGAACCCTTAGCTCCGGCAGCCAGTCCATAGAAGGTCAAAGTGTCGTATCCATTGAACGGGGTGATACGGTCACTGTGCGCAAGCAAAAGCTCCGTAAGAGCAGGAGCATCGCCTGATGTGTCCTTCATGTACTTGACTCCGACCTCTGAGAGATCGGCCAGTTCCTTAGGTGAAAGGGTCACGCCGCTAATGGACGGAATGTTATAGTAGAGAATGGGAAGACCAGAAGTGGTGTGGATCTCCTTGAGGAGAGTTCGAAGCTGTGTCAGGTTGGGAGGCTCGTAAAATGGAGGCACGACCATGAGCGCCGAGGCGCCAGCCTTGGCGGCGTGAATCGCATGATCAATGGCGCCTTGTGTGGTGAGATCGCCAGTGCCGGCAATGACAGGGACGCGGCCAGCAGCTGCCTTGACCACGAGTTCAATGACCAGTTGACGCTCTTGGGATGTCAAGGCCGTGAACTCGCCGGTGCTGCCGCCAGGGACAATGCCGTGGACACCAGCGTCAATCAGACGGTTGACGTGCTTGTCAAGGGCAGCAGCATCGACAGTGCCATCGGCGGCAAAGGGGGTGATAAGGGCAACAAGGATACCCTTGATCTCCAGTGTAGGTGCCATTATTGCGGGAATGAATTAGTTGCAACCGGAACAAGTCTATTAATTGGATGGATAGATGTTGTGAGCTGATGGATGATGTCTGATGAGATAGGCCTCACTGAGCCGGATCATACTGGCCTTTTATATCTGATTCTACAATAGCCCTGTGATCCGGTTACAGGAACGCCAAATCGCCCGAGACATTTTTGCACACTTGCACTCCTCAATGAAGTGTCGATTGCGGAGAAGGATGATTACTGGAAGATACATGTTCGATTGAGGTTTTCTTCCTAAACAGGAAAACTGGTGTGGACTATTTCGCACTTCAAGTGGTTAAGGAATGCCAAGGCAGTGTCATCTACGAGGAGTGAAGCATTTACCAGCTGGGCAAGTTTCCACGCCGGAACCGGACATCCCTCAACGGCCAAAATAAGTAAAATCATCATTAACTTCTTTCAGGATAGCTTCTTTTGTCAGAATGTGGGGTTAGTTGCCTTTACGTAATGTTGATGCCTATTGCCTAAGGCATCAAAACAGCTTTTGGACCTGAATCCCTCAACTTTGAGCCATCTTACTCTGGGTAGTTTGCTATGGGGTGTAAAAGAGAAAGAACCAAGTAACCATCTTAAAGTCACGCTTCCAAGAAATCGAGGGTTTAAAAACATATTTCAGGCTAGTCACTTCCTCAACTGCTAAATTGAGTATTATAAAGGTAAGATTCCTAACTACGATCTAAATAATGGCGTCTCTTCATTATTTTATTCCAATATAGGGTAGCTCGAGATGCAACATTTTCTCTAATGGCACTATAAATAGGCAAAGTAAGACAGTGTCCACCAAATTTCATAGTCGCAGCAGATTTTGTGAAGTGCCTCCTTTCATAAAATTCATAAATTGCACCCATATTTGTAATTCCCGGTTCATTAGGCCATTGCACAAGTTGGGGTACTCGACTTCGACTGGCACAAGATTTGACGAGTCATGAATTCACGGACAACAAACATAGCAGGAATTTAAGACCACAGGTGAGGATTATACAGAAGAAGGAGCCGGAGAATTGATGGGACATTGCGATGCTTTAGGTGTTCAATTGGCCGACAATTTATGATGAATTTAGAACTGTCTCGTGAGCGAGACATAACACCTTATTACCCTTGCAAGAGGTCTTCAAGCTTCCCCCCTTCAAAGTCTTGCCAACGTTCCATCGGACTTTTTGTAAGAGATCCGATCGCGGGTGATATCAGACACGGTCCTACAACTAAGGGGAGGGAGAAATGTAAGTGAGAATAGCTTCCCCGTCCATCTAAAACTCTGACTTACCCTGCTAATGCCATTGCCACTTTAAACTCGTGCATGAGAATCTTGAAGGCCAACTCAATGCCCTCTTGCCCATTATACTGTCACACATTAGCTCTAAATTACTGCCATAAGCTAAACAACATTGAAGTTTAGGGATGACACTCACGGCCAAGCCCCAGATAGGGATTCTACCAACAAAGCAGTGGGAGGCGCCCAATGCAAGCGCCTTGAAGATGTCGGTGCCTCGTCGAATGCCGCCATCTAGAGCAATTGGGATTGCACCAGCCGCCACTGGGGCACACTGTCGCAAGACATCGATGGTGGCGGGAACTCCGTCCAGTTGCCTACCACCATGATTGGAGATGAGGACACCATCTACACCGTATTCAGTAGCAGCTTGCATATCGTCGACACTATAGATACCCTTGACCCAGATTTGTAGTTTCGTGTGCTTTCGTAACCAAGGAATGGCCGTTGCCCAGTCCAGTGAGGCATCGTAGTCGTGATTGAGGCGGCGAAGAACCTCCTCGCCACTCGCACCACGGGTAGCGGACCCATTAAGCTCGCTCTTTCCATCGGAGAGCAGGTTGGGCCATGACATGTCATCGGGGAGAATGAAGCTGTTGCGGTATTCGTTGAGACGCCTTCCCAGCATAGGGACATCCGAAGTTAAAAAGACTGCCTTGTATCCGCAAGCTATTGTCCATTCCTTGGTATGAGTAGGGTGACCTTGGAGATGTTTCTTAGTGGAAGAATGACTTACCCTCTGCCCTTTGCAGCATCTGAAGCGTCGTGTTTCGATCTTTCAACACAGAAAGCTGCATCACGTACGGATTACCCTTCCCCACTGCTGCGACATTTTCGATTGATTCTGTCGCATACGAAGAGAGGCCCATGCAGACGCCTATATTGGCGGCGGCCCGAGATGTTGCAAGCTCGCCGTCTGGGTGTGCAAGTTTATGCATCGCCGCGGGGCCAATGGCCAAAGGCAAAGCTGTCTTGAACCCGAAAATCTCGCCCGATATATCGACATTGTCTACATTAACAAGAATCCGAGGTTGAATCTTGAAGTAGTTGAACGCTTCTTCGTTTTCCCGCAAGCTAGAAGGTAGAATCAGCACAAAGAAAACCTAGACATATTCCACGGAGGGCCTTACGTGATTAAATCCATAGCACCCTCGTTATAGTAGTCTGCAGTGCCCTATATAAATAACTGCATTGAAAACGCGTTCATTAGTGTAGGTGTACTTGCCTCGGTACATCTTTGGTAGTCTTTTGCTTCCTTCTTCCTTCAAATCTTGAATGCTATGCACCAACGGGTCCCACGATATTCCTCTGTTTGCCATGATGAATATCTGAATGGTTTTAGAAGTATTTTTGCCACTAATTTGATCTCAAATCAAAAGAATCTGCCTGGCTCAGAATGGCCTGAGCTTGTACAAAAAAAGACTTGGAGTGAGGTAGATGTTGAAACTCCCACACGCTTAGACAAGACTCTATTGATAAAGAAGCTTTAAGTAGTGGACAAATATCATAACACCTGGCAAGAATTTGAATCATAATGTTTGGATATAGCCTTAGGTTATTCCAAAAATGATCACCGTTGACGAGTTGGGCTGCTATAGGGCGACCAATTCCTACCAGCCCAGCTCGTGGATACCTTACCAAAACAGCCATCGACCCCCACCACCACCAGCTGATTTTAACTTCCACTAGTCAGGCAGATATCACTTTCTCCTTTGGATGGGGAATGATAACACGTTGTATTTCATTGGCCAGACGTGTCACACTTGTTGAATAGAGGGGCACATGAATGCTTCCATCCCTGATGACTATCTAGTTCACAACTGTTGAGAAACATTAGCTCGTTGACGATTTCCCAATATTGTTTCCTACTGTACAGGGCACGCTCGATCATTGTCAATCTGGTTGTACCGGTCACATTGCCTACCATCCATTGAGCGCCTTGAGCCAGTCCCAAGCCGACACATGACTGTGACACCCTGAGGAGACGCTGCAGATTCCGAAGTATAGCGGATAACATGAGCCGTCTTTCCTAAAAAGGATACGAAGATCGGGATGAACCACCAAGAATAAATGTCCAGTAAATGATGAATAATAGGTACTTCTGCCTGCCAACCTCTTAAACTGATTACACGTCCGCAGCAAGCATTAACAGTAATGAGGAGTCACGGGGATATTCTGAAAGCCGATGTGATAGATAGGGAATAAATTATTCCTCATATCTATAAGCACCCCCCGGGACTCCTTATGAAGGAGAACTAGTATATATTTACTTCAACGGAGGGCAACAAACGACGGACTGATACAAGTACCCTTAGTTGAGAGGAATATCTTCATTGACGAGCGAGCGCAATACATAGAGAATGGCACGGGGAGCATTTGGATTACCAAGTAGCCCGTCTGTCGCGCCGGCGAATCCAAAGGTAGCAGAGCCCTTTTTGGGTTGATGTTTATCTTGACACACATTACCAGGTAGTCAAAATATGATTTTTTTTTCTGCGGAAACGAATATATTTCTTGGGAAGACTTATCTAGCGCTGTCTGTTTGGATCCTCCAGACAGCTATCTTTTGAGATACCAGCCTATAAATAAGGATACTCTGGATCATTGGCGCGCCCTCAGCAACCTGTGGTACGACTTGCCGCGAAGCGAGCTTGGGTTGTATTCTCCGTGCTTAGATCGAAGCTCCGTTGAGTCTTTTCAAGCCGGTGTAAGCAAAGCACGGAGTCAGTCTAAATACAAGCTAGCCCGTACACTGTGGAACGCTTACGCATGTTCCAGCGCATTAATCGGAGCAGGTCTCATGGCACTGTTTTCTGCCCGTTGGAAGAACGCGGACCGCATGCTGGGCCCGCTTGGAAACTCTGTTCCTTGGATGCTCATTAGCCTAGGCTTTCTCAATCTATCGATGAACTTCCTCATGCTATGGAGGTAGCTTATGCTTGGACTCGAGCCAAAATGGGCAGCAACAGAGAATACGGACAAGGAGATCCATGCTCGGGTTATCGATGGTGTTCGATGGGCGTTGAAGAATCGTGATTGCTCGAACCCCCACGATAAATCTTTCTCCCTGCAAGGGGTTCTCAACATCTGTCAGGTTGTCCAGCAAACACCAGACTACACACGCCCTCTAGCCGACACATATCGCATACTCATGGAAGACCTAATATCCTGGGGTCCTCAGTCACTCATCATGCTGCTTGACGCTGGGCCATATATATCCTCAGCTCCGTCTTGGGTCCCAGATTGGACCGGGAGCGGTCCTAGCGAGTGGCTTGTGTCCCTATATCGAACTGGTATGGCACCGACTGCGGCATATCTTAGGCCATTTTCAGATATCCAAGTTGTCAACAACTCCATCCTCCGACTGAAAGGGAAATCCATCGGCACGATCAAGTACTTCATAGACATGACAATGCCCACTACCAGTCCGAAAGACCAGCAGCTCTCGGCACTGTTCCGACTCGCAGAATTCCTCGCCCATATAAACAATGAAAGTTTTCGGCCTTGAAACCCTGATGATTTAACAGCAACATCGTTCGCTGTGCTAGAAGGAGTGATGTGGAAGGAAGGGTCGAGATGGAAAGAAGGCAACGCATGGTGCAAAGCACAACGCGATTAGCGGCATGGGAGGGGCCATATGACTTCCGCAAGCAGAGAAGTCAGTTTTTGCGTCTACGTGCGCTACGAAAGCTAATAATGAACGCTCTGCCAAGGTTAATAAATTTGGAGTCAGAGGAGAGATCAGGAGCGGCGATTACTGAGTTGCTCCAGGAGGTTCTACACAGCAACTACACAGGAAATTACTTCCTTCGTCTTATAGACATACTAAACACGCAGAAGAGGAGTCTGTACATTCTGTCATCCGGGCTTGCCGGCACAGGACCTCTGGGGGCTTCTGTGGGGGATGAGCTTTTCCTCCTTCCTGGGGTACCAGCTCCCATGGTATTAAGAAAGGCGGATAAAGCAGATGGTATGACTGTGATTGGGGCAACTTTTGTTCACAGCATGATACATGGTGAAAAGACCCTTGCCATTACCTTCACGACGGTAGATCTATGTTGATAGTTTGTGGTCCTTCGTGGTGGTTAGGTGCTATCACTGCTGTTTCTAGCTACTCTTGGCTGATGAGAGATATGTGATAAGAGCCGTTGCCTAGTCGCCGCTCCATTTTGACCTTATTCATCTTATTGCTGCTTCAGCGTTGTTACTATACAAGCTTCCTCCTTAGCAATACGTAAGATATCGATGCTCGTTCGTAAACTTGAACTGGCTATTTGACCCCAACCGAAATCAATCCTTACAATAAAGTTTCATTTTCTGCACACTGTATTCGGAACAGGTGCCTCGATAGGGAAGGTCGTTTGTTGTTCTCCGATTAATAATTCTCTCTAAGCATGAAAATGGGACAACGCGGCATTATTGCTGGGATAATGATTAAAACGAATCTGCGAGCAAAGAGGCATAGATCGCCGCCGGCAGACCGAAACCTCCTCACTAGATTGAAAAGAACCATTTTCATACATCAATATGTATGGGAAGGACACTTAGCTCACTAAGTCTCGAATCCGAGCTTCGTATAGGAAGGTATGATTGTCACCTCATTCATGGGTTTTGTACTTCCGAAACAAAATCATGTAAGGTCGCCTTGGCTGGTACAGTGACATTTTGACGCAAGCCCGGGAAACACCCGATGCTCAATTTCGTCATTATAATGACTCGAGTGATATAGAGGCTACCTTATGTCTCTATACGACCGACCCACTGCCGGGGTACTTTTAGCCAACTGCCGGCAAGGTTGCATTTTATCAGTGAGGGGATGGGAGTTATTGGCTCGCTAAGCCCCGGGGTCTCTTCCTGAATCCATGGATGATGGGACTTGCCTCGTAAAGGCATGGGCAGGCTATAACAGCTCGACCGTCGGTTAATTCCTTTCACGGAAAGCGAGAATTTTATAAGAAGGTAGCAATGCCCGATCCTAGCGGGCACCTTTCGACCTCGTGTTCAGACCGCATACTTTGAAACCTACATCTGATCTCCAGCTTGATTCTTTTGTTGTGTGTAAAAATGAAGTTCGCAAATTGCCTGAGCGTTTTGCTCTCCTTCGCTGGGTGCGCATTCGGCGCTGCCATCGCCCGTGACGAGACCGCAGCGGAGGATATCAGAGCCATCTATCTATTCAAGGATGTCATGGTATCCGACACCACGGCCCTTCAGACATCGGGCTTTAACACGGTCCTCATGTTTGGTGTCGGGTTTCTCGAGAATGGCGATATCATGTACTACTCCAACACCGCAGGAAGCTCGGACGTGCTCGTGGCCTCGAACGGTGCCTACGTCGGCGGCACCGCACTCGCGCAAAAGGTGCTTTCACTCAAGTCAGCACCAGGGACGGGCATCAATCGAGTGGAGATTACCAGCAACTCTATCCACCTCAAGGAACTGATGGCTAGCCCCGGTCCTGGGTCGGATACAAGGCTGTACCGCAACCTCGCTGCTCTGAAGGAGGCGTGGAACCTGGACGGCTACAACAACAATGACGAGGCCATTTATGATCTGGCTAGCACTGTTACGTTTGCCAAAATGGTTGGGGAGGTTGGATTGCATTTTACAATTGTCCCGTACACTCGTGCGAGTTTCTGGGCGAGCGTCAAGTCACAGGTTGGCGATTTACTTGATAGAGTGTATCTGCAGTGCTATGACGGTGGTGCTGGCAATAACCCAGCTAGTTGGGAGAGCACTCTCGGTATCAAGATTGTCCCTCTCATCTGGGTGACCAATGACTCGAAGCCAGTCTATGGGACAACACCCGCGCAAGCCCGCACTCGCTTCGCTGGCTGGGAAGCTCAGAGCAGCCTAGCTGGAGGCGGCTACTGGAATGACTATGATATCGAGAAGATGGGGCTGTCATACACTGAATATGGACAGGTCCTGAAAGATCTGTTCCCCTAAATGGGGTGGTGTTGTAGTGACCTGCTACATGATGTTGGCCTTTAACGAACCGGATGTCAGCTAGTTGATATTTACTTACCGACAATGCAAGATTAACTTTCTGTTAGGTTTATATTTGGCCCAATTTCTTCTGCCAGTGATTGACGCTTAAGGGATTGCTTTCGGCAGTAAATGATATGTACACCTTGAAGGCCTCGTGATACACCAGGCGCAGGGCAGCCATGCAGGCCTCGAGCAACATTATTTGGACATGCTCAGCGCCTCATGCTTCTCAGTGTTGAGGTATATAGTCAGGCATGTTCCCTCATCTGCCAAACCCCTTCACTGGCCGTATGCGAAGGCTTGGTGCACTCAATGGGACTGGAAGACACTTTTGCCTACAAATAACTGAGCCTTCCATTCAGTGCAATGTTATCCGCTGGTGCGATCTATAGCACTTCCGGGGTGGAATTCTCGATTCGTTCATTTATATGAGCACTTCTTTACCATTCTAGGGCCGAATAAAGTCATATTGGAATGCGAAGCACCATGCAAAAGATTGTCAGCATCATGCATGCAGCCAACACAAGGCCGACATACCTCACCGACTTACCTCGTCCAGAGAGAGCCTTATGTCGGTCACTCCCCAGGATCAACGGTTTTATCCGGCTGGCTTATGGTTGCCCTCGGCTTATTTCTTAGCGGTAGCCCAACTGGGGCTTGAGTATAGCAGGGTTGTCTCGGTGAGCGAGCCATGCAGGCGCACCTGGAAAATCCCGAAGTATCTAGCAAGAAACGTGGAAAAAGGAATATGCTTTTCACCGAACATACGGCACACTACATCCAAAAGTTAATACACTCCCTCGTTGGAGTGCTAGACGTGGGTATGTATGGACTGGTGAGAGTGTCTAATGCAGAATCCTTAGGTACGAAGCAGCCGGGAAGCCTTCTTGATCATCCAAGATGGTGCGGCTGAGTGGCAAATGGCCATCTTGCAGTCAGATAGTGTGCTGCTCACAGCAATGTATGCTTACATTTAGGTCGATCACTTGAGTCTAGCCATCAATAGGCCTTGCCGGGGGGTTCTTTATTGGTGAGACGATCTCAGCTTCCGCACAACAAGGTGATTCAAGGTGAAGGCCAGGCACTAGTGCTTTCGATAGTCTGCGCCACCACATTCAGCTGAGCATCCTTAACTGCACACCAGTTGCTCAGGGTGGCGAGTACAAATCAAATGGCATCAAGAAGAAGTGCTCCTAATGCGGCATTACGAGGACTGGACCATGTTTTTAAAGAAGCGACATATGTCTAGCTCTATGCATACCGCCTTTCTTCTTTTATAACTCTCGGTCTCGTAGCTACTCGCGGCACGACGGCCGCGTCATACCTAGAGAATTATTGTCCGCTACATTAGATAGAGAGCCTGCTGAGAGAGACAGCCACGACAGATGGATACCTCGCAGATTCGAACTGGGGAGCCTGGTGTCCCCATTCACCAGTCCATCTCGGCCAACAATGCCTACCCCGATCCTCATCCCCAATACACGCAGCCACCGATCTCAGGAATTGAGCGAAAGGCTGTGGCGCGAAAACAAGTGGGCAGCAGTCAACAAACTCCTCCCAGAGGTCCCCAAACCTCTCGCCCAGCTTCTCTGATTACGCTGCCGTCCTCCCCAAACGTCAACTTATATTACCCTCAAGCTACTAGTTTTGTCCCACAGCCATTATATTCATCCCCTTCTCCTCACCATATGCATGAGGTTCCAGGTGTATCAAACCCCAACCAAAATCAGATCAAATCGCAAGCAACAGTGAGCCTTGTCGCCTCTGGACTTATCCACCAACCGCTGCCTTCACCAGCGCCAACAGGCTTCCCCCAAGGCACACAACGTCCACAGTCGGCAGTAACACAGCCCCCGTCTTTGGTCAGGGTCAATACCTTACCAATTCGTACCCATCAGCAACCTCAACGCCATTTACAACGAACAGCGACTGTGTATACACCCTCCAATCAACATGTGAAGCATTTGAGCTTCCCAACAAATGGACACCCGCAATCTCCAGCTATGAGCAGTCCCACAGGCTCAACAACACCATTGACAGCCGACTCCATACTCGAAACTTCGGCTCCGGCAGTCAAACAGGTACATTCATCGCCTATAACTGGCCCAGGCGGCGGTGTTATTTCTGGGACAGTGACCTGTAACAACTGCAAAACCGGTAAGACGCTAGTTCTGATGCTCTCCCGACCTTATTTCTAACGGCACAACGCAGGAATCCCGTCAAATGTCTCTGTCTATACCTGTCTTATTTGTAGCACAGGGCAGACCCTAACCCACTTCTGTGTCTGGTGCTATACGTCCGGCTCAGCCGCCACGTCTCACAACCACGATAAAGCCTTCTTCGTCACAGACTCTGATTAGCTCATCCTCTTACCTGCCAATCCCGAGGTATCCGCAAATCTTTGGACGATACGGCGGAATGTGTTTGGCACAATTTGGTACATGCACAAAGCTACAGGACAACGCACACACGTGAAGCCAAATCCAGGCGCAGTCCTCCGGTCAGAAGGTCTACCCGCCGGGTGGGCTGAGCACAACTCGCCGGAAGGACGTATATACTTCTTCAATGGCACGACAGGAGCCAGTAGGTGGGACAGGCCACCCGGCTCCCTTCCCAATGGTTGGAAAGCGCTACGGACACCAGACATGGCTCCTTTTTATGTTAATGAAGCGCTGGGACTCTCCACTTGGGACCGCCCAGGAGAACCGCCGAAGCCGAATCAGTCGCCCGCGCAGTCTCCAGCTTCCAAATCCTCAAAGCCCAAATCTGCGGCTGCAGTAAAATCCGCATCCACCGTGGGTGCGGCAGACACCACCCGTGCGGTTGTAGCTCCAAAGCCAGCCGGTGCTCCAAAGACAGCTGGTGGCGGAATGTCCAAGATGTTCGGTAAATTGGGCAATGCGCGGAACATCATGAAGGTTGCTAAACTTGGTATGAAACTTGCCGAAGGAGACTTCGAGGGAGCAGCAGAGTCTGGACTCGAAGGTGACGAGGATGGCGATGATGATGAGGAACTAGACGAGGAGCAAGAGGAAGAAGAGGTTGAGACGGATGAAGTTGGGTCTGGTGGGGCCGCAGGCGATGATTCTTTGAGCCAACCAACCCAGCCATTTCAGCAGACAGCTTATCATGAACAAGCCATGGCCCAGCAACCTGTCTCTGATCAGACACCTTATGCACAGCCCGCTTATGAGCAGCAAGCCTATGAACAGCCTCTGTATGGGCAGCCCGTTGGGGAACAACCACTCTACGGGCAACCTGTCTACGAGCAACCCATGCCCCTGACTCAACAGTCCGGCTTTGAACACGGCCAACCTACTCTTTTTCCAGGTCAAGAAGGCTACCCACCAGAAATCTTACAGCAAAACTTTCAACAACAGCCACACATTGTGGATCACCAGGTTTTATGCGAGCAAACTACCACGTTTCCGCCGTTGCATAGCGAACAGCCAATAGTTTATGAGCAGACCGATACATATCTACAATCATCCTACCAACAGCCGACGGTACCAATATCCAGCCCGGAAGCATACGATCAACCTTATCTTCCGGGAGGCGAGCAACCATTTTTCCAGCCACAGGAAATCCTAGCCCCGGCTTCGATTCCAGAGCAGCCCGTTTTCATGGAACAACAACAACAACTTCAGTATCCTGAAGGCTTGACGACTGCTCCTCTCGCAGAACCTGCGGTTATCACCAGTGGAGATATGAGTCAACAATCGGCAATACCAATGACTTTCCAAGGCCCTCTGCCACCAGAAGCAATGAATGCAACTTGTGGTCCAAGTGAAGAGCCAGCTCCGGATCAATTCCAGGTGTACGCCAACCCGGGATCAGACATGAAAATGCCTTCAGTGTCTGTAACTTCACAGCCTGATCAATCGGCAATGATGGTGAACACTCTCTGATTCTCCATCTATCTTGGTGACTCTTGAAGCTAATGTTAACTTGCAGGAGCCATCTGCCGAACCTTTTCATCCCTCGTCCTTGCAACCTCTTACACCAGAACCAGTTACCATGAATGAAACCGGACTACCGGTAGGGGCTCATCCTATCTCGGTTACGCCAACGTGGATAGGGCTGTAAGCAGTCATCGCGTACCTGGTCGTCCAAGTCCGATCATTTGGGCTTTTAAAACAAGAAAGAATGTTCTCTCCATACCATAGTTCAGAAGATACGAGGATAATAACACATACTTTTTGTCCAAAACCCACCATTTTCGTGTTCAATATCTTTCCCGCGATAGCTAGATGTTTTGAAACCCACAAAAAATGTAAAAAAAAATATATACAAGAGCCCGCTCATTATACACGCCCAACCCAACAACGAGTTAAGACATCCCACCAACCCCAGGATCCCCGCCCACATAGCCATCGTAAGCCGTCGAGTCAAAGAACAGCGTCGTCCACGGCCCGCTGAGGTCCGCCCAGAGATTATCCAGCGATGCGACGTTGTCCCCCCCAAGCTGACCTTGGACCTGCAGGTTGGCGAATTCGGAAACGGCGTTGCAGTCAGCCACGCCGCCGGGCTGTGCTAACCCGTCTGGCTCCGGAGGGAGGGGCCCTACCTCCGTCCCGGTCGCGCCGCCAGTGAGGTCGTGGAGCTCGTGCAGGACCTCGAGGAAGCGCTGGCCGAGGGGGTCTCCGTCCACGCCGATGGGGAGCTCGCTCAGTGCCCGGTCTGCGATCTCTCTAATGTCGTACTTGCCGGGCCAGAAGTGCGTGTATAGGAGCAGAGTTCCGATTGATGCGAACTGGATGTAGTTGTTCATGAAGAATATTCGCGAGAACATTCCCTTTTGTAAGAGGAAATGACACTCGGAGATGACCATCTTTGCGGCGCTGATGGACTTGTCGTGGCACTTCTCAACCCACTGGTCCAGGCTTGGCTGTCGGATTGCGTTGGTCTCTAGGGAGTAGAGGATGAACGGCCGGTATAGCAACAAGCTCGTGTGAGCGTACATGGTCTTGATCGTGGCCAGTTGCCTCCTCATCAGCACCGACAATGCAGACTGTGGGATGAGGAAGAAATCTAGGTAGGGTGGGAGATTGGCCTTCCATTCGCACAGGTCATTCTCCAGCTCCATGGCTGATTTGTATAGTTTGGATATTGGTCTGAGGCGAGCCGCGGGGCTGTACAACTCTCGAAGAATCTTACCCAGAATCCGCGCGACGCGAGAGTAGTAAATGAGAGCTGCAGCAGCACAGAACTGGTCCTTTGGGGTGTGGATGATACCCGATACAGTGATGCCGTCGTCGTCGGCAAACTCGCACTCTTCCTGGTCAATGTCATCGTCGTGGATGGCACACGGTCGTCCAAACAGGCTGCTCAGCTGCCGGTCGTTGATGTACATGGTCCAGAAGATGCGCTTGCGGAAGACGTGGGCGATGTAGTCTGTTGGTGGGCCGATGGAATGGCGATGAATCCCCAACGCTTGAGCGTGACGCACGAGGGTGCCAAACGTGGACCATGCCTGATGGAGTCTTGAATGGTGGATGAGGAAGTGAATGGCCAAGAGTCTGGTTTGCAAGGTAGCGAGCGTGATGCGACTGGGGTCTTTGTCAAGCTGCTTCATGCCCATTTCGAAGAAGCGAACGCTGAGTAAATGTTAGTTGATTTGATGCGTGGTCAGTCAGTCTAGATCACCAACACACCTAGAGTTGTAGCCGCAGAATAGGTTCTCCAGCTTGGAGTAGTGTGAGCCCAAAGCAAACACCATGTAGAGAAGAGCGATCACATCAGAGCCGAGCTCCTTCCGAGCATCAAGGTGCCCATAGAAGGTCTCGTATATCTGCCTCATGCTCGGCTCATGAACAAAACGCGTCGTGGTCAAGCCGAAGTCAAAGTATGAGTGCATCAACTCATCTGCAATGGGTTTCGGCGGGAGGATCCAGTCAGATTCCTCAAGCTTCGGGAAGGGGGAGTCGACAAAGTAGATGGACATGGAGGGGATACTGGCCAGCTTCTGCTTGGTATATTGCAGATAGGCAAACTCGGATGTGCCGCCATGATAGTGGCCGAACTGGTCTTGCTGGACGGTGTCTTCGATAGTGCCCTCATTCAGCAGGGGGCTGTCACCCTCTTCCTGCTGGCGGACGGAGACTTCGGTCGAGCCTCGTGCCGTCTCGAGACTGCTCCGACCGACCTCGCCGGTCACGTCTACGGGTTGGTCGGAGGCCTTGGGCATATACTCGCACGTCTCGCCATACTTTCGGCACCGGATGCAGGGCATATGGCCGGAGCAGCGGGTCTTCTTGCTAACGGGTGGTTCGGCAATGAGAAAAGAAGAAAACATACGCGATCGATTCCCGCGGAGGGGACGCGAAAGGAAACTTACTCTCGACAGGCATTACAAGCGCTCCGAACCTTGGGCAGGCGCCCGGTCGGCGTCCTGATCCTGGGATCCGGGATTCTCTTCGGCCTCCCCCGTGCCTGCTGGCCGTCGACCTGCCAAGGGACAATGGTCAAGCCCAGGGGCGGCGTGGATCCCGCCATGTCGCGCGCCAGCTCAAGCGATGGCCAGGCTGGCTGAGGGGACACATGCAATCGTCGTCTTGCGATTCGCGGCGGCCGTTGAGGCGTCTCAAGATCAGTGCGTGGAGAAGTCGCGTGCTGGATGGAGCGCTACGAGCCACGAAGTCACTCTATTCTGCATTGGCGGTCACGAGGATGTCAGACCTTGCAGCACTTCCGCAGCTCGACCCCGCTTGTGGGACAATTTCCGGCTCATTCCGTTGGCTGACTCAAGTTCTCTGTGGGGATGAAGATGGGGGATGATGAAATAGGAGAGTTGGTGTGGCTCGCGACGAAGACTGCCAGCCTACCCTATGGCCTCGAACCACATGACGTGTTCAGCCTGCCCGCACACCCTCAGCGCAACTTTTTTCAATAGTTTATTTGATGGAGGCGAGATGCTGACACTCTGGCACAAAACAAGGACTGGACCCATGTGAGGAGAGAGCGCTGTTGCCTGCGGTTCGACTAAAGTACCGAAGGATGAATTGTCGGTGTTCGTCCCTGGTATGCGAACCAGCACAGCACCCATTTATCCGGGGTGCAATTACATGTTATAAGCAGGACGGTATCTTATTAGGAAGTCGATATGACTCAGAATTGAAGCGATAAAGACAGGGATACCCAATAGTGGTAGGGCAGAAAGCCCGGCTTTCCCAAGAAGGATTACGACCAAGATAAGATCCAAGAGGCGCAAAATTGACTCGCCTTCCACGTGCCGTCAGCTGCAACATTTCCAGCGCGTCTACACGGGCCTAGACGCTCGAGACAGGGCCTAGAGAGAGCCCATGCTGCCTAAAGGAGCCAGAGTGTGTAGGCGGATGGAGCCTCTGCTGATAGGTTTAGGCGTTATCATGCTGCTTAGAGGCGCAGCAATTTCCCGATCCTGCGAAAACGGTCTGAAATTGATTGGCTTATCGACTAATTTACCACTATGGACCGGGCCACCGTTGTTGGGTTGCATCACGCCAAGGGCGCCGTCACAGCCTAGTATAATCTCGCCGTCTTTGTCTCCTTACCATGTCTTTCTTTCTTTGTTGTTTTATTATCTCTGTTCTTTGTGTGTTTAATGATATATGATATTGTGTAACAGCAAAATAATGACTCTTAAATAATAGTTTTCCCAGCTTCGTCACCCGGTCCAAGCAGCTGCTCCAACAGGATTCACCAATCTTATATGGGATAGTTCGATTTTGGTCGATCAAGAAGACAAAGCACGCGACCACCACACCTCTCTGCTTCACAATGAAGCTCTCAGCCAGCTTCCGCAAGTATCGGGAAGGTAAACGACGGGAGAAGGAGTTCAAAGCAGTGTTCCTTGAACCCAAAAGCCCCGCCAAGGTTCAGATCACCGAGATCCAGTCCAGAACCCCTTCCCCCGAGCATCGTCCCGGCCTCTTTTTCAACCTACCTCCAACCTTGCGCCGGGATATTCTCATCCTAGCTTTTGGGGACAAGACTCTGCACATGCACCTGGACTACCAACATCCCTTCCACCTACGGAAAGATATAGAGTTTCAAGACTCATTCGAGTACATCTACTTCTCTTCGGACCAGCATAATCAGTTCCATGGCAGAATACAGAACTTTAAATCCCAATTCGCCGGCAAGCGACATCATGTGGATCGACCGAAGGAGTGGCATTGGTTCGGTTGCGTGTGTCATCGCTCCCCACCAGCCGGTGAGTTTGGGATAGAGCAACTTTCATGTGGGAGAACAAGGAGCCGGCTAGACTATGGCAAGGAACTAGATGAGGACGGCTGCATGAATGGCGCTGGGGCCTGTGCAAATCACTCTGGCCAGTGGCCACACAAGTGTCAGATTCAAGTCATGGGATGGCTCTTGACTTGCCGTCAAGCGTGAGTGATCAGGTGTGCCTTGGATGGATACTTATTTCCCGATACTAACAGTTTCTTAGATATATCGAAGGAATGGACGTTCTTTACAGGACAAATACGATCCACATATCTACCGCCCCTCTCCTCCGAGGTCTTCAAAATATCATGTCGGAGACAGTTCTACAGCACCTCACTTCCCTCGAACTAGTATGGGATGCTGACCAAGTTCCGATTGCACATGGGTTCAAAGATCAAGCGAAATCCAGGCCCCCATCGACGGTGAGACGCACACCTGTGTTTCCATATTTGATGTTTCTCCGGATTGCCTTCAAGGCAGTCGAACCAGCCAAGACAGATCCCGCCACTGGCCTTTTCTGGCCTTACAGAAGTGTGGATGAAGTAGAGAACCGACTCAGGACTCGTCTTTTCCCCTCCATCGGCGATCTCTTAAAAAGGATTGTGCCTTCGACTACCCATGTTACTCTTTCGTGCCCGGATTGGACCTGGTTCAAAGCCACATGTGATTCACTGAAAAACAAGAATGCCGATGCTGGGACATTTCAGGTTGCTGAGATTGGGGGTGTCAAGGTTTGGTGGCCGATCGAATCTACATCTACAGCGCTGCAACGACTGCGGAGCCCTGATCCCTTGTTAGGGGATGATGGGACGGACGCTCCCAGAGAAGGCTTCTGGGTGCATATCCCCGAACACAAGGTTGATCTTGACTCTGAAGGAGAATTGAGCGAAGGTAAGCTGAATAATCATATTTCAAAATGTACGTAAGTGCACTGACGTGTTTCATAGAAGAAGATTCTCGAAGCTGCAGTACGGACAGTATGGAAAATCCATTTGATCGACGAGATGCTTTCTAAAACAAGCGAAGCGAGATATGAAGCTTTAGTTGTTGTACTTTTGTATAAAATAGAGCTCTCACTGAATGATTTTTTTCTCACAAAACTTTTGATACAATGTACTTTTGTATATGAATAGAGTTAAGTAGCGAGTGTACAAATACTTTAGCTAATAACATGATGTATATTTGGAATTATATGCCGGTATCAAGCCCCTAATTCTGATATGAACTTGAAACAAGTGTGGGTTGTGTTAGAGAGAACAAGTAGCTAGTGGACTCATCCAACATATAAGTTAGAAACGTGTGCCATTTTCACGTTGTTTCTGTATCGGGATTATTCTATCATCATGATAGTATGGTGCCAGGTTTGCCTGGATCTTCGTAACATACTTAAAACACGGTAATAGATGTTGGAACTTTCAGAACATCCAACCCAATAAGAAGTTAGACATCTAGAGAATCTTAATCAAGAATCTGATGGCTGCTCCACCTCAAGCCTAGGTGTAAGGAGGCAGTGGCTTAGTCTTAACAAAGCATTCATCGACCACGCACAAGATACTGCTTCAATGGCCACCCAATAATGCCAAGCGAGGAACAAAGCATCAGAGATCCAACAAATATAATGGCTGGCTCAAACCTGCCCAGGCCGTACGCCGAAAGCTGCACGGGCCTTGTCACAAGCATTGCAGAGATTGGACCCGTCACGATGTTCCCAATACCCTTTCCAAAAGACATCATGCTGTATACTGGCTGGGGGTCTTCCGAGATTATACTTCCAAACTTTGGCCAGAAGACGGCATACGCACCGGCCGACCACCCATAGATGATGGAGAACATGAGAAGAGAGACCAAGGAGTGTGAATAGCCCCAGAGTCCAAAGCTAGCGACAGCCGAGACAGCCGTCGAGATAAAGATCAAGAGATATATATTCTTGAAACGGTCTGTGAGGTGGCCGAAGCTCAAGAGCCCGACGGCAGAGGCAAGATTATTCGCTGCGAGAATCAATGCGCCGACTGTTCCGGAGAGGCCAAGAGCAGCTGCGATGGACGGTAAGTAAAGAGACGGTATGTAGTACGCCAAGCCCTGGCACAGATTAGACAGGCCAAAGACCCAGAACAGCGGCGCTCTGAAGAACTTCAGATCTATCGGCTGCAAGACGGAGTGATGCGAATGAGGCAGCCGACCCTTCAAGAACGGCAGCATAGGGGCAACGAGCACAAATTGCGCCACGGCCATGATGCGAAGAGTGGAAGGATGGCCCCATTTGGTGAGGAGCCATTCGAGCAGAAATGGAAGCCCGACGCCGTTGATGCCGCCCCCAGCATAGAGAATTCCGTAGGCAAATCCTCTGCGGTGGACGAACCATTCATTGAGCATGGATACCACAGGCATATAGAGTATCAAGAAACCAACACCATAGAGAACCCCTTGGGTCCAGATGAGACCGACAACGGTGTTGACAAATGACGCCAAGACGAGAGACACGACGCATATGGCTGAGCCGAAGATAACCATGTGCTGCCGCCATCGGCCGAACCGCTTGACAAAGGGCGCGGCAAAGGGCGCGCCAAGGAACTGAAGACTTGTTGCGAGCGTCCCGATGACTGGGATATTCGGGTCATTGCCGAACTTCGGAGTGCTCGCATAATGGTTTTGGAAAACACCGAAGCATAGAGGGAAGCCTAGACAAGCAGCATTAGATCTCTGTCGGTGATGAAGATGGTGGGAGGAAGAACATACCCCAGAGTACAGCCTCGATCAAGAATGAACCCAATAGGAATTTCCATGCTTCTGTTCCCTTGTCGACGGGCGGAAGCATGGGAATTGGGTTCTCCCCAAGTTCCTCCTGATGGGAATTCCGGTCATCTGGATCAGTTCGTGCTGTAGGAATGGTCCGTAGCTCTGTGGCCATTGTCCAGGAACTTTCGCGTTTTAATTGCACAGATTGAATTGGTGATTTAGGAGAACTGAGAATCTATGTACATTGTGATGCATGCGAGAGGTATTTCTTAAGTTTTGTAGAAGGATTCGCCGACAATCCGAGATCCCCGCTCTTGCATCAAGCCGGACCGGAGGGCCGAGACTCGGCATCAGATCACACAAATTGTCGGTGTAGAAGATTACAAACAGAACAGCCAGTGATATATAACACTCCAGTAACTACAATATTCAAAGATTAGGTAAGTACCTTGACTCATTTGCGAGCTCATGGGGAGGACATCGCTGCTCATACTAGAAATCAGCACAGTTGAATGCTTATTTGCGAACCAAAACATATATATGTTTTGTTCTTTAGTCACTCTAATCTAACTTAATATACATTGCCGGAGAGCTGTAGGATATCTTGACTATCCAATGGAGTAGGTCGCGATTATAGTGTAATCTTGGCTTCTACGGCCACAAGAGTTGGTGTTGCTGACGTAGCTGCCGCGGCATTTGGCCCACAGGTGCTTACCTTCAAACCAGCCATGATGGACGCATAGCCCTCAGGAAGGAGCTCATCAGGCTCTCCCGCGGGGATGGTGCCGACATAGGGGTTGAAGTTGTAGATGCCGCAGGGGCAGTAGTCGAGGATCTGCATGCCAGCATCGCCCTCGAGAACCACCTTGTCACCGTTGTAAAGGCGGAAAGTGACCGCTCCGGCAGCCATGTCGACAGAGAACTTGGCTGGACCCTTGGGAGCCTCGAAGCTCTCGGTCTTTCCTCCAGCAGTAACCTCGAGTCTTCCGGCCTCGGTCAGCAGGGTAACGATGAAGACCTTGTCCTCCATGGTCTCCCAGCCATCAGGCCTGCCCTTGAAGTAGTTGCCGGTGCTGTTGTTGGCGTCCTCCATTGTCGTATCGGTGGCGTCGCAGTCGAGGTCGCTGCGTGTGGGTCGGAACCAGTAGACAATCTTGTTCTCGGTAATGTACGAAGTAGCGTCGGATGCACCATCGTGATAAGCAGAGATGAAAGGGACGGCCATGTCGAGCCAGCCATTATGGGGGAATCCGTAAACCCACTTCGAGTTGCCGTCATCACCATGGGGGCTGTCAAGACGGCCAACGTAGTGAGACTCTCCGTAGTCGTTCCAGGTGACAATCTCGAGGAATCGGGGCTGAAGCTGAAGAATCTGTTGCCAGCGGTCGTACCACAGGGTATCGCCCTGGAAAACCCAGTTCTTGCTGTAGTCGACTTCAGGGCCGTAGTGGGTGAAGAACCAAGGAGAAACAGGGGCGACATAGGGCTTTCCTGCGAGAGCCTGAGCGTATGACTTGTCACCGTCCTCGACTGTGACGGTAGCACCGGGCTTTGGAGCCTTGTTGTTTCCGTCGTTGTTCCAGCCCATCCAGTTGAGGGCTGCGTCGACCGTGCTGAAGTCTGCCTCGCCAGGGTGGAAGTTGGGTGCCCAGAAAACCTCGCGGCCCGCGGCTTCGCGGATGGCGCTGCTGTCAACTCCATCTCCCGCGAACGAAGACACAAAGACCTTGTTGTCCACAATAAGCTGAGCTGGCTTGGAAGCATAGTTGGCAACCAGCTTTCCGACACGAGTGCCTTCGGTGATGTTGTACCAGTTAAAGTCGAAAGAAATAAAGACCTTCATGTCGTTATTGGCAGCAGACTCGTAGGCATAGTTGAGTTGGGTCTCGGAGTAGTCGTCCGTGCCGATGTTGAGCGCAAAGGCGTCGATGCCAGCCGCTTTGGCCCTCTTCATGTCATCGTCATAGGCAGCAGCACTGGCTCTGGATCCCACAATACCAACCTGCAATCAAGTCAGAAACATGGAATCAAATGCTGCCAGCGGAGTATTCCTTACCATGAAATGGGCGAAGACCAGCCTCTCGCCCTCACTTTGCCTTTGTAAACGCTGACTCGTTGCACATTGAGGGACTGCACTGGCCAACTCCGCGGCCAATGAGGCCAGGACGGCGGCGATGTTGCCAACTGATCCGAGACGCATGATGGATATCTTATCCTGATATGCCTCGAGAGAAGGAATGATGGTGTCTACGATTCCTTGGGTTCAAATCGTTCGTCAGATTGGTTTTTGTATGTTCAAATGTTTAACCCCCATAATGCCAAGCGTTCCACCATCTTGCAGGGCCAAAGCATGTAGGAATTGCCATCCCAGCATCCTGGGCCAAATACCGTCAGCATGACCTCCAACTGGGCAGGCGGTAGTGGAAAAGGTTTCAAGCCGCGACAAAAACTACTCGAGATGGTGTTAACTGCCGATCGTCCGAATTCTATTTTTAACTACCGAATCCATCCTCGTGTCCCATGCGGAGTCCTTAATTTCCGTTGATATCATGCAGACCAGCTGCCGTTGATCTTCACCTATTAAGCTTCTTATTTCCTCAAGGCCCAGGGGGCAACATAAGTTATCCAAGCTCCCACCCAAGATTGGTAATTGGACGAAATGCGAAAGAAAGAGTCTCATGTCGTTCTTCCTGTCGCCACCAGACATCGATCAAGCCGATCGATTCAGAATGAAACAAAGCAGCCAGTTTCATGTTGAGCGGAGACGCCGAGTCATGCCCGCACTATGTGATGCGTGACTCAGCATGGTCTATTCCTTCGTTTCCTCCCGCTACGATTTCAATTATCGAAAACGAAGTTTGAAAGAAAAAACTAAGCCAATTCCAGAGGCTTTCCACACAGATGGCTGGCAAAAAGGGGGAGGGTCGGCCAAGTTAGCGTAGCCAAGGCGCCGGGTATCCCCTTGTTACCAGCCCCTGGCTGCCTCCTGTTCGGCTTGGAGCTCGACAAGAGAGTAGAGAAAACTATTATTTATGCCCCTTCTGTAGGTCGCACGAGGCACATGATCGAGCTCCTGATCCCAGGTTTAATTTGTCGCCACTGTTCCAAGTGCACATACTTTCGATGATACAAGGAGGGTGCGCTGACGATTTCAGGCAAATCCAAGCACGGCAATTGAGCAACCAGGCGATGGATTTTGGCGGCTGCCAATGAAATGCCGCCCCGTCAAATCTTATTAACCATACGTAGAAGGTCCCTCGGAGCCCTGGAATCCACGCTGCCCGAGGCCAGCCAAGCTCGAGTCTGACAGGGTCAAATGAAGTGCTCCACGCGGTCTGACATATCCCATGCTGATGATGACGACTCGCCGAATCGCGGCCGAATCCTCTTGCGGGACCGACACGAATTATTTCGGTAAACCAGCGTCTCGGATTCGCCAGCATAGACAGGGAAGAAAGGTTTGCCGGCACTAGCAATATATGTCAGCGGTATAGGCTCACTATACATAGTATAAATGATACCCATTCAAGTAAAATAGAAGGCAAATGGAATATTTTAGGATGACTTGAAACGGGAATCTCAAGTGAAACGCGCTGTATCTCTCCCCTACGGCGACAACACGAGGCGGGACGGGTTGGCTAACTAAACCCGAAGCTTCTCATCCCTAGCACGCACGCCCTTACAGAATTCATGCTAGAGGGTCATGGCTCAATCCAACACAGTAATTTGAATGAAAGGACCATTTATCATATGTATGGTGACCGGCGCTTCTACGGCTTCTGCAATGAAGAAGAGGAAAGTCGTTCCGTCTAACCACCGAATTAGTAAGGTCTCATTCCCCATTCAGGTATTTCAAGCAATACGCCGGTTTAATGCCGTTTGCATGCAATAAACTTCTCTTTGAGGACACCCAGGTGACTTGAAGGGGTAGTTGATCTTGGTGTGGTCGCTTTGTCAGTTGGTTTTGAAGAAACCCGATCAAAATCGGCCTCCTCATCTCCCTTTTCACCCTCATGATTAGCTTCTTAGAACTCAAACAACGCCAGTTTCATATCAATGCCTGCTTCATCACGTTTAGTGCAGCTAGACATGGAGTTTACGGTAGTCACGATCCCCTTACCGTGATAACCGGACCTTCCCCTCATGGACTCTGACTACAATATGTCTCGTATTCTGACTGAGATTATTTCAATCTGTCTTCAAGTGCAGCTTGAAGATTTTGTCCCAAAACTTTTTGATAGCTTAGAGCTTATACCCTATTCTATTTATGAAGACAATCTCCAACTTCGTCAGTAGGACTGTATGGCTTCTAATCGCTCGTGATAATCTATTTGCTGGTAACCCTCTTGGAAATGGGCCCTTAAAAACTGAGAATATACACCATACACTCATTTGTGACATGTATGCAGTTGCATATGCACAAAATCCTGTTGATCTCTGCGCCTGACATTTCTATGTTTCTACAGCAAGAAGTCATTGTCTCTAAACACCAGTAGGCTTCCTAAAGCAAGCCTACGATCAACGAAGCATCGCATTGGAAATCTCAACATAGGACGACTAAAGTGAACGAACTTCAGTGGTCACAACTAGCGGGATGTTGTGGTCAATACGAGCGCTATGGTAGTGCCGACGACTGTTGCGATGTAGACTTGAATGAATGGATCTTTAAACATGATAAAGACCATTTTATGTACCCGTTAAGATTAGACCGGGAAGAGCCTATTTAGAGCAAGAAGAATTAAAGAGTGAAGGATTAAAGAGACCTACGCTAAGGCAAGATTTAATGTTAAGTTCAAGTTTTATTGTAACCTTAGTATAACCAGACATGTGAGCACTTCACTGTCAGGCAGTTATAGGCAAGCCCTCAGGTTACGTATGACGGACGTGTACGCAGCGTAAATAGAACTCAATTTGAATGCTCATCTGCTAAACGTCGTCTTTCATTTGTTTCCACTGGTTTTGGGTAGAAAAGCTCTTCATTCAATAGTATTCCGCCTGTCAGGTTGCAACATTCGTGTGTTAAGGAAGAGAATTAATTCACATTATAAGAGAAATGTCCTAATAGACACATGGTCCTTTTCTACTCACCTTATTTTACGGCGCCGTCGCGCATCATCAAATGTCATTCAGCAAGCGTAGTGTAGGGTATCTAGAAGTAACTTTGCCTTCAGCAGATTATCAATTGCTCGGTGGTGAAGTAAATGCCTTTTAAAATACTCACATAGGCTCAGTTTTCAATGCTATTTTTTACGGAGATCAAATGAGGTGGGTGAATTCATTGCTTGTGTTATATTTACATGAAAATGGGTGACCCAAGAAATGTGCACTGATTCGAGGTTCCGAGGAGGTGAATTTCTGCGATGACCGGAAAAATATAGCACTACAAAACGTTGTACATTGTCGATTTTTAGGGTAATGTTAATGAGATATTTAATCTTAACCCTGTAATAATCTAATAATACTGATCGTAGATTCGAAAATAAGAAGGGTAGGATATATATTTGGGTTTATCTCAGGTTCAATTTCACCCAATTACCAGTTTAGGAAATACTGCTCGCAGAAAATTGCCACTATTCCATTCCTGTTTGTATCCTTCCAACATTATTAAGCAAAGTGGTCAGATCCTGGGGTTAAGACCTTGTGCGTATTGCGTTGAAATGCTGGGATGTTCACCACAGGCTGCGCTAGTAGTGGGTAGATTTGCTTGGTGCTTACTCTGTGTCCTCCGATGACCAGTGAGAAACGAGATCGTGAATATCGGTGAGACACCAGTAAGCTTTTGCACGTGAGAGTGGCGCATGGGGGCTCCTCGTCATCAAGGATGCTCAGTCAGGGCCGTAGTCTTAAAGCCACGATGTTCCCATTCCATGACTCCCCGATCCCTCTCATTTCTACTCTGAAAGCTTATAACATAGAAAACACCTACCGTCAAGATGGCCGCAGCAGTACAAGCAGTTCTCGCATCGATCCAGACTAGCAATCCAAGCATTCAGCTTTATACTACCGAGTCTTCTGAGTATGACGCTTTACGAAAGTCGTTCATTCTAACCTCTGCACGCCCCACGGCAATCGCACGACCTAAGAATGCGGACGAAGTTGGTGCGCTGGTCAAGGCATGTAGGGAGAATCAAGCTGATTTCACCATTCGAACCGGCGGCCATAGTTGCGCCGGTGAAACCTTGATCGATAACTCCCTTGTCATTGACATGCGTGACATTGCATATGTGGAGGTCAGCGAGGACAAGAAATCTGCCAAGATTGGTGGAGGTGTCCAGCTGGGCGGACTCTTGAAGACTCTGGGCGAGCATGGTCTCGTCACCCCATGGTTTGTGAACTAGTAACGATTCGGCTTCGTTAGCAATTACTGATCGAAGTCTTGTTGGTCTAGTGGAACGGTCAGTTCAGTCGGTTATGTCGGATGGAGTACGCTGGGCGGATACGGGCCATTTTTGAGCCTGTATGGGTTCGGTGCGGATCAGATTCTCGGAGCGAAGCTGGTCAGGAATAACGGTGAAGTCTTTGAGGCAGACGATGACTTGCTCAAAGGGATCCGAGGAGCCGGCCCAGTGTTTGGACCGATTGTTGAATTGACCATCAAAGTTTATCCGCTCAAAGAGGTGCGTATACGAATGCACCGGGAAACATTCCCTTTCATTCTGCATTATTGACTAACTCGATGACCTAGATGCTTTCTGGAACAATCATCTTTGACTCTAGCGATATGATTTCGGCCTGGTCAACTTTGAGTCGCGAAGTCCAAAACCTTGCCTTGCCAGGCCCTGGGCAACTCCAGTTTCTCGCCATGGAATTTCCCGGTGTTGGTAAAGTAACGGGCATGCTTTTCACTTGGGTCTCAGACGATCATGACGAGGGTCGTAAGTGGTTTGAAAAGATTGCCAACCTTGCACCCAACGTCATGAAAATGGTAGAACCCAAGACGGCTTTGAAAATGGTCGAGGATAATAACAACCTCGTCACATACGGCGTTTATGGCCGATCATACACGATCAGCCTTAAGAAGTGGACTCCAGAAGTCGCAGCGGTCCTGGGCAAGCATAATTCCACTGTGCCGTATCCAAGCTGCATGATTTGCGTGCACAGTCTGCGTGCGGACAGTGGGTACAAAGAGTCGGTTTTCGCGTCTCGAGAGGCTCATCATATGGTTGAAATTATCGCCATGACTGCTGATGCGGATCAAACTGAAAGCGCGCTTGCATGGGGCCAGCAAGTTCGCCAGGAACTACGGGAGACTGACCAGGCAAATATCCTCAGCAGTACATACATATCACTGGAAGGGTTCAAGGATGCTGATTTGGGAAAGATTTACAACGAACATCTTCCGACCTTGGTCGATCTGAAGCGGAAGTATGATGCTGATAATGTTTTCCGAAACGGAGTGCCAAGGGTCATATAACGATCTTCAGCCATTCAGGGTTCTTACAGCCTCCAAACCTTTCGAATAGCTCGAACTTTAGGTCAACAAGGCGTACCTCGTCTGGGATTCAAGGGGGTTGGGCATTATTGTTCATTGGGTTGTCGGAAAAAAGAGGGAGCAATGGAGATTTGTAAATAGCCAAAAAAAAGCTTTTCAACACCCGAAGAATTTAACACCTCAGCACACAACACTTTGCATTTCTTGAAGGTTCCTAAGTATCCTCAAGATGTACTCATTTGGTATATAATATGCAAAATGAAGAATTATTGTCCACTTCAAATAGTTATCAGATTTGAATTGGCTGCAACTTAGTATTTGCAACAATAACATATACAGCCTATATAATTTATCTATTCTTCCGATTTAGAAAAAAGGTATGAAGAGTAGAAACATCAGCTGTTATCCTTATGGTATGTATCACGCATCTCTAGCCCAGGTCTCCCATTCAAAAGATGCAAGCATAAATGGCCCAACACCATTTTTATGGTTGTCTCTAATTGGTCTGCTGAAATAATACTGCAAGTAGTTACCAACGTATTAGTAAAAGTGATCAATATTATGTCCTTGATAGCTTGAGGGAAAAGGTGGGTGGTGATACGTACGGCAAGGTCCACTTTGCCGATGAGATTACACTCATCGACCGTCCCGTGAAGAACAAGACGATTATCCTCCGCTTCCGAAATGAAATTCTTCACGATGCTGGTATATGCGTCCTTTGCTGTCTCCAAGTAGGCCTCCTTCGGTAAGTATCCAAGCGCAATGCCCTTAAACCATCCGTATGTAAACATGGCAGAACCACTGGCCTCTATGAAATTCTCCTCATACGTTGGGTATGGGTCTTCCATAACTTGCCACCAGGTTCCGGAGTCCACATCTCGTGTCTTCTTCAAAGCCTCTGCCAGAGATACGAAATAGCCCATAAGCCTTTCATAGCCTGAGTGGGAGGTAGGGAAGACTTGGAGGACCTCGACCAGCGACATGAAATACCATCCAAGAGCTCGAACCCACACGTGAGGTGAAACTCCTGTTACCGGGTCCGCCCATGTTGCCTGTCCGTCTGCCCATCCGTGGGGAATGAGTCCAGAGCTTTTGTTCCGCGCATGAGTCTCAATGAGATCATATTGGAGGAGGATGTCATTCCAAGCGGTCTGATTGTCTGCATCGTATCTATGTGTCCATTTTGCATAGAACGGCTGGGCCATGAATAGCCCGTCAAGCCACATCTGGTTGCGGAAGAATATTTGATGCCTGATCAATTTGTTTCTTAGTGAAGTCCTACAACAACAAAGCCGCTTGCTCCGATTAAGCTTACCAAAAACCTCCAGATGGGGACCTAGGGGTGGAGTTTATCATGTTACGGACGATGTTGGCTGCCGACTTGTACTTTTCTAAACCGGTTCTATCGTAGAGGTACAAGTAGTTGTTGGCAATCCGATACTCGTCAAGAACGTATCTTGTGTAATTCCATTTTTTGATGGTTCCGTTCTCAAGCACAACATGGTCATCGATCTGGCCCTTGTACCAGTCAAGGTACTTTTCATCATTAGAAATCTCATAAGCTTTTTCAAAGCCAAGGTAAAGCGTTGCCACTTGGTAACCGTAGTTGGGAGTGACTCCGTCCTGAATAAAGGTGTCGGCCATCCACGTTAGATATGGTGGTTGGTCATGTCCGGCAGCCGTAGGTGAAAGTAGTGCTACAGCAAGAGCAAACAGCTGTGTGAACAGCATCATGGGAATTAGTTGCTCGTTTTGGGGCTATAATTTAAAATGCTCTGCTGTTTGCTTTGAAATGCGATTCCCAATAACACATGAAGGATTAACAATTGTGTCAGCTCGCACCTTGTATTCCCCCACAGCTTATATACCTATAAGCCCTAAAAGAGACCTGAATCCAATTAAATTAGTACGCAATTCAGTGTAACGTTCCCAACCACTCAACCCCGAACATCCTGCAGGCAATTAAAAAGCCGGGGGACCTTCCAATGACAGTTTACCCATGTGATCTCGTGCAATGATGAGGCGGGGCGTTAATGTTCCATTTGTCACCTTGTCCCTCAATGAACTAAATTTGTCATGGTCGATGCAGATCCAAACATCAAAATTTCTCCGAAAAGAGGCACTGAATTGTGGAATATTGTTACCACTGTCTCCCTCTGAAGGTTGTGTCTCATGTTAGTCTTGACGTCAATGTCAGACAAGAGAAGAGTTCGTCAAAGAACAGTTTGCAAGAAGCCACAGCCGGGCTAGTTGACGGTATTCACTATTCCGAAGACCATTCCAGCATATGCATTGACGTCATGGAACATGGAACTTAGGTTCAGTCTTACTATTAAGGCAATGGCCGACAATGTGACCAACACTAGACTGCTACATATTAATAAGGAAGTACCTTGGAGAAGTGAGGGGTTAATCCATGTTACATTGCATAAGTGATGAATGATGCACGGTTTACGTTGGATCTTCAAAGGGATTTAATATCGTGGAGAGTCGGCCCTATAATAAAGGAGTGACATATCAACACAAGAACTGTATATTTATATACTGAAAAGGCGGTCAGGATTCATAAATTTTCATGTTGATGCTTTAATATCATATCTAAGAAAAGTGATCAGGAGAGTCTTGAGTCTTGTTTCTATTAACTGAGAAAATATTTATTGGTGACTACACCTTTTCGAATTGGGCTCAATTTGTGAACAACAGCTATTCAAATAATATATAGGAACTTATATCATACATATAAATGTCTTTCTTCTTGTATGTGAGGTACTATTGATTTGTATGCGCTCTTAAGCTCATAGTTTCGTCGATGTAACTCCTGTGAGTGGCATAAAGTCTTTCAGTCTTTCAGCTAAGTATGAATTGTGGTCTTTAATACAATCACTTAAAAGAATATCTAACCGGGAATCCGTGAGGGCCAAACTATATTCTACGATAGACATGTTAAGATGCAGAGATTGACTAATGCGTTAACAGATTGATGAGTCTCAAAAGCTGAGTTGTTTGGCAACTAAGACATCAAGTAACAATTTGGAAAGAATAAAGTCTCAACAGGGGATTTATTTCATTTATTTTCCTCCTCGAAGACATGATAACAGCAGGATCCACGCCGGGCCAGGCTTCTTTTCGTCACCAGCTTCGTCATTCCTTCGGACCAGCGTCCTCTAAAAAGAGTCCGTGTACTCAAACACATGGCTTGCGGTCTGCTTCCCTTCAGCATCATATCTTTGGGGAATCACGTTTAGAACACCTTTAATATCGCGAGGCTCGAAATCCAGGTTCATAGCGGACAGACTCATAACTTCCTTTCCATAGTTCTCCTTCAACCAATGCGCAGCCATATCCATACCTGCAACAGCGCCAGCCGCGGTCCATACGTTTCCGTCCACTACCCACTGAGCTTCAGCCGTCCAATTGACGTTTGGGTATTCCTTTGCGGCCCACTTCAGAAAGGCATGGTTCACAGTGGCCTTCTTCCCATCTAGGACTCCTGCCTGGGCGGCGATGCAAGCCCCAGTGCAGTTGGTGAACAAGAGTCGTCCGGATGCAACCTGGCGCTGTATAAGCTCCTTGAAGCGAGGGTGAAGTTCAAAGCCGTACGGGTTTGGCCCGGGGACAAGGAGTATATCGAAGTCTGGCGCATCGTCGACAGTGCAGGTGGGCACTAGAGTGAGCCCGGTTGTAAGAGCATGGATAGGCTCACGGTTGACACCGACATGATGGAAGACGATTTTTGGTGCTTTTTCCTTGGCGATCGGATTCACAGCATGGAAAAGCTCCAAGTCGTTAACAAAGATGTCACTGCCGGAGCTAAGAACGTCTAGTAGACCAAAAGCGTCGATGGCTTGGTACCCATAGGCAAGCGTCCCGACAGTCAGGGTAGAAGCCATCGTGACTATTTGAAGGCAAACAGGCGGTTATCCTTTAGTACTAAGTTTCTCTGGGAGCTATCTGGATGCGACCAGCAGGTTCAAGTCTTTTATACCTCCTTTTAGACTAGATTACGGTTTTTTACATTTTTAGATACCCGTGTGTTCCCCTCAGCATTACGAATATACAGCAATTAAACATGTGAGTGGTTGACTCCCGAAAGATGAGACACTTTGTGTGAGCCCCTGCCTTAGTGCCCCAGACGCCAATCGTGCCGAATCGATACTACAGGATAAGAAAGGAAGCTCCTACTGCTCAAGACACCTCGGCACGTAACGTCGTGTGGGTAAATACGCTTACCTGCACCTAAGAATCATGCGCCATACTAAGTCTAGAAGCTCCCAAAGCACTGAGAAAACATACAGTGACAATGGTGATTAAAGCTCGGACCAAAAACAGGGTTATGCCTGTTCATGAGACAGGGATCTTGAAGCTGTGGTACCTTTTGACGAGTCTCCTCCAAAGTTCGAACTACCCTACGCCTATTCACTATTTACTCTGGTGCCGATGAGCATGATATTCTCGTCCTCTATCGGATACGGAAGAGAGTTTGAATATAAAGTTAAGCAGCAATGGAAGATGCTAGACCCGACAACTTGACACAATGAACAAGAAAGGTTGATGTAACCTTCCCTACCCTAAGGCTGCAGTCATGCCAAAGAAAAGGTCTGTAAACATTCATGCTGATGACTCACTTGCCGTGAGGACGAGCTGCTCGCCGAATGGCTATGTAAGCTACCCACTTACACTAACACATCTGCGGCCTTCGACACATCATGTCAGACAGATCTTAAATATATTACTGCTGCAACATGGTAGGACATTAATATAGAGTGGCACGAGGGACAATAAAAAATTCTCTTGCTATGGACGGCCAGGATTGTTTAGATAGCTCCTGCATTTTTTTTCCCTCTGATCTTCTCCCATTCATTTTCTGTAATGGCGAATAATAGCTCGTCATGCCACTTGCGGTTGAAATACTTGGTCTCTCGCAGATGGCCTTCTTGTACGAACCCGAGGCTCTTGTATAAGCGAACTGCCTTTTCATTGTATGGGAACACGCTCAGGAAAACCGTATGAAGCCCGGCATAACGAAACGCCCAGTCAAGCATCCAGCTGAAAGCTTCCCGCCCGTAACCCTTGCCATGATACTCAGAGCTGAGACTTATCCCTATGCTGGCTCTCCTGTTGACAACCTGGTTCGAAAGAATACCTCCCCATCCAAGCACAACAAAGCCTATGATAGTTGGTCGAGTAGTCTTTCCATCTGGTGATTGTGTTTCTTTTGTTTGATCGTTCTTTTGCTTCGCTTCCTCTCTTGGTTTAAGGCATATTGAAACCCCTAAAAGTGAAGCGCTCAAGCCCTTCATAGTCTCATCGATATCTGCTTTCCCTTTGGGCCTCAGAAGGTGAGTTGATACGAGAGCTTGCGTCGTTGGATCATCTTCCACTCGAGGTAAAAACTCCCGCAGATTTTCATCCCCTTCGGCAGCTTTTATGTAGTACAACCGTTCTGAAGAAAACGCATTTGACAGTCCATCAAAAAAGGCGTCCATTTTTGACTGGTATGACCTCCAGCGAACAGCGGCTAGATATTGAATTTTCAAGGCTTGGAAATGGAGAAGCAAACAAGATAGAAGTGAGACGGAAAATTGGCTCGATCTTATTATACTACAATTCGAATCACTATGAGTCATTCATCACTGACTCTGAAATCTCATCCCAAGGAGTAAATGGCAGGGGTAACGATGATGGATGTAGCACTAATGTGGCGTGAATACTGTGGGTTCAAACTTGGAACCTGATGCCATGCGGGGTTTCTAGGTTTCCGCCTCTCGGCCCGAGCATCGGAGTTTTCATATGCCCTCATCACTTGAATTTGTTTCTACTTTACCGTGAGATACTTTTCTTGCTCTCCGCGAAGTTAAGCAGAAGGGTGCTTGTTCGCGACAATGTCAAAGCCACTCGCCATTGTTAAATCTCTTGACCATCTTGTGCTCACCTGTGCAAACACAACGCGGACGGCGCAATGGTACACTGAGCATCTGGGTATGAAGCTAGAGACCTTCACACCAGCATCAGACCCATTGGCGACCCCCCGGATGGCTCTGAAGTACGGATCGCAAAAGATCAATTTGCACCAGAAAGGTGCCGAGTTTGAGCCAAAAGCGACGACGGCCCTTCCTGGAACAGCCGACCTTTGCTTTCTGGTTGAGCAAGATACAAATCTGGATGAAGTTATACAGGGTTTCCAGGATCGGGGAATCACAGTTTTGGAAGGGGGCAAAACAGTCGCACGAACAGGCGCCCAAGGGCCGATCCAGAGTGTTTACGTTAGGGACCCTGATGGCAATTTGATTGAGTAAGAATGAAACCTGTCATCCTACACTGAGGTTGAACTCGCTAAGGGCTAATCTCCTACAATCTACACCAGACTCTCCCGACACAGTTCTTGAAAATAGCACGCTCACCGAGGAAGTTTCGGGTTCTTGGGAAGATACCCTTGGTCTTTGAAGTTCGGCTATATAGCGCTATAGCCTATATCGAAGCAGGGCCCGTTTTTGGGGTGAGGATAATCGAGATTGGCCGAGTCTAAGTCGGCATTTGGGGGAATTAGCAGGCTGCTCCCTTCGCTTTAAGCCCAAATTTGGCCACAGGACAAGTCACACATAAAGAAATCAATCGTAGGGCAGCAGGGTTTCCGGAAACTTAAGAAAACATGTTGAAACTACTACATCCCACCGACAGAAATGATCCTAGCAGTGCCCCCCACGCGCACTTGGTGAGACTTGTCTGGCCTTATTGCATCTTCATCGCCATCAATTCAGTTTCTCCCAGCTCCAAGAGGTCTCCACTTACGTTGTCCAGCCATGCTTTCCTCGACTTCCAGTTATCACCCAGATGAAGCCTCCCCGTAGCAATAGGGCGCGTAGTCCGAACACTTGTCATTATGATTGTCAAAGTAAGGCACTACAAGTTCTTGAGAAAATTCTGAAGAAAGCAGACCAGTTTTCTTTTCATATTTGTAGTATCCGGATCAAGGCCAGACCAGAAAAGAAACCTCCAAAGCCTACGCCATGCAATTTTTCGCCAGTCAAACATCCATTCCGGTGCCGGAGGTGTAATACGCTCTCAACTACAAAGGAACATCATGCATTGTTATGCGCCACATCCAAGGATGAATGGGGGGATATCACTGGCTACACCATTCAGAATTATAAAGAATGTGAATACTTGGTTAGCGGCTGGGAATGATCACGGAACTTCGCTCTGTTCCCCTAAAAAGGGACACAGGTTGGCAGCATTGATGGCGGGCCTTTGTGGGACTCTGGCCTGCCAACTCAGGATTACTGGGGCCCGTTCTCCCATGTGCCCGAGGTTTACGAAATACTACCCAGCAGTATTCCTTGGGATCCCTGACCTTGGCGAGCTGTTCGAGTTCTATCATCAAGCAGGGATAAGCTGGTTCTAACGCACGGTGACCTGAGCAGCCTCAATATCCTCGTTCAAGGTGATGATGTGTTGAGAATAGTGGACAGGGAGACGGCAGGGTTGTTCCCATCATACTGGGAGTGCACCACAGCGAAGAATGTTAAACCCTACAATCCGTTCTAGGCCGATCCAGTCGACTACCTTATAGTGCCGGAGGAGTTTAAGATGGAAACTATCAAATGTAAATTCTTTGGTGCGCCCTGAGAGCGGCTGGGCTAAACAATGTGCTAATCACCAGTCGCATCGTGCCTCTGATTGTGTGCCCCCTGACCTAAAATTGAGGCGCTTATCGCCAATGGATTACCTCGAAGAGCGTAGAGAAGCTTGGAAAAAGAGAAACCAGAATCAGCCTCATGAATAACCAGCCTTGCACAATTTCCACATCAAGGCCTAAGGCCACAAGGCTATGACCGCGGCGCCCATAGACAATACTCAGGTTGTGTTTGTCTTATTGTGTACCTTCTATATTAGCACCTCTCTGCTCCAACCGCTGCTCTCCTGGTCTCTCATTCACATCACCACCTCTTCCACTCCGCGAAGCAGACTTCAATGACCGCGAGAAATCCGCACCTTATCCGCATCGAATGAGCCATCCAGGTCTCATAGGTTGCGAGCAAACCAAGCTGGTGCCTGTCAACATGCCTCTCCTACACCTCCCAAACGAAATGTTGATTAAAATCGCCCGTGAGCTATGTGAAGAAAACGATCTAAACGCATTAGTTCGCGTTAACCGACACTTCTACACACTTCTCAACGTCTACTTATACGCACACAATCTGCGCCGATTTCAAGATGACGAGATTGATACTGGTAGCGCCGCCCTTATTTGGGCTATCATCTATCGTGGACCTGAAGCGACATACAAACTGGCACTCGAGGCAGAGAGGAATTCATCTCACAGCAGCGAAATTCGTCCTAGCGATTGCGCCATAAAACTTGCACTGGTACTTGAACGAGCAGATGCTCTGGCGCTTTTATTCGAAAATCGCGACTATCATGATGTGGACAAGCAGGCCATTCTTAAAGCTGCTCGTATTGGAAACGTTGACGTTTTCCGTACCATGATCGAGTCAGGGTTTTTTGAACCTAGTTATAAAGACGAAAAGGGTATGACCTCGCTCATGGAGGCGGCAATTCATGGCCATGCTGATATTGCTCGATACCTGCTTGGTTTTGAAGAAGTTGATCTCAATGCCAGATGGAACGGAGGGCTCACACCCTTATATATGGCTGCGGAGGACAACCATGTTGAGATTATTAGGATGCTCATCGCCACTGGAAAGGTTGATGTGAACGCCGAAAATGACTATGGCGTCACAGTACTCAGCAAAGCGGTGAGGGCTAACCACCCAGAGTGCGTGCAGGCACTTTTGGAAGATGACTCGCTTGATCCTAATGCGGGAGCTATGGATTATATGAGCCCATTACAGGATGCGGCTTTCTGGGGGGAACTGGAAACGGTCAATTTACTACTCGAGGGGGGCGCTGATGCTAATTTCGCGCCAACCGGTACCACGGCACTAACAATCGCTGCGAAGGAGGGTCATTATGATGTTGTTGATGCTCTTCTCAGCGTTCGAGGCATTTTGGTAGATAGCCCGCCTCACTTCACCCAATGCTGGCTCCTGGATGCGGTAATCCGTGGACAGGTTTCTCTTGTTGAGACACTCCTCGCTCTACCAGACATAAATGCAAACGAGAAAGATGATGATGGGAATCCGCTCTTGATTACCGCAATCATCAAAGGACAGACTAAAACAGTCTTTGCTCTTCTGGCGAGCGGTAAGGTTAACGTCAATTTGGCAGGATGTCGTGGGCGTACTCCTCTACATGTGGCAGTAGACCGGGGGCACCCTGATATTGTTCGTCGGTTGCTATCTGTTGACGGCATAGATCCAAATTTGAGGGATTGGTTTCGTGAGACACCATTCGGGCTGGCTCTTGTTGGACAGAATCATGAGATTTTGGTAATGCTCTTGGAAGTTCAGGAAGTTCTTGATGATGCGATATTCGGATTAGCTAACTCTATCACGTATGCCGAAGGGGAGGACTAAACCAATGCAATGGACATTCTACGCCCACATTAGGCGGAAGCAAGTAAGGCAAGGGAAGTTGTTACCTCTCAGACAAAAGATCACTTAAGTTTGAAGTATTTTGCGGATGAAGAGGGTGCATTTACTTTCTCAGTGGCATATGTTTTATGGTTGATTTTTGCTGGGTCGTTGCCTTTATTCTATTCATATTCTTAGCTTACACTACAAGTAGCAATCATTCAAAGCGATTTCATTCATTAGGCTGTTGCTTATTTATCGTGTTTTTCAATGGGTGTATAGTAGCCACACGTAAGTAACGGAATGGAATGTTCGGACCACGTTCATTTCATCGCCATCACCAGTATAGGAAGCAATACCAATGAGTACAAGAACCCGGCTATCCCGATGCTATATCACATTTCACTAACTCTATTGTAGTCATAATAATACCCATTAAGCTCTAAGGGATTTGCATGCTCATCGCCTATGCAGGGGAAACACCGCGTGCAAATTCGCCCTTGATTTTGGTAGCTCATGGCATCTCATTGCATTGTATTTGCCTCCAGGGCTCGCCCGTGGCTCTCTCATGGATACCGCTTCAGATTCAGTTAAGGTTGAACACCTTCCACTTGAAAATATACATATATAGCTTTGTAATACGTCTACAGTCTTTATTTATCAAAGAAACATTTCATTAAATATTATATGTCTTCTTTTCAACACATCTAATGAGAGCGTGCGGAGGGTCCTTTAGTTAGCAAGGTCCCTGTGCCCTGGTGATTTAAGTCAGGCTGGCTGCCCAGTTCATTTGAAAATTCAAAAGGTAATTCTTGCCTTTTACTTATATCGTATTCCTGAAATCGTGGTCTTTGACTCGTTCTTCAGCGGCCAATTTGGCTCGTATGAAGACTAAAATGATCTTGTTTAGTTGATCAAATACGGGAAGCCCCAACCAAATACCAAATACACAGGGATTATTTGTAAGGTAACTGTTAGTTTTGACTATACAGCCTGGTTGTAATTCCTCCCGTTTGACTGGCTTTGATATCACGATCACTGACCCTTACGGTTTGTGATGTTGTTGGATGGAAACCTCCCCTATTTACTGTATATATATCTCTTTAAAAAGTGCACGTTCAACAAGCTTCATACGGCCTGATGGTCTAGTGGTATGATTGTCGCTTCGGGTTTAGTGTTAAAATCCATTTCTTCCAAAGAAGTTGTGACAGGTCCCGGGTTCGAATCCCGGTTAGGCCCATCATTTTTTCTTTTTCCTTATGTCTTCTTTTTAAATCTTCAACTACAATTAAACATCGGAAGCATCGAATACCTTCTTGGGGACTATAAAGAGAGGCGTCCTCTGTAATGTTCACGCAGCAACCTTTATTCCTGCAGTTACGCATCCAGCCGGTATTCGCAGCGATGGCAATGACATTCTTGAAGAAAATTCCGTAGATATGCACTCCTGACTTCGAAGTTCATCATTGATGCGCGGAGACATAAGGCAAGGCTCACAGTACGTTGGAGATAGAAAGCTATCGCTCACAAACAGCTTGTTAACCGCCAGGTAGGTGGATATCTCGCCACGCAGACGCCCACAGTTAGCACATTTGGTAAACTTCCCAATGCCACCAGAGACCCCCTGTACCAAGGGCCAACAAGAATGTAAAGAGCTCCTATGGAGATCAGGAAGATCGCGCCCATATCTCAATAGTTCAATTAAAACGTATGATTCTTCTGGACAATGCATTCGATCATGGCTCGTTCGATACCGATGATATGTGTTGAGATATACTAGGATCATTGCTTTTGAGAAAGACAGCTAGCCATCTTTGTAGATCATGAGAAGGTGGATCCGTTAATGCCACATAAGGATTCTCCCACAGTCCAACAATATATGGAAGCTTGTGCTCTTATCAAATTGTCTGGCAGATCGGTAGTGGCTTTCTTGACTAGCTTTTTCACCGGTACGGGGTATCTCAGATAGATGTTGGCCGATGCGAAAGGACCCTACCCTTTGATGGTTAATTGAGCCTGTGTAAAGTTCCACCTTTAACTCGTCGAAGGTTTGATATGGAAGGGCTTTCTCCGAGGCTGCTGTTTGGCTTTCTCTGATATGTGATCAAGGATATTCTATGTCAACTCATCGGGGTCACAGCAAATCAGGATAGACCTGACAGTTCTGTTCATCGACCTTTAGAATCGGGCTGTTTCAGCCAAATTGTCGATCCTTCTCAGTATGCCTTTTCCCAAGTACAGACCCGGTCAATAATAGTTGGAATAGCCATGTTTAACTGTGCCACGTCGACATCGTTCTCGGGAACTGGATGGGGTTGATTGTTTTCGGCAATCCAGTCTTCTGCAATGAACTTGGTGTTGTTATACCTAGCGGCATGGTAACTGGCTTTGTAACTCTCGTTGGCTTCTAGAATCAGATCATCATCAGAAACCTGGCTAGTTTGATAGTCAAGATTATCAAGTAAAGCTGCATACTTAGCGGAAGCTGCAGGAAGGGATTTCATAATTCTTAAACTTGAGGATTTTGCAGTAGCGATACTGAACTGAGGTCAGGGTTGAAATGTGAGTGGACGGAAGTCAAAGGGGCTAGCTGGCCTATGACCCAATTCAAAACGTTTAAGAAAGACAGTACTATCCTTTAGGTTGCATTGCGGTGGCGGCAAGGTTATGTGCCCCAGGGTCGCATCATTCAAAATAAGGTAGAAGAGATTCTAGTATTTCTGAAGGCTTGTAGCAGACCTAAATGACTGGGTTAGAATTTAGGCATCTCTGTTCGTCAGACAGCTTACCCACTTCAAAAGCCAAGGCCTCTCATAGGCCGGGGGATTTCACAATAAAGATTCATGCATATTAGTTACTAAGCATACTTCCACCCTGCATGGATGTGAGTGTCTTGCATTTTGGGCGCTTAGGCAGCTAGCATCTTTGGCTAAGTCCCACGGCCAATTTCTAAATCTTCGAACTTTCCACATGTCCTCCAAATTCCATAATACATACCAATAAAACAAAAGAAATGACTGATACCTGCCTCCTTCATGGCACACGCAGCGGTTATGCCAGCCTACAAGCACTGTCGGCCGAGCTTGTGTCTCTCATCGTGGAGGACGATTGCCTGAGCCTGGAAGATCTGGCTGCCTTACGGCTGACTTGCTCTTCCCTGACTGATGTTGCCTCAGCAGTGCTCTTTCGGCGCATCTACATCTCTCCCCTGGTACAGGATCGCACTTCCTTTCTTAAGATTTGTCACTCGCCTCGTCTCGCACAGCACGTACGCGAGGTCGAATGGTCTGAGCTCCTCTGGTTCCCTAGTTGTTTCGAGAACTATCTGCTCCACCCGTATGGCTTGCGAGGCACAGATAATGAGTCGGAGACCGGAGAAGTCTCCGGGGCATCTCAACTAAATGGCGAAAAGGGAACCGAGCCTGCAGTAACGATCGATGATACAGTTGTTATCTTAGACAGGTCATGCGATCAGGCGTTCTGGCTCCCTGCGGTACCAAGTACTGTCCTGTCGGCTATTTTCGAAAGTGAGACTACTGCGGAGCCCGATGAAGGCGTCCTGCTGATGCGCACCGAAGCCGTGAATGGATTCAAATGGGCGTTCAGTGAAGCGCTCGCCCTGTTGCCCAATCTTCACACCATGGCCTCGCGGCCGATGTCCCGACATCGGGTTATCGGGGGTTGCTATTACCCAATGACAGCTGGTCATATCCAAGTACGACTACCTGGGCGTTGGGAAGCTCCTTGGAATTGGAGCAGTGACGGACTGTACTTGTTCATATTGCCGGCCATGGCTACGATGGATCGTCCAGTGCGACGACTAGTTTGGGAAGACGGACTGCGGGGCAACGGTGCCTTCGGTAGGCCCGAGCCTGAAGCCTTTCGGTATCTTGATACCCTGAGCATCTCTCTCGCCAAGTGGAACCTGGTCCACGGAATACCCTCGATAACAGATGCCACCTTAAGTGGGGTAAAGGCGTGCCTCGATGTCAGCAGCAATGTTCGACATTTGACCTTGGGAGTAGAGGGTGAAATCAATCGGTGGTCTCTGGTTGACACCTGCGTGATTGAGAAAAGTCTCTTGCGGTATTCGCCTGGCATCGACCGAAGTGAATGGACAAGGCTACATTCTCTCAGTCTTATCTCAATGAACGTCGGAGACGAGATGCTCATAGCGGTTGTGAGAGAAAGTGCTGAAACTCTATGCCACCTCTACCTCGAAGAATGCAACATGACACTTAACAGGGTCAAGAAGCTCTCTAAAATCCCCAAGCTCAAGCTCCAGTCGGTTCGAGTTCTTAGCGAATACCCACGGCATCAGTGCCATCTGATTCCAGAAAGGAAGCTCCTTGACTACCTGAACCACCAGGTCATTCCTGAAGGCGAAGATGTTGATATGTGTACTTTTCAGGACCAGAAATTGGAGTTTATCGACGATGATGACGATGACTTTGATCTCAACCTTGGCATTTACTATAAAGACAATCATTTCCGCATGTTTGATGATGACTGCCCAGAGTTTTTAGCTACGAGGCTCGTCATGACGCTACCAGCATTTATGATTGGCGATAGTTCTCTTGATGACGATGAGTTCGAGATTAAGCAGGTCGATAAGCGAGGCTATAGTGACGACTGGGTCGGCAAGACTGACCTTGACCTCATTGACAGCGTCTCTGTTACCGAGTCGGAAGATAGTGTGACGGAACGGATACGCAATGGGCCTAAATGGTTTTGGGGCAGCTACTTTCATGACTTTCATGAACGTGCTATTGAGGGAGAAATATATTTTATGCAGGTCGATGACATACATCCTCAAGGATGGCCCACAACAATTTGGAAATTCACTAGCCGGGAGGGTCTCGTGTACTATGGCCAAGACCCCTTAGAGGCCTTTGAGGAATGGGACACGGAACAAGGCGATCTAGAAGAAGCAACCCCATATGGAAGAGATATGGAACTTGCCATTTCCCAAACAAATGACAGGCCTCCGGAGGGCGCGTGGCTTTATGACATTTCCGAGGCTAAGAGGGCACGAGAATGGGGTCATTAGCCTAAGTGATTGGAACGGGGATGATATGAAACACGCAGTCTGCCCCATTCGAAATACCACCTGCTTTGTTTGGGATGAAATTGCACGGATGCATCTTTGGAATCGAAATGGGCTTGGCGGGCTCCCGGTGCGAGTTCCGAGCAGCCGCATGGCTAATATACTCCCGCCAATCATCCAGCGTGAGGTTACGACCGGAATTTGAGACTTGGGTGCGGTCATTAATATCTCCTTGTGGGCCTGTTTGTTGGAAAGAATATAAGTAGTAATGAAGTTGTGTGGAAGAGACACTTGATAATCCTAAAAGCAAAATAAAAAAGTGAATAGTAAAAATGACCAGAATCAAGAGCATCACCTTACTTTTTAGCTGCGCCATGCTTCTATCTGGTGCGCAACCCCTTGCCGCCACACCGAAATATTTCATTACATTGTAAGCTCTGATTCATATGAGAGACTAAGAAAAGAAGACGTTCTCATACATCTATCAGCGGAGACTCCTATTCCCAGACTGGTTTCGACATCAACGGCACCAAACCGAACGATGCAAATCCTCTAGGCAACCCTAACCTTCCAGGATGGACGACAAGCGGAGGGCTTAACTGGATCGGATTTCTTATTAGCGAGTCAAACGCGAGCACTGTATATTCTTACAATCTAGCGAGCGGTGGTGCCACGACTGACGCGGAGCTGGTCGCTCCCTGGTCCCCCGAAGTTCTCAGTTTCATCGACCAGACTTCCTTGTTCTCGCAAACTTTGGCCCCGAAGCCTACATGGGCACCTTGGACCGCAGAAAACACACTTGCTGGCGTTTGGATGGGTGTTAACGATGTGGGAAACACTTTTTGGCTGGAGGACAGAGAGGCACTCATAACCAAGGTGCTGGGACGATACTTTGAGCAGCTGCAAATTCTTTATGATTCTGGAGTTCGAAACTTTCTTCTCCTAGGTGTTCCTCGTAAGTCTATACCGGCCTCGGTGCCTCAATGGACCTTTCTCAAGTGTATGAAACTCTTATATTGTCCGTCCTTGCTAACTAATTGGCAGCAACTGAAAAGTCACCGCTCATGCTTGAAAATGGCGCAGAGTCGAACCAGATGCTTGCCGCCACCATCGAACAATACAATGGCCTTATCAGCTCAAGCATGGAAGCATTCAAGGCCAAGAATTCCGGCGTAACATCCTGGATTGTCGACACGGCTCCGGCTTTCAACGAGGCCATCGATAACCCTACCCGCTACGGGGCGCCGAACGCCACTTGCTTCAATGAAGATGGCACGAGCTGCCTTTGGTTCAATAACTACCACCCTAGTATTGCAATTCACAAGCTTGTGGCGGCCGAGGTTGCTGAGGCGGTTGGCTTGCCTTGGTTCTCATGATATCACCGTAGATAGTAGTCACTATTTAAGGTATGACAAATTCTATTCAGATATATTTCTTATTACACTTTTGGCTGCTCAAAAACATGTTGAGTGTGGAAAGAATTGCCAGAATTCCTAAAACCTTTCTCGTGACAGCCTTAGGGAGTCTTACGGGGCTGTTTAAGCTGGAACGTGAATCATGCACGGTATTTCTAAGCCCTTGGCCAACTCATCGTCGGGTTAGAGGCCACGAATCAAGCGTTGAGTCTCGGAAACGCAGGTATAAATCCGCATCAAAGCTGATAAACCTCATAGTGCATTGGAATTTCCATGAGGAAGCATGGCATCACCGACTGCGGTGCGCGTACGCCTTCCTGAATGCTCTGACCGCGAGGACCGTTCTTTTGGCATCAGTGAGTGTCCAGGCGAACGCAAAAAGAAACGAAGGGGATATAAACTCTCTTGAGGGAGGGCCTGCCCTAATTCTTAGACCATCGGGACATTTCCCGATCCTCCAAACTAAGCGTCCGGGAAAAGAAGACATGGTTGCTGTTATTCGCAATCATAGCGTCAGCCTCACGCCAGTTCAATGAATTTTCTATGGACCATTGGCTGATCGAGTCTTGGGAAACAGTGTGCTCCAGATCGTGGCAAAAGGGTTCAGAGATAGACCAAGATCAGCCTAGACCTATGAACCCGACCGCATCATTGCTAGAGTTTGGTGTTATAGGATTGGAGGGTTGGAGGAGGAATGGGGAGACGGATCGGTCGGGGAGCGTGTGTCAATTGGCTGAGGACAAAAACCCCGTGGTCTTCCCGTATGCAAGACTTGCATGATGATAACTTGAAAAGGAAAGGGGGCAACTAGTCGCCAAGGGCTAGGCTACGTATCCGCTGCGTTGGCCGCGAGTTGTAGCACCCCTCCCTCAAGAATAAATATTGGATGCCGGACTATTACAGGTAGGTTATGGGCTAGACTGTGCATTGCTGGGTAAAACTGTTGGCGCGTGAACAGTGATGGGGCTCCGTTCCCGGACTTGGGGGTCACATGGACGAAGCCCCCTCTGGAACTTTATTTGGCTAACTCCCCAAATCTCTGCATCTCAGTTGCAAGGCGAATGCAGGCAGTGTGTGTCATGATCATGTCTGTGGTCATTGATTATTCCACGTAGCCAACCTCCAGCCCACCACCTGATCTGCCACTTCACATAACAGGGTGCCAAGGCAAAACATAGTTTGTTTATGCGTCAATATAAGATTCGGATGACCATGCCATTTTGACCCTGCTGTCGGATGATACACAGCTAACGCAAGAAACCACAGTCAACTGGGCAGCTACATGCCCCCTCAGGTTCTAGTCAACTCCCAATACTACCATGCCTTTTACTTATCACGATGCAAAGCTGTAGCGCGTTAGCTGATCTGCATGCCGATAAATTGTATCCATTAAGGTATGGCAGCCCGTAGATAAGGTATCTAACGCAGAAAGTCACCAGCCTCTGTCGCCAGAGAATGATGATGGCCATTCATCTCCAGCCATAGGCTCATAGCCATCCATAAAATCCCCCGCGAAAATGCCTGCACCCTTGTCAGCGCCCGATTTGCCTCCGGTTTCTATGTCCCCGATCTTACCTCCATCACCCATGAAAAAACAACAGATGGAGACAGGGCAGGTAGATAAGCCACAGGCAAATGACCCTTGTAACATGATATCGACTGTTTCCTCTGATACAGGGGCTGAACTCATTAGCAACCAATCATCCATCTCGTAATTCCCATGTCAATCAATGCCGGTAACGGCCACAGGCGAAGTGTCCACCCCAGCCGATCTATCAGACACCCACTTCGCTTCGACCCCCTCCCGGTCTCCCATCTGTCGCTCCTCGCAGCCCAATCCTGGTCCTAACACTCTACAGGGCGGTATTCTAGCCTACCGGAGTACCTTGAGTTGTCGCCTCTCATCAATTGGGATATATGTATACTTCTATCTTTGCTGGACGCGGGCTGGTGGATCATGTGTGATACGCCTCCCTCCCCGGATTATTCGCCGCTGTAGTTAACTCCACGCAGTTGTTCTAGCGAACCCCTCACTCTTCAGGCTCCACTGATAAGTAATTCCAGCTGGGCAGAGACGTGGCGGGCTTCTTTCTTCCCCCGTGATCATCATCACCCCAACACCATGACCAGAAATCATTCGCTTTGGAATGCAATTTGATTCCCAAATCGCACCCACGGAATCTACCCAAAAACTTGAAAGTAATACCTCTGGCTAACTAGATACAATGGTGCGCCGGAAACGCCCCTATGTTCCCAAGGTCAAAGGTAACGCCGCAAAAAAATCCACGCAGTACACTATGACCCATTCACCCATACTCAGGGCTCAGATGATCCCATCGTGCTCATCTATGATATGGTTCCATATAGCTAACTTGGAACAGGATGCTACGAGTGCTCCCAAAGGCGCATCAACTGTGATCAGACGCGTCCAGGATGTCTGAAATGCGCCTCCCGGGGCATCGACTGCAGCGGGTTTGGGGTGAAGTTCAGGTTTCGGGAAGGCCTGTCCCGTGGGGTAAAAACCGTCAAGTGGCAGATGGAGCAGGCCAAAAGTCCTCGGATCCATGATGTGCCCATCCTCCCTCAAGCGAATTCGCCAACGTGCAGCTCTTCAACATGCAGCGTGGACTCTCCTACCAACGGCGAAGAGTTTGTCGCTGAACTGGGAAACACAGCTTCTGATGCCCTGGAAGACTCAATATTTAACTTTGACATACCATGTGGGCTCTTTGACGATATTGCTGGGGCTGTCGTTCCGCCAACACTTGACGGCGTGGCTGATGCTGAAGCCGCCTCGGAAAAGCCCGGAGAGCAAAGCTTGCAACTGTGGCCTTCTATCGACAAAACTTCATCCTGGAAAGACTTCTTACTTGATTACTGTAGGCTTACGATGATCTTCCTCCACTTTCTCCAATTTCAGTAAACAAAACTAATACAAAGGCTAGTTTCTATGAAAATTGCTCCCGAGATGGTCGTCATAGATGATAACCACAACGGCTGGCGCCACGCAATTCTACCAATGGCCCAGTCTAACGAGATAGTCATGAACGCGGTAATGGCGGCTGCTGCGTATCACCTGGCCGGGTCTATTGGAAACGAGACGGTCTCTCAGGCGCTGATTGATCCCAGCCTGCTATACGAATCCGCCATTCAGGGTCTCCAGCAACGACAGCAACTAACAAACCAAGACTTCGAGACGCAGCAGGCAGTCATCCTATCTATCGTCGTTCTTCTAACTGCGGTCATGGTAAATGGTTGCACAGATTTCCCCATTATGTTTCAAATGCTTGTGTCGGCCCTTGATGCCATCGGAGGAGAAGCCACCTTTGCTGAGTTGGGCGGCGAAGTGGCTGAGTTTTCCATCCGTCAGATCCGCAAGTAAGTCGTCTCTTCTGTCGAATCATAACCAGTACGTCGTTAACGATAAACCATAGGATGCGAGTATACGCTGCACCGTTACTAAGTCCTGATACGGGACTGCTCGAGATCCTTTGCCGAGCGGAAGAGAGTTTCGACTGCCTAGAGTATTATAAGCGTCTATATCCTCAATACGCAGACGTATTTGGCACAATTGAGAACATACGGCAGCAAGCTTATAACATATATCTCGACCGGGCCCTAAAGTCATGCAACTCGCTGGACATCGACCCCGACAAAGAGCTCGCCGAAGCAGAGGGTTCCGTCCAAGTCGAGGGTGACGATGAGCCCTTAATCGAATATTTCACTCAGACACTCGAGGCGTTCCCGAAAGGTGCACCAGGCGAGCACTGCTTTGTTTGGCCCTGCTACATCGTCGGATCGGCGAGCAGGAATCCTCGTCATCAAGCCATTCTCGAAGGATATCTAGAGCGACAGTATTATCGTAATGGCTTCGCGAATCTGCTTCGTGCCAAGGAGATGCTGAGATATATATGGGATCGCGGGGCCGATCGCGATGACTGGACGGCGTTATTGCCGGAATCTCGTGTATTTGTTATGTAGGCTTTTATGCATGAATCGTTCGTTTGGTTCGGATGGGAAATCGTTTAGTTCGGATGGCAAAATGGGGTCGGTAGGTAAAGCGGCGCATTTGGAGGCTTTGGACTCGGAGGGTCGTGTTGTCTTGGTGTTTGAATCAGGCTTTCGGCGCTATACCATTGTTAACTACCTAAGTATGAAAGATTGAATCAACATGAGAATACGATACAAACCTATGTGCCACAGCGTCTCCGAGAAAGATTGCTTTAAGCATTGCGCCTTACCATTTTGAAGAAGCACGTTCCACATTGCCCTTCCGCCAGAACAAATTCTCGATTATTGGGTGCCTGGAAGTTCGAAATGCAACATGGGAACGGTCTTGCTGATATCGGAGACTTCTGTCACGATCCTCGATGCCATCAGGAATCGTAAACGGAGATTCCATCATTCACACAAACCCCATTCAATCACGAAAATAATCCTAGTGAAGCCAAGCCACTTTGAGATCTAGAACGTCTCAGTAGGCAGGAAACGATGTTTGTGCTCACAGCTGTCAGATGCATAGGCACTAGCAAGTGTTTATCAAGTAGATAGATGAGGAAGCATGGGCGAAGGATTGAAATTTTTATCAGGTAATGCATAGTTTTCTCACCTTCAAAATCAAAAGCGACTTTTACCAGGTTGCACGAGCTCTCTTTCAGATATATATAACCGTGTCAGGTGATGTCTGAATGACCCTGGGTCCGTTTTCCCCAAAACCAGATATGCAAATAATCAGGGCTCTGGACGGAATAATGGCATGATGTCTTTATCTTCTACCAAGTGGCGTGTTTTATGAGCAATGAACTGATGATGAGTGCCGGAAAGCATTTATGTCTTCTCACCCTAGAATTTGGGGATGGGAAGTGGAACGACGTTCAATGAAGAGTCTATACCGAAAGAGGGAATTTCAATGAGAGCCAGTGCCAAGGATTCATCAACTTCACAAATACCGGGTAGGGTTATTCGCACCATACGGAAATCCCTTGGGTACATTGTGTAAGTAGTTAGCCACCGTAACCTTAGCTCGGTGACAAAAACAAAACAAGACATCGAGTTGAAGGGTGGTGATGAGTAGACGGCTTGTACGATAAATAGAATGATATGGGTAGCTTTACAAGCCTCAGGGCCCTCACCATGGACATGTATGCGGAGAGAAACAGGGAGGAAGGTTCGATCTCGTTCTCCATAAGAAGCAAGAAAGACTTGACGAGGGTAAGTAAATCTTTGATTTTAAGTTTTGCACTTCAAGAACCGCAGTGCAGGCTAGAGGCCAGAGATAGCCAAGAACTTGAGGGTCAGATGAGTATTGAAAACAAGTTTGCAGGAAAAAAGAAGCTGAGTGCAGATTGCTTACAGCTTCTTCTGTAATACTGCATTTCTGGTACTTATCGCATTGTCAGGATAGATGACATATGAGGCTGGTTAAAGAAAAACCATCTGATTATCATGGTGAGACCTCAACTCCGGAAACGACGCACTTCGGTGGCACATGGTTTAGCAGGATTTAGTCGTTCCTTGAAAGTAACGGTAGGACAAAATACGAGATTTTTAGACATAAGAAAGCTCAATCTACAAGATTAATCGAAGCTATCTATATAAGATTCCCCTTACTGTATTATCTTCTATTATATTAAAGGTTTAAAAGCGTTTTTTTATTAAGACTATCCTCTACTGAACCCTGATTTCTTCTATATCTTTTCCTCCCTTCTTATTATATAGGTACTATTAATAGCCCTACTTATTCTTCTTATTAATAGTATTCAACTAGAATAACTCTATCTTAGCTATAAGGAATTAGAACTATTCTAATCAATTTGTTGCTCTCGCTCGCTCCGCCTACAAGGACTGGGCTGAGATTGAGAGGCGTTCGGGACTAAAGATGCTTACAATCACGGGCGGCGTCGTCTTTCTCCCCAAAGATGGACCGAATGGTTCTCATACCTTTTCCAATAGCCTCGACGCCAACAATGTCCTGTATGAGCGGCTGAGTGCTGGCGAAGTCAACCGTCGATGGCCCGGGTTCAATGTTCCGGACAGCGTGGACACCATTTATACGGCAGATACAGGCATCGTCCATGCTTCCAAGGCAGTGACCACCATTCAGTATCTTGCCCGTGGTGCTGGCGCCATTCATATATATATATCGGCGGCGTCCTCGCCAAAACATCCAGAGGCGACGTCCATGCCAAAAAGATCATCATTGCCGCCGATGCTTGGACCAACAAACTCCTCGGACCCCTCGGCGTTGAGCTGCCCATTACGGTAATGCAGGAGCAAGTTACATATTACAAACCCAAGCCAGAGCACGAGGCCCGCTTCGAGGCAGACAAATTTCCGGTGTGGATTTGGGGAGGGGCAGGTTCAGATGAGAAATGGTTCTATGGGTTTCCCTTCTACGGTGAGCCAGTGCTCAAAGCAGGCCAGGATGCCGGCAGGAATGACCCCGGAGAGAGTTTTGATAGAAAGTTAAAACAAAAGAAGAAGTCAGACCCAACAACTCAACACAATGAATACGAAAGGTTAAAAAAAAAAAAAAGCTTTGCTAGCCCAAGGCTGCAGTCATACGGCAGAAAATTTCATAAACCTTCATACCGATAACTCGCTTGCCGTCAGGACGAGCTGCGCGTCGAATAACTACTAAAGCTGCCCTCTTTACCTGGCTTCCTTCGTTTGTACGCCAATCCACACACTTCAATATACCGAGCGCGAGTCTTTTCAGATACCAACCACCCAGTGAGTATCAGTAGCCCCTTGGCCAGAGCACTAATACTGATACGCCCGCAGCCTTCGCTGTTTATCCCGATAATCAGGATATTATAGCAGATAATAAGACCCCGGTACCTCTTATTAAAGGTAAGAAAATAACCTGGCTAATAATACCCAAGCCTAAGATCAGCACTAGCAATCCCAAGCTCGCTAGCTTCGCTAAAGCTATTAATATAGATACGGTTAATAAGCTGGATGAAAACAAGCTTAATAGCCTCTCTATCAAGCAGCTCGTCGCCCTCTATAACTTCAGGCAAGATATCCTTGGGTATATACCCGAGGATAAACTCGATACCCAGGTTATCTCGGTATTAAGAAGTCAGGGGTTAGATTGGTTCCAATTCCTTGTATCTAAAGCGGTATTATTCCAGCAGAATGCTATTAACGAGAAGAACAAGTAGGGCCGCCTGTAATAGCACCAGAAGGGAGGAAAGGATATAGAAGAAATCAGAGTTCGGCAGAGGATAGCCTTAATAAAAAAAGCTTTTAAACCTTTAACACAATAAAAGACAACACAGTGAGGGAAGGCAGGAATGACATGATCCCAGAAAAGCGTACCTGGATTCCCTCGGAAAGACTACGAAGGGAATTGAACACCTTTATGAATAGCCTCATTCCAGACCATGGCGAGGAGTTACGGACAGTTACTTGCCAATACACCATCACCCCTGATCGGCAGTTCATCATCAGTCCTATGGAAAAGCACAAGGACATCATTGTCGCCCTCGGGAATGCCTATGCGTTCAACTTTGCGCCAGCTATTGGTCGCGTGACGGCTGACCTTGCTTTGGAGGGAAAGGCGACAGATGACCTGTCCAAGTTTGGGTTCTCACAGCCGACAGTGAGCAAGCTTTAATCAGACAGATCTGAAGTAGTAGGCATAGGAGGGGCGAAACGACGGCAGTGGTATCGTGGTGGGATGATCCGAGCTAAGACATGTATCTTTACGCTTAGCATCAGAGCAGAGTATGATATAATGATATAGGAAGCTGAAATTAGCATATCAGCATCTATACGCGCAATAACAATAAACCAGTGATAATCATATTCCGGAACCCTGGTTACCCGTCGGGTCGGGAGTATACTCGCTGCATCTATGATTCAATGGAGACTTCACGGAAATGAAGACATATTGTGTAAATCCGTCGGATCCCCACTAGCAAGATCGATAAACGTTTGCAGGAGGCAAAAGACTCAGCTAGAGGAATAACGGTAGAGGATTATACACCACAAGCATAATTTCCGGTACTCGGACCTACCACCTGCAATCTGGATAAATCACGTATCTCGACGGGAATAACCTTGCCAGAGAATGTAGGTCAAAATTCAAAAAGAGTCAACACATCTCTATCGGGAAAATACACCAAGGAAATCTTCAAGTGAGGCAGCTATACTAGTCCAAATGAGAATCGGAATATCAAGGCTTGATACGTACCTCTTCAGCATCAGAACAGCGACTTCAGAGCAATGCCCAGGTAGGCATTGTCCGGAAACAGTGGAACACTTCCCATTGCCTGCGTCAAACGTGTGACGCAACGACAGAGTGATACAAACAGCAACGCGAGGACAAAAAGCCTATCCCACTTTCTTGATGGAAAGGCCACAACAGACACATATAACTGGACATCAGATAAGCAGGCAGGCAAGGCGATAATTAGGTTTGCAACAAGCTCCTATACTCTGCAAAGCAACCACAATTCATCTTTAACCGCCTTCGATCTTATCCATGCCAGGCGCCACTTCAGTTGCTGTAGATAGGATGCTGAACGCTTGCAGAATAGACTTCGGATAGTCTCGCTTGCGTAGCACCACCCATACGAGGATTGTAGGACGGCAAAACAAAGCGGAACATGGCAAGAAGCAAGAATCACAGGGCGTTGCGCAGGTTCTAATGAGATTGAGACACAACTGGAGCCGAAAACATGTACACGGCGTATAGTAGCCCTTCTCATGCAAGTTATAAGGCGGAAGAGACTTGGTGAGTGTGAACTACATGTGGCTGTGCAATATCATTTCCGTGCAACGTTAGGAGCGACTCTGGAGGTCACCCAATTTCGGGCGTGATGAAATCGTCGCCCAACCCGAACATGTCCACATACACCACAGGCTTTCACGACTCTGGAGCAATTGATATCCTCAGAGACGATTTGAAGGATGGGTTCTTCGGGTGAGTAGCAAACGTGCAGAGCAAATTGCAGCAGTGTACCAATTGCACGTGATGATGTGATCATCTAACTGACTGGTAGAGAGGCTGCCGGAGTGATACTTAAGCTCCGGCAACCAAACACTGGGATTCAAACAGACAATATGCCCTCCAGGGAATGTGCGAATTTGAAAGCTGTCAGTGGCTTCTTTATTGAAGGAGCTGTCCTAGATTGATAGAAAAACACGAAAGTCTTTGCAGTGTATGTACATTGAACAAGCAGCTCCGTTTATCACAAAAGTGCTGAAAGTGTAGGTTACGGCTTCCCTTGGGCTGCCAATCCAATATGCTTCGTTGGTTGCTCGTTTAGTCATGGGCTGCTAACCTCAGCAATTCTTTAGGGGCTTCGAGGAGTCTATCCACATATAGAGCGAAACCCAAATGCCGATGATCTTCACATCAGCAGTGACGAATACAACAGACCTGAATCATTCATAGAAGTAACCGAGGTTCACAAATGTATCCTTTCCGTTCTCCAGAATATTCTTTTTCCTTCTGTTCTGCATGAAGCCGTATTTACCAGCTTCCTGACTAATGCCAGCATTGGAGACCGAGAGCGGCGGCCTCCTGCACAACAAGCTCACGAATCTCCTCGGAAAGAGGCCGTCCTCGTGGGATCCAGCCCAGCATCTGCCTCGCTCTATTGGATGTGGACAGGGAGTTTGTGCCTAGAAACAGCGAGGAAAACTCCCAAACCTGATCGGCCTCCTCCCAGGTGAGGGAATCCACTCGGGCGTGCTCCAGAAAGCCCTGTGCGACAGCCTCTTGTGCGATCTGCCTGGAGACATCGCCCCACGAAACAAGCCCCGACCCAGCAAAGTAGAAACCATATCGTCCCCAAGTGGCCTGCCAAGCTTCGGTCGCCGCGTCTTCTACGAGCTTGAGGAAGATTTGCGACAGGTCCTGGATGTGGACTGTGGCCCAACGATTATCCCCACCCCCCACCATGAAGGCAGCTTTCCTCCTCAGGGTGTGGGAGACGAGCTCAGGGACCTGGATACTTCGCCTGTTTCCAGGGCCACGGCCAGCCCCGTAGATTGCAGGGGGGCAGACTATGGCGGTCTTGACGAGTTCCTTTTCTGAGTTAAGCTGCATGACCACAGAATCCACATTTTGGTGCGGAGCATCATTGGGGAGGGAAAGGATGTCATCAACACCCTGCAGGTCGTCATAGAACTTGTCTCTCCTCGTTCCGTATGTTAACTGATTAACATCCTCAAAGCACAGTATGTCAGCACCGGACAGGTGAATGAATGCTTTGGTGGAATCGGAGGCGTTCAGCTCTGACAATCCACTCGAAATGGCTTGAACAGCACCAAGGTGCTCGCAGTTGGCGAGGTGGCATACGATGTCAGCTTTGGCAGCCTGCTCCGCGAGCAGGGCTGAATCGTCTAGGTCTCCCAAGACTATGGATAGGAAAGGGTATCGATTGGTCAGGACGAGGGCCTTCTCAGTGCTGCGTGCCAGGCATGTGATATGGTAGTCGGGATGGGACTCGACAAGGACGCTGAGTACATCTCCCCCGATATAGCCCGTAGCACCCGTGCTAGGAGTGATAGTTAGCATCGGAGAGTTGACGGGTAATGGACATACGGACAGGAATATCTGCACCATGGTACACTTTGCAATGCCGTGGTTGTGGTATAAGATGTTTCTTGAGCGAAGGACTGTGCTGCTTTTTCAAAGCATCAAGACGCAATGTATTGTCAGGAATTTGTAGAATCAAGAGGCCCGAAATGAAGGACAAATTATCGTTGTATTTATAATCGAGGCTATCGACGTAAAGGTATATTACATACACTGCAGCCTATTTAGGAAATTCCAACTGACCAAATCGTTAGCACAGTTGGCTTTATGGGTTCACGTGGAGCTTCCAAGACCTTGTTCCTCACCGTCTCTGGGCTGTGATTTGTTGATCTGCTCAACCAAAAGTGGACTTGGATGTGGCATTCAGGGCCAGAGTCACTCGACGAATCAACGAGCTTATTTTGGCTAAAATCCCGTGTGGCTGAGATTTCCCTCATCCCATCCATCGGATCAATGGCATCGATCGGGTCCATTTCATTACGTCGGCATATAAATGACCTATTCACACATGTTGGACCTCTAGGCTTGTCAAAATGACCCCGTCGGCATCGAGTCAGCGAATTAGGACAGTGCCCGGATCTTGCTGGCCCTGCAAAAATCGTCGTGTCCGATGCGATCTCGCAAAGCCCGGTTGTCAGCGTTGTTTTAGAGCAGGGACAGCTTGCCAATATGTCCAGGGTCCATTGAAGCGGTCTCCCAGGCCGGTGGTCAGCGTGCCCGCCTCCTTCCAGCCCGTCGCCTTCCCTGGTGGTCTGGACAGCCCCTCGCAGGAAAAAGCCATATTGTACTTTTACAGGCGGCTCTGGCCTCTCCTCACTGCTTCCCTCAGCCCTATCCCACCTCCTCTGCAGGCTTTTGGAGATCATAGGGCCGTGTTTTTGGCAACCGGTTTGCTTGCCGACTCGCATCGTTTCCTCCAAGACAAGCGGAACCGCCCGCCCGATACCGTAGAGAAACGCAGACAATGTATAGAAGCTGTGAACGAGGAGCTAGATCGCTGCTCTGCAGATAGCACAGTCAGCATGCAACCTCTCTTGTTTGCCATTCTCCTCCTCTACTTCTACGAAGGGTACATTGAATGTTCGCGATGGCCGCTCTCAACATTGATTCACCACGGGGGCATTCGAGCAACACTCGAGACGATGGGCGGTTTGGAAACGGTTTTGACTCTTGGCCACGAATCACTTCAGGTACTGGTGTCTTTGTTCGCAACGGCAGACCTCACTTCGAAAATGCTAAGAGGCGGGGCGCCTTCATTCTCTCCCCTTTCGTGGCGCTTGTTCCATCCCAGCTCGGTATGGTGGCAGCAGCACGTCTCGACCGATGAGCCGTCCCCAACATTATCTCTAACAGACGTCTTTGAGCAGATGTCTGCAATGCTGCTCTATCGACAATCTCTTGGTGGTGCCGGAGCGCTGCCATCCACTGATAGGATCAAAGAATTCGAACAAGCACTCCAACCTGCTTATGCCCCCTTCAAACCATTGAGCACGAAGTCTCTGATGCCTCCCACCGATTCATCATCTACGTCACACTACGCTTTCCTTCGGGCCTACCAGCATACAGCACTCATCTATCTCTACAGAGAAGTGTGCGGCCTGTCAACGAGTCATCCAGTGGTTCAACAACACGTCGATGCTTGCCTGGACACCATTAACATGATTTCCAATTCATCCGAGGCCATCAATTGCCTAGTATTCCCTCTCTGTGTGGCCGGGTCGCATTCGCTGGCGGTCCCCCGACAACGCCAGATCTTGAAGATGTTGCTTGCCGTCCAAAACGAGATGCGTTTCACCTCCTTGCACCACTTGATAGAATTTCTAGAAGGGTGTTGGAGGGTGAACCCAGAAGAAAGGTTGTGGCTGGAGACTTTCACAACGTTAAATCCGAACATCATCAACTTCTAGTTTTGTGCTGCCAACCTTAGCATGGCTTGCCGATAAAACATAAAGGAGATCTGTATAATCGTAGGTGTACGGCATGGCCGTCATGGTGGTTTGAAACTGGGAGAGGGAGAACATGGCTATTATGGAGCTAGAAGAAGTAGAGATAAGCATGAAACTGGTGTTATACCGCATGGCTGCCTGTGGGAAGCCCGCGGTCGTGTTACCGTCAATGCTGTGTTCGCTTCCTTGACTTGATCGTAACTTTCGGGCCGTGTGAGCTCAATGCCATCTTCCGACTCTCATAGCCCCCGTACCAAGATCTGCGACCAGAACTCAAATAACGTTCTTTTTAGATGAAATCCTAGTAGCCATCCGTCCGTACAAATGTTATGGAAGCTGGTGGCGGGAGCCGTCACCTGAATTATCAGCCATCATGAAACGTAGTCGCAATGAAAGACGTACCACTATCATGCCTGGATGAGAAAGCCCGAGATTCCACAACCTAATGTAACAGATATAGGCTATCGGAACCAAGAGCGTAAAGCCCGCTTCAGTGCAGGAGCAACTTTTCATTTTCAATAGTTCCTTCCTTGTTTGAGGCGAGTATAGCAAAGGGCCAAATCTTTGGATAATATTAATAACCTTAATCTCCTTAAATATTATCTAAATACAGAACAATATAGTTAATAAATAATATAAAAAACTCTAAGTAATTCTTCTTTATCTACAATATAAACTCTATAAGTAAGAAATATAAATATATTACATGTTCTATTAGATTTTCAAAGCTTAATTATATTTCTATTAATATTATCTTCTCCAGACTCTTTCCCTTTTGATATTTATTCTAGATAACTACATTATTATATAGTACTGTTAGTAAGTAACAGCAGTAAGAGAGAGATCTATACAGCTGCTGAAAAAAAAGGGAAATTCCCAAACACCAAGAATTTAATAACTTGACACCATACCCAGTATCACAACACATTAAACTTCAGCCTTTTTACCCGGCCGTACACAAGGTTCAACACCAACATAAGTAACATAGATAGCATGAGGTCCCAAATTTGCGAACACGGCAGAAAATGATATAATAAGCATAAGATGTGGCAGAATAAATGTCCAGAACTGGGACTCTGGTAGAGAAAAATGATTAGTTTTCGATTCCGGCAGAAAAAGATACATGTGTGAGAATGGAATGGCAGAAAATAATACATGTACGAATGTTTAGCTATTGAAGCAGTACTTTACTATACCTCAGCAGACCTTTGTAATATGATAATTATGGTGATGAGATGATAGATGCAAAGTACTTCGTTGTGAAAATTACTTCTACCCGCTGCAATTGTTGTGGAAACCGGTCAGGCAATACCCCAAAATAATGGTCCAAGTTAAAAAGCTAAGCCAAGCCAAACGTTTAACGTCAAGGTCCCATTCTAATGGCATGGATGTCCTTGAAAAGTAAGTATTAGCGTAGCAGGCAGAATGACCTAACCACCAGGAGTCAAGACGAACTCATGATCAGTATTATAAGAAGGCGTATAATCAAAAGGGCCAGCGTTTCGCGTTTATGGACGTCTGGTTAGCATATAAGCTTAATACTATTCACCGAAAAGTCTCTCCTACGGTTTGTATAGGCTTCTAGCTGAGGCGAATATTAAGTGAGCATATCGAAATAATACAACATCTCAAACTACGGGTTCCTCACGTGATATTGAAGCGTGCAACATACCCTACACGGCTAATCGGCCCGTACGAGATCACGATCACATGTATGAAACCAAAACAGGGACTCCTTACTCAAGCAAGCTCAGCCTGGCTCACCACGGGCTGTCTGTTCCTCAACATAGCTCAGGTTAAGCGGCGTCTGGTCAGTTCCAGAATAAGACACAGTCGTTGTCTGTTTTGGAGGTATATCCTCCAAATCCTCCATTGCACCCGTTGCACCCTATTTGCCTATCTAGGTATATCCGCCTAAGTTCTTTATTCTCGCATTGTAGATCTTGCCGAACGCATACCTCGCTTGACTCCTCACGGCTACTAATCGCCGATCTGGGAGTGCTGCCCGCCCTCCATTAATCGGGGGATTCCCCTCCTCAAATGTGACATGGATGAAATAGGGGCCGGCATGCCCAAAAGTTCCCTGCGGGAAGGATTTGTGACTGGGCGGAGCGCGCGTAGCCTACCATAAGATCATTACTGTGCTGACTGTTGTATTCTTATGCTACTACCCAAAATAATAATACGATGTTACAGGCGTATGGTTACTACAGAGGATGACTGCGAATGTGGTCATAGGAAGACAACGAACGATGAGCATCATCCACAACAAATTGTATGTTGCCTTGCAGTCAGAAACTGCCTAGGCACTCCGGGATGAGACAGAGAGGTCCTTAGCTGTAACAACCGAGCCCACAAGCAGCCCAGATTGAACACCATGAAAAGTAGCAATATCCCACTTTGCTTGCTCAGGATAACTATAATTACCGCCGATCAGAACACCACGTAAGTCAATGCTAAAGTTAGGATAGCGGCCCAGTTCGGCAAGAAACCTCCTTACGTCACTTCTGCCTAGCCAAAGATATCTCCCGAGCAGCAGTCGACAGCGGCCCCAGTCTGCCATAAGTTTTCCAAGATGGAGTTGTAGAGCCCAGAGACACGACGGTCATCCAGGTCTTGATCTAAACTTCGATAAAAATGTAGGATGGGTCTGGGCAGCCCTGGGACTTTTGGACTGAGTCTCCCAGAGATGTGTGGTGAAAGTGCTGATAGGTAGGAGCTCTGCTCTACCACTACGACGTGGTGGCGGTAGCCAAACCTTGAAGGGACGCATGTTTACTTTGAAAAGACATAACTAGATATATTTGACTACTCCATGCCCACTCCCAAACCTATATCAAGCGAAATCCCTAACACACACTCGCCTTAGGCGTTCCTCAAGTACCGATACTAGTATGCCACGTCTTCTATCCATATTTACCAGGCAATCTACAAAAAGGTGAAGCCATCTCCCTTCTAACTCGGTACGTGACAGCAAAGCCTAACTTACTCGATTAAGCCTCACAGAATCTAGTTCGTAGCTCACATTATGTGGATAGCCAAAGCCGTCGTCGTCGTGAGTGCTGTGGCCCACGCGCGCCTCCTCTTCCAGTCGCAGAAAGGAGCCCGTGCTCTCGCTGAGCTGGGGTCCGCTTCTGGACACCCCTTTTCCGGACACAATCCCACCGCTCACACCGATGCCCAGGGTGTGTTTAGATGAACAGACGCCGGTCTGACTCGCAGTGTATTCGCCGTATCGCAGCTTGCGGTAGAATGGCATAAGTGTGGGCGTGCAAGCTCCAATGATGGCCACGTAGATCTCGATAACGGTCGCCACGCCTGCGACCACAAATTGCTCTGGTATAGTTGTTATTGGCCGCTGCCCATGGCACACAGGCTCTTTCTATTAGACTTACTGGTGAAATTGCCGAGGCCCTTTCTCCAAATAACGTTAGTGGTGGCCGTGCGAACCAGGCTGGCAGCGAGGGCTCTGTTACAGATCATGTCAGCAATGATGTCTTTGAATATGTAATATATACTTGAAGGTAGTAAGGCGGTCATCACTTACATTCCACCGGAAAATAAAAGCGATCTTGAACTTGCGCTCTGTCGCGGTATGCAGCTTGTAGACCTCATAAATAGGCAAACTTATCGTGAAAAAGGCTATAAACGTATTGGCGATTGAATTTGCCAGGAAGTGAAGAACGGTGTCGACACATCTTGTTGTCGGTAGTGCCCGGAGTTCAAGGTACCAGAATGCCTTGAGAGGGCGGCATTGAACGAAGTCCAGAATACTGACAGCGATACACCACGCTATACACATAGCACCGATGATTTTGCACCCGAGCTTCATCCCCGGTGTTGGGAAGATGCGCCAATAGAAGGCCAGAACAGAGAGCTTGACCAAGGGGGAGCTGTATGTGTATGTAACCTCTGCAACGAAAAGGCACTGGTAGACTCAACGTCAGTGAACGATACTGCATATGGGGTCAAGCTGTGTTGTTTTCTGAGCGAACCTGGAAAAAGATGACAACTGAGTTTGGGTTTTCCACGGCAGTTATCCTCACGTCTCGCCCCATGCCACCTTGAACTACTCCCACGCAGGAAGCTATCATGAAAGCGTGATGTATCAAGAGCGCAGCTAGGCATAGCCAGTCATCAGCCCCCAGTGTCTGGCGCGTCAATCTTTTCGCCAGAAACCGCAATACAACCACCGCGGTAGTAAAAAACGAAAGGATACTGAAGGCAATGACTGCGCCAGGGCCACTATCAGAATAATCCAGAGGTGCCTGAATCGCCAAAATGTCTATAGCCGACATTTTCCTCGTTGCTTCACAAGCACGAGCTGCAACTTCACTTTTGCAATAGAATCAGTGAACAGGGAAACGATGGGGTGAATTCAAAATCTGGCTCTATGCGTATATATAATTGCTTTACTCCTAACCGTTTGAATGGGCGCACATGGGCAACACTACAACCAATCCGCAAGTAAATTCCAACGCAAAGGACCCCCCTCGCTTTCTCCTCTTGTATCGGACCGTCTAAGAATACGACATCGGTTACAATATAAGGACCTTACGACCAACGCGACCATACTTACGGCCTGCAGTCCAACACCTCAGCGTTGCAATAGGATCTGACTGGGATTCTCACAAAATGGTGGCCTGCAACGATACATTTGGCGGTTTTTTCTACTTTATACTGATTCTGGCTACTACATTATGGCGATATGCATTTCCAGCATACATAATACGGGACTTATGTCGAATGGATCATTGTGACACAAAAGTTCGTTTTCTTTGTCGTATGCCACTTATCAAGACGAGATGTGCTTCACGTCTCCGGTAAGAGCTACGTCAACCAAGGTAAATCAAGAGATAATTTGAAGGTAGTTAAAGATTAAGATATGAAAAATAGCTAGAAGGCCCAGCAAAGCTTCCCATTCCGTCGTTTGAAATGCAATTATCACTTAGCGAACACAAAGGTCTCTTCGTTGGGATCATCGCTTATTTCCTTGGTAGAGAAGCTCGTAACCTTGCCGTGAATCTTCAAGCACGGAGGAAGGTCATCACCGTGGTTGTTGGGAGGACTGTAGGATTCATCATTGTTCAGCCGCCACACAAGGGACTGGTGCATCACAGCATCAGGAGGGATATCGCGCGTCGAGCCCATGTTGAGCGGGAATCGCACATCAACCCACCCCTTCTGGGTCAATTCCCAACGCGTGATGATTGGAAGATATTCTGCTGGTAGTTAGTTAAACAATTTTGACAATTGTGATGGTTGATACATCATGTGCTGTGAAGGACGTACCCATATACTTCCAGAAAAGAACCCGAAAAAATCCAGAGCCACGGCCGAACGAAAGACAATCGTGCATCACAGCGCCAAGGGCATACGCCCTTTTTGCTTTGAAGTGCTTCTTAAACTTGACCAGGCTGTGGCACCATTTGACGGCGGCTTTTGGGTCTTTCTCACCCACAAGCTCTAATTCACGAATCATCCACGCAAGCGGGATGTCACTCATTTGCAAACGGTCGCAATCAAGGTCATGACTGGCTTCCTTGGGCTTTCTGGAAGTAAAGAGGTTTTTTACGCGCTGCCAGAAGGTCATCTTCTTGTTGGTGTCAAGAGGATTATCGGAGACTGATGGCCAGCCACCTCCAACATCTCCATGATTACCAGGGAACCAAACTTCTTTGATGTCTTCGGTCTGGTCGTCGGATAATTTAATATCCTGTGCGAGGAGAGCTGGCTTGAACTTGACACGACGTTCGTCAATGGCTACAGCATGCCGAATGTATGTGGCAGTGCCAAGCACAGGAACAGGGACGGGCGTCTTTTGTTCCAGAACCGCGACCGAGTTGACGCAGTCCCAGAGTCCCAGGAAATACACCTTGATATTAGTGTGCTTTGAGTGACCATCTTCGGCGAAGACAGTCTCATTTCGGCAGAATGTCTGACTAAAAGCGGTGATTTCGTTCTCGGCAACCAGCGTATCATGGCTGTGCGAGAAATCATCTCCAATCAAGGCGGCGTCGCCTTCCGAGTCCTCCTGGTGAGCGTCTAGGCGATCCTTGATATCTCCTGCCAAGTATCGCTGGTACAGTCTGAATGCAAATGGAACCATCTCTTCATTCCCTTTGCAAAGCAGACCAACCGTATGGATCATACGCGCGAGGAACTTGGCTGTGAAAGCACCACGACTGAAGCCAAATAAATATATCTTGGCACCCTTTGAAAATGTGACAAGCGTAACGTTAACATATGAACATTGCGATGAGGAGGCCAAGTGAATGACACTTACCGATTCATAATATCGCATGAGGAAGCGATAACCCGCGATCACATGGGCGTCAAATGTGGTCCCGAAGCCTTGATCAATCGTCTTAGAGAAAGCGCTTTGAAGCTCACCGAACCAAGACTTATTGACGGATTTTTCATTGATGTCGTATGTTCCGATACCAGCTAACATTGATCAGACTTAGAACATCTCATGTCATGAGAATGATTTGCTGCTAGCAGAGAATAGACAGTAAAATCAATGGACATTACTTACTCTGATAGTAGTGAAACTGATCGGGATGGTTGCGATCCAACTTGCTGAGGAGCTTTACGACGTTGGTGTCGGCGTTCGACCCGCTGAACTCGTTTCCCGTTCCATCAAAACAGAGAACGAGCTTCTTGGACTCTGGCTGCATTGTCAGAGAATTGGTATCTGGCATTCTCGGTAACGATGAAAAACTGAATGCTCAACCAGAGCGGGCCGCGAACTAAACATTGAAATCATCAACCAAACTAGAGGTTTCTAGGGTGAAGCCGAAGCGCTCGCGCATAATATTGGACGCCTCCATTCAGCTGCAAAGGGTCGATGATCTATCACCGAATTGAAAATTATATTGGCCACCAGTGTCAACAAGCAGCTAAGTGTGGTCAGCACTACGTCGCATTCAATAGCGCAGGTGTGGCTTGCATAGTAAGTTCGACGAATCATTATTTGCCCGCGAACATAAATGAATGAACAGAGGCTTGGCTTGTGATGGACAGCCGTCCTCGCCAAGCCTAATATGCATGATGAAATGTCTCCTCGTGATATGACTGCCCAAGTCGGGCTGAACTTGAGGTGGTAGTGCATCAGCTGCCGCTCTCTTTGGTGGTCTGGATATTCAGCCAGCCACCGCTAATGCCAGCTACTGCACGGGCCGAAGATCAGCTATCCCATTAGGCGAGTATTGCCGGGTAATGAACCGCAAATACTGGTGGGGGAGTTGTCCCGTCGAGCGAGGTGCATGAAGATAATTGCACTTCTACGCCTCTAGACCAATAGTACGGGGTTGATATGAGATGTGTTGCACATAATTGACCGTGTTCTTCCTGCAGTGAACTTGTGTTGCAGCAAGCCACGAAGCCAAGATATCCTCGTGTCATTGGTTCATTACAGGCCCAGCCAATGCAACAGTGCGGGGGTGAAATCTTCTGCCAAGTGAAGCAGCATGAGAGGGGCATCAAGTGTTCACTGGGCGCCTCTGTCTCGCCCAAGCGCCTCCATGTCTTGGTAAGAAAGCCTTCGATGGCTACTAAGATCAAAGGCGGCGAGACAGACACTCAATGAGTTACCGAAACTCATCGCTGAGCGGCGACACGTCGACAGCCTATGCACGTACACGCTTTAGAGGTGAAAAGTTGATATGTCGATTTTCTCGGTCCGTAAATATGAACTCAGCCTTCAGCCGACTCCATCAATAAAGCTCAATATGGAAAGATATCTATCCGGCTAGGTATAGTTCGAGTATCAGCTGTATGAACATCACCCGTTTGAGCAGATAGGGGTGGCGCCACACATGCCGCCCTCTTTTGGAAACAATAAAGGCAAACGTCTTGAGAGGGGTTTGGCGAATCATCGAGCCGTCGTTGTAAATCACCGCCATCATAATTGACGGTTTAACTCGGGCATGCAGGAAGCGGGGTATGCTCAGCTTGTGAGCTGAGGGTGTCTCGGATGCTGTTTTGAGATGGCTTGGCTACATAGCCGACTGCAACCAATGCCGGCCGGTAAAGATGTGGCCATTTTTCTATGTAACAATGGCGGTGACGGTGACAATACGAAATATCACCGATTGCGGAAGAGGCAAAATATCCAATTGGCTTCTGAGAAGGCTTCGTAAGATCTCGATGAGCTACAAAACGTCGGGTGACCCTCAGAGGTTTTCGATCGTTCTCCTATTTGATTTGCCCACTTAGACGCAGCTATGGACTTCAATGACAAAGTGCAGCTTGGGGAGGATTATGGCGATGCGAGAAAGGAGACCTCTAGCCTTTTCTCTGATCCACTCAAACTTGCCACGGACCTGCTCAAAGACTATGCAGGTGTCCGAAGCCAGGCTTCTGTCGCGGACATCGTAGGCCTCATTAACGATTTGGCACACAAGGGAGAGCCTCTCGATGATAAGAAAGGGTAAGTCTATCAGTTTATTACAATATCAGGGAATCCCTCACTAAGAACCACACCAGAACGACTGAATTGCTGATTGGCATTCTCACTTCGTTGCCATCTACATCAGCTGCACGCACCCAGCTCACAAACAAATTCATCGACACTCTCTGGAGCAATCTCCAACACCCACCCCTCAGTTACGTTGGCGGTGACGTCAAATATGAGGTAGTGAATTCTCAAGATGGTGCTACTGCCCAGCAAAGCGGCAAGCCATACGATGTCATTGAATTCAAAGCTCCTGATAGCGATGTGATTCTCCGTGAGCAGGTGCCTGTGGCGCCCAACGGGATGCATCAGTATCGCATGCCTGATGGGAGCTTCAACAATATCATGGAGCCGCATCTGGGCAAGGCTGGAACACCCTACGCGAAGACAGTTCGCCCTCAGAAACGTCTTCATGGTGTCAAGCCTGATGCTGGACTTCTCTTTGATCTATTGATGGCCCGTGGTGACGAAACTTTCAAAGAAAACCCGGCTGGTATCTCGTCCATGCTGTTTTACCATGCTTCGATCATCATCCATGACATCTTTCGCACCAATCGAACAGACATGAATAAGTCGGATACCTCGTCGTATCTTGACCTAGCTCCCTTGTATGGGTCATCTTTGAGAGACCAGCTTGAGATCCGCACCATGAAGGAAGGAAAACTCAAGCCGGATACTTTCCACGAGAAGCGCTTGCTGGGACAGCCAGCAGGCGTGAACGTCATGCTTGTCTTATACAGCCGCTTTCATAATTATGTCGCCGACATTCTTCTCAAGATTAATGAGAACGGCCGCTTCACTCTGTCGTGCCCGGATGGGTCGAGCCCAGAGGACAAAGCCAAAGCAGTCGCGAAGCAGGACCATGACCTCTTCAACACGGCTCGTCTGATTGTCGGTGGGTTATATATCAACATCTGCTTGCATGATTACCTTCGAGCCATCACCAACACTCATCATTCCAAGAGTGATTGGACGTTGGACCCTCGTGTTGAGATCGACAGTAAGCAGTTCGACAGTGATGGCGTTCCACGAGGCGTTGGAAACCAGGTCAGTGTTGAATTCAACCTTCTCTACCGGTTCCATTCCTGCATATCCAAAAAGGATGAAAGGTGGATCAACAACTTCTTCCTGAAGCTATTCCCCGGGCGCAATCCCGATGACTTGCAGCATGTGAGTTGGGGTGACCTCGGGCAAGCTCTCATGGCCTTCGAGCAAAGCATCCCGAAGGACCCAAGTGTCCGTACATTTGACAGTCTGGAACGCCAGGCCGATGGCACTTTCAAGAATGAAGACCTCGTCAGAATTCTCAAGGAGGCCATGGATGACCCGGCTGGCGTGTTTGGCGCTCGCATGGTTCCCAAGGCCCTCAAGATTGTCGAAGTTCTCGGCATCAATCAAGCACGCAAATGGCAGGTCGCCTCCTTGAATGAGTTCCGGGAATTCTTCGGCCTCAAGAAGTACGACAAGTTCAGCGAAATCAATTCCAACGCGGAGATTGCCGGCATTCTGGAAAAGCTCTACACTGATCCCGACATGGTTGAGCTGTACCCAGGTCTCATGGTGGAGGACAGCAAGCCGTCTCGAGATCCAGGCTGCGGCATCTGCCCAACATATACTGTGGGACGAGCGATATTGTCTGATGCAATTACGCTTGTCAGGTCCGACCGGTTCAACACTCTGGACTACAATGTCGCAAACCTGACCAGCTGGGGTTACAACGAAGTGCAGCAGGACCCCAAGACACTCGGCGGATCAATGCTATATAAGCTGATCCAAAGAGGTGTCCCCGGATGGTTTCCCTTCAATTCAGTTGCAGTCATGCAGCCGATGTATACAAAGAAAGCCAACCAAAGGATTGCTGAGAAGCTTGGCACAATTGACCAGTTCACTCTCGACGATCCCAAACCTCCCCCAACCATGATCGTCCTCTCAACCCAAGCTGCCATCAAGCAGTGTCTGGAATCCCAGGACTTTGCCCTTCCCTGGCTCAAGCCGTTGAATCTCATGTTCCCGGGAAAGAAAGACTATGGTTGGTACATGCTGGCTGGTAGTGAACCGCGCAATATCGCCCACCGAGATAGTTTCTCCAAAGCACTGGGCAAGCTCCCCAACTTGAACAAGGCTCTCGCGGAGATGGTTGCGAGAGTGGGAGCAGAGACGATCGAGAAGGAGAAATTCACCCTCCAGCAGGGACTAGACCAGATCGATATTCTTCGCGATGTCGCCATTCCAGTCAGCACTCGCCTGCTTGCAGACTTGTTTTACATGGATTTGCGTTCCGAAGAAAATCCAGATGGTCTAGTGGGAACGGCCGAGCTGTACAAGCATCTGTTGAACATTCGGATCTGGGGTGCCTCCAACAATGATCCCGGACAGGCGTGGAACCGCCGTCGCCGTGCTCAAGAGGGAACACAATTCATAGCAAATTCAACCCGTAAACTCGTCGATGAAGTCGTCACTCATCGAGGCTTTGGCTTGGGAATTGCCTCTGCTCTCTCAACCCGGTTTTCTCGTAGAGCTTATCTGAAGCCTGGATCTCTGAGATCTTGCGGGTATCAGCTAGTTGATGAACTACTTGCTCAGGGGAATTCGCCAGAACTGACGGTGGATAGCTTGTGGCTCACTGCTTTTGGTGGCGTGGGCGTCATATCGACAGTGGTAAGAGCCCCCTTCGAAACGATCTATCATGAGACTTGATGATTAATTGCTAACGTTTGACAGTTTTATGAGATTTTGGAGTTCTTCCTGCGCCCTGGAAATGCATCTATCTGGGCCGAAGTTCAGTCACTGGCCCATAAGGGTGACGACGAGACGCTTCGCGCATATGTTATTGAAGCTCAGCGTCTCACCACCACTCAGCGCAACATGCGTGTTGCGACCAAGCCGGTGGAACTGGAAGGGAAGAAGATCCAGCCAGGAAACGTAGTTGTCATGCTGCTTGTAAGTTACTCGGTTCAAATGTCCTCTTTTCATGCTGACTGTCATCCTCAGGGCACGGCTGCTCGTAACACAGATGAGGTCCCCAACGCGGATAAATTCGATCACAAGCGTGCACCTGTCAATATTGGCCCGTTCAGCCACGGTCAGCATGGATGCCTCGGAAAGCAGATTGCTCTTACTTTCGTGACCGGAATGATCAAACTTGTTGCCGACCTCAAGGATCTACGCCCTGCGCCAGGTCAGATGGGCCAGGTCAAGTCGATCCAGGTAGGTTCTGACAAGGCATACCTGAATGACAGTTGGTCATACCTTTCATTTGATCCAAGCAGTAAGTCCTGATAGCAATCTGATTTCTTTCGCCTTCGTGAATTCGGAATTACTGACGCTTGGATAGCCTGGAAGCTCCATTTCGACGGCCGTGGCAAAGGCACCTTCGAAGGGGAGAGGAACCCAACAACAGCCCTGCCAATGCAGCAGTATTATTACTTGCTTCAAAAGCGCAAGGCTGAGCAGATTGACTGATCTCACTGCATCACGCAAATATGCAGCGTTTCTTCTCTCATTGAGTATTCTTCTTCGCAATGTAGCAGGGCCAAAGATGCATATTGGCATGTTTTCGGAGAGGCTCGGGATTCGGATTTGACTTGAATGACACGAATTCAAACCTGTCAAGCGGGTGACACTGAATTTGAGACACCCAAGATGCTTACTTATTGTCGAGTCTGTGATTATTATTGTCGAATTATTGAGAAGAAATACACGGAAGACTGTCGATTATATCACTCTACATTGCTGCAGTATTCTAGTCATCGTAGGAAGTGGCCGTCCTTCAACTTAATGTCTCACTTCATCCCTCATGCGGGGTATTGTCACTCCAAAAGACCCCGAGAGAATAATTTCACCAATGATACACGACGGTTTATTCAGAGATCAGAAGCCCCGCCCAAGTTTCATTTCTCTTGACAGACCTATGGCGCGATTTATGATCCGGAGCCCTAACTTTTCCCATGGGGGAAATTGCCTTTTTGAGATTTGTATGGGCGAACGGAGAGAGTCTCCACTGGCCAAGTCATGTTTGGTGTTGATCTTCCCAGAGAGGAAAAAGTTCCCCGGTGTCCATCGGAAATTCTTGCACCTTAGATCCAATCTAGGAGGGGTAACTAGCATGACGCGAGCGAGCCTCAGATGGGAGTATTCGTCCCGGGATCGAAGTATAAGATCAGGGGCTGGAGGGAAGGAGATGCAGGGCAGTCTTTACGTGGTAGAGTTATTCGGAGACATTTGTATTTTTTTTTGCTCTTTGCTAGAAAATTCACAGCTGAGATAAATCATCTTCGGCTACGATGACTGAGATCTTGCGCATCCGAGCGACCTGGGGAGTCGATGGAGGGAAAAATTACGAGAATTTCGCCCGATGGTTCCCGGAATTGAAAGCCAAAGGATACGGTATGTCTCTATCTAAAATTGAGGAAAATCCCAGTCTCGAATTCCAGAAAAGGGCATAATGTATAACTAAACCTGTTGAAATATTTAGCTGGCATTGAAATCAACGTCAACGGTGAATCAGACTTCCTTCCAGATCTCCCCGTGCTCAGGAAGGTCTGTGACGACAATGGACTGGAAATCGTTGTCCAGTAAGTTCAACAGCACTGCGCGAAGGGCCTTAACTGGATGATTATCGATGACCCTGTCCGAAGAAGTGGTATATTTGAATTAACAATGTTAGGATTGTTTCCCACTGGCCGCACGCAGCTGGTCCTCGGCCTGTTGGTCTTCAACCACAACAACATGTGGAATACTACCGAAAGCAGCTGGAAAAGGCCAATGAATTGCGCCCGCTCAAGATTAATGCCCAGTCTGGCGCGTACGTATACTCCAGCTCGAGGGATCAATGAGTGTCTGGAAACGACATCGGCATGCTAACCAGTAAGAACAGGGATTACTGGACCCTGGAAGAATCCGTACAATTTTACAAGGCAACCATCGAGATTGACGCTGAGCTCGGCCTTGCTGGCAAAGTAGTCCACGAGACACATCGCAACCGCTCTCTTTTCACCCCATATGCCACAGCGCATATCATTCGCGAAGTGCCCAAGTATGAATGACGACACTTGGTAATGTTTGGACACATTGCTAAACATGAGTACAGGCTTCGCATTACTGGTGATTTCTCCCACCATGTTGTCTGCTGTGAGCGGCTCCTAGATCTCGGAGAAGAGGACAAACAGCTCCTCACCGAGATAATCCCACATGTAAGTCGCCGACAAGATTTAGAGAGGTGTTCGACTAATATATCTAAGGTCTCCCATATCCACGCCCGCATTGGAACAACGCAAGGCTCTCAGTGCCCGGATCCATCTGACCCCACGTTCGTCGCTGAGAAGACCTTCTTCGACAACCTCTGGACCAGAATTGTGAGGGACTGGTCTAAGAACAACCCGGGTGCTCCCGTCACCTTCACTCCCGAATATGGGTAAGCGTTCTACCCATGTACTCAATATCAGTTGCCTCCGCTTACATCTTTCTCAGTCCCTACCCATACCATGCTTACAATGCTGTGAGGGATTATTCAGAGGTTGCCGATACGGAAGGGGCGCGGTTACAGAGTCTCTTCCAGGCGACGCTCGCCAGTGCAAACTGAAAACTACAAAACCCCAATGATTCCCTTCCAGCAAAATAGAACGCACCACTTTATCACTACTAGAAGTCGCGGCAGTAAATAACATACTATGTAGACTCTACCCAACGTCTTTCATAACAGCAACCATTGTGATTAATGCTAGCATCTACTAAGTTCAGTAGAAGTAGTATCACTTCAACCATACAGTAGAATAGGACACGTTTAACCCCAAATCGAAAAGAGCTCACAGAGACACGTGGAGTACTGCCGCAGCAATGCAGAATTACAACTCTCTTCAGGTGCTGATTCCGAAATACCCAACCACCCCGCCGATATTAAATGCACCATGCTCGGGTTTGCCGACTGGTTTGGATTCGTTCCTGGAAAAGTGCAGGTCTCTGATAAAACGCGAGAGGTATAGATTTTGACCCCGCAGAGGATTGGCCATAGCGGCGGGTTTGTCTCTCTCGCGATATCCTTGTTTGGGGAAATTTTAATGAGAGACAGTCCTGGTCTGAAAGCACATGGTAAACACCGCGTCTGGACATGGTCTTATAAGGGACATCTTCCATGCCATGTGTGGTAGGGTTCTGAGCATTCAGTAGCCACAGGTTTTCAAAAACAGCATAGAGACGATCAACAAACTGCTTCCCCGGTCAAAAATATATTCATCGACGAGGCCTAAGCCTAACCATACTCATGAACTATGGAGGAGCTGAAGATTGCCCGCATCGACGTCTTCCAAGTGGGCTTGCCTTACAGGGGCGGAGTCTACCGCCTGTTGGGAGGCAGAGAATACAAAAGTTTCGATGCCACCATCGTCCGAATTACCACCCAAAATGGTATTGAGTGATGGGGAGAAAGCACACCGTTTGGCTCCAACTGGATTGCATCCCATGCTCTCGGTGTCCGGGCAGGCATCGCTGAAATCGCGCCGAAATTGATTGGCCTAGACCCTCGAAGAGTCGATCGTGTCTACGATGCCATGGACGCTGCCCTGGTCGGCCACTCTCACGCGAAGACAGCCCTCGATGTGGCTTGTTGGGACATCTTTGGCAAAGCCACTGGACTCCCCATATGTGAGCTTCTCGGGGGCCGCACGGATGTCAAGATGCCAATCATTGATTCGTGCCCCGTCACTGGTCCGGCCGAGACGCGTCAGTAGGTTGAAGCATTCCGAGCTGAGGGATACACGGGACATTCTCTCAAAGTGGGTGACGACCCTACGGTTGATGCCGAACGCATCGCGGCAGCGCTGGCAGACAAGAAACCGGGCGTGTTCGTCATCGTCGATGCCAACGGAGGAATGACTATTAAGAGCGCTCTCCGGATGCTGAGACAGCTTCCCCCCGGTCTTGATTTCGTTCTGGAAGCTCCATGCGCTACGTGGAGAGAAACGCTTGCTCTCCGACGCCGGACCGACGTGCCGATATTCCTCGATGAGCTAGCTGTTGGCGATGAATCCATCATCCAGATCATCGCCGACGATGCGGCGGATGGCATTGGACTCAAGCTCTCCAAGAATGGCGGCCTGACCAAGGGACGCCGCCACCGCGACATCTGCGTCGCCGCGGGACTGACTATCAGCGTTCAGGAGACGGCTGGGTCGGAGATTGCTTTGTCTGCCATCGTCCATCTGGGACAGACTATCCCAGGGCGGAACCTACGTACCATTTTTGGACACCCGGAGTGTTGTGAACCTCACGACGGCCGATGTGGACTTTGAGGTCGTTGATGGACGTATCAGTGCGCCTACGACGCCGGGCCTAGGTGTCAGACCTCGTTTGGATGTGTTGGGCTCTCCTGTAGCTAGCTATCATTAAGGGCATACGGCCATATCCACAGATGCTCATACGGTAAGTCGCACAGCTCGAACCTCACTCATGATAGAGCTGTTTTAAGCATATAAGAATGGATCAGAGGCAATAGTATCTTTTCATATCAGATGCAATTTACGCTCAGCGTACGATCGTGTGAAAATTGAAAGTGATATGGAATTATTACTGAGTTAAGACTGAGAGAGAAATGCTTTCTTATCATGTATTCAGTTGTTTATGGTGTTGAGATGACGGGTCTAACAGCTTTCTTTGCTATTTTCACTTGTTAATCAAACTCTATCATCCGTATCGTATTTCAGCGTTCAACCTCGCTTCTGAATGGCAGCAACAATCCGCTGCAGTCCTTCATCCAGGTAGTCCCGCTTCTGCGAGAACACAATCCTGAACCAGCCTGGACTCTCAGAGCCAAACTGCGCCCCCGATGCCAAGAAGACCTTTTCGCCAAGCAGTGCGTCCATCACCAATTGGTCGATATCTAAACCTCCCTTCTCTTCCAGCTCTGGATGCAATTTGCGATAGGCCGCGCCCAGGTTCAGCCAGAGGAAGAAGGCAGCATTCACCCCAGGCGCGTACTCGAAGCCGTGGCCCTTGGCCCACGTGGCAACATGTTCAAAATTGCTCTGAAGAGCCCTCTGATTCTCCTCAATATACTTGCCCACCCACTGGTCGTCGTTCAGCATGTTGGCTGCAGCGCAGTCCGTAATGGCCGAGGTCGAACTATAGAGCGACACCGGCAGCAAAGCACGGTGCAGCTCAGCGTTGTGCTGAGAAATAAAAGCACCCAGTCGGATGCCGTTGGCGCCAAAGTCCTTTGACATGCCCCAGATGACATGGACCAGGCTCGGGTCGATGACGCCCGCCGTGTCAATGGACAATGCCGATTCGAACGGATGTACCTCCACGCTGTCTACTGTGTTCGCGAAGGTGGACAGGGCGTAGATCTCATCACTGATGAAATGGATCTGGTGCTTCTGGCACAGCTTCATGAGCTCGATCAGAACCGCCCGCGGATAGCACCTCCCCAGCGGGTTATGAGGGTGCGCGAGTATCAAGCCCGCGACCCTGCCACCGCTTGCCTGCACCTCGAGGATCTTCTCCTCGTACTTGGACACGCATCCCGGTCCAATGGGGTCAGTGTCGGGACCAAACTCAACCTGTGCCAGTTTAGTCCCCATGCGAAGCGTGACGTCCGGTACAAAGGTGCCATAGAACGGCCTGCCCAGTAGAAATGAGTCGCCAGAGTTGCCAAAGGCCCAGGCAGCATGCTCGATAGCAGAGCTGCAGCCGTTGGTAGGCGTGATATGAGCGGCGTCAACAGGGACGATCGGTTTGAAATTTCGGTTGAGGAACCTGGCCAAGGTCGAGCGGAGATGCTTCTTGCCGTCTCCGTACGTGAAGTCGCTGCTGACGAGAGAAATATTCCGTTGGATGTGCTCCGCCAGTACATCATGCATCAGCACGTTCTCAGCGAGACCCAGGCACACGTAGCCATCGGGTTTGTCCTGAGGATGCCATGGCTTCTGGATGATCTCCCAGAAGAAGAACTTGGGGTCCGGCTTGGCGAGCTCCTGCGCTCGAGACGAAAGCGCCATGGCCATCCGCTGATGAGAAAGTTATGTTCGGGATGGAGGTGTCTCGGCTTCGTTATGATACCTCGTCTAGCAATCATGAGAATACATAGCCAGGCCAGTCGCCCAGGCATTTCTATACGAGCCCTCACCCACCTTGACGGACCCTGACCCATCAGCTAGTCATGCTGCATATTGAGCGATACCGGATGATGCCGGTCCCGCATTCAAGCTTTTCCTTCTCCCTCTCCCCGCACGAAAGTGTGTCATAAAATCAAAAAGGAACTCGCCGTTTACTTGTATTCGCCGCTCACTTGTAGTTACGTAATTCCTAGCCAGTCAATGTTCATGATGTTTTATTGTAGCGATTCAAGATCCCGACCTAGATGCTAGTAGCTCGAATGACTAAGGCAAGGGATGAAGGCTGACTACGTATTTCGTAGATTCTGTAGTTTAGCCCGCGCATAGCATTTACCACAGTCACTGTTTGTCAATTCTTAATACTCGTGCGTAGTGTGTAGTCTGCCCAACTCGGGCCTCCTCATGACATTGCCTCGGGTAGCTCCTCACCTGTGGGCTCTTATCCAACAATGACTGATAATGAAAAAGCTGAAACGCAGTAAGACAATGATATAATAGAACTGTCAATTTATCAAGGTCTATATATTTCTATACCTTAACGTCCTCAAATGCTATTTACCCTCTGCTCGCCAGCAGTAAAAGGGAGGTAGGGGGGGCCCAAAAAAACCGAAAAGATAAAAGGGATATCCGAATAGTGCCTTGATCCGTTGTCAGGACCGACATGTACCAACCTAAAATCTCTCCATAAAGTTCATCCTAACAGTCCACATTCTAGCTCGCTTTCCGTAAATATACATGGGAATCGTCAAAAGCATAAGCCCAAGTTGGATGATGCCAATCCAGATGTACACCATTTTGGGACCGTCATCAGCGAGCCAGTGGGTAAAGAACAGACTGAAGAGAAGTCCGTGCAGAATATTCTTGGAGAAGTTGAGAGTGACGAGTGCCTCTCCTGCGTACTGGCGGTAGCTGTCCACGCAAAACGTGATCGAGGTGGTCGAGCCCAGACAGCAACCAAAGGAGATGATGCCGAAAAACAAGGTGGGAACAATCCAGTGATTCTTGAGAGAAGCAGACCATCCAAATCCCATAATGCCGATGCAGGTCGTGATTGTAATGGGAATGGCCATCACAAGGCGAAATTCGGGCTCATACATGCCACCGTTGCGTTTCGACATGGCCTTGACTATGACGTCGCTGATCTTGCCAGCTACTCCTGTGCCCAGAATGCCACCCACAAACGGAGAGATGTACACAAGACCAGTCTGAAGCGAGGTGAAATTATAGAGGTCCGGGTTGCCGTAAATCATGGTCAAGGACTCCGAGATGACAATCAGCCAGCCGATGGAGCACGCGTAAACGATCGATGACCACAGCACCGCGGGGTAGGCAAAAAGAATGAACGGGCGGGCCATGGCCTTTAGCCATTTGTCGTTATTTAGGCGGCCATGGAATGGCTTCAGCTGCTGAACAAATGACCGGGCTGGCTGCTGCTTGAGATTGTGGGTGTAAGCTTGGACCTTGGGGGGCTGGCGGAGTCTGGCCGCAAATCCCTTCTCTTCAGGAGAGAAGGAGCCGATGGGTGATGATATGCCGCTCTCATCTATGGGCGCCGCGTCGTGGGCAGAGGTGGGGCGTGTGAGTGGTGTACGCAAACGCGTCTCGTGCGTTGGGGCTGCTTCGACAGGAGAAACGGGCTCGTGCGTATCCCCGGAAGCAGCATCTTTAGCAGTTGATTGCGACACCTTTGGGTGGGCGGTGTCGCCTTTCGGAGAAGAGGGATTTCCGGGTTCTTCCTTCTCAGAGACTGAGGTAGGCGCGAACCCAACGTGAAGCGCACCGGGCCTCTCCGGGGCATGATGAGTAACCGGCGGACTTGTGGGAGAAACTGGGCTCACGATAGTGGGGGTATGAACTGGCGTATGTGAAGTATGACGCGACGAGAGGCGGCGGAGGAAGTTGGGTCTTTTGTGCGCCTTCCTGTGGGGGGTTCTGTCCCAGAAGGTTTCAGGTACGAAGAAGAAGAGGAGAACGCCGCATCCAGCAACAATTGCGGCAGTGATGCTGGGTAAGATTGTCAGTTCATTAGTCGTCGCGGTTATAGGGTCCGGTGGCGACTTACAAGAATGCCCACCGCCATCCCAGGCTGTTGATGATGACAGCGCTGACCAGCGGCACCAAGTTCTTGCCGCCCAGCAGCAAGAGGGTGTAGATGCCGATGCGGTAAGCGCGCTCGTGAAGGAAGAAGATCTCTGCGATGGTTGCCGAGGGCAGGCACTCGACGGGGCTTACTGCGATGCCCTGGAACACCCTCGCGACGAGAAGAGAATTGAAGGAAGGCGAGAAGCCAGACCACAAGCTGGCGCCAATGAAGATGAGAACGCTGAAGAGGTAGACTGGTCGCTTGCCCCAAAGAATGGCCGTCGGCGAAAATATGACTGACCCAACGCCCAGACCCATCATGTAGAGCCCGGTCGTCAATGCAACTGTTTCCTCCTGAACATGGTACTCCTCAGCCACGTCGTGGAAGCCCGCCGCAATCAGAGGAGTCATGCCACCACCAATCATACAGTAGAGACCAAGAGACAGCAAGGCAGTGTCTCGTCGCCATGCAGGCCAGTTGAGAGGGTCGTTAGCAGAGTCATCTGGCTGAGGCTCGAGAATGATGGTCCCATCATCCGTCGTCTTCTTCTCCTCAGGTTCTATTTCGGGGCCTGGAGTCCTGGAGCCCGAGGCGGATGCGACCGGCGTGTGACTACCAGGCGACTGCGCCTCTGGGATTCTAGACCCCCCAGGCGAAGTAGGCGAGAAGGGAGGGTCAACGGGGATGGACGAGTGCGAGGTCCTCGCGTGCACATTCTTGAGTCCCAGCGGCTGGTTGCGATGCTGCGCAAGAAGGAGGACGGATCCTGGGGAGAAGTTAGCAGAATGTCTCCCATCTCCAACGGCATGTTCAGAAATACACACCAGGAACCTCAACGGTGTCCGGATCGTTGAGCATGCCCATGCTCCATTTCGGCGGGTGAGGCAGCTGTCCTCCTCTCTGGTCGCTGTCGTCGCCTGCGTCGGCGGTGGCGGAGGATCGGAATACCTTGAGCCAGCGGGAGCCCCCCGCGGCGTTCTTCTCCTGTGCCATCAGGGCCGCTGTAGCCGTCTACTCTGCTGCACTGCGGTGATGGAGTAGTCCAGGCAGGGCGATGATGATGGGGTTTGCGAGGGAGAAGGAGGAGCTAGTCGCCATTAACCTTTATGATATTTGGCAAGCACCAAGTGGCGGCTCCGAAGGATGACACGTGCAGCGTGTCAGGGTCCTCCTCACTGATGATCAAGGGGGGCAGGACCCTCCAGCCACTGTGGGCCAGAGTCTGACCGCTGGAGATACCCACTGAAGGAGCCTGCTGGAGGCGCCGCATGACCTGAAGCTAGGACGTCATCCTGCTCAAGCTCGGCGCTCCTGCAGCACGACGCCCGCTAAAGAAGCTGCGGGAATGGCGGTAGCAGCGGCTGTCCACTGCAACCACTGCGGAGGGCTCTGAGCTTATTTCTCCCTAGCGCGATGCATCTCTGTCAGCTGGCTCCGCCCCTGTCGCCAATCACCAAGTCCAACCGCCAGTTCGCTTCGTGTTCTCCAGGTCACCAGCTGCTGCATGATGTGTCGCATGCAAAAGCAGGCCGCAGATCATTTTGTCACCCGCCGAAATGACGTACTGCCGAGGGCGAGCGCAACCCTCCGGCAGCTGGACCTCATACATACGGATATTGGCGCCATCATCACCGCTCCGCTTCAACAGATGTACTATGTACCTAGGCAATCTTACTTCAACAAACCCAAATTGAGATCACTGTAATTTTTATTTCCCTGAACCGCAGTTCAGTAAACAACTCCTAAATCACAGAGTATACACCAGCTTTCCAGCGCTGACCTTGCCTGCCCGCAACTCGTCAAGCCCCTTGAGGATCCCCTCGAAGCCAGCACCGCCCCTGTTCACAATGGGGTTGGGCACCTTCAGCTTGCCCTGCTCCAGGAGCTCCTGGGAAATTGCCAAGAACTTCTTGGCGAATTCAAAGTCCTCGGGCTTGGGCAGCGTCTCCGAGCCCTTGAAGTACCGCTCATTGAAAATGGTGTACATCATCGTCGCGTACGGGCCGTCCACCTTGGGGTTGACGGCAAGGAGCTCCTCCTTCTTCACGCCGATGATCGTCGCGTACTTTCCTCCGTCGCTGCTGATGGCGCCTGCGGAAATGGCAGCTCCCTGACCTGTGCAGTCCCACGCGAGCTTCAGGCTGTTGTTGGTGTATTTGCGGATATCATCGGCCACGGTGGGTGATTTGTAGTCAAAGACGGCGTCGGCGCCAAGAGACTTGAGATAGTCGAAGTTGTGAGGGGAGGCTGTCGTAACAACCTTGAATCCGGAAAGCTTGGCATACTGGATACCGAAAATACCAGTCGCCGTACTGCCGCCGTAGATCAGAATGAACTGGTCGTCCTTCTCGACCGCGTTTGGCAAGGGCAGGCCCAACGTTTGGTACAGTCCTTGACCCTAGAAGAATTAGAACCTGCCCGGTTTCAGGGGAGAAACAGGCTGCTTACAACTGTGGAGAGGGAAATCCCGAGAGTTGCAGCCTCTACATCGCTGAGGCTGTCGGGAGTCTTGATCTGGACGTCACCCTTGGCGACGATGTAGTTTGAGAACCCTCCGTTCTCTAGCTGGGTTCCGTCACTGAGAGAATGTTAGCCCGACGTCAAAAACCGGTTATGAGCAGCTTTGCCAACCTTCCGTGAACCGCACCGCTAATACGATCACCCTTCTTGAACGGCTTGGTGACCTTGCTGCCCACAGCTTCCACAACGCCAGCGAAATCGCATCCAACTCGCGACCCGGGGTTTGTGATGCCAAAATCAACATGCTTCCAGTCGGTGGGATTCACACCGACAGCATTGACCTTGACCAAAATATAATCATCACGCAGTTGAGGTACGGAAACCTCTTGGATGGCAGCTTTGCCCTTCTCGACGTAAACGACCGCCTTATTCGCCATGTTTAGAAATTTATAGAGCAAGTATTGTAAAAATTACCTCAAACAGAAGTCCGTGAGGGGTTGCGGGAAAACAAGGAGTCAATGCGGTTATCCTTGCCAGGTTATCAGTTGATTGATGATCTCTCTCGCGGGATGAAGGCAGCAATGTCTGCTTTAATACTCGCTGAAAAGTGCGCAAGATAACAAGAGAACACACCAAACCAAGCCAACCATTTATAATCAGATAGACCTTGGAATTCCTGATAGGTTAAATCCCGACAAACGTTGAATTTGTCATCACCACTGAATTACGACATCACGCTGTTCCCGCTCTGGGGCGGAAGGTGGATTCTTCAGATCCCCCGCATCCTCTTCAACATCGAATGTTCGCTTTTTAATCTAGAAGACTAGCAATAAATATGGTGTTAATTAGCGAGCACACTTATACGATACAAATCAGTTTTTTTTCTGCATTGCTAGGCGACTACTATAGTTTAGAGAGCCGATATGCCCTTCGTCGAACCTAAGTAGGGATAATTTAGGATTGACCAACGAGTTTCGTGTCAAACACTCACGCCACATTTTGATACCGTGTGGCTAACTGACATGGAAATTCACATGAAAATTAAGTTATCATAGTTTAAAATATGCTGTAATTGTACACATTCTAAACCAGGATGGTCAGAGATGAAATCATTGCGACGACGTGGTCATGAGGCTTGACGTTATAGGGTAGGCAGGTTGAATTTGGTGGAATTGAGCGAATAAGACAAGCAATAACAAAACAAAACCTTGTCCCGGTTCTATTACGCGTCGACTCATTGCCCTGACGCGTTCTGGCCGTTATTTGCAGCCGCCCTAAATCCGCTCCTAGCTCATCGCAGCCTCAAAGACCCAACTAATTACTCTGGCCGCTGCATCCGGTAATCTGGACCTGATCGAGATCACGCACCTTTATGGCACCGACTTGGACTTTGACGGAGATCGGCCGAGCGACGATAACAATGAACACAATCAAGATTAGGCCCTCCATATCGCTATATTGAATGGGCGCATCGAAGTGCATTTGCAGGTGTCTCGCTATTCGGTCGGAACATCCGCACGCTCTGGCCTTCGGATACGCGTGTCTTTGAATACGGACGCACCACTCTCGATTCAAGATGTGATCGATGGCCTCCTCGACCGAGGGTTGCCAATCAATGCGGTGGCAGGGAATGCAGGCACCAAATGCATCCCCTGCTACGTGGGGCAACCCATTGATTCGCACGAGGCAATGAGATGCTCGCTTTCCACCATTGTCTTTCACGTCCTAGCGACGACCTATCGCAGGTGTAGTTGGCGGAAGAGCTTCTTGCCTAGGGTGTGCCATTCGACGGGCCGATCCCGAGAAAAGCTGGCGACGATGTGGGAGATGACGATGAAGAGGACGACCAGCAGGGAGAAATAGACAGTGAAGGCACTCTGCTTCTTCCCCACCGCGGAGGCTCATAGAGTCTGGAATCTGAGAAGCTTCGTCATGAAGCCCAGCCACATTCAACTTGATGGGTGATCCAAGGAGCTCATGGTATCAATCAAAAATAGGACCTGGTGCATAAATGAACTTGACTTGAAGAAAGCAGAAGGAAACTCATGCCGGACGGCTTCGACTACGTGGTCGTCAGGGGCACCGCTGGTAATCTGGTTGATACGCCAGAACTGCGATCCATCCGGATCTGCAGCTTGGAGGTATAACCTGGGTAAGACAAGGTTCAAGATGCTGAGATACTGTAGGCTGTGAAAAAATTGCTGATGATCGTGTGGCACGCTTCCGGCACGTGTAAATTGGGAAATCCGTATGATGAAGCGGCGGTTGTTGTTGTCGGTCGCGTATTTTTTGGTCTGGAAGCTCTGTGAGTTGTTGCCGCCAGCGCCTTTCCGTCATTTCACTCAGTGTCCATCTATCAGAAGAGACAGCGGACGGTAATACCGCAATAGTGGCCCAACACCAGACGCGGTTAGCAATGAGAGGCTGACACCTCCGTCCAAAGTCGTAGGGCTGGGTGCTGTGCCCCAGCCCCCTGCAGGATACATGAAGAAGCTGCCAATGACAAGTCACAGATCCCGGTCCAAAAGGCAGAAACAAAATGACGGGCAAAACACCATCAGCTGTAGCGCGTCCCACCACACACAACACTGGCTGTCCGCAGATTCGGTTCCCCAACATGAGCGCTCCTTCTGCCCTAAAAGGGCCGTCGGTACTTGTCCAAGCGACAAAAGAAGGAGAGAATCCTGCTTCAATGAGAGCACATGCCGTCAAGCGAGCGAGACTAAGGTAAGCCCACCGTTTTAAAACAACAGATGTTCCCAACAAGATCACTTACCAGCCTCGGAGGCTGGGAAATGCGGAGGGCCAGGCACACACAGAATCCGAGTTGGTCACAATTAATACGCTCCTTGAGCACGTCTCACCCCAACTCAGTGAGGCAAGTTTCTTCTCCTTGACATCAAGCTAATTGAGGCCTAACAACGCAAAAGGAGGACGAGCTTCAGATTTAGTGAGTATCCTTTCTTCGGTCACCGCCAAGTCTGATCATGCTGACCCTTGTGGCAGCTTTCTTCCCCATGTAGCAGGCGACGCGGAGGGCCAGGGTTTGGTTGGTGATGCTGCTTTGTGCAGAGACCTCGAAGAGAAGCTCCACCTAGAGCCCTTCTTCTTGACACATCAGGCATGGAATTCAAACGGCTTCTTTATCGATCAACAAGTGTGTCGATCTCAAAGCCAGGATATTAACAGTACGCATTGAACCAACATCTCCAACTCAATTACTCCTTAATACTAACAGGATCGTTCACGCAAGGCTATGCAACGCGCTTTTTAATCAAGTTCCTGGAACCAGATGAAGATGCGATGGTGCAATACAACCGCTGGTTGTTTTTATCCTTTTCTGTCTTATGGGTCAGAAATCACCATACCAAGAAAGTGTCTTGCGTCCTTGTTTGCTATGATGGGTCAGAGGAAATAGAAAGCGAGATCATAAAAGGTTTCAGGCAACACCCTCTGGCGAACATCAAAGACAACCCTTACGCAGTTTATGACGCTCTACTGCGTGTCATCATCTGGCAGTATAACAAAGCACTCTGGCTGTTTCGGGAGCCGATTCGCACCATTGAAAAGGCAAGTAGCGTGACTGTTTAGTATGATGATATGCAGCTAATAAAACTCGTGAAAGACTCGTGTCCGGGATGTGCAACGCACCATGGCACTGCAGCCCTCAGCTGCCGGCGGAAATGTCACGAATGTGGGAGATGGCCACCAGGAATTGTTCGAACTTTCGCGTCACACACTGCATATGTGCGAAACTCTCGAGGTAGCGATGAGAACAACCACTATGGCCCTGCTTCAGGTTCAGTCACAAGTTCACTCAGCAGAACCCGCAACGGCATCTTCAATGCGTCTGACTAATACTCTTTCTGGCATACGATTTTCCTCCAGCTTCCTAGAGAATCTGAAGAACAGAGCCGATGTCTTTTCTAAAAGAGTTGAAAATGAGATCAAGCTGGTGAGTAATGCTTCGCTAAAAACACCTTGCTTTTCAAATTGGTACTCATACCTATTCTGATTTAGGCAGACAACATGGTCAACGTCTTGCAATTGAAGATCAATCAGGAACTTCTTGAAGAATCTCGCGATGAATCCAAGGACCTGACAAATTTCGTCACTAACCTCACACTCTTTTTCCTTCCAATCACCTTCGTATCTGTAAGTGGAAAAAGTATCCGATCTTACCTAGACGCAACTGACACATTGTGGTATCATAGGGTTTCTGGGGAATGAACATGATTGGAATGGGTGACGATAGGCTTATATTTTTCTCCCCCCATATCTGGATATTTGTTGTGTCAGCTGGGATTTCAGTCGTGTTGTCCTATGCGGCTTGGTACTTGGTCCTCAAGTTTACCAAAGCTGGAAAAAAGTGATTGGGGAATGATAGCATTCAATCTCGAGATAATAGTTATAGAATTATAGCTATATGACTAAATTAATACTGAGGAAGGGGCTCTGCGCATGTTGACCTCAATAAATTGCTGATGATCCTTAATCCAAGTACCTGTTGTCTCTATGTTTCTTAGCCCCGTTGTGTAGGTATCAGTTAGTTTTGTTACAAAAATGGGTTCAGCTGGTATAAAGCCCGCAAATTGCTCATGAGCTTGAGCCACGCTGATATCTAATTTTGAGACATGAAGCTTAGTTCTATTATAATGATTTATATGTATGAGTAGAAGAAAAGAATTCTGAATGTTTGTAAAAGTGCCGTTTGATAGCTTCAGTGGAACAATGCGGTTCAGGACTGCACATAACCTCCCTCTCAACTCCCCCATTGTTGAAGGAATTCAGACAGCGAAATGACATATCTTGGATTTCCTGGTACTAGGCTTAACCACCAACAGCAATGGCATGGCCAAAGAGCCTCTCGCGTTTCATACAGAGAGCGGCAAGAAACATGACGCCACCCGCAATGGGAACAAGCAAGAATGTAATCTTCATCGCATCCGTGACAGCTTCTGTGGCCTTCGAACGCAAGTCGTCCTCCAAGTGCTCGAAAAGAGCACTGGTAGCACCGGAGATGACGCTTTGAATGTCGGCATCCGAGAATCCCTGACCGCCCAAAACAGATTGTAGGTTCCTGGTAGCGGTTGAACGAAACACCTGGCCAGCGATGGCCAAGGCAATGACCTGGGCGCCTATCTGGGACACACTCTGGAGAGCAAGGCCAGACCCGGAGTCCTGCGGCGAGACGGTGAGGGTCGTGACAGCGAAACCGGACAACATGACCAAGCCGGTTCCAAGGGCAAGAACAACCAACAGGCCGTAGATCGTTCCCGTCGGAGTCTGTGGGTGAAGATAAACAGCTAGAAGGGCACCTGAAATGGTGATGAAAATTGAAGCGACGATGTACATTAACATATAAAACTGGATGGTGCTTAAGAAGTATCCAGAGAGGAGATTGATCGTAATGCACACGGCCAAGAACGGGAGCAATCTCACAGCGGCTACTAGAGCGCTATCTCCTTGGACAAACTGAAAATAGAGAGGTATAAAGTAGACTGTCACAAAGAGGGATGTGATGCCGGCGGCAGTTGTGATATAGAGGAGCACCTGGGTACGCTGACGAAGCAAATGAACTGGGAACGATTGATTCTCGACGGAGACAAAGAGTGGAACACCCTGCTGCACCGCGTAAAGCACCAGAGCAAGGCCGAAGCAGACAAAGGTCGCGATGGTGCGCCCGTCCTTCCATGGCCACTGCCCACCGGCCATTGTGAGGACCAGAAGGAACGAAGTCCACATGCCAGACCCGAGGATGAACCCAACCCAGTCCAGGCGTGCCAGACGAGCCTTGATCGTGATTCCACGAGAAGGATGGTGAGAAGGTAGGTAGAAAAGGTAGGCCGGTGCCGCCACCGCTCCGAGGACGAGGTTGATATAAAAGGCCCAGCGCCAGGTCGCGGCGGAAACGGAAAAGGCGCCGCCGATGACAGGGCCGAGAACTGCACCGATCCCCCACCAGAAGCCGATGAGGGACATGTACAGGCCACGCTCCTTGGGGGTCGTCAGCAGCGAGTAGTAGACGAGGGATCCGAGGTAGATGCCGTTGCCGCCGGCGCCGGCGATCACACGGCCGACGATGAGGGCGCTCATGCTGGGCGCACCGCCGCAGAGAGCGGACCCGACCTCGAACAGGATGACGGAGATGATGAAGATCCATTTTATGTTGAACATCTTATAGAGGGCACCGACGGGGAGGACAGCCACAACTGAGCCGAGGGGGAAGCCGGCGCCGAGCCAGGTGAGCTGCTCGATGTGGCCGAAGGCCTTGACGACGGGACCCTGCACATCGGCTGCAATGGTTGTGTCGAGTCCGTAGAGGAAGCAGGTGATGTAAATGGAGATGCACATCGCGAACCAGCGGAAGCCGCGAATCTGCCTCATTGGTTCATCATCAACGGTTGTCCCTGGGCTCTGGTCGACGTCTTGTGAACCATCGGTCAAGTCTGGAGACGCCGTCTTCTCAGGATGCTTCTCTCCGAGGTTTTGCAAATGAGGGGGATTGGCTACCGTTTTATCAGCGTTGAGATCTGGCATCTTTATGGAACAATATTGGATGATAGGGGTGGGATAACAAACAACACAATGTGCACGAAGGAGGCTCTCATGCCAGACAATTCCGTGACTCGATGCGAGAATACATGTTCTATAAAGCTCTATTTGACATTGCTCGCTCTACTCACAACAACTCTACCACGGCCTGCATCCTACACGCGTAATAATCCTACAGTAAATTCCGCACCCGGAGCCTTGAGCGTGGAACTCGCAGGGGCTCGGAGCATTAAGTAGATCATCATTTAAGGTTCCGGAACATTGACGGTTGCACTCTCGATTATTAGCTTACTGGTCCGTTTGTCATCTTGCCTCCGCGGAAGCCCCCCTCAAACCGGACCATCCCCGGACTGCCGAAGTATTACAAATGTTGGCCGCAGCACTTTCTCCTCGCTCTCTTCCCCCGGCGTTCTCTTACCGGTTCAACTCACCAAATACCGCCCGATCCAGAAAGTTCAAGGATCACAACCGAAAGACGAACCCCGATAGCAAATAATTTGTTGGCCATCTCCTGATGGAGGCTACAACATATGCTCCGACTCCACTACGGAAGGTGAGCAAGCCAGCCGATCACGTATTCAAGGATGGCGAATACATGTTGCGTTGACTGGATATTTGCTAAGCATGATCAATCGTACAATAGACCTGCGACAAGTGTTATCTCCGGAAGATAAAGTGTGATCGACAACAGCCAAGATGCTCACAATGTGTCGCCTACATGTCAGAGTGCACTTACAAAGCCCCAAGCCGTCCGTCACGGCCTCGTAAGCGGCGACAGGCGACTGGGAAAGCCCCCGAACCCACCCATATGCGCGCATTTGTCGAGCAGTTGCAGAGTCAGGTGGCGGACCTGACTAAACGCCTTGATGAAGCCACGGACAGAAGCGAGCCACAAAAAGCTGAGCTGCCTGTCGTAACCAAGGCGACCAGGGGACCGAAGCCTACTTTAATAACGTCGCCGATGGATGATCATAGTGGCTTAGGCAACGCGGGCGGTTCCGTTATTGGATCGAAGTCGCCTCGCTTGGACTTGCCTCCTTTCGACGAAGTAATGCCCGTCATACAGATGTATCTTGACCACGTTAATTCAGTAACTCCCCTATTCCACCCTGGTACCTTGCTGGGTCTAGTCAGTGATTTTTACGAGTTCCCAAACCGCCGAGATGCCGTCTCTTGGGCTGCCATCAATGTTGTATTGGCCCTGACTTACAGGCAATTCATGCTGGGCGGTCTAGGAACTGATAATGGCACGGACCTTGCTCTTGACCACCTGAATAAGGCTCAGTCCGTCTTATCGGATGTGATTCTTGGTGAACCAAAACTACTGCACGCGCAGGTTCTCCTGGGTATTGTTACCATGCTTCAAATCTCTAAAAATTTGCAGCCAGCCATGGTCCTCATGGGCGCGGCGATGCGTCTGATTCGCGGGCTTGGACTGCATACACGTGCTTCTACGGCCCATCTTGACACCGAGGCTGCCAAAGAGCACACCTATGTGTTTTGGATTGCTTATGTCCTTGACAAAGACATCAGCATGCGGATGCGAAGTCCTTCTATACAAGGTGATGATGAGGTTGATGTTGAGATGCCCGTCGCTGTCATTGACCATCACCGCGGGGTAGACGGGAGAAAGAACAAGTTCGATGATGGTGTTATTGCTACAGTGAATGGAGATGTGGCAATGGATTTCTTCTTGACCCGTATTCGTCTTGCCATCATCGAGGGCGGTGTTTACGATTACCTTTACTCAGTACGGTCTCAAGCCCGAAGCCCGGAAGAGCGTAACATTGCAACTTCCAGCCTCGTCAATGCTCTCCAAGAATGGCAATCGCACATCGCGCCAGAATTTGATGCTGCATCGGCAGCTGGGAACGTATCTCCTACTGCACTCCCATTTATTTGCTCACTCCATGCCACCAGCTTCGTTTGTCTCGCAATGATCAATGAGGCAAATGCCTGGAATCAACAATGGGTGATAAACATTCGCAAGTACCCCGGAACCTGTGCTGATCTTCATCCACGTTCCCGTTGGGAGCCGCTGGTTGAACATGCGAGAGATTTTGCTGTCTTATTCGAGAGCATCCCCCCAAGCGGCTATGCTTTGATCTGGTGAGTTTTTTTCTGCTTGTTTCAGTCAAGATTAAATCGATTCTTCCAAAGCTACGGCAGATATTGACTGAGCATATTCACCTGTGCTAGGGAGACGATCTGTGCGTACTTGACGGCAGTAATGCTGGTGGCGGCAAACAATGCCCACCGTCCATTTTCAGACAATATGCTCTCGGACATGAAACTTACCAGGAAAGCTGTTCAGCTTGTTGACGACATTTTTGGCAGTCAGAGCTTCCCAGAAAGCGGCCAGGTTCATCTGGTTCGGAACGCATGCGCTGACTTGAATCAAAATGCGCTGAGAAGGTGGTATGAGAAATTCGGAACGGCATGAATAATACGTGCCCGGAATTAGAAATAGTTATATGGTACAAAAACCATATGTTCAACATTCGTGAAAATGTTCATATTCAGCCAAATTTGATAAGAAGAACTGGGATTCAGATTCATCTCCGTTCAGGTACCAATGCGTTCGAAACTGGATGTGCACATCACGATTGTTGTTATTGCTCAGTATTGCGTAAGAAGTTGACGTGATCAATGTAGAGTGACAGATTGCCGTTTCCAGTTATTCAATTGGCCATGCTTGACGTAAAATCAAAAGTCGGGCTGGGCATTGCGGTTCGAGTTGCGATACAAGAAGACCTACCGCCTCTTCACGAACATCCAACGCGCCGGGAAATTTGAATGTGGCTGGCTATTTCTTAAAATAAGTAACTGAAGTAAAGAAATTGCCCTCAATAGGATCTGAGAGTTGTATCAGTCAATATTCCCAACATGTTAGTCATGTCAGAGTCGTACTGTCTCCGGACAATTTTGCTGCTTCCGGGGCTGATAGTCTAGACCCAACCTGAAGAAGGCCAGTTCAGGTAAGTTTCCATTTTCTCGGAGTATTTATAAGGCGGTTGGTAATTGGTAGGTCGCCTCGCCACCTCCGAGAGGCACATCCGAGCCCCGGAACCAAGACTCCTGTCACCGAGTTAGTAAATTCATCGGCGCATCTGAATCTCAGTACCAGTCTACAGTGATGGGTAGAGTTTCAAGATGTGGATAGAAGATAAACGAAGAGAGTGATTTATAGCGCAAGTATAAAATGAGGGAACCTCCATGGCAATTGGCATGAGAACCAGACAACATCAATTTATATCATCTCACCCTCTGTTCAACAAACACCAACAACCATATCCGTGCTGTCCTGCATCATGTCCGGCTTCCCTGAATTCCCGTCCTTCACAAAGACTTGGCACAACAAGCCTTATCCGTCAATTTCTCCTTCACGCCCCGAGTTGAGCGCAAAAGGCAAATTTGTGGTCGTGACGGGAGGCGGCGTTGGCATCGGCGTTGCCATTGCAATTGCGTATGCTCAGGCTGGTGCCAAGTTCGTCGCCATCCTCGGCCGTCGCCTCAACGTCCTCCAGGAGGCCGCTAAGCGGATCCGTTCTGCCAACCCGGACGGTTCAACTACCGTTTTGTTTGAGACAGCCGACGTCGGTAAGCCTGACTCGTTGGCTGCTGCCTTCAGCGCCTTTGCCAGCAAGACCGGTGCCAAAATCGACGTTCTTGTTAGCAACGCTGGCATCTTGCCCGATCCCTCCCCCGTTCTCTCCACCAAAGAAGACGTTATTCGCGACGGTCTTCAGACTAATGTAATTGGGGCTCTCAATGTTGTGCAGGCGTCTCAACCCTTTGTTGCCCCGAATGTCATTATCATTAACGTGTCCTCTGGCATCGGTCATATGCAGGCCGTACCCGGTGGTACCTGGGCTTACGCTGCTACCAAAATTGCGGTCACCAAAATGTTTGATTACCTGCAGTTTGAGAACCCTGACATGCACATCGTCAATATCCAGCCAGGAGTTGTGGCCTCAGACATGAATACTAAGCACGGCGCGCCACCCCAGGATGAAGGTACCAAACTCGTCTTCAGCTTTCCAAATTACCTTACGGTTTGAGCTTGCCAGCCTTTCTAACAACTGTGTCATTCTAGCCGAGCTCCCTGGTCAATTTTGTGTTTGGCTTGCTTCGAAAGAGGCCAAGTTTCTCAAGAACCGTTATGTTTGGGCCAACTGGGACGTCGATGAGCTCAAATCCCGTGCTCAGGAGATTGAGAGCTCATTCCTGTTTAAAATTAAGCTTGATGGCATGGATCTTTAAAATTAGCGCTCTTGGTGCAATGTTAATATGTTGGAAAGCTCCTACTAACGTTGTTGGATTACTGCAATTAGAATTTTCAAACAAACATATTCCACAGAGAATCATCGTTTCTAAAGACCAAGCAACACAAATTTATATTTCTCGAGATTATGTCTATGGAATATATTACTTTGGATCTCAGTTTTCAAGTTTGAATCGGCTGTTGTTTTGCCTTGTCCGATCGTAGCTAAGGTAAAGTAGAACCAATGATTATTTGCATAATCAAGGACGGGATATCGTTACTAACGCATTGTGGTGCAATTTAAACTTATCCACGAAGAAGTACCTAGACGATATGTGGCTGGTAAGTTTCGCTTGCAGTCTCCCGCTCTTGTTACGAAGCCCCAGCTCGACCTGATGCCAGAATTTCCTTCTTTCTTCTGACAGCTGACCATCTACATATTACATCTACATGGAAAGAGAATGGGATATGTCTTCTGCCTTCTGTCTCTATAGCAGAATTTAAAAAAAAATCATTTTGCTATTTTTGGTTTCCCACAAACTCATCATTCCAGTGGAAACATTTACAGTTCAACCGTTCAAAGTCTATCCCAAATCAGATGCGCGGTGGATCAGTGGCTTGTGCGATTGAAGTTAATTAGAGGCCAGACTTGCTTCTTGAATTTTTGAACCGGGATGCTTCGGATTTTCATTCCTCGTTCTGCCACATTTCATTTTATTGTGCAGTTTCCCAACGCGCTCTCCCCGATGAGTCAACCAGAACCTTGACGCGCAATTTAAGCAGCTGCTTCTCGGGGACCTTTTAACAATTGATTTCATCTCTGGATGTCATGGCCGAAACTCAGGACCAAGGACGCGACACATCAACAGCTGCCGGGAGCAAGCTCCACCTGTTCGACACTCCGTTGGCAGAGCATCACGAGTTTGACGAAGGCAGTGAGACGAACGGGCTTTCGGCTGATCACACTGATAGTTTCCAGGATACCCCTCAGCTCAAGCGATACGAAGAGCCCACTCTGCTTGAGATCTTCCTTGACCTCTTCTTTGCCGCGAACTACGAAGTCTTTGGTGAAAACCATCACGTTGCTAACCATGCACGCTTCCAAGCATACGTGGGCTATTTTTGGTATGAGATTATGCCTTTATATTCTGTCAAAGGGTTAAAACTCTAACTTCTGCTCCAGTCTCCTCTGGCTGACATGGTTTATTGTCGCTCTCTACGACGTTCGCTTTGTGACGGATAGCATATTCGGTATCATTTTCTCACACCACATAGCATCGACCAGGTCCCTGGCTAACTTTCGCAGCACGGGCTATGAGGGCAGTTCAGCTAGGTGTTCTCGTGGGCTTTACAGTTATTACTCCCAAGTTCGACACCACTGATCAGGAGGCACAAACGATGAGAACGACATGTGAGCTCTTACTGGCATCGAGCAATCAGCTTATACTAAGAAGAAACAGCTATTATTCTTTCAGTATCCCGCTTCTCCCTAGCAGCCGAGTATTTTTGTACTTTATGGAGCCTACGAAGGTACAAAACTGTCCGCACTCCACTCCTCATCCAAAGTTCACTTCACGTCGCCTCAGCAGCAATCCTCCTTGGAATTGCTTTTATCTTCCAGGAAGATGAGCACAGTTACGCCTTCATGGCTTGGTATTTTGTCGCTGGATTTGAGGCGCTGGCTAGTTTGCTACTCTCCAATGTCTCACCGACGTTCGGCCTTACTGAAACACATCTCATGAAGCGTCTCACTCTGATGACGGTAATGATTCTGGGTGCCAGCATTTGCGAAGTCGCGAAGAGCGTGGTTACGATTGTTAAGAACCCTGATGCATGGGGTAAGTGCTCGCCTGCATGAGTTGAAGGAAATGCATTAACCTAGCCTTAGACTCCAGGACCATCGGTCACGTTACGGCAGCCATTGCAACCATCTACTTCATTTTCCTCATTTATTTCGATTGGATTAGGTCTGGCTACCATCTCCAGCCAATACGACTGCAGATTTGGACCGCACTGCACTTCCCGTTCAACCTTGCTCTCGTGCTGCTCTTGCAGGCTGTCCAACAATATGTCATCTGGGGCAAACTCGTGGGACAGCTCAATAAAGCACTTGACATTGCATATCCCCTTGACGACCCATCGATAATCAACAACTCAACAACTAGCGCATCCGTCGCAGCCGCACTAAACCATTCCGTTGCCGATTTTCTTGAGAACTACCCCGCAAGGATTGAATCAACCTGGGACACCATCAATGAAGCCATCCGCAACGTCTCCGAGGTCCCAGACAGCTTTTGGCCAGAGTTCAGGCGCTTGGATCTGGGGTCTTCGCTCACGGACATTCAAAAGTCACTGGATGGCCTTACAGGCGACGCAAAAACGGCATTGACGACGATCATGATTTCAGCAACCACGCTCGCCGTGACGATGGCAAATGCTCTCTTCGGTAATTTTGGAATCGAGGTCGGCAGCGAAATTGTAAAGAAAAATCCCAACGCCTCCAAGGCTGTTAAGGGAGGGGGTTTCCAATTTCAAGTGCAGGAGGCGGCCTGGAATCTATACCGGCTTGCGGTAAGTCATCACTGTCTCAACTCTCCATAGCAGCCCTTTACATATTCAGGCACCAGCTAATGGAAGATTAGTTTGCCTACGGTTACATTTCATGTGGATGCGCTATTATTTTGATGGTCCTTCTCACAATAGTAGCCCGTACGCGGCGTTATACTGCGTGGCAAATCGCCCGCCTCATTATTGTCAGCGCTCTTGGGCTCGGAGTCGGCCTTACAGCAACACTCTGGTTCAACGACGACAGATTTGAGGACTTCCTAGGACGCTCGTGGGTGTTGCCTACGGTCACAATCGTGTGGGCGGTCATTCTGATAATCACGCATATCAACGGCCGAGGCGCTCAGCGATGCGCCAGCTATTTTGAGAAGAGGTTCCAACACTCTCAAGTATTCATGGCACGTGAAAGATTCTCGAGGGAACGCAATGTGGAGAAAGGTGAGAAAGGGGTAGTCAGCGGAGAAGTTGGCCACACAGCACCAGCTTTTCTTGGAGAGGAAGAAACGCCTGGAGTCGCTCCTGTCTCTACGGGCCGCGAGAACAACACGACTATTTTCAGGGTATCTTCGGCACGCAGCGAGGTTAGTGCTATGAGTACCCATTCCAACCCTCGTGGTAGACAGAATGGAGAACCTAAAGTGAGCGTGGAGGAGAGTTCCACAGACATTCCTCCCAACTGCAGACAGAACGACACTTGACGGATTGTTTTCAGTGAATCGCGTTGTCTTATGAGCATGGCGCTTTGTCTCTCGTCATAGATACGTTACTAAGCCTTCATTTGGGCAGATTGCAATCTCAAAGGTGGGAGGCGAGATAAAGGCCGTAATGCGTTCGGTGTTTTTACTTGGCAAAGTAGTCTAAACATATGAGAGATTGAGGATAGGTCCTTGTATAGGAAATGTATTTATTAATGTGCGAGTAATGAATGAATGGAAGTTCTTATAACAGTAATGACAAATTGTGAATGAAAACCAGGCCAAAGATCATGGAATGAATATATATCTACTCATCGACAAGATGCCTTATTCGTATTACAGGATCAAACGATCTCGGCATTGCTGATCCGACCAAGCTAAGACATCGCTGCCTAGATCGTCTTGGCCTTCTTGGGCACAGGTCGAGCTCTACCACCGGACGAGGATCCGCTGGGAGCCTTGTATCGCACACCAGCTTCAGCCTGCTTTCGAGAAGGCATAGCTGGCAGACCCTTCTCTGGCTTCTTAGACTGCGCAGGGTACTTGGACTTGTCTTGTTCCTTGTTCTTGTGGATGAACTTGCTCATGAAGCCACGAACATCGAGCTCGTCTGCAAGGTCTCGCCTCATTGTGTGGGCCTTCTTTGGGATGGGCCTGGCTCGACCGCCGCCGGTAGACGATCGGCTGGGAGCCTTGTATCGCACGCCAGCCTCGGCCTGCTTCCTGGATGGCATGGCGGGGAGCCCCTTCTCTGGCTTTTTGGACTGAGCAGGATACTTGGACTTGTCTTGTTCCTTGTTCTTGTGGATAAACTTGCTCATGAAGCCACGGGCCGCAAGGTCAGCGACAATCTCGTCATCGGAGACGGCCCGGGAAAGCGCATTGACCAGGTCATCGCCGTCAAAATCATTACGCGCCCACAGCTCGAGCGCCTCCGAAGGTGCAGAATCGACAATGGAGCGAGCGATCAACTGAGATAGATGGTGCTTTGGCGAGGCCTCGATTGGCTCCGCAATGGTTTGAGGCGTAACAGTGAGAAGCGCAGCTCCGGCGGCACTGAGTTGCTTGAATGAGACCATGGTGGATAAGCTTAGTTGTTGAATTGCAAAAAAAGGAATAATGGGAGCTTTTGGAATCGAAGATAATTGTGGGAGAAGTGAAAATTTAAGAAGCCGGCTTAAAATTGTGAATGTTTCTTGTTGGTAGTCGTTGAGAGGAAAGGAAATGTTATAGTTGTGAACTTGATATTCAGTTTTTGAATGAAAGCCACGGCTCTTTTATAAGTTGATTCGGTATCTTCATGATGGTTTGTTTTCTATTTTAAGAGTTCAAAGAACATGTTCCCGGCTCCATAGTGGACGGTGATCCGCGATTTGTCACACTTTACAATGCCGAAAGGATTCACAGCATGTCACTCACCAATTCCCGAAAACGGGGCTCTGGGGCTGCCACAACTTACTTGTAAAGTGTGATAGGCGAATGGCTCCATTGTTTGTAAACTTTTAGTATTGCGTTTTTCGCCAGATGAAGCTCTTCCTCCTCGAGTCATTGTTTCGTCTTTGCGAATCCTGAATCCTATTGATCGCTCAAGTGATAAGATGGTGGCGAGCAGCAGAATGACCAAATGATGATGGCTGCTCGCTCTCCACTAGAGATTTGGTTATTTGAGGATACGAGGAAAATACTGTAGGATTAATTGCAGTGATTTTGCTGATTGATCTCTACATGGGAGGCAATATTACAGCGTATTTCCATGAGCATCACGGAGAACTTTTGCTTGTCGCGGATTGGAATAGTCCTTTGGCGAGCGGAAGCGTTGAATGCGTCAACGAACCAAGTCCACCTCGCTGATTTTCCTTTCAGCTCCCCAAACAGACTAGTATTTATTAAAATAGTCTCGTGAGTTTTCAGACTTCGTCACCATAAAGAAAATTAGCAACCTGAACAGCACACAGTTGGTTCAAAGCTCGTCATTGTAAGTAGACATCGAGATTGCTGATCAGCTGCCTACCCTACATTGTGGCTAAACAGCTCTGTCGACCCTATCATGAACTTGATAGGAGGATTACTGTAGCTAGAAAACTGTTTTGAATAGCTTTTACATTGAGAGTTGATCTGTGATTTACTTTCGTTTGTATGATTTCTCGGTGTTCAATGCTAAGGAATCATCTTCACAGGAAGTGACATCAATATCGGCAAGGCTCAAGCTGTCATCGGTTGTGCAGGTCTTCACCGGATAGTAAAGGCATGGCCAGGCTGAAAAGAATAGTTTTAAAGGGGCGAAAACAAAGATCTCGGCTCGGGTTACCACCCAACGGAGATGTAATTGCTGGCTGACTATCATTGGGTAGTTAGCCGATTTCTGGTAGTCGCGAGGCCAGCTTTCTCGCGCCGAGACTTCGTGTTGTTTCCATTCTCTTGGCTGAGCCACTAGCGGTAGGTAACACGACGAGATATGATCTGACTTCTCTCTATGGATCCTTCATGCCAAGCAACCACCGTAAACCATGCGAGCAGATTTTCACCGTCAGTAAAGATGGTATTCCTTTAGGGATAAATAAAAGATGTTCATCATACTTCAGAATTCGATCTTGATTGACATAATCGTTGGAAAAGTCTTGAGTAATTGATCAATCATTCACACCTTCAAGGCTCTCCAACCAACGCGGCGTCGGAAATGTACCAGTAGGGTGGCCGGATCGAATTGAATCCTGAGCTCAGGTGCCAATGCAAGGAAATTACTGCCAAGCAAAGCCGTGTAGAACCATGTTCGCTTGCCTATATTTAAAGCACGCCTGGGCCCCTGACGACGATGACTGCTTGCTGACTCACATAGACTAGAGCTAAACGAATTTATCTTGCTACCAAGACTGAACAATAACGCCATGCAGCTCTCATCCGGGCTATTATCGGCCGTATGGCTGGTGACAACAGCAATCCCACGTCTGGGACATGCCCAGACCACTACGAGTGCCACGACGTCGGCTGCCATTGCCTCGACGACCCCCATAACGTCCACTGGGGTGCCAAACACCTTTGAGATTGATGTCATCTACCCACGCAACGAGACGTACAAGGCCACGGACACGTTCCCCGTTGTCGTGGCGATCCAAAGGCCACTTGTCGCAAGTCAAGTGGGGACGTCAGATTCGGAGCATACATCATGCCTTACAGCAGGGGGGACAACCCGGGCGGAATTGATGTTGGTGATACAATGAGCTGGATACGCCCGTATAATGCCACAATCTTCACTGATGATCCATTCTTCGTCATAGAAAACACGGACGCTACAAGGTGGAAGAAAGGAGTGAGCTATTCTGGTAGGGGCTTACACGCGCTTATCTGATCAATGAACTGGTACCCGGATCTTGAGGAATGCGGACACGAAAATTATGTTAGTGGAAGAATCTTCTTCACCATCGATGACGAGGGCGCGAACCCCAATATTCTGGACGCGGACGAGTATCCATTTGAAGGTTCAGTGGTCCAAGTCAACAATAATACAGGGTCTTGCCCGGCATTCACAGTGTTAGGGAACGGGACTGGTAACCCCTGCGCCATTAAGATTGACGCAGCAAAGGCAACCAGCATCTCAAGCCAGATTGCCTCGCTGGCAACACCCGCCCCAGCAGCCACTACCACGGCGATGAACGATGACAAGGATAACGCTGCCGGCAGTTTGGGTATCTCCATTGCTTTAGCCCAAGCGGCTGTCCTTGTTTCTGCTTCATTGTTGTGCATGTAGATGCATTTCTACGAGAAAATGGAGAGGTTCCACCGATGAGATGGTAGAAGGACATGACTATGACGAATAGCATTCGGGATCGCTCGTGGGGATATTCCTTTAAAATAAATCCAATCTCCGGCTATAAATCGTCTGATTGACGTGTCAAGCGTCAATGAAGGGCAATAAAGCTTATGAGCAGCAATGGTCCGACTGCGTAGTTGACCAGTGCATGTACGCTATGCAGTCGGTATGCTTCGCTTTGCAATAATAAGTAGAATAATAAAGAGTCGAGAATGCATGCATGAACGCAGTGTAATCTATTTGCTCTGCTGGTCTTTAAGCTCGCCGCGCGCCTTTACCGTGTCACTAATCTTCTGCCCAACTTCGCTTTGCAAGTCATGGAACCCTTGAATAACGCCTTCCCTATCGCCCTTTCCCATTTCCTGGCTCATCTTGAATTTCCCTTCCAACCGATCAATTTCGATTTCAATTCCAATGATGTTCTTCTTGAGGATGTTGATGAAGTTCTCGGGCGCGTCCGTCACCTTCCAGTCTTTGGGCCGATCTCCTCCTGTGTAGCCCATGACTGAGGTCTCAGCATGGAGAGTGAGATCCGAAATCTGCTTTCCAAGGAATGACGACGTTTCTTCCGACTTGGAATCGAAAAACACCTTTGCGCGGCCATAAATCTGAGCGGCAGAATAGTTCCAGGTCGGAACTACTTTCCCCGTTGATGGCTTGGTTTCGGTATAGAATTTTGGCGTGACATAATGGTGTTGGGCAGTGAAAATGACGAGGACGTCTCGTTCGAGAACGCCGCCAGAGCCGGCACCCCGTGATAATTCCTCGATCATCGCCTTGCTGTGCGGGTTCTGTCTAGCTAGATGCCCTCGAAGCCGGCTTTTTGATGCGTCACTGGACTCATCGTCGACGTCAATAACAAAGGGAATATGGCTTGTCTGCAGGAAGGCATGTTCATCCGACTGAATTGCTGTAGTCAGGAAGCCGAGAGGGTTGTCCCGCACCAGCTGGCGTAGCACCTGAATGCTGGTTTCGGCGTGAGCTGCTCGGATATACATCGTTGAAGGGCCGCTGGGCTGGTGCTTTCGATGGAATGTTGCCTGAGAGTGGCTTGGGCTGGGAACTATGCAAGGACGCTTTGTTTACATGTACTGGTGGATCGACACCTAAGAATTGCTGGTATTTATGTCCTTGACTCGAGTATCATCTGGACTGACTCGCCCAGCGATTTCGGGTGTTCAACCAGCCAATCAGTCTTTGCCCATCAGTCATCCTCGCTTACTTTCGGTGCTACTACTAGAACCGGATCCGGCCACCGGACCGGCCGGACGACCCATCAATTAATTATTAGGCATTTGATTTATTTGATTTTTATTATTTTTATGTGTTTTTTTTTTTCGGATTCGCCGAATCTGGTCTCTCGTGGGTAAGTTTTAAATATTTCCCCAAGACACTCTTTTCCTGACCACGCTCAAGTACATTTTTCACTTTTCTCTTCACCGGATTTCATCTAGGCGTAATACTTCCAACCATCCAGCATCATTCGCCATGGCTGTGTCAGCTGCTGTGCCGACCAAGCTTCGGCCTGCCACCACACAAGATGCCTCCCAAGTCTCAAAACTAGGCGCATTGGTGTTCAGCACAACCTTTGGGCATTCAGTGACACACACTCAACTTCAGTCCTATCTCGAAGAATCATACAGCATAGAAGCCACCATCAAGGACATCACCGACCCCAACAAAGACATGGTTGTTGCGGAGACTGACGAAGGTGCCGTGGTTGGGTTTGCCCTCCTCACGCGCGGAAGCAGCGAGCCATGCGTGGAAAACATCTCAGATACGGTTGAGCTGCAGCGCATCTATGTGGATACCTCTTGCCACGGGACTGGCCTGGGCAAGCGATTGGCCCTAGAGCTGGAGAGAATGGCCAGAGAACAGGGGTTCAAGCACATCTGGCTCGGCGTTTGGGAGGATAACCAGATCGCTCAGAAGTTTTACGAGCGGCTCGGTTATAAAGTTATTGGAGATCACGATTTCGACATTGGAGGAGATATTCAAACAGATCACATTATGATCAAGGACCTGTGACACGGAAAATAGCGACGACAATGGAGTGATAGGGGTTGTGTGACACGATTTTAGGTATGTAATTGATTGTTCACAACGAGCACACCTATAGACGAACAATAGACCGCGCCTCTTTGATTAATTTTATTAATATTTTAATTTTGGTTAGAACCCTTAACTCTGCCATTTTCCTTTTGATCAATGCCTGCGTCACGTTTAAACCTCATAAGCCATTCCGGGTTATCTGCAGCAGTTTGGTTCCATGAATCATCACTAGGAATATCTTTAGCCTCAAAAATCATGATACTCGCACCTTGAAAATACTACTCACTCGTTGTATAATAACCACCGGGCTTGGTCTTGGATCTCCTGGTCGGAGGGTATCCGAGGGTTTGGGTGTTGAGGAGAGGATATGATAGAAACCCAGCGCTGGAGCTCCAACCCGAGCCAACGATGGAAATTAGGGTCATTTAGAATGTAATTTCCATTCTGGAGCCATTCTGGGCGCTGATATGATTCGGGCTCAGCAGGATTCATGTTCATATTTTCTAATTGATGTGAACTTTCGTATGCCCCTGTCAGATTAGATTGAAATTCAAACTCAGTATCGGGAGGATTCACAACCGAAAGGTGCCTGGGAGAAACAGCCGAGGAGGGGCCTAAGCTCGTGAAGGTGCTGGGATAGGATCGGCCGGTTCGTTGAAGGTTGAAAGCCGCCTCGGATTGATTGTGCATCAGCTGAAACCCATGGCTGGCTTCCGAGATAGGCTCGGGGGAAGCAAGTTCGAAGGGAAACAAGTCCCCAGAAAGGGTTGCCATATCGTGTGAGGAGGTAGACATGCCGGCAAGATGGCTGTTTGTTAAGCCTGCTCGTTTCCTAAAATCGCCAAGCCATGTCACCCTTGTGTGTATTTGACCCAACAACCATTTGAAAACGGAGCCAGAATCTGCGGCTAGACTGTCTTCAACTCGCTTCATGATATGGCATGCCTCATCTCGAAGCTCATTGTCAGTGATATCTATGTATCCGCTGTCGCAAAGGTTTGAGACGAAGCTTCGCAACTGAGATTCTAGAGGGCAGTCTTCGAATAAATTTCGCTTGCCCCTTAGTTGCAAGGTACGAAGCCTGCCTTCGGAGGGGGTTCTAATAGGCATAACCCGGGCTTGGAACGCTAGATTATGGTCTGACATAATTAGATCCCGTAGCCAAGAGGGATACGAGCCAGGCTCCTCATCAACGGACAGAATCTCGGAAGCGAATATGATCCGACAAGCCTCAACAACCATGGTGGTATTGTCTGGGGGCTTCTTATGCTGAAACTGGTAGTTCCCAACAAAATAAGAGAGCTCGAGTGTGAGTAGTTCGTATGCACTTCTGGGCGATTCGGGCGATTGATTGCTGGCCTCGAAAGGATAGGGGCTCGTCCGTTCATTGTGGATAAGGTCTAGGTACCAAATTAGCTTGTACTGGATAGAAGAAAACCGGTTCATTTCTTACATGGCGGGATGGAATTTTCAAGAGTATGAACAATGGAGTCATCAAATCCCCAGTCGCCAGTCCACTCAGCCATTGTCAAGCCCAACTTGAAGTGTTCGGCCAGATGTTCTACTCTCTCATCCCAGGTGTTCAGGTTCTCTCCACAGAACCCGCAACGAGACCGCACTTCTGGTGTTGGGGTCTTCCAAATGTCGGCAACCCATCGGATTAATGCGGATTTATGTACCAGCCGCAAATGTTGCCGAAGATAGTCTTTGCGGTTGAAGGCACGCTCCTGGCACGAATTAGGTTGGTGGCTCTCGATATGAGAGTCAGATGGCTCCAATTCGCCGCAGAACCCGCAATGAGTTTTCCCAGTGGTGGGATTACGTTCACATGGTCCGTTTGGTGAACACTCCCAACGCTCCAAGGGAATATGGAGAGATTTCTCGTGACGTTGCCAGTCGTGCTTCGTTAGGAACGTTTCTGTGCAGAACGTGCATTGGTAAAGTTGTTGTCGAATTGGCGCGAGTGAAGCTGTCTTGGCTTTGACCCGGGCACGTTTTGAACGCCTCCGTTTCCGGGCAAAAGGTGCTAGGCCGCCTAATGATGAACCCGAGCTGTGAGAGTGTGCCGATCCAAGGGAGCTACCGCTAGATGTCCCGCGACTGCTAGCGGAGGAGTCATTCACAGATGAGGCCAAGCTACCCTCAGGTTGTTCTTCATCGTTCATATCTAAGGCACCTAGTTTTAATATGGTATTACGGGGGTGGCACGAACGACTGAGTGCGAGCACTTACCTGATGGGCGAGGAGGTGAGGAAGCCACAGCACGGGCGATATCTTTAACGGCGGCAGGTTCACGGTCTGGCGGCGATTCGACCCAGCGTTGAAGTGGGTTCATGTCTTGGAGGTTATTATCATTTCTGATCGCCGGGGTCCCTGGGCGAAGGGGAGCATCTAATGGATCGGATGTACTTCGAGGGTATACGTATCGTGACTGGCCTGATGAGCCTCCTTGCTTCTTCTGTCGACGTCTAGTGTTGGCTAGCCAGTTCTGGATCTGGGTCTTGTTCAACCCTGTCTGGAGTTGGAGAGTTTTGATATCCTCGCGACTGGGATATGGATGATTCTCATGGTTGGAAAGCCATCGGTTCAAGAATTTCGTCGAGTCCCGGGAGAAACGGGTTCCAATCTTGGGAGGTGGCTTTGTAATTATCTTCACAGCGGGAGGAACGGAATCGGACGCTTGGCTGGCACTGTTTGATGAACTGATACTGTCATAAGATGCGGAAACAAATTCTTCAAAATCGTTGTGAAGAGTGAGATCGTCTGTGAATCCAGTTGTGTTGACGTGGGCAAGGCTGCAGTGGTAGCCGTGAATGATGCACGAAGAACAGGACTGCTGGCCAGGGCCTGAAGTGGGCTGTTGACAATTCTGCCCAGCGATTAAACACTGATCGCACGTTTCAACGGAGGACACTGGCCAGGTATTTGTTGAATGATCATTGTCATTGGACATCCAGTCTTGCCCTAGCGAAGCGGGGAAGGACATCAAGCCCTCTGAACTAAGTCCGGGCCCGTTTCCCTGGCCGCAATTATGCATGCTACTCGCTGCAAGGGGAAAGAGGCTGGGGTCATTATCAAGCAAGAAGGCAGACGAAGAAAGGTCTGGGGGCTCTTGAGCAGAAGCCTGGATAGTTGCCCCTCCTGCTTCACGGTTGGGCGAACGAGTCAGACTTCCTGAGCGACGTCTGTGGTTGTAGCGGGACCCAGACATCCCGCCTCAAAGGTAGAGATAGCTTGGCGACTGATTCATAGAACGGACTGAAGAGAGTGATCGGGTGAGATCGAAGAGGAGCGTTTGACCACCCGTCACAGTATCGATGAACCTTGACATGGCCACCATGTGGGTTATTGCTTATTCAAGCCTAGACAATCTAATCATGGCGTAGATACTACTCAAACAGGTCTAAATCACATCCGAAGGTTGCCGACCCACCAAATCATGTTCAACACGCCTTGAGGCATTACAAGCCAATCATATTGCACCGAGATCGTCACCATGTTTGTTCTGTGCAGGGCGGTCCCACGGTAAACGGTCAAACGCGCCCTTGAAGTGACATTGAAATTGACCTCTTCTTTTGAAACCGGTGGTGTCTCAGTTTTCAGCACATCGTTTTGCTCCGGTTTTCGGAACTCTACCGGCTGACCGGGAAGATTGGAAAATGCTCGCAGGTACTGGGTCCGCTCTAACCTTGCATGGTTTACTAAACTTCATGTATGACGGGGGAACTGATCTTGATTATTATCTACTTAACAAACAACTAGAAAATCCATTTTAGATATAATTGATTTCGATACATGATAACATTTGCTAGCTTTCACTGATCAAGCCCAGTCTCGAGAGTAAGCACCAACTAATCCTATGAATCTATGCAAGTAGGAAGATAGCCGGTATGAAAGCGACCACAATCCATTGCCGATAAATATCTAACTTTGAACCATCAGATACCGGCACAACCGTAGGGCTTAAACTACTGATAGCTATCTTCGTGGTATGAGAGCCGACCTGCTGAGTGGCCGACAAGGAAGCTGATTTTGAAGTGTATTGATTCTCGTCTGTTGCTTTGGTAGTACCTAGAGTGTTTGGCTTCATTGTGGGTTCTGGTACGCCGGGGGGGCAGTGCCAATGGTCTCCATGAACCGTGCATGAATCACTTGATGTCGTGATTGAAAGTAAAGTTGTCAGCTTCGGGAGGGTATTTGGCGGCGTTGTTGGTTCAGGAACGCCCGGTGGGCAATGCCAATGATCGCCATGAGGCTCACACTTGTCCGCAATAGAAGTGGAATCAGAACTTGGTGATGGTGGTGTTGTGGGCTCAGGAACACCTGAAGGGCAGTGCCAATGATCCCCGTGTGGCTCACACTCATTGACAACTGACGAGGAGCTGGTGGTAGTAGGTGGGGGTGTAGTTGGTTCAGGGACACCTGGAGGGCAGTGCCAGTGATCATCGTGGGCTTCACACTTGCCCACAGTGGACTTGGAAGCAGAACTTGAAGATGGTGGTGTCGTGGGTTCGGGAACCCCAGATGGACAGTGCCAATGATCGCCATGAGGCTCGCACGTATTGATAGCTGATGAGGAGCTGATAGCTGATGAGGAGCTGATAGTGGTCGGTGGAGGTGTTGTGGGTTCGGGGACACCAGATGGACAATGCCAATGGTCCCCATGGGGCTCACACTCGTTCGCAGCTGACGATGAGGTGGTAGTTGTAGGTGGAGGTGTGGTTGGTTCAGGGACACCAGATGGACAATGCCAGTGGTCCCCATGGGGGCTGCACGTTTCTGTGGGAACTTCAGTCCCGGTCGAAGTAGCAATTGGATCACAATGCCCTAGCAAAGATTAGATAGCTGTCATACAGGTAGAATATGGATTGAGCTCGCAGACCACGTACAATGATCACCGTGGGGCGAACAAACGGATCCTGTTGGCGATGGAGGGAGGGTGGGAGTTGTGGTTGGAGGACAGCTTATCGTTGTATGGGGCGCTGAGATGACTTCATACCCAGCGCTAGAAAGAGCATGGGAGTCATAGTAATATATTCCCGTGTATGGAACCCCGTTTCCGCCGGTAAGCAAGGTTGAATAGTATGGGACTCGTGCGCCTGACCAAGAGACGCCCGGGGTAGAGAATCGACTGTTCAGGGACGAACGGAAGCTCGAGATATCAGTCACCGTTGTCGCAACAGCATAAGATGTTTTAGTTATTGTGCTGTCATGTGGTTAGTTGCTGGCTTTCTCTATTAAACAAATCTAAGTGAGTTCGCTTACCTGCATTCAGATTGACCCTGTGCCGTTCTCATCCAGCTCAAAGCCAGTGCAGCTAACCATGTCCCGTTGACCGACCGCATTGTGGCGAACAGTGATGGATGCCAGTCTTCAAGATAGCACGGAATTATTAATGCGTAAAAGAAAGGGATATACTGAGGAGGAATCATCGGCCTTCTTGTAGTCTTACTATTTGTACTTTATATCTCATGGTCCGCAGATTCAAGCCACTTGTAGCCAACATCCCAGTAGGTCATGACTAGAACAATACTCGCACCTAAATGCATGTAATTTGCATGGATTCTACAAATTACATCCTTGTTTAGTAAATGCCAGGAAGCCACTCCCAGGGCTCGAAAGCGATTGTAATCTACTCACATTACCTGACCTTGTGATCAACCTTGAAGGCCAAGACAATATTTCCTCAGTTTACCTTCTTGGCAGCTGAAGATACGAACCGTAGTTACTGTGAGTGAGATGTGATGGGAAACTGCGCCCACTCACAATAGCCTCAGCATGTCCATCAAGGTCACAACTTCAATATTGGACAGACATCGCTACAGCTAAAGCTGGTGATTCTGCCTGCGGCGCAGATACCCATGACCGGGGCTTTGGTTGGGCCTTCCACAACCGGAAAACCATCAAGGTGCTGATAATTTGTGCGCTTATGTTTAGCCGAGCCCAGCTTGAGTCCTCCGCTTGAGACTCTACCACTAATAAACGCCATCATAGAAAAACGAGAAGAATGTATAACATACTTGGTACGGCCAACTGGAAATTTTATATGCGTTCCGTAAGAAGACGACCAGTCTGAGATACTATAACTAGCCGATGGTCCGGCTGCTGCTTCTGATCGAGTATTTGGCATGGGCAGCAAGAGAGATGGACTACACCGCGTGTATAACCTCTCCTTTGGGTTTATATTCACTCAATCTCCGAGGATATTCTTTTGGGCAGGTACCTGGAAAGGACTAGGGGGGAGATGGTAGGTGAAGGAGTCACTTGCACATGATAGATAAAGTATTTAAGCTTGTAATTAGAAATTTAACCACAACTTCTTATCGTACTTGATCAATAATGGTTAGTTCAATACTAGACGCTTGTCCATATCTGCTCTTCCTGCATTACTAACTTCAATAAGCGAGTGTCTCTTCTTGGAACAAGCCGCTCACCCATCCATCTTCTGTGATAATGTGACCTTATCACTAGATGCTACCATTTTGTCCTTATGATTCCATTGTATGGAGGAATGAATGGGACGATCCATTACGGTTCTTGTTGAAGGATTGGCGATAGGCCGCAAATTCAGGAGGTATTTCGCACCCAGCCCTCACAAGTATAAATCTAGCATCAGGACCCAATTCGTTTTGACTTATTCTTCCCAGCCAGAAATTCAACTTAATGAGCTCGGCACACTAAAACAACCTCTCTGGTTATAACCCCCCTCTCCTTTGAGAATCACCATGGTCAAAATTCACGTCTTAGCCCTGGCCTTAACTGGCCTGGCTGTTGCCGTTCCTGCCACTAGACCTACCGAGCTATTTCGCCGCGATTGCCCTGAGCTTCTAGAAACCGCGGAAGAATTTGGCTGCGAAGTTTATGACTTTGGTGGTTGTGAGATCTGCTGTGACGAGGCAACCGATGCCTCAGCAGAATGCCACCCTGGGCACGATGAAAACCCCTGCGGGGATGGTCGCAAGCAGTGGCATTGCGAAGCCCACAGCCACCGCCGGCGCCGTTCCTAAGCTACATTCTAGCATGAATACAGAGATGATCGAGTGGATCACGCGTGCTCGATCACATCGTGACTGTGGTTTATTGGTATTATTTGTGCCATTTTCGGACACTTCTTGAGCGCATCCATATATGTCAGGGTTGAACATTGGGAAATTATAAGCTCCTTTATCTGCCAAAGTCGGACGTACGGATTGGATAATGGTTCGCGATTGTCACTCCCTTTCTAGCACTCTGATAGATGTGGAACAATCCCGCCTTGATAGCAATGTCTACAGTGTTCTAACGACTAACAGCATATTAATTGCATATGAAATTGTGAAGGAATTGAGTTTGATGATTCTTTACATTAGCAAGGCCTCAAGATTTTGGTTATTCAAGGGCTCTTTAGTCTTGCTTTTCGTAGATGTTTGATTCCATGCTATTCTAACCGCGTGGATCCTCACAACATATAACGCAGCGCAGCCCCTCTAGACTCTGATCTGTCATTTGTGACTCGAAATGAAGGAAGAAAGTTTGGTGTCAAGTAACTAGATATAAAATTCATAATACTGCAAACTGGTCACTGTCCATAACAACAATGTTGTCAATCTTCATCTTAAGACGCCGAGTTGGCTGAAACATAAGTCATTTTTCATCAACACTAACTAGTGGCTATTAATACCAGAAAATTCAAATATGAAAACTTCGATCGCTTCTTTCTAAATTCAACATGCATTTTCCAATGAGTTAGCTGGGGTCCTCTTCAAATGTGCACTTGATAAGAATGAGCTCCTAACGTTGCCCAACGGTCGTAACGTCTTCATAATATGTCCACTTAGCTAATGGCGGTTTCGGAGAAGATAGAATTTAATCGGCTACAATTTCCTTGGGCCGAAACGCACACAGCTGCTGCCAATAGATCCGTTCTCCAAAGATGATGGTCCTCCACAACTTCCGTGAGGTGAGTGTTTACAGGCTATCCTCAAATAAAAAGACTTGGGGGAAACAAAGAATGTCAGTAGGAAGAGTGATAAGGCGTTGCTGCAAAATGAGATGTCGCAACAAAACTTAGCCCGAGGGAGTTCTATGTAACAAAATAGGAAGACCTATTCAACTTCAGCATTATTTCATATCGAAATGACCTCGGTAGGTAGACACTGAATGGTCGTCAATCATGGACTGGCGACTTCGTCCAGTGCTAACGCAAAGACACCTCATTAGAAATTCTGCTTTCTTCCCAGACCGCAGCCTTGTCCAGTTAATCAATTGCCAATACTATTGTTAGCTCATCAGCAATGAATAATTCAATCACTCAATCCCCGCTAGTATCTTATGCGTTGAATGTCACTCAATAATGGGCTCTTGTTATTGAACACTTTGTGTACATTCCCTTTAGAATACAGTAACTTTCTCCTTACAAATTTACCATTCCGATCTGGAAGTGAAATAAAGGGTTGAAAGTCAACACGAAAGCATTTTGATTAAATACTTATCAAATGTAAACCGACGTAGGTAACTAGCTGGCAATGTCCTAGGCGGCTACATAGCTTGAGGCAATAACTCTTGAGCATCTTCTACATCTACGTGTAAAGTCATGCACTATCAAGATCATACACAACTAAGACCAGCTTTAAGGAGGATTTATGCCGTGCTCTCTTATTGGCTGGAATATTGCAGCCCACCAAATCCTTTCCTTATCTTGGCCGCATCCCCGGGGTTCCTTACATTCCCAACTCCGACGGCAACGAAGAAAGAAAGCCGCTGGAAGAAAAAGCTTGAATACAAAAAGCCCGTGTGATTTAAAAGCTCCCGTTAGAGCAGCGAGCCCTCCTAGAGGGATCCTCGCAACCACTCACTGATATTTACTCAAGGAAGTCTAGACGGACTGGTCTGCACAAAAGCAAGAAAGGATGGACCATGATCTCATTTGTCATGTTACAATTGCAACCCGCGATTGGCTTGGCCTGTTATCTGTATAGCTAAGCGAGCATTACTTTGCTTTCCTGTGCATGGCCAGCCAGGCCACGGCCCCATTCCCTCCCTGAAAGATAGTGATATGCCCATTGCCCACTCATTAAGCTCTTAGAGTCTAGACTCTGGCCGGCGTAAACAATAATACGCCGGAGCCAATCATACCCGCCGCTCACCAAGACTTCCAAACCGCCATTTGTAATGGCAGAACGCCCACGATGGCGGGCTCCCTCGTTGGGGGCTTGCGTAATTGCATCTACTAGCTTTGCGTCGTCAGCAAGGAGTAGAGATAGTATTAAACCTCAACAGTCCACATGGTTCCTGACGTTGTCATTCCAACCTTCCTCTGGTTCGTTACACAAACAATTTCACGTGAACATTTAGAGCCACAATGAGAGCTGCCATTGCTCTTCTTTGTCTCTGCCTGTTAGCTTTTGGATTTGCTGCTCCAACATCTTCCTACCATGGAAAGCCCGCAGTAATCCACGACGGTTCTTCTCTACCTGCTCCGACTGACGTCGATGGCCGTCTTGATCATCGCGAGCTCACGGCTCTTGAATTAAGATCAGAATCTCGATGCAACTTCGATGCCGATACGTATGCTTCACTCTCGCAGATCTACAGAGGCATCTCGTCAATACTTACACATATGGTTAGAAACGAACTGCTTGATGATGTTGAGCGAACGCCGACCCTTCGGGACACCTGCTTTCGTCATCGCCTTACTGCCTTCGCCAAGACGGTCATTCTTGTCACAGGCGAGATCGGTCTCGCGTTTTTTGCCCTTGTGGCAATTCTAGTGACAGTGACATATCTGTGGCCTGATAGGCAAGCATATTACTCGGTCTCCGATAATACCACCGCTAATCAAGTCTGTAGGATCAAGCGTGCCACCGCCTTAGATTCGCACACCGGTCATCGCATGGTTCCTCGCTCAGAGAGTATGGATAAATCAGTTGGGAAGGCCACTTGAACTTTGTAGATCAATGAGGTTTTCCATACATGCCTCGCGATGAACTTCGGACGATATCATAGTATTACATAGGCATCTTCCGCAGATATCATGAATTTCGTCTAGCTCAGGAATAAAATTAAGGAACTGTGCATTGTCGAGTAGCTAAGACACAGGCCCGCCGATGTAAGTCGGATCCCCGAGCACCTTGAATCACGGAAGGCTCGGAACAAGCTTGCGTAACCTCCTCGGCTGGGACCCGTTCAGGGTTCTGATCGGATTCCGCGGTCATCCGAGGATTGACCTTGTTGCCAAAGATTCGAGGGAATGGTATGATTCGCCAGATGCCGCGACCGTGTTGCTTCTAATTAGTGTCAATCACTGTTAAGAATATTGTGCTTCTAGTCAAGATTGAGATCTAGATGCGTGGTGGTGAACCTTTTAGCGCAGGATTTATGCCAATTTGGTGATTCGCAGCGCAAGCAGGCCAATTGAATCCAGACCAACAATTTATTCAATATATCGAGCTATCTCACGGGTTATTGTTCCAGATATCCCTCACCTTGATTCGAAATGGCACCTTTTCAGAAGGGTGCAGAGTGCCCAAACCAAACGTCTTCAAACTCATGCCTAGAGCCCCCGAGGCCGCCTTCTCGGACAAGAATTCACAGTCATAACGAGTAACAAAGTGAGCCATACAACCAGTTATGATGCGTCTGGCCAGGAAGCGCCCTGGACACATGTGCGATCCACCACCAAACGGCACCCAAGCTCCAGACTTGCCACTGATACTGTATACAAAGTTCCCTTTGCTAGTCTTTTCCTCCAGCAGGAACCTGCCCGGCCAAAACTCCTCGGGAGGATGGTCCTTGGCTGTTCCCGTGCACCACACATTTGGGTCCATGTGCTGCGTGGTAGAGTTGATGAAGAACAGCGTGTGCTTGGGAATGAGGCTGCCACGGACATTGACGCCTTCCTGGGGAGTCTTGCGGGGGATGATTCCATGAACTCTTAGCCGTAGAGTCTCAGCAAAGACTGCTTGAAGAACGGGCTTTCTTAACAATTTTTCCATGTCGAATTTAAGCGCGTCGCTTGAGGATGGGAGGAGACAATCCATGGCTTCCTCTCGTACAAGTCGAAGCAGTTCGGGATCTCTGCAAATTTCCCAAACAGCCCAAAATGCAGCCGGCGTAGGGTTTGCAGTACCACTATTGATATCCAGTCAGCTTTTTACATTTTCTAATACCCATGAAAAGCTTGACTTGCCCCCAAAGAAGCCCTAGGTTGTGAGCAGCGATGGACTTGAAGGGAAACTTGTCAACCTCAATATACATGGCTGTCCTTTCACGGAAGAACTCGTGACCCCAGTAAGGGTCGGAACCATCTTCAGCAATGGAATCTGGGTGGAAGTTGGATGTCGCCCATTCTGTCCACTCCTGGATGGCGTGCAGACAACGATCGCGTGCGCCGATCAACCGCGGAAACAGGAACCGTGGTGCACCGAGGAAAATTAATGTAATGTTGTCGTGCACACAGCGCCAGTCTTCAAGAAAAGTAGGATTCACCGAGAGCAATCTTGGACCGCAAAGCGTGTCGATGAACGAGCGGTTAATGTCAATATCCAGGACAGTCTTCAAGTCTGGGTATTCCTTCCATCCATCATCAGGAGAAGCCAAGTTTGCCACGTTTGTAGCCAGGTGCTCATCAAACCTTGGATTGAATCGTTTTGTGCCCTCGCCCGCAAGCAGATTTTCAATGTGCTGGGTGCCACGGGCACCAAAATCGTTTCTGACTTCTTGCGCGCCGTGTTTAGTTGGCCGGTGGGAGCTGTTGGCATCTTCTTCAGTCCAGAAGAGGGCCAAGTCTTCTTTCGGCAGAAGGAAGACGCGGTGTGTGAAGATGCCCTGGAAGAAGAAGGTGGAAAGGGACTTGTTTTGGAAGGTGGAGCGGATGTTTGCGGTCCCTTGGACGAAATAACATTTGTAGTTGAACCATGTGGCTAGAAGTGGTGCCCTACGGTGGAAGAGGTTTCTGGATTTTATGTTAGCTGCATCGGATAACGTATGAATCCATGGTGGGTGTGACGTACGATGTCTTCAAGAAATTGAGAATATCGGAACTTCCTCGCAGGATGTCCCAAGTCAAAGGGACTAATCTGTGATATTCCTTTTCGATGTAGTTAATCCGAGGCCACAGAAGTGTGTGGGTAATCAAAAAAGGAACGACCAAGCAGGAAAATAAGACACCGATGACTGTCAAAACCAATCTGATAGGACTGATTGAAGCAAATGAAGCAGCCTCCTCACCCAGTCTGTTAGAAACTTGGGTGGACGCTGCCGGCTGACCGTGTAAAGACGCCATTGGAAAGGTCAAGGCTGGAATCACCTTGAAAGGTCAGTCATTATATTATCCTCATCCGTTCGAAACGAGGAGAGTTCTTCTTATGCGGTAGTACAAATACGCGGGCCTGTTCGGCTGGTTACCGAATTTGCCCACAAGAAATCTCGTTGGTAAATCCCTCCTTGAATTGCGCAGATTTTGTCCGCGCGCTTCGACTCGCGCCCGGGGAATCCAGTTTTACCTACCCAATGAGGCATGCAGAGGTTGTCGTCTTGCAGAAGACGACTTCGGCGTTGTTCCAAAAGGCTTTAAGCCCGTCTAAGTTGCAGCGTTAGTGGATGCTGCGCCGCTATGTTCTACGGCGCAAGGGAGATTCGGATCAGATAAGATGTGGACGAGTGCTTGATCTATTAGCTTCGTCTCGCCCGTCCCTCTCATACATGTGATGTTTAACAGACCTAGCTGCTTGTGGAAGGCATTGGCGAAGCCCATCCGCAATGTATACCAAATATAGAACAGCTTTTGACCCTTTTCGATGCATATTCGAATCCCTTGGTCAAACTTTTGTCTCAAACTAGGGGTGCTGTACTCGCCGATTTGTTGCATCACATCACACCTTTGGCCAAGCGATGTTCCATCAGCGCTGTGTGAGTGGGTATTATGGACACATCGATTTCTATACTAAGAAGCTGCGCATACTTAAGGCGTTTATGGTTGATTATAGATCCACAGGGCTGAATATGAATAACAAGAAATATATTACCTTTGTAGTGTCAACAGAGCCTCGAATGGGTCAGCAACCTCGGTAAGAAATAGTGTTTCCGACTGCGGGATTTCATTCGGCAACTGATTCAGCTCGGGTGGAGGCTTCGTAAAAGAGATTGATGAGCTATGCCGTAAATTGATGAGACCAACGATACGAAACAGTCGTGTCACTGGCGAAGGTGTTGCATTTTACCAAGCCTAGCCTATTCCCTGTCATAGATGGTGCGGAAAGCAGCGGGTTAGGCTCAAAAACCATACCCGTAGTCACATGTGAAGAGCGACGCGCTCATTTATCGGCTCGAAATACTTGCTTCTCCACTGTCAATACGAAGGATTACATAGTATTTTCTCTTGAAAAACGACCACTGTTGCTCCGGTTTGGTCTCAAGAAGAGGTTGTCACATGACAACGCCATAGACTTGAATACATAGAGGATATTTTTTGCCTAGCCCGTGAAATTCTAGCAATCGTCGTCTACATTGCTTATATAGTTGTCCACCGACTATATTTTGGCCCATTTGTGCAGATTCCTAGACCAAAAGTTGTAGGTGTTAAGAACGGTTCGAACGATCGGTCAAATCTAGCCTTGGCCTGCCTCTTTAGCAAATGTAATGGCGCTGTTCATGGGAGAACATGTAGTATTGCTAGATCTAATTAAACAATCAAGCCAGACAGTAATTAGAATTTCCGCTGATTAGCGAGGCAAATTAGAGAAAACATGAGTTACAAGGTGCCATTTTAGGAGAATAAAAGGTTATAGAAGCAGCACCTTGGGATCATGTGTGAGTGAATATGCTGTATTCAATGGCCTAGTATCAGATAAACCCAAATCTGTATGGCTGATCTATTGTCTATTATCATCTACATGAAAAATCTCATTGGTGAGATACATGGAACATTTGCCTAAATTTTAAAAGACCCCAAACGAGATAAACGGCCTCGGCTTGTCTAACGGATGCTCATGGATTAAAGATTTGATACTGATATGAATGTGTATTTCTTGATGAAAGAGCGGAATGTGAGAGTTCATTTATAAAGACCTTTTATCTTTCTACATTCAAGCATATAGCAAATACTGCACTTGGTTTCTTATATATGATGGATAGCTATATACCACCTTGACACATTTAAATCGCTACTCTACCACCGGGGTTCAAGGGCCTTGATTGACATCAGCTGTAGGGTAGCAGAAAAGTGGGCAATAAATTCTGGGTATATGCAGTTAGTATGTATGGTTGTCTTCCATGATGGACCATAATCATAGATGATACACTTACTTGGGTTTGATAGAATTATTTTTATTGGCCATTGTATAAGCTTTTTTATTTTACCAGAGCCCTGTGCTCCTTCAATACAATTACTTAGGTCTCAAACCTGTGCAAAGGCAACTTACCGACGGTGGAGAAATCAGAATGGGGGATAATCACGTGATGAAAAGATATCACCTGATTTTCGCTACCTGTCCAGGAAAACTTGAAGAACATGACAAAACTCATTTTCTAGGGCCACGCACAATCAAGTTAGCTTCATACCGTAATGGAGGAACTTCCTATAAGGCCGTCTGGCATTTTGATGCAGACAGACTTTATCACGCCCGAGCACGAAGCGAAGCTCATCGATATCTTTCGGAACGATCTGCAGTGGCCGGACCGATCTGGCCGACTGTCGTTGCATTATGGCTACACCTTTAGCTACAAGACGTTTGGCATCGACGAAGAGACTCCCTATAAACCTTTTCCAGACTGGCTAGTACCCCTCTTGCCGCCGACGGAGAGCCGCGCTCCTGATCAGGTGTGCCTGCAGTACTATGCTCCTGGCACAGGCATCCCGCCGCACGCTGATACTCACAGCCCGTTCGACCAACTATATTCTTTGTCCCTAGGCGCCCCCCTGATGATGGTGTTCCGTGACAGTGAGACAGGAGACAAGGTCGAGGTTGACCTTCTAGCAAGGAGCATGATGCAGATGAGCGGAGATTCAAGATTGCATTGGACGCATGGTATCAAGTCTAGGAAGACGGACACATTGCCTGACGGTACCGTGAGGCCGAGAGCCGACCGCTGGAGCCTTACGTACCGCTGGCTGCGACAGCCTGCCGTGTGCGAGTGCGGCAATGAAAAGCTGTGTGATACGGCGCAACGAAATAATGGCGTGGAAAAAGAATATCGGTGGAAACAGTACGAAGAAGACGCAAAGAATAATGCGACTGCTGCGGGTAAGTCAATTAATTTGCAACGCTGAAGTCTTAAACTAACTAAAATGCGTACAAAGCTAAAACAGAACCAATTATAGCTTCAACATGAAAGCACAGGGCCCAACTCTTCGTGGCCAAACTGTGACTCCTGGTCAGGTTCGTCTGCAGAGGTTTGCGTCTGAAGTGCCCGAGCAAGAACCTTGGCCAGACTCTTCGCCATCCCGGACTTCCTGCCCAGGAACCACAACGACCCAATGCAGCTCTCGCATCGCTTGACCCATACCTCGAGCTCACCTGTCTCATGGCCAAGAGCAGCCAATTCCTCCTCTCGCACACTAACTGCCGTATCCATGTGGAAAATGGCTGCTCTTGCGAACGCTCTCACAAGCAGCATGGTCCAAGGTTCAGCCAGAAGTGCGCTCTCATTCATCGCAAAATGAAGATCGGCTAGCTGCTCTGGCTCCGTACCCCTTAGACGTCCCGGTTGCGTCGCGCGTGCCAAATCTGCAAGCTCGATACACGTTGCTCTCCTGATAGCTGACGCTACTTTGGCTGTTTTCCTCGCGGTGCGGCGGTCCTCGAGTCCGAGGCTATTGTCATCGACGAATTCCAGCAAATCGGCGACCATGAGAGATCCGAGATGCCACGGAATGCCGATACAAGGAAACCAGCTTTTGATGCGTGTGGGAAGAGAGTCGTAATTCTTAGTTAGATCTCGGAAGAACACGCCGTGTGTCGTGTTCCAATATCTGTAGATGGACGTGGTGGAGCTTATGACATCCTCGATGGCCTGTGGGCTCTCTTTTTTCCGTATGGCGGTTTGGAAGTATGAAACATATCTAAATAATAGGACTTTGACACCCGCGGAACGGGCAATCGCCTGGGTAGCAACGTCGTACGCACAGGGCCAGTGGAGAGTTGATGGCTTCTCAATGTCATCTTGTGCAAAGAGACCCAGCTTCCAGCGTCTGCTATTCCGTAATATCACAGTTCGACCTTGCTTCATGGCCGCCTCGTGATCTTCTTCGTGCTGGCTGTCTTCATCTGATATGACACATGGCCTGTGATTCACCGATGATGACACAGTGTCGAGCATGGTCGCCAGCCAGAAAAGCAAACCCACTGTGCCCCGGTGCTCCGAGGTAATCTGATTCAATGCCGTGGCGCGTTGCTTCTCAGAGCATCCCGGCCCCGGTGGTCGGGATCCCAATTGTGCTGCCTCGAAACGAAACTTTAGCGCATGTATTTTCCGAGCGGCTCGTTCCAGGAACACTGGAGGACCATCTCCAGCGAGAATAGAGTTCAGAGTAGACTTCAGCTCATCCACCTTGTCCTTGGAAATGCTCCGCGACGTTTCAACATCATCCCATGGTTTCTGGATCATGCCAAAGACCAGTTCCGCGTACACGATCCTGAAGCATTCCACATCAGCAACGTCCTTCAGAGCTGACCTCGCCTGTTCCCAAATCGAGTATTGAAGATTTCGCTCGAAGCTGTTTTCAAAATCATCCTCATCACTATGCTCGTCGTCATCTGACTCTTCTTGCCTTCGCTGGGTGCTCTGTCTCCGCCGACGATCATTTTGCGTCCATTGCGTTGCAAACGCCGCTATCGCAAGGTCCAAGGCTTTCGACACGGCGCGACTCTCCGAGGGCGTCACATGGACAATCTTGGCGGCTCTGGCAACACGGTCGAGCTGCTTTACCCGTCTGTACATTCGGTTCGACCACACTGCTCCCCATTCCGACATGATGGAGCCGGAGGTCGGAGATGGGTACCGTTGGAGCTCTGTTAAGGAGAATGGCGCTCGATGGCGCTGGCGTGTGGTAAATGGGCAGGTCTCCTCTGCGATCCAGCAAGCCAAGTTGTTTTCAAGGACGTCGTGATAGATCCGGAGGAGGCTCTCCGTGATGAGGTTGTTATTTGATTTGGCCACAATTTCGCTGTCTATGGTAAATGGGGAAATGGATGATTTGGTAGTATCATTCTGGTCAGAGTTGAGCCTGCGCCGGCTTCGACTGCTGTGGCTGGAACGTGGTGATGAGGCTACTGTTATGGTGGGTTCCTGAACATGACGGGGCGACTCGGTAGAATTCCAGATCGAGCTTTGAATGTCTGCATTAGATTGGCTGAACAAGTCGTCTTGAATGGTAGATGGACCGAATTGATCCAGAGTGACATTCTCCAACGGCTGAGAGCGAGTGGGAGATTCCATAGAAGTAAGCCCGAGAAATGAATCGTCATATCCTGCCGTCAAGGGTTCGTGATTGAAAATAGATGCCAGATGGCCCTCAAGGGAGGAAACAGACGGCACGTCGGTTTCGGGATATGATGACGTCCAGTCATAGTTGTTGTTTGAAGTGGGCGTCTGCAAGAACTGCAAGATGCTAGCGGGGTTTAGATCTTCTTCAAGAGATTCTGAATGCGACCCAGATCTTGTTCGTTTGGTGTGGGGGTGATGAGATGTGGGGTTTCGACTGCTCGAGGTAGAAGGATGGTCAACAGGCGACGTTGAATGTTTGGCCCATTGCGAATTAAAGCTGCACTGCTTTTTGGTCTTGGCGCAGTATGAGCAGGGAAGCAATCCTGCGGACCCTTGACGGTGACAATCAGCGCTCTGCTGGAGATACGTGCCTTAGTCGAAGATGACTTACCGTGGGCTGCAGCGGCGGAGTCGGGAGAGGGCTGGCTTCTGTTCAAAAGATAGCCATCGCAGGCCTTCTTGGAGCGGCGACATTGGTCGCAGGACTGGTTTTGACGTCTTTTTTCCATTGCAGTCGGCGGATATTGGAGATGTGAGGAAAAGTCGTGCAGTGGAGAGAAAGGCGATGTGCTGAGGGGAAAGAAGCCACGACAAACGCGATCTCAGCGGCCCTGTCGGAACAGCAAGTGATAGAGGGCGGATTGGAAACTGTTATGGAAATCTCTACCCGCCGAACCCCTCTCCTCAGACCAATAAAAGGGCCAAAAGGAGGGGCTCCAGCTCTAACCTCCACGAGACACACTATTCCCCGTGCGGAGACGGTCTGATGTCTTTGTGGGTCTTATTCTCCCCACGGGGGAACACGATTCATTATCACGGGATCCGTACAGAAGATCCTTCCTACTGCGGGCGGAAGGAGACCAATCAATGAAGAAGACTTCAAGGTACTTGTCTTAGCCAGCAGCATCTTTTCTCACACCTAAGCCGAGGGGACTGTTGGCCGTCTAGACACTTCAAGCCGGTCAGGCTATTCAAAAATACTTGCTTATTCAATGGCTTGGTTATAAGTTATAGAGCACTGGGTAGCCGGCATGATATTGTCTTTCTGTTTCTTTCATCTAGAGGATGTTGCGCAACTCAATACGCTGGGAATCTACATATTGTCCCACGAAGAGCCTAATTGTATTCCTACACCCTCCATTCATCTTCCATATTCTCTCTATATCATGTTTAGTTGCTCCTCCGATGGTGGTGTCCTCAGGCTCGCTGTCATGAGCCACCTGAACTCGCATATAATTTACACGTGCTCTTTCTCCGTAGTTCTCTTCTTCATTCCCGATACCAGAGTTGACAAATCCCCCAACGGAAGGTTGAATGGAAATTCGACCGATAGCAGGATAAGAGCAAAGAATATGTACCATCCCAACAGCGAGACCACAAGCAAAAGCGCCGCACCTGCGTGCTGAAAGACTATAGCGGGCCCGGTTTGGCCATGCGAAACAGCAAAGAAGGAGGCGGATAGGCAAGCAACTGTGACCGGCAGATAGGCAGAATTGTCAGCACTCCGTGTTCGACCTCGGCAGTGTCGCACATTTCACTTGGCCAACTTACAGCAAGGGACCAGAAGCAAAAGAATGCTAAAGAGAACGATATTGGTTCGGATCGAGGCGATTGTATACACGGCGCAGAGAATTGTCATGCCAATGAGGAAGAACGAGAAGGTCGCAAAGAATTGGGGCTCGGTTAGTCCTTCGGAAGGACTCCCAGATGGCGAGTAGATGGCATAGGCGCCATATCCGGGGCAGATCGTTGCTCCCATGGTAAGCCAGAAGCCCCCAAAGGTGCAAAAGACGGTCGAAGGGAATGTGTTTCCTACCGGACAAGCGTTAGACTTTCCACCAAGGAAAAAGGGATAATGACCTACCAATGATCCATTCACCAATGCCCCCAAGAACAAGTAGTAAGCCCCCTAGAAAGAAGTAGGAACCCCTACAGAAAGCCCAGTTTAGTGAGTTACTCCTACAATCATTGCTCCCAAGGAAGCTTACACGTTCGCAGCTCCTGCTATACCGCCGGCACCCTGCCATTCCAGTAGTATCATCGATAGCGGCGTGGTACAAAGAAGGAATCCACCAAGAGCTACAATAATCTCGCATATTAGCTTGGTGCTAATATCAGTTGATGGGGACGGAGGACTCACCAATGGGGGTTGGGTTGCCAAAGGTTTGCCGCAACTCCCCACGAACGGCTGTCTTGGGCGCAAGATACAGCTGCTCGAAGAGTTCCGGAGAAATAGAAAGAGCAGCGGCAGTGTGGACACGATCGATGGCCTCGGCACTTGCCTCTTGATCAGTCTTTCCGGTCCTCTCAGACATTTTGAATACTTAAGATGAAATCGATTGAAAGGAATTGATATTTGAGAGTCAGTAAAAGTGTATGTTGAGACTTGGGAGATGGATCTGGAGTACGTAAATGGAAGAGGAAAACTCTTATAGTTCCCCAGAACTTCCCCGGACTTCCCCAGACTGCTCAGGCCAGACCCAACCTCGCTTGTGCAGGGAGGATGTGACATTTGCCCCTTCAAACTAACATCCCAATCTCCGCTAGTTCCGCAAAGGTTCAAACGACGCAGCAACATCCGTTCGTCCAGGCAATATGTAATGCAGCCACAAAATAGCACACCAGCCAATGTGATTTGCGATATTTGGAATGATTGGATCGGAACACATCCTGACCCACTACGTCTGCCTGCCGATTCAACTAAAATGGGCGGTTGGCACGAAGGTTAGTGTCAGAGGATCGGCGGTCGGAACCGACTTAGGTGACATGCTGAAGAGCTCTGGCCACCTCAGTCGGAGCCGATCATGGCAACACAAACCCAATCATGAAGCCAGGTAGGTACCTTGTGTGAATGTCCTAGGAATATTCATGCGCAAGAAATCACGAATCCGCGCCAACATTGCCCATGGGCTGGTTGCTACTCAAGCCCGATGGCCGATTGAAATAGGTAGTCAAGACACTAAAGTTACTTCATGAGAAAGGGGGACTAACCGAAATCCGTCTGACTCCGAGCGCTGGCGGCGCTGAGGCTTATTGCAAAGAAGCGTTGGATATTTTGATTTTAAACCAATCGGCTTTATAGGGTTTCCAGTCAGAAAGATGGCCAGCACGAGAGCATTTAACCTGTGGACGAGAGGAATGCATACATAACGACTCAAATGTTATAGCTTCGCTTTAGACCATAATGTGATATTTTCATCTAAGCATGCCTTTCGGTGGTGGCCACGGGGGCGTTCTGTAGAGACCTTGTCGTTGCTCTTCTTTCCTTCATGACGCTTTATAACCTTCTTGGAAACTTCAGCTCCCTGTGCCAACCGAGCGGTCCGACTCCCGGTCCGCTCACGACCTGTTTGTCGACGCGTCTTTGACTTCTTCCACTCCTCGACCAACTCACTCATGTTCCCACAATCCTCCTCTGGCACGGCAGTTGGCTTCCACTCCACTGTACATTATAGTTTACCGTCGATCGACTTTTCGCCCACAACTTCTAGTCAAGAGGCAGTGGGAGTCCACGCAACAGAGGTGCAGACAGCAGCAGTCCAGGTATTGGCAAACCCGATGCATACGAGTCATACAGCGACATTTCAGAGGGTGACGCCAGCACACTGGCGCTTAATTACCATGATTCACGGGCTATCCATCGGAGATGTGTTACAGCAAGAAAAGTTTGGTTCAGGGCGTGGCCCCGTGGCAGCATCATGACTGATCAGCAATATCGGAAGACCGCTGGGTTCACCTCAGTGGTATGGTAGAGTAAGCCAGTAGTGATGTCTTGACTGGTAGCAGATGGGTAAGAATTATATGACTCACGAAGATTATAGAGACTGGACCAAGGAAGACATGATGGCCTATCCGTGTGGGCAAGATGGAGGACGATCGAGTTGAGGCGAGGCTCTACGACCTCGTCGCCAAAATTCCGACCTTTATTTCTACCTACGCGCTGCTGCTGTGGCTTAATCCCCCGCCCCCAGTACGTCGGTTAATTTGTTAGTCCCTTGCAGCTTTTCCTGCAACTTTACAGTCGGTTTTGTAGGTCTCGAGGACCCACGCGTCACGGCGACAAAATCTCACCTTGGACCAGGATCTCTTTAATGATCGTATGTATTTCGCGACGCAGCGCACTCACAGTCACCACGGTTTCTGCGTCCCCGCTGAAGATTGTAGAGATTGTAAAGATTGTAATAGGTACATTAAAATAATGACCAGTCAGCCACAGGATTTCCAATTACAGCCCTCCTAGTATTCTATTTGTGCCCTAACATGCTCTAACCTCTGAAGCATAAGCACCTTTTGGAGAGTCAAAAAGCTAGCTAAGTTCCATCTGCCCATAGGCATCAACTAACTGCTCCCATGAGATACCAGGGCCATACATCAATGCTGATACCAATCGGGCATCAAAGAGTGCGCGGTGTGGAAAGCTGTATGTACAGCGATGGGTGATTTCAGCTGCTTTCGTTCCCAAAATATCAGACAAGAAGATGTCGTTCTCCGAATACGTCCTAATCGGGGATTCCAGCTCACGTAAATGTGCAGCAACAACCTTCCTGAAATCGATTATATCTTGATTTTCCTCGGGAGATAGACCAGGAAAAGTGATAAATTCCGGAGAGACAGCTAGGCGCTCTAGGGGAACAATCTGGGCTTGGTCCCAGTCAACAATACCAGTAATGTTGTACTCTTGATCGAAAAGAATATTACCGTAATGGAGGTCAAGGTGGCACAGGGGAAATGGGCCATAGACTCTATCCTCGGCGATTATATGTGATATAGCAGCCTTGAGAATCCAACAAGCTGATATCCATTGCTTATCGCCAACGTGCTGGGCCATGGCCAGCCTGTTTTCCTGTTGCCTTTCATTATAAAACCATTCGAGGGATGTTGATGGTTGCCGACGTGCTTCAGGATCAACAGGAATAATCTCAAGCGACTGGTCGCAATTTTGACCACAATATATTCGACCAAGGGTATCAAACGACAGATTTTCCAGTTGAAATAATATCTCGGCGAACTGAGATGCAACTTTGGGCCGGAAATGAGGTGGGATGGTTTTTGCTAATGACCCTCCAAGAGTTTGACCTGGAAGTGCTTCCGTGAGGGTGTATGGGAACCCAAATTCATTTCCTGATGAAGTAGAAAATGCAAATACACATGGGACTGGTATCTTTGTGTGGGATTTAAGCGTCTTCATTGTTGCGATTTCGCTTAAGATGTCCATGGCCGGCCCTCCACTCTGGGCGTCTTCGATTGGAGAATGTCGTATTCTCGCAAGCCAATATACCTGGTCTGAAAAGGTCACCTCTATGACGACATGATGAGAGCCATACGTAAACTTTTTCGGGTCAATAGTACAGCGGACATCAGGACTGCAAGGCTCTGCTCCAGGTTGGCGGGCTCGCAATGCCACTCCTTGGAGATACTGAAAGTTGGCAATCGTCAGGACGTTAAGGCCTTGTTGATCAAGAGGACTAGGTCCAGGACCCTGATCCCCAAACCCATTCCAATGGTTACTTGCGCGATATGACATGTTGAAGTGTTCTTAATTTTGTCGAGGGGAGGAAGGGGCAGCCGAATGTATCTTAAATTTCTGGTGCTTATTAAAACAGCGTAGGATCCATCATTGCTGCTGTGCCACGTGCGTGCATGTGTTGGTGATGATTAACTAAACCCCTCATCGTGTTCGCTTTTTCATCTGTCGTGATCTCATGCACGCGCATGTTGTTGAACCAAGCCCATACATCCATCAAAGAGGGCATAATGAGGCTCCTAAATACGGAGATAGCCGAGGTCATCGAGGTATACGGAAGCGATATACCGCGATACGCAATCTTGTCCCATACATGGACTGATGGCGAGATCTTGATTCAGGAACTTCAAGACCCCCATTTACGTGATGCAGCATGGAAGGACCTTGCCCGCAAGTTGCCAAAAGATATACGCGAAAATAAAAGGAGAGCTTTTGGCAAGCTTGTTAAGAGCACCATGATTGCTCGTCGAGGCGAGTATGATCATATTTGGATTGATACATGCTGCATCGACAAGTCGAGCAGTGCTGAGCTATCAGAGGCAATTAATTCCATGTACCGCTGGTACGCCGAGGCAGGTATCTGCTACGCGTATTTGGCTGATGTCCCGCCTGCCAGAACCGAGGATATCTTCCAGCAGGGCTCGAAATTTCGACAGAGCCGCTGGTTTACGAGGGGATGGACGCTCCAGGAGTTGATTGCCTCTCCAAATGTCGAGTTTCTGGCCAGTGACTGGACGTATCTTGGAGCAAAGACGGGAGATCTGGATTTTACCAAGCTGTTAGTAGACATCACGGGCATCCAACTCGGGGTACTGACAGGGGAGATGAGTCCTCAAGATGTGAGCGTTGCTGCACGAATGCATTGGGCAGCAGATCGACAGACCACACGTATCGAAGACATCGCTTATTGTCTTCTGGGAATATTCGATGTGAATATGCCCCTGCTTTACGGCGAGGGCAAGAGATCCTTCATCAGATTACAGGAAGCGATTCTAGCAAAGGAAGATGATCAGTCAATATTTGCTTGGCATACGGATTTAGACGACGCTGATGCCACCGGCGGCAAGACCCAGTGGAGTCAAATGAGTGGCCTGTTGGCCGACTCACCCAGCAGATTCTGGGATAAACGCGATATAGAAACTACTATGCCTTTGACTCTCTCAGATGAACCACCAACAGTTACAAGCCGGGGGCTGGGAGTTGGCTTTCTTCTCTTTCCCTGCCCTACAATCCAAATGGTTGAGGCTGATTTTCGAGTTATCTTGAATTGTGAGAGAGTCCGGAAGCGGAGGAGGCAGTCTCCTGTTATCTATCTCAAGAGAATCTGGGGCATGGGCAACCAATTTGCGCGTGTGGGATCACATCTCAAGTCATTCGTGGCCCCCAACATTAGCCTTCTTGACGGTGGTGTCTACGAGCGTGTGTTTGTGAAACAGAATCCCGCTGCAGACATTCGGACAGTCCGGATCATGGCCGCGAAGGAACGCTCCGAGCCACAGCTCCCGAGCAGCATCAGCCAGATTACTGAATGGAAGATCAAGGATGCTTGGCCCAAGCACGGCTGGACAGAGGCGACTCAGACCTTGCAAACTCAGCATTTGACGTTTGGACTGCCATGTGGAATAATTCGCATCGAAGTTCCACAGAATGGGTACTCTGTGACAATGGATGTGGCTATCGGAATGCACGCCCAAAACGAGCGTCTGTACCATAGTTGGTGTCAGATCATGACGGTCAACGCAACATTCCTACCCGAGGGCATGTTTTCATGGGCGACACATGAAGCTCAATCGGGAAACATTGAGTATAAAAACCTTTCTACACATAACTTCGATGGTATCGACGTTAAGCCTTGGGTGTTCGTGACTGAGCAGAACCGAAAGAAGACGCTGGATATCGTGGTACATGTCTTATCAGGCGATACTTCTGTTGGAGGAAATAATAACCACACCCTCGACACCTATAGCCAAATCATACCAGTGGAAACTCTACCTCAAGAAGAACGTATGAACGTACCTGGTGCCGGTAGTCCTGATCTTTTATTAGATCCTTTTTCTGCACAGGGGAATCATGCTTGGGATAGCTGGTCCCGCGGGGTTATTGCGATGATGAAAGAAATTTCAGTTATTGACAATATCGAAACAAGTGTCTTCTCACGGTTGGGCTTCGGCTCGAAAGTACGGATTAAAGCCCAAGATGGCGATGGCATCTCCCACGAGTCTGTGTTGAAGTATTGCTTGTCTGCCCTGCCAGCCAGTGATACCGAGACACCCAAACTCGTGCATGTTCTTCGTGGAGAGAATCAAGCAGACATGGAGAACTGTATCGAAGCGGCCAAAGTTTTGGAGAGTAAGCCGGACTCCTTCCTTCAGCTCCGACCTATTCAATGGGCAATTTTAGGTGGCAACCTGGACGTTGTAAGCACACTAGTTGATGCGGGCATTGACTTTCGTGGCAAGTCCGATAGACGTCTCACAAGTCTCCATCTCGCCCTTCTTCTTCCCAACCCAACAATATTCCACTATATTTGTGGCGTAATACAGGGGGTCTCACCACCAGTTCCAGTCTCTGATGCTTCCCTATCCACCTTTACCGAAACTGCTCCGGCTGTTGATTATTACGAGCCAACTGCCATTAATCTTGACCGACCCATACACTTTGCTGCTTCCTACGCATCATCCCCCGCATTTTGGGAAAAACATAGATTTAATGTGTGGGAACCCAGACTTGATATATGGGATGACATTCGACGTGAAAACAGACTTGGGGAGAGACCTATTCACAGGGCTGCCGCCATGGGTAACATGGCTGCTCTTGAATTCATTCTCGGCCACGAGGAATCCTCGATAATGAATCAATGCAATATAGCTGACGATCAAGGGAGGACAGCACTTTGGCATGCAGCATGCTGCGATCACTCAGGATCTATCACGGCAATGTTGCTTTCGCATGGTGCCAGTCCTGATTTTCCCTGCGAAGATGGTCTTGCCCCGATTCACGTAGCTTGTCGCCAAGGCACAGCAGGCTGTCTGAAAGAATTAATTTCGAACGGAGTGAGCCCCGCTCTTCCCACAGCAACCAATATTTTGCCTGCTCATTTCGCTGCGATATTTGGTCACCAAGCTTGTTTGGAGGTATTGTTGGCCCATAATGCTCCCATGAAATCCTATGTAAAGGACATCACCAATATCCAGCAACTTTCCGCATTCCACCTAGCTGTTGCCAACGGAAAGGAAGCATGTGCTCGATCTATTTGGAATTCATCATCGTTTAGCAAAGACGAATTGAAGTTGCGAGAATGGAAGCTCTGTGTCTTAGCCGAACCGTCAGGTCCTAAAATTCGCTCCATGTACATTGAAATCACTGACAAGCACTGGTTTGCGAGTGAGCAACCTAAGATAGATTGGGGAACAAATATAGGTGTGGGGGACTGGGGAACTTCTATCATGTGATTACACGGTATCTCTTTCAATATTCTATTAGCTATTGATTGCAATATAGCTTTATAGTTCGAAGTTCGCAATCCTCGCCTACGTTTTCGAGGTTACGGGCGTCAGCGTTATTATGATATTATGTTTCCTGCTGTGAACATAAACAATACTTCTGTTAAAAAGGGGACGATCGCAATGGCAAAGCATCAACAGACGGATTGGGTATTTTTAAGTATGAGATAATAATACCTCCAAAGCGCTGAGACTATCTATCTAATATGATTACGAACTAGAAATCTAAGCTGTGTCCTCAGGAGTTGCTACCCGTATCACCTTGGTTGGATTCAAATGCCAGCCGCTTTGCGCTTTTCCATCAGCTTGAGAAGCGCAAACGGATCCACAAACTCAACGACCCTCTTGATAGCTGATCCATCCTCATTAAAGTCAAAAAACCATGTTAATTCCATAGACGTCGCGTCACCATCCTTGAATTCTAGATCCAAGACGCTCGTGGCCGCCGACTTTCGGCTCTCGGAATCAATGACCACGTTGGACATGGCGTGTCTCTTCATTCGAGCGACGGTGATGTCACCGACCAGTACTTGTTCGTACTCTGCGTTGTTGAGGGCATTGCCAGGGCCACGGGCTTTGAAAAAGGACTCTGGCAGCATAGTGCGAGAGCAGTCCGGTGTCAAAGTGCGACTCAATGGGCTGGTGCTATTGGCGGCCGAGCTGTCTTCGTATGACAGGAAGAAGTCCCGCATAGTAGCCTCGATGGCTCTCTTAATGGTGCCAAGGTTGGCCATGTCTGCTGTAGCAATGATATATTATTGGAGAATTTTGTTGACTGTTCTAGCTGCGATTTCGTAAATTGGAATGCGTCAGTTCGGAATGGGATGGTTTCGTTCGTTATTAAATATGCTGAGCTCTGTTCTCGGATGAAGCGGACCATACCTATATAGTTACATGCCCTATTACCCCACATAGCCGACCCAGTTTCATGAAGATCAGATATAGCTCCAATCATATCGCCCTCCGCATTCCAAAACAGACATAGCAATCTCTTAGCTGTAGGGGTGAATACGACTTATCGGCTTATTGATTTATTCATAAGCGGAATACCTACTGTTGGACGGAGGCATCGTGGAGTTCAGACCCGCTTACTAAAGAGCTGAGGTCTATTTTGATAAAAGTATTGGACCAAAATATCATAGAGTTCAAACCCGCTGACTAAAGAACTGAGATCTATTTTGATAATAAGTATTACCGTATAAATTTGCGAAATTCGGGCGAGACAAGCCCCGCTAAATTGAGTGCAGCTGTGAATCGGTTTCCTCTGCTTACAGCACTGTGAACAGATCCTGGCCCATATTTTACCACAACTGGTTTAGAAGCTCACCGAAAGCTATGATTTAAATCATAGGGCTTGTCTCGCTCGAATTTTATGAATTTATACAGTAGACCGAGGTGTTAAAGAGCTAAAGATTTATTTTAATAAAAAGAACTTATTGATCTTATGCTACGAGCAACGGTCCGAAAGAAAAATGTAATTTAAGTTATATATTATTTAATCTTAGAATATATCTTTTATATCTAATAAAATCTCTAAAAAAAAAATTATTTATATAATATAATAGTTAGTAATTTATAATATTATTTATTTTAAAAGAATAAGTATTTTCTTAAAAAAAATAATTATAAAAATAATAAAAAAGAAAATATTACATATTCTATATTTAATAATTTAGTGATCTTGTAGGTGAATAAAAAAAGGTCAGAGACTGGTGTAATAATGTTGATAGGTGGGATGTCCTGAGCAGGTTGATCTCTTCAATATTTCTCGAAGAACTCGTCGGTGTTTTATATTATTTTCTTAGATACGTCTTTATACCACTACTCTTATATCTATATCACATGAAGAAAGCTCGCTTGGTTCGCGAACGGGTTTCTTCATGGGATATGATCCAGGCGACCCAAAATAGACATGAAATAGGTCTTTGGGGTTATTATTGGTTTCCGCTGGTGCCACTAAGTCAAGCAGGAAGTAGCCGGAGCCGTCGTGTACATCGACAGCATGCCCAAAGGCGCATGTGCTAATATGTACTGTTATGCAGGAAAATTTCCCCACGCATCATGACAAGGTGCAGGCTTTATTTTCCACTCAAAATAGACATCACCGCTTCTAGGGACTGCTGAGACTAGATACAAAGTGAAACTACTGAAGAACTGTCTGAGCTATTTGCCCAACTCTGGTCTATTTCTTCTTCCCAGCGGTAGACTGTAACCACTAAGATACCCTGCCAACATATTTAATAATGTAAGTTTGTGCAGTAATATGCATCCTTCAGGTGCAGGATCGGAGGGTGAAGTCGTCCCAAAGACTAGGGAACCCTGTAAACAACGGATAATCAGAACCAAGAAGTGAAATACAGGATCTACAACAGAAAAGGCGCACAGGGGCACCCACAACGCGATGGCAGTCATTATGCGGCTAAACGAAAAGCGGTGTATGCTGACGAGGGGATTTCCAAGCAGTAGAGCCTTCTTGTTAACATATCCCGTGAGTATTCAGATATTGGGCACGATTAACATCGCTTCATTATCTTCTAAGTGACAACAGTGAAACTTGTTGTCGGCGGCGTAGTCGAACCACTAGCTGTTGATCAACAAGAGGAATGACCAATATGGGTTCTTTGATAATGTAATTCAGACAAGCTCCAGACCTGGGCAGGAATCAGTTGGACAGTGTTCGGAATTTGTTGAAAATTAATTCCGTCCGCCAACGTGCTACACCGGAAGACAACTTATGGGAACGAGAAGTAAACTCTCCCATAACAGGGAATCACGCCTGAGAAATTCGCGACAGCTGGGGACATTTCTCGCTTGAAGCACTAAGGAGTATGTCTTAGATGACGTATCGCTGTAGCCTTGGGCTACCAGAGTTTGTTTTTGCCGTTCGTATTCATCGTGCTGAGATGTTGGATCGACCATCTTCCATTGCTATCTTTACATTGTAACCGAAGTCTTATCCGTCTTAAATGCCGTGACAGCCAGCACCCAGGATAATGTGTCATGTATTTCAAATCCTTCAGCATTGCTCCGTTTAATATTGAGCCAACGATGCGTTTGGCTAGTTCGGATGAGTAGAAGTACATGTTCATGCGTGCTAAAGGATAACGTACCCAGACTATTTTTGGCGACGTAAGCCTCAAGCGAGCTATCACCATAGAGTTCCAAACTAACCTCCAAGTGACGTAAGCTTCGGGGAGTAGTTTCAGCCTTACGGCGGATTAGAATTTACCGACGACGTTTATTTACGTCTACCTAGTAAGGTATTAAAAACCATTGGCTTGCTCCGTTGTGCACTGGTCACACCATTCGAGGATTACCTTACCACTAAGGATCGTGAAAGATGGCAACCTCTCCACCCTATCATCACCTCCAGGACAAGAGAATCATCGTCGCCGGGGCTGGGATCGGTGGCCTGGCATTCGTTGTTGCTCTTCACCACCAATGGATCACGTCCCCGCTCTACTCGGCCGGCAAGTTCCCCAGCATCTTCATCTGTGACCGTGATCCCAAGCAAGTTAGCCAGGAACGCGAGGGCTACTCTCTGTCCCTCAATGGCCTAGATATCAACGGCGGCTTGGTGGCCCTTCATGATGTCGGCCTTCTTGATGCTGCGTTGAAATGCTCCTTGCTAGGAACAGACAGTACGAATTCCTTTCGCATGTGGGACGCAGAGTGGAATGAATTACTGCGAGTGACCCGCAAGCCTCACGACGGGCTGCCCACTGCTGGCATTAGGATCAGGCGCATGGACCTACGGAATATCTTGATTGAAGCAGCAGAGAAGATCACCGAAATCCATTGGGGCACTAGTTGTACTTCTGCCAAACAACTTGATGATGGTCGAGTACAGGTCACGCTATCAGCCACAGAAGTCGGAACCAGACTGGAAGAATGTGACCTCTTGGTTGCCGCAGATGGTGCTCATAGCAAGATCCGTGCATCAGTTCGCCCCGAAGATGAGCTGAACTACCAAGGCGTCGTCCAGATCGGAGGAATCGGTCAATTCCCGGATGGGAACCTGCCCGAACCAATCAATGAAACCTGGGGTATGGCCGTCTCCGGGCAAGGGGTCGGATGCTTCATGTCCCCTGTGGACAAAACCAGTGCTGTCTGGGCAATAAGCCGCGAAGAGCCAGAGCCCCGGCAAAAGCCTATGGGCGATGGTGATAAGCAGGCGGCCCTTGAAGAGGCAAAGGAGATCGGACACATGTTGAACGGGCCTTTCCCGAAAATGATTCAGGCAACAGATCCTTCCACAATGTTCGTGATCCCTGCTCGTGATAAGCAGCCCTTTGTCCACGACGTCAATGGTCTCACAAGAATTGTATTCATTGGTGACAGTAACCACGCTGTCAGCCCATTTGCTGGGAATGGGGCCAATTTGGCTCTTAAAGACGGTTGGGATTTAGCAGTCAAATTGTGGGAGCACTCGACAGTACGCGAGGCAGCTGAATCATACGATAAACTTGCGTTTCCAAGGGCTATGACTACGTTGAAATCTTCACACCAGAGGATGGGTATAGCCCATGCTACGGGTCTCAAATTCCAGGTAATGCGAGTTGCTTTCGGAGCCGGGAATTGGCTCATGTGGCTCTTCGGCATCTGAGAAACCACCTTACCTGTGCTAGATTCCCCTCCTTGTGTCTTAGTTTAGTCTTAACATTACCCTACTCTTATAATAATATGGTCTGTATATAATCAATCGAATTTAAGCTACGCTGTTCATATGGCAATCTATGCCGCGCTGAGTCTGTCTCAGCTTGCCAATTCTGTCCAATCAATCATGCTTCTCGCTCTCAGGACAGGTGATACTGCTTGTCATATTGATTGATTTCTATTAATGTACCTGGATGACCAATGCAGTGGACGTCCATGTCGATCGCAGAGAATCTGCCCTGATTAGCAAGACCACCCAACTCTATCGGTCGACTTCGAAATGGCATAGTTATGTCTAAAATAAACGTGGCGTGCATCGTTCGTGAAACCTGGGCTTTACAGTAGGCTAAGCACATGTTAGCCCAAGTATCAGGAACGACACAAGCCGCGATTAAAATAAGCAACAGAGATGTTTCAATGATCTCTTCGCGTGATGATGATCCGAGCAACGCTACCCCGTGATTTCGCTCTACATTAATTGGCCCGCTCTCAAATAGCCCGACGCCGAGTTGAGAAGTTGTTGAGTTACTGCACCAATGGGATAATATGGCGGGTGATATCCTCTGGGTCAAAAGCGGCAAAAATAAGTGACGGAAGCCAAGAAAACTGCGCTCAGAATAATATATCAGAGTTGGGATCAGTGGAAATGTTCTAGTTGATTCCCACAATAAAGCCGGAAACGTACCGGGAATCAGGCACACGCAATGGTATCCTTTAAACGCAAGATCCTGGCCGTTGCTGCAGCCACCCTTGTCGTCCCTGCCATTGCGACTCTGAGTGCCGTTGAGAACTCTACCCACTACACGCTTCGAAATGACAGACTTCAGGTCGCGGTAGCCAAGTCCAATGGCGCGGTAGTCGATCTATTTCTAGATGGCCAGGACTTGCTCGGTCCGGTCTCTGGCAACACCGGCAAGGGTCCTTATCTCGACTGTTCGTGTACTCCTTCGGGATTCTGGACACCCGGAGGCTCTGCAAAGTTTCAGCTTATCGAGGGAGTTGACTCGACGGGAACAGGTTATGGGGGAATTGTCATGGGCGACACTTTTGCGCAGACGAATCAAAGCCTGTACCAGTACTGGTTTCTAAGAGAAGGGGAAACTGGGCTGCACATGTTCTCGCGGGTCACGTATTTCAACGAAGCGACGCCTTTTCTTCGAGGCTTGGGGGAATTGCGTACACTCTTCCGTCCTAATACTGCTCTTTGGACGCACCTCTCCAGTGGTGATGGCCATTGGGCGCCCATTCCATCCAAGGAGGCATACTCCAAGGCCGTCACTGTCCAAGATGCCACGAGCTATCTCGGAAACACACCCACAGACAACTATGTCTCACAATACTCGGATTACTTTACCAAATATAGCTTTGCAGAGGTCTACAGAGATCACAAAGTCCACGGTCAATACTCGGATGGCTCAACTAGTGATGACGGCAGCACCTTTGGTGCGTGGCTGGTGCTGAACACAAAAGAAAGCTACTACGGTGGTCCGCTACATTCCGACTTGGTTGTCGACGGGATTGTTTACAACTATATCGTCTCGGGCCATCATGGTGCCCCCGTCCCGAATATCACTCATGGGTTCGACCGCACGTTTGGACCGCAATTCTATTACTTCAACAAGGGAGATTCCGGGACGCCGTTGGAGTCTCTGCGGGCTGATGCCGCCCAGTACGCCGACCCGAAATGGAATGCTGAGTTCTACGATAGTATCGCTCAGCATGTCCCCAACCTCGTGCCATCTGCGAAAAGAACGACGTTCAAGGCCAATATCAAGCTACCCAGCAATTCTAAGCGACCTATTGCCGTCCTTTCGGAGAATGACCAAGACTTTCAGCTGAATGTTTTTGACACGCGGTCGTTTCAATATTGGGCGGACGTGGACAAAGCGACAGGTCATGTAGAAATCCCTCGTGTCGTGGAAGGGACATACCGCTTGACCGTGTATGCAGATGGAGTTTTTGGCTGGTACATTCAGGACGACGTTGCAATTTCCCGAGCGGATGCCGATGAGTTCAGCATTGAGTGGGTAGAGGAATCAGCCGGCAAAGAGGTTTGGCGAATCGGCGATCCAGACAAGTCGGCAGGCGAATACCGTCATGGCTATCAACTCGATACTTCTAAGCCTCTCCAGCCTCCAGAGTATCGAAATTACTGGGGAAACTGGGACTTCGTCGACGATTTCCCCGAGGGCGTCAACTTCCATGTTGGGAAGAGCAGCGAGGAACTGGGTCTGAATTACATCCACTGGAGCGCGTTCGGTGGCCGAGCGGACTACGTAAGGCCGGTCCCTGTGTACGAAAACGTGAACAACTGGACCATCACCTTTGACCTAGAGGAGGGTCAACTTGAGGGAGCCAAGCTTGGGACGCTGACGGTCCAGATCGCAGGGACCAAGACAGCAAACGGGAACGACAAATGGGGAGGCAACTTTCACCGATGGAGCAATCTCCCATACACGGTCAATCTGAACAACAAGGACGAGCAGACTTGGGTCATACCGTACTGGAGAAGCGGATCTTGTGGAGTGCGGAGCAGCGTGGTGTGTCAAAACATTGAGCACAAGTTTGTTTTTGACGCGGACCAGTTTCAGCCGGGGAGAAACGAGCTTGTTTTGAGTTTGCCATTTAACGCGACAACCGAAGAGAGTGCACTGCTGCCCGGATCTGTTTATGTACAGTACGATGCCTTGAGACTTGAGCTGGGCTAGAAGCAACAACGTTTCGAGGTAGGATGGAGGAGATGATTGATGATTCGGTAGAGTTTAAGTATTAGTTTGTGACTCATTGACCATGGGCTCATGCAAGCTTATATTTAGATTTTGTGCAGGTTCGAAGACACTTGGGCTACCCTGTGCCCCAATGGTAGGACTAGCAGAGCTCTCTGCACCACAACTAGCGAAGGTACTTTAGCTTTGGAGGGGTATTTTGCCGTAAGTGGAGTTAAGTAATAAGTAATAAGGTTAATAGATACCTAGATACGAGGGATATCAAAGCACGCAAAGCCAGAGCACAGCCGTAAAACGGTGCAGTTTCACTGCCAATTGTTTCTTCGAAGCCAAATACTGGAACTGACTTGGTCGAAAAACATAACAATTGAGAACAATTATTGTGGATGCTAAGAATGACGTTAATGAGGTGAGAGCTTTGAGACTGCTTGATGAGAGATGGCAGCAGCAGCCAGCACTCGTCTGCACATGCGGGAAGATTTGAACGCGCTGCTCAGTTGACAAAACGCGGTCTGACGCGTCAAATCTTGCAGCTGTCACGAGAATCGGGGCAGGCAGACATAGAGTACCGTGGCCGCGCTCTCGAGTTAGGTACTTCGCCGTTGGTGCAACTCTGTGTGTTCCGCCATGTATCTTTCTCACTTGCACGCTCGAGGGAACACCCTGCAAGACTTTATGTTTATGTTGTAAAGTAAGGTACAATCGCATGAACTTCTTCTTTACCAACCACGCGCTGAGCGAATAAGTGTCAGTTTTGGCTACCACAACAATTTTTTCTCACTTGGTCAGCATCCGAGCAATGAGCATCTACTCCCGCATATTCTCCAAAATGGACGATCCGGAACAGGAAGCTAAAGAAGCCGATGATGAGCAGGTCTTGGTGATCAAGGGCTCATCCTACCCCCTCTCCCGATTTTCAGCCAACTATCTCAGCCACATCATCAAGAAGGATGTTCCTGACAAACGTATCTTTCTGAGGTCCCTGCCCATTCCGCCGATTGAGGTTCTGTATCACGAACTGGGTTTTGGCAAAGAGCGCGCTCTCGATGGGACGCTTTCTAGCCACGTTCACAGAAGTGCTTTCCGCATGGTCTTGCAAATATTCAGAAAGGACAGATTCACAGGCGACTCCCAAGTCCCGACTCAAATTGCTGATTGGCACTCGCCAACATGCTTCTCAAAATTTGAAGGTTTGGCTTCCGAGTTTCTCGACCGATATGGGATACAATTTTGGGGTAACGGGGACTCTAAGGAAGTCCGTAATGGTATGACCATGGCTAAGCATCAAGACCTGTGAGTGAATCCTTCCCCCCGTGTGCCTGGCGTACATTCTGACTTTGTTGCTCTTAGCATCCATTTCCTAATAGCCCAAATTCTATTTCGGTCTGTTGTGACGGGGAAGACTTACCGCAAGTCAAGCGTGACGACTTGTAACCCGGCGACGAATCCCGGCTTACCAGAAAGCAACCTAAGCACAAGCCAGGAAATGGTGCTTTCTCCGAGGAAGCTTACCCAGCGTCCCAGTGGTGACGTTTTTGGAGCTTCCAAGGTCCAAGAAGGGAGCCAACCTGCACCCCAGGATACAACACTGGCCATCTCTCCCCGCAAGCCCTCAACAGTTGCTGCCTCAGCCAACCCAAGCCCGCTCGCACGAAAACGCCCCCGACCATCCAGCACCGAGGACAGACCAGACGATCATCGGCCTCGTGCTGCCTTTTGGTACCGCGTAGTCTACTCTCGAAGCCCTTACAGTGTCGAAATCTGGAAGCCGCGCAAGAGTTTGCATGATATGTCCCTGTCGGAGCTCAAGGCAGATCTCCCTTCAGAAGTGGGAAGCTCGACTCGCAAGCTTGTTCTCCATTTGACTGGCCCCGACTTGTGCTTGAAGAGTAGACTGGATCTTACGGATGAGGAGGCTTTTGCCTACGTGAAAGGACAGATGAGGATGTTGGTCGAGCCCATCGTTGCGCAGTATCAACAAAAAAACAAGAATGCCGTTTTCGACGTTGAAATTGAGGTCATGTCAGACGAGTGATATTCAGAAGACACACTGTTACTCCCCTACCCGTTTACCAAAGTGTCAGATAAAAAAAGACATGTAAAAAAAGTCCAGAGCAAGGAACTGAGAAGGCTTGGTAAAGAAGGAAGAGCGAGATGCTACAAAGACCTTGACAATGTAATACGCAGCTTGTAGGAGTAGCTAATGTAACTTAGAGAGGTATGCTAATTACATGGCCAGGGGGTGATACTCTTTGACCGTGGACCAGCAACCGGGTGATATTGGAGATGAGACACCTAATTATTGTGCCTCTTTGTAGCCATCAAATGCTGCAATAAAGATACAATAACCCCTACAAAGGTACATTAATCCTTTTATTGGCTTCTAAATAATATTAAAGTCCTTTTTTGGTCTTTTCTAAGGAAATTTACAATCAAGTTGTGGTGAACACAATACAGAACCTCTCCAAATATGGACGCTTGAAGTACCGGTTTGGTGTCTCATCTCTTATGTCACCCACTTGACCAGTTCTTGCGGCTTTGAGCTCTAATATGCTGTCATCTCATGCAAACTAGCAGGCATCGGAGCGGTCTAGCAACCCGGAGTTTTTCTACACTCCAGGCTTCAGCCTGGGATTTGTTAGGCAACAGGCCATGCCTTCTTTTGGCGGATCCACAGCATCCATGAATGTTTCGTGATTGGCCATGCATGAGGCCTAAACTCTGACAATGCTGGTCGATCCGTAAGCGCAAGGCGTAGGACTGGAAGGCAAGGCATTGAGGGGCCAACTCAGACCGACTGGGCTGCGCCACGAAGATATTTACTTCAAGCAGTTCCCTCTACCTTGTCAGTTTCAAAGGCCTATATTCGGCATCAGCTGGAGTTTTCCGACATAGCTGGACTATAACTGCTATTTGTCAAACATCTTCTGGGAGCATAACTGGACCCTACTACTCCAGCCCTCAGATCGGTGTCAGGGATGTCGCCAGCCAACGGTCAAACTCAGGGAGAGCCCGGGGCTAAAATAATCTCTTCGGACCATGAAGACGCCGTGATCATAGGTCGCGATGATGTGAGTGACTTCAATGAGGAGAACATCCTCCCTCAACCCGCCCATGTCCAAGAGGCCATACGAAGCTGGCTCAAACCCACCTCTTACGACGCCGAAAATGGAGAATACAAGAAACACCTGGCTTCCTACCTCCCAGGCACCGGAGAGTGGCTGCTGGAGTCGCCCACATTCCGTGAATGGCACCAAAGCCAGAACCAAGGAATGCTCTGGATAAAGGGGATCCCGGGCTCTGGCAAGTCCGTGATCGCGAGTTCTCTAGTAAACCATCTGTCCAAAGAGGGCGCACCGGTGCTCTACTTCTTCTTCCGCCAAATCATCGACGCCAATCACAAGCCTGACGCCTTGCTTCGCGACTGGCTCGCGCAGTTGCTCAGCTACAGCCCTCCACTGCAGGCCCGGCTCAAGGAATCTGTCGACAAGCGCCAGTCGCTGAGCGGCGTGTCCATGGCCACTATGTGGCAGGACATCAAGAGTGCAGTGGCCTATATTCCCAAGGTGTATTGTGTTGTCGATGCGCTGGACGAGATGGACAGCAACCAGGATGCTTTCCTACAGGCCTTAGCTGAGCTTGGAAGATGGCGCCCGTCTCGCCTCAAAATAATCATCACCAGCCGCCCTGTGCCCAAGGTAGAACGGCCATTGCGGCAGGAGCCAATCTTGCATATCAGACTTGATGAGAAGCATGTCGATGAGGATATCGCCAACTACGTCGCTCATCATTTGGATAAGACGTCAAAGCTTCTCACCCCAGAACAAAAGCAGATCATCAAGCGCGCAGTTCCAGGACGCGCCAATGGTCTGTTTCTGTATGCCAAATTGGCCATGGACGCCTTTTTGGAAGAGAATGCCGACGTGGAAGAGGTGCTGAAAACACTGCCGCTGGATTTGAACGTCATGTATACGGACTTGCTCCGCGAACATGCGCGGCGATCTGGCGTTCCTCACGACCTTCAGCTTCTAATCCTGTCATTTGTCACACATGCCTCGCGTCCGCTGCGACTCCTTGAGATTGCTGAGATGATCAGAGTCACCGAAGAGGCACAGGCCAAAGCGATTGGCAGCCTGGAAGCGCTTAAGGACCTCGTTAGAGCGGCTTGCGGTCCCTTGCTCGAGATTCTCCCCGACGAGACCGTCTGCGTCATTCATCACTCTTTCACTGAATTCTTGAATGGTTCGACTCGCACCGCCGAGTCTAGTGGCGATGCTTATCCCATCTTGGAGATGAATTCTACACACAATCGGCTATCGTTATGCTGTCTATCGTATCTCCTCTCCGGCTGCCTGCAAAAGGTCAAGCTACCCGATGACGATGACTACGAGTCGGATAGTGAATGGGGTGATCACTATTATGTGATGCCTACTGTCAATAAAGAGCTCCGGCTGAATTATCCATTTCTCGCATACAGTATGCACAACTGGCATGTTCATGGAAGGAAGTCCAACGACAGTGGCCCTTTCTCGGATGAGCTTTATGACGCCACCTACACAATCCTGTCCGAGGAGAACTATACACCTCTTTCAGTGCTGGTTGACAACGGCGGTAGCAAGAGGGAGCATCTGCACACCGCTGCCTTGCTAGGGTTGAGCCAGTACCTGACCAAATTTGTCCAGGAGAATAGCATTGATGTGAATTCACTTGACAAGGGCGGCGAAGCTGCCATCTTTTACGCCGCCAACGCAGGGCATGCGAGTGTTGCCAAAGTGCTGCTAGGCTTTGGCGCAAATCCAGACGAGCCGTCCAATTATGATGGCAAAAGGCCTCTTCACAAAGCCGCCGAGAGGGATCACGGGGAAGTTGTGACCTTGCTTTTGGAAGCAGGCGTAGATCCTTTGACAAAAAAGACGAAATGCGATCCGGGGCTCATGTGCGGCGACCCATACAGATATATCGGACACACCCCGTTGATGTATGCTATGTGCGCTGGGAATACCTCGGCAGCCAGGGCGTTCCTCCCCTTCCTTAACACTGCCGAGATGGCTAGCAGGGCGTTGGGGTGGGCGGTGGGAAGTAGGAACGAACACTCGCGGGGTTGTCCTGGGATTCTTGATGAACTACTCCAACACCCACTCGTCGATGTTAATCGTTTGGTCCGTGGGGAAACACCACTCTATATTGCGTCCCGAACTCCCAACACCAAACTTGTCATCACTTTGCTAAAAGCCGGGGCAGACCCGAGTATCTTGTCCTCCTCACAAGGGGAGGAATTTTGTCGAGAGAGTAATCGCCGACGAATGGCGGAGAAGCGCAAGAATAAGAACCAGACCGCTTTGCACGGCATCTGCGGCGCAGCACGCCGTTACATCATGAGCTCTCAGGACAAAGATGAGGAGCCGGAGCTCTTGCAAGAGTGTGTATCCTTGATGCTTAAGGCTGGAGTCGACATCAACGCCAAGGACAGAAAGGGCTGCACGGCTTTACACTACGCTGTTCGATGGTGGCCAACTCTTGTCCGGGCCCTAGTCAATGCTGGGGCGGATTCCAATATTATGAGTGATGATGGAAGTAGTCCTCTACATGCATGTCAGTCGATTGAGAGTTTCCGGATATTGGTCGAAGACGGTAAAGCAGACATCAACCATCAGAGGGAGTCGGATGGCAAAACTCCCATAATGATGATGACTGACATGTACAACAAGCCAAAAGGCTTCTACTCAGATTTGATCCGTCTACATGTTGACTTGGGGGCAGACCTAACAATAACCGCACATGATGGTCATGGAGTTTTACATGACTGGATATCTCGGTCACCGGACCTGAGCGTTGAACACGAAGTTGAAACCCTGGACATGCTACTATCATCAGGAATCCAGCTCAACAATACGGACAAGCAGGGAAAGACCGTGATGCATTCTCTGAGGGGTTTAGGGAGTGGCTTGGATCTGACACTGAAACTGGTTGCTGCAGGAGCAGACCTGAATATCAGAGATAAACTGGGGCGTATTCCGCTGTACTACTTTGTCCAGGATGCCCAAAGGAATCTGAACAAGGAAAAGTTTGTTGCAGCACTCGAAAAGCTGATCTCTATTGGGGCAGAGCTTGATGCTGTTGACTATCAGGGTCGCAATCTTCTCTTCGCCTTCATGAACGTCGGCCAATTTGGGCGAGACACGATGACAGTTATCCAGGAGCTAGTCGACCGAGGACTCGATCCAAAAGCCATAGACTACCAAGGAAACACACTGTTCCACGAAATAGTAGGACAGACGACCAGGGACTTTGATAGCCGTTATCTGGAGACGCCCCTGACACTGGGTGTTGACCCTGACCAGCCGAACTTCACAGGTCAATCTGCCCTGCATTTTATGGTTGCCCCTAGGAACCAGGACAGTGCCAAAGGGCTGCATCATTTCAAGCATTTTGATATACAAGACATGAACGGTATACGCCCTCTTCATGTGGCAATTCAGTCCTCCGAGGTTCTTGTACACGCACTTCTCTCAAATGGAGCCAGCCCGACCGAGCCCACTGAGGAGGGAGTGACTCCTTTGCATGTCGCTGCCCGTTTCAGGAAGCCGGACATTGTTGGCCTACTTCTCGAAGCCATCGAGGCCAAGTTGGGGAAGCAGGGCTTAGTCGATCATCTGAACACATTTCATAGCCAACGCACACCCACAGCTCTTCACTTGGCCTGCCGCTCTGGTGTCCCCGAGACGGTTTCTCTTCTGCTTGCTGCAGAGGCGGATCCGAACGCAAAAACCAGCCACGTCGGAACGCCACTGGAATGGTGTATTCAATATGAGGCGGAGAAAGCTCTGTGGAAGTCTGACGAAGATAATTATTCCTCGCCAAATGGTTCTTCCCCAGATCGCACTGGATTTGGTCCCCCACGTGGAATCAGCATTGATGATGATACACGGAATAAGTTGGAGAAAGATGACCAATGTTCCACTCAGTTGGAGAAGATTTTATCTTTGCTGCTTGCCCATGGAGCCGATATGACGTCCCAAACGGACAAAGGGTTAACAGAACTTGACCAGGCAATTATCAAATGTGAGAGCTCCCACGACTACACTATTGATTGTCTGGTGCGTCTACGTCAGTCCATTGCGCATGGCAATACTGATGATATACTCGCCACTGCTACCAAACAAGACATAAAGACATATGTCCATTCGTTGATTGATAATCCACAAGGGTTCTCATTGGATGTTGTGAATAAGATCGTTACAAGCATTTCAAGACGATTAGCTGCCCACGAAGCTTTTCTGCAGGTCGCACCATGGAGAAAATTCCAGACATCTGAATTGGATGTCAGGGCGTTTGTTGCGTTCCTTAGGGATTTGATGGAACAACATGATTGGGACTCGGTAAAACATGTCTTGCGCCAAGAACCACGTATCTTGGATACAGAGTCTGGAGGAGACATCCTATCTAAGCTTGTGAAGTTTGGCATGGAATCCATCGTTGGCGCAGCGGTCACGCGAGAGGAAATCCTCCAACTACAAAATGATAGAGACGAGGGCATTAGGCAATCTAAGCAGAAGGGCAAGAAACTACTAGCCCGTCGCCTAACATCATTCTATCCGCTTTGTTCCGCCTGTGAATCTCCGGCAGGAAATATGCCGATGGTTCGATATCTTGTGGAGGAACTGGGCGTGGATATCAATGATGGGTTTTACAGCTGGCCCAGCTACCGTCAGAACGTCGTCGAGTACGAGAAGGTCAACGACGCCGTTAATAAATGTTGCAGCGGAGACCATTGGTGGCAAGTTGCAGAGGCCCTGCCGTATCTCCTCAAGCATGGCCCCAACCTTGAGGCGCGCGATGTCTGTGGCCGGACTACCCTCCTCTGGGCTCTCGGCTGTTCATCGAACTACAAGCTCCGGATTATAAAGACACTCATAGAAGCTGGAGCCGACGTCAACGCGGTTGATAGCAGCGGCCGCAATTGTTTATCCACTGCGGGCAACGACATCGATCTGACGCTACTGCTCCTCAAGCACGGGGCAGCCGGTTCTACCGAAGCCCTTACCAGCTCGATACAAAATTGCAACATCCCCGTTCTACAGGCGCTTCTCGATGCAGGTGCTAACCCGAACCAGTTCCAAGCACCGCCAGAGGGATTGCCTTCTATCGGCGCCGGATGGATATCAGCCACGCAGTCTCAACTTCCCCCGGTTTTCTTGGCCGCGATGCACCGTAAGATTGTCGGATATGGGAGCACAAAGAGCAACTCTGCACCCGAGTCCATGGTCAAAGTTTTACTTGACCATGGTGCAAACCCATTCACTACATTTGTTAAGCGTAGCGAGCCCCAGGACGACGACTACATGACCGAAGTTACGGTCCTCCACCAACTCCTGCGAGAAGGTGGTGCAAGCCGCTTGTTCTTGGACATGCCCGATCTTGATCTTGAGTACCAGAATCAGGAAGGTATGACATTGCTTCTCGCGGCATGTAGCAGCAGAGCCGACCCAGATGTGCCTATTGAGGATGTGTATGGGGACTCTAGAAGAAACATTACCGAGGTGGTAGCCAACGACGAGCCAGAGGCTGGAGGTCCTACCATCATTGAGAAATTGTTAGAACGGGGGGCAGCCATTACGGCCCAGGATAACCGACAAAGGAATGCCCTTCATCTCATTCTTAGCGTTCCCTCTTTTACCGGCTACAAATCCCTGCGCCTGATTCTCTCAAAAGCACCTGAGTTGCTGCACCAAACTGATATTGACGGACTGAGTCCGTTCCATTATGCGCTTCGGCGGACACCACCGGCCCAATTATTCGGGCAGTTTGGTGTTGACACAAAGGCCATCGAGATTCTCCTCGAAGCTGGGGCTGATCCGAAAGTACCAGATCCAAACCGTAACTCGGCGCTTCATCATGTTGGAAAGTTCCTTGCCTGCGACGGACGCATTGAAGGCCAAATAGACAAGCCACGGCAACTGTTCAAGCACCTTGTTTCTCTAGGTGTACCAATCAACTGCCGCAATAACAAGGGTGAGACGCCAGCGTTTTCTGTCCTCATCTTTCCTCCAGACAATAGGTTACAGGGTGTATCAGTTCCTGAAGGAGAGCTCAAGGCACAGGAGACACTTATAGAGACGAAGGCCGACTTGCGTGCTGTGAACAACGCGGGAGAGACCTTGCTTCATGTGGTGGCCAGAACAGACCCGCAAACAAAACGGAACCAAAACATGGTGACTCCGGTCATAGAGTCCCGTTTCCGATGGCTGCTTGACCAGGGCCTTGACCCAATGGCTGAAGACGAAAAGAGTCGGACTTGCTTAGACGTTGCTGCGGCGAAAGAAAATACGAAGATTCTCGCCATGTTTAAGCGACCGGGTGAGTGATCACTTAATGAGTTGATGGAATATGGAAAGATGTTTTAGCAGTAGTATAAGGAATAAGATAGGTATGTTCTGGATGGACCTAAACTCCAACAAATCAAGTCATCTGCAACGTCTCTAATGCTAGTTTCATCTTTTTCTCCATCCAAATAAAATTGAGGCCTCTTGGTTCACCAAAGGTCTATTAGTGCCCAACTGCGTATATGGTCCATCCTCTCTAGCTCTCACGGGAATGTTATTCCAATACGATCGTAAAACCACGCTCAGCTTATTGCATCAATAATATCAGGCTATTTGGATGTCTGACGAGCAAGTGTCAACTCATTTGTGTTTCTCTTCTTCTTTCACTTGCAAGAGTGAAAAAATCACCAACATTTCTTTCTGGTTTTGGTCGTGGAGCAAGTGGAAGGTGCAAAATTTAGTCGGTTCTCAATCCAACGATTTAAAATCCAACCACAACCTCGCTCAGGTTTCATTCATCGTTAGACGCATCTTGGGAACCGGAAAATGAGAAGCAAAAAGGATTTTTGGGATCCTCTTCCCGGCTAGACTTGCTCTTTAGGGATAAACGGCTGTTAGTAAGTACCCGCCTTGATGGTAACTCTGCCGATTTGCCAGACACCTGGGCGAAGTCACCAGATGCGCCATTTGATGCTGTGTATTTGGATACGCTAAATGGAGAGTCCGACTGGCCTGTACCGCCGAAATTCAATGTTGTTTCTTTCTCTGCCATTGTTTGGCCTGATTTTGTTCCAAATAGACCACTACTCTCAGTTGTCTTAGCATCAGTGGTACTTGGAACTGCGCTTAAGTCCTCATGGCTCGTCAACGTGGTGGCTGGTGATGCGCCGAAAAGCGTAGTAGTTATCATTGGTATGCTACTAGTCGATGCGCCAAATAAACGAGTTCCTATCTTTGTGGCGGTAGGGCCGGGCGATGGCCTCGTCTCCTGCTTCATCACCTCTGGACTGTCTGCTTTTCCGATATCCCCAGCCTTCGTAGGTTTGGAGAGGGGAGAATTGGCTTCGTAGTCCGTAGCAGCTGTTGGTACGACGAAAGAAAAAGAGGTTGTAGTTGTATGGATGCCAGTAGAAACAGGAGAGGAGACCGCGGACTTTGAGCTTCTGATGGGGGTTGATGCGCTAGAATCAGTATTGGCAGTTGTTTTGAGTCTTTTATCTGATGATTTTTCATCCGACTCGTCTTCGTGAGAGATAGTCACAAATAACGGTGTTGAAGGTGTAGTCTCCTTATTTGCTGTTTCATCGTTTGTCTCGTTGGAGGTATCGCTCGCTATGTTTTTGGTTGTCGAGGTTAGATTTGGGGTCGTTTGGTCCTTGACTGTTGCCCCGTTTCTGGAACCACTTGATGGCTCTTCCTGGACAAGAGAATTAGGGGATGGGTTGGTGTCATCATTTGTCGTCTGGGCAGAAGCGGTTGGGGCGCTTTCATCGCGATCTTCAGAACTCGTGGAGGATATCTCTATATTTGATGAACTCGAGCTGGCGGACGAGTCTGGCCGATGGTATGCCGCATTAGGAGGCAGGCGCACAGGGATAATCTTTCCTTCGTACGCGGAACCGGGTTTACCCTTTAGTTTCACCACATAGGGTCGGTTTTCCTCGACAGGCTTAAGCTCCCTCCTCACCTTAGGTTGAGGCTTCTGGGGGGTTGACTGACAAGGCACTCCTGGAGATCCGTTAGGATTCTTTGGACTAAGGATAAGATCCGACTCTAGCAGTGGTGTACGAGTGGGAAGGACTGGTTCTAGTTAGTCTGTGCTGCAACATAATTTAGGGATGATGTCTTCTTACCGCTCACAGCCCTAGGTTTGTGTTTCTTGCAAATGTTGAGAGCATGCCTTAAAGTGTCAATATCGAGATTGAGGCTTTCACGTTCATCTCTAACATCTTCACTCTCTTGAGAGAGCTCGTTGAGCTGCTCATCAGTCATTTTAGCCACCATCATCGGAGTGAAGATTTCGGGAATATCAGTCACGAGGCAATTCTCCACAGCTAGAGTGATAACAGTCGCTGCAAATGTCTTACGTGCAGTCTGTCTTCGAATTAGAAAAGAATCCATGAAGTTGTCTGACGGCTGCAGATTACATTACCTCGTAGCATGCGGACATCAAGTCGATGACCTTTTGCGTACGCATTGACTGACCTTCTGTCGATGCGCTCTCCGCGAGGCCCTGGAATTTGAGATTGACGGGGTTGAACATTCTGTTGGCCACCCTCTTTGCGGATATGTTTGAGAAGGCAGCATCGAATTCGATATCTAAAAGAGCCGCATGCCCTTCATCATAGGGTTTGAGAAGCTCAGCCAGTTTTTCTTGAAGGAGTCGCTCTTTCTTCTCAAACCAAGGATCTACAAAGGTCGTCAAGATGGTTTTTGTCGTCTCGACATCGTCAGGGGATCCTAAAAGATGTACAAACACAGCATCGACGAATGCTTTCACGAGTGAGGTGACGCGCTCGATATGAGACTGAGAAATCCCTCTCCAGGGTTTGGCTTGCTCCCTGAACAGGCCAATGGCCATATGTTCGCTGCTTTGATATTTATCGGCTTGGCGATTGAGCTCTGCTTCCAAGATTGACTCGTTGATGGTTATTGGACAGGGAAAGTTGCAGGAATATTCGTCAAAGAAGTCTTTGAGATACCCAGGAGGTTGTTCCTCTAGCATAAATATTTTAGAACGAACGATTCTTGATGAGCCCCTGGTCTTAAGAGTGTACTGGAACGCTCGGTGGAAAGTTTTCAGCTGAGCTCTAAGCTTATACTGGTCATCCTGCCGACCTCCGAAAAATACATCGTCATATCGTCCTTGAATGGCGTCCCTGGCAAGAAATTGAAAGTCGATGGCGACCTTGGTGAGAAATTGCCGCACTTGTTCGATTTCTGAGCGAGGGGCTCCCAGTTTGGATAGTTCGCACTCCCTCTGGCGAAGTTTTTCCTCCGCCGCAGCAATGACTCGAGGTAGGCCGTGCTGTAAACGGCTGTACATTGCTTGACAGATCCTCTTTCTAAGGCTGCAGATGCCGACTTTGCTCTTCGGAACAGATGCCCATGCCCCAGAGCCGAAAAACTCCTCCTCAACAGTATCACGGGCTTCAAGGGTAGAGCCCCCAATCGAGGTCGTGTTGCAGAGGGCGTGCCATCCCAGGTGTGACTTCTGGGCCTTGTTCTGATCTTTCACAAGCCTCACGTATTCAGCCTCCGCCATGGACCCAGCGTTCAGCAGATCTGGTTTGGTGATGACTGTGATTGTTCTCTCCCCAGTAGGATCAATTTTCTCGACCTTCGATAGCTTGGCTTGGTTGGATGCCAGCTTCTGGTCCGCAGGCATGACGGCAAGTACAACAGAATTTCTATTGCCTATGTAATCTGGGATAATTGAGTTGAAGATCGGCTTCTTAGTTGAAAATCCGGATTCGGTGTCTGCTCGAAAGTCAGGCAGGTCAACAAGCGTCAGCGGATGCTGCACGTTGGGTCCTTTAATTTCGACCTTGCAAGTACCACCGTTCAGGAAGGCCTTGTCCACAATCAAACTGTCGATGGACTCTATGGCAGTCTGTATGATGTTAGACAGATCGTTCTGGTTGAAAGCATCTTGTGTCATAACGGATCTGTTCTGTTTCGAGTCAAAGTATTGCAAGGTAACCTGCACGCTTGTTTCCGTGGCTGGCTGAAAAAGTACTTCTATGGCAAGCTTGCTATAGCCTCCATTATTGACGGGGAAGCGGATGTGAGATATGGCTTCCAGGACGGCAGACTTGCCGGATGACCGCTCGCCAACGACAACGATTCGTGACACGTAGAGGAGTTTACCGACGCCGCATTGCTTGAGACGTCTGTTGATGTCGCGCAATTCTCCCAGCTCAGCCCTGTACAGCTGTTCCAGCACCTGGCTGTCGACTTTGATGTCGGCGCAAGCCATAGCGAAAATATGTAAATCAAGTTTGGAAAATCGATGCAGGAAATGGGGATGCCAGCAGCTCAGAGCTGGTTTGAGGGGTTTTTCATTTCCGATTGCTACTTACCTCATGAATTTCCTTCATGGGGGACAACCAACTGCATATTATACTAAAAATATACCAGCTCCTAAAAAAAAGGAAATATTGATGTAAGCCCAGCCAGCTGAACATCTAGCGGTTTGGGATGCTGCAGCTTGGGGAGTTCGCGGCAAATGATGGCTTCCGATTGGCCTCCGGTCTGCTCGGCCGCATAATGGGAGTCCAGTTGCGCCGTAGGTACATTATTTTCCCAATGTCCCTTGGTTTCCCATGGCGGTTTCCCATGGCTGCCGGTTGCTGGAGAGGTCAAAGGCAGGTTTAGCCCCCAACCAACCCCCTCACAGCATGCTGTGGTGCTCAAGAAATGGCAGAAGTGATCTGATGCGATGCGGAAAGATATTGTAGCGGTGGTATATTATATCAATAAGTGAATCATCGGAAACAAGCACGGAAGCAAGATAGGTACGATCTCGAGAGGCCTAATCTCACGAGATATGATTTTAGTATCCTTTTATTGAACATAGTTATCAACAATATTTCTGATACTATTTTCTCTGTCTCTTTATCAAAATAAAGTCAAGTCCTCTTTATTCTACTAAAAGCCTATTAGCATCTAAATATATCCGTATAGCTACAGCCTATAGTTAGTGAACAGTAGAATACCTATACTACCTCCAATATTTTGTGTTTTTCCTTCTTTTAACGGCCTACCAATAGCACAATCCTACAGAGGGAATATCAGGCCGCTACCAAAGATCATTCGTAGCGTAGCATTGATGAACCTGGTCCGGGCTGCTCCTAATCAGGCAGCGGCACAACAGTAAGCTGCACGCATAAGCACAATGACAGGTAACCCCTCCGTGAATCCTTGAACGCAGCAGGAGAATCCTCTTTCTTTTCAACTTCCTTACCTATCTTCGCGCCGAGCCACGTTGATAAATTCCCGTTACTGTGTCCTTGAATAGCCCTTCACAACCCAAGAATGTCTCTCGATACTTTACCTCTCGAGATCACCCAACAAATCGTCGGGGATGCGGCGCCAGATGGGTTTGAAAGCATCGCTCTCACCTGCAAGTCACTCTTCCGTGACTGCCATCCCCTCATCAACGATTATAACCGAAAGAAACGACGTTTCTGGTCCTTTCGCTACTCTCACCACTCCGCTGATGTTGACTGTGACGCTCCCAGTGACAAGTCAGCCTGCAATGTTCTCCATCACTGGGATGATGCCACTGCTACCACCGGATTCAAAGTCACCGACGTTTTCGGCCTACTCGCTCACGTTTTGAGAGACCCTAGCATCGGCCGCTTCATTCATTCGCTTGACTTGAAGCATGCCCGGGTTCTTCTACCTCTTGGCATCCTTCCTAATGCCAACCACAATGCAGACCGCATTCGAGGCCCCTCCCCTCATTGGGCCGAGGAGGACGAGGCTAACATTCGCCGATTCTTGTCAGATCCAGTATATGGTGAGGACTTTTTGGAGAATCCCTCCACCTACAACTTGAATACAGTGTCTGTAGTTGAAGCCGAAATTTGGCTTCTCAACTTCCTGCCCAATGTGAAGGACATAGCCCTTTCCAAAGCCTGGGCCTATACGGCCCCTCCAAGCAGGCTGAAGCAGCTAGAATCGATCGCGCAACGTGCCAATGACCCCAAGAAGCCCGAAGCTTCCCTATCACAGCTGACTGTTATGAAACCGTTTGTCGGCCATGGCTTCATATCGATCGCACCGCTCTCCCAGCTGACGCCTTTTCTCTCCCTGAATTCGCTCCAAGAATTCTATATGGGCGGGGTTCAAGCATGGGGGACAAACCCGACGGACAACTATTTCACCGCCAGCACCTTGGGTATTAATCTCACCAAGATCGAACTGAACGGGTCATGCATAGACATACCTGAGCTGTCTGAGCTGCTGGGTAAAACGCCAAATCTGAGATCCTTGTGCCTTAATTTAGAGAGCAAGCCGAATTCAGCCGGTAGCAGCTACGACATTGGCCACATGATCTCCATTATAGGATCTCGGATTGGCGACGTGATTGAGGAGTTAGCAATTGTCACGTATCCGATAGAATGGTACAGCACAAGTCCCGCTAGCATGAGCGCCTTCCAGCGTCTGAGAAGCTTTGAAATCGACTTGCGTTCACTCTGGGGCGGTCCAACCTTCCGGGGCAGACGTTTCTTTCGAGATGACTCTAGCTGGGTACCACTCCCTCTTGTCGATATACTCCCGCCCTCATTGGAGACTGCGAAGATCTATTCCCAAAATCTCGCGAGAGAGGGCAGGGTCGTTACGAACATTTCCAACTTACTCCGTGGGTTTCGAGACGAGCACCACTCCAAACTACCCCGGCTAGTTGATATCGATCTTGTCTGTCCACCTCCTGGACGAGGACCTGTTTTAGAGGCACTGCGGATCGCTGCCGAAGCTGGCTTACGGGTTCATCATCATCATCAGCATCGATGCGCGCCGACATTTACATGGAGTTTCAATTCACGATTCGGGGTAGCCGATGCTCAATATGATAGATAACCAACCGGACATACTCCTCACATGGTATTTCGCAAGGAAAGAAAATTTGAGAGGGACGAAAGTAGTTAAAGATACAAGGAACAAATTGCTTCGCTAATCAGTCCCAATAATTTCATTTTGTTGTTCCAGTTGCCTTGTTTTCACTTTGCCAAACAATTCTTCGTGTTACAGATAATGATCCACCAGTGGAGTCTATTTACAAGAATCTAGAATATGGATTGGCCAAGCAGGGCGAAATGGGATAATTCAGCCACTGCAGGCTTAACAGACAGAATGAGAGGTATGATATTGAATTTGGTTGATTTCTGGATTCTTGATCCAACTGATATCGCCTTATTTCAGCGTCTGAGACACAAGCCATTCTCGTACTGCAAGTTTCTGAATTCAACTTATATATCGGTTACACAACCTTTCTTTTGCTTCTATCTATATTCTTGCATTCATGCCTATATTATTTTATCGATTAAAATCAGGGCCTATTACCAGAGGTAGCTATGCATATAATGGATCCCAGACTTGCGAGGAGCGAGCGGTTCAAAGCCCTCTACGCTTCCAGAAGGAAGCTGTCGGTTTTTGGTCGATCGGGGGCGTACAGCTCGGGGCCGTTCAACATTCATGACAAGCCAGACGCATTGGCTTGTCCTTTCGTTGGCTATGCCCTAGTGAACGGTGACTCTACGGGCCTAGACACATTCATCGAAGTGGGGGATGATAGAAACAGCGCGACTACCTAGGATGTAACGGCGACGCCAGCGTTGCGTGAGGGCCTGGAGTTTCAGGAGCGTCACGGGTGCCGTATCAGCTATGTAGCACTGTCTGATGCTTCAGCATATGTCCATCACCCTTCTAACGAGTTGGTCGCTAATCAGAGCATTGCTGCTCTTTTGCCCATAATCACGGTGCCAGCTCCCAAGGTCGCATCAAAAGATGGAAGTATATAACGGATCATCGCTTTCCAAGGCATAGGGCGATCTTGAGTGAAGGTCTAGGACCAGCATATCATCGCCTCATGCTCGTGTACTTCCCTAGCATCTTCAAACGGTATCACCATCCATACGAGCATCCCCAGCGTGTCCAGGCCCCCAGCCCGTCTCATCACCTCCGGCAGTAGCTCAGGAGTCGTCGGACCTCTGCCACTACATGACCTACTCACACCGCCAGATTCCAAAACGTCTCCTACCGTGAGCACCTTGTCCGTGGTCCTCGCTGCCATGTTCTTCTTGTAGTCCCTCGTCCACACCCTACTTGTGCGAGCCTCCCACAAGTCGCGGCTTGATGGGAGCGGTATCGTTCGGAAGCTGCTCCCAGGAGCGGGTGTGCAGCCACCGCGTACAAACCCATCGAGCAGCCTCGCAACAATGTGCAGGACTACAAGAACTCTATTGTCAGATGTTAGTCACGGAAAAGAACAGAGCCGCATCGACGAAAGTCGCCACGCGTATGACCCGAATTGGGGCTGCAGGTGCCAGCACACAGTACGCACCTGCGTATGCTCTCCCTAAACACCCATTCGCGCCGATTTGAGACGGCGTCTCGTGCGTCAGTCGCCCATTCGTTCGTTCGTGCCATATGTTCGACGAAACACTTCGCACCGAAGGAAACAGGGATATAGTTAGTTTTTGGATCTTCAGGTGAGGTTATTCGACGGAACCAGTTGATGCGAGAATATCTTACCACAACAGTGTTGAGCAGATGCCCTGAATTATGAATCTCGACGGTGCTTGGATCTGATGCCTGCAGAAGAAGGAGTACCAAGGCTGATTGTGTGGCAGCCAGTTGCTGCGTTGAAGAGAACTTGAAGTACTACAAGATAGAAACGGTGAGTACCTTGGCATCGGAAACTTGTCGATTTCTGGGCGTTAAGAGTCTGTAAAGCGTACCTCCCGCTGAAGCCTGTCTTGCTCCTCATATATCAAAGTCCAGACGAAATCCGTATTGGCCTTGGTACGCTCGTAGAACATCTGCACTAGACTCGCACAGATGGCTAATTCTTGGGGCAAGCACTGGTGACGACTCCTCTCTCCGCAGCCAGGGGCCAGGTCGTTGTCAATGTGACACGGTGCATGGATGAAGGGGGGTAGTTGATCCCCCTCAATCATCATCTTTGGGTAGCTGGTGAGTTGGCCTAGGAGGATCGAGTTCATCGTACATGAGTGGAACAGGGGATTCATCAGGAGAGGGTGACCTGACGAGCCGCTCTTATCAGTAGCGGCAGTCGTGGTGGTGGTTGTAGTTGAAGTGAGAGCGGCAAGATCTTTCTGACTGGTGGCAGTCGAGCTCGTCACGATCTCCTGCATGGTCCATGTCTCATGGGAATACGCGTTACTGTCCTCTGGCATATCTGCCGCTAATCTCCAGGGCCTAATAAGGTTAGGGTTTATTGTCCCCTTGTCAGCGAAGTTGTGAGGCTCAATGTCTCCTAATGCAAAGGTATCCCCATTGAGGTCAAGCTCCAGGAGGGGATCCACGCTGGGATCCCTTCCCAGCAGCCCATCGGCAGTCCAAGCATCGTCTTCTTCTACTGATTCATCCACTCCCAGAGGCTGCTGCGTCTCAGTGGAAGACAAAAGCAACCGTGCAAGCGACTCATCTTGTTGCTGTTGATCTCCGAGTGGGGTCAGAGGGTTCATCGTCTCCTGAGGCCCCAGAGACTGTAAGGCTACATGCGAAGGGTAAGGATAGGACGAGCCTGCGCCCCGGAAGCCGTTCCTTCCATCGTACACGCATCTGAGCTTCCGCGACGCGCACCGAGAACACTCAGGGGTCGCCCTGTCGCACCGGGCTTTGGCGTCCCTGCAGAGGAAGCAGGCTTTCGCACGTGAGATTGGCATTGAGTTCCACCAGTTCCAATCTGCCAGTCTTGTGCTCACTGCTGATTGGGATCGATTCAAGACACATAAAGTTGAAAAGAGTGTTCAAGGGGTTGCGGACATGGCAACGTTTGCGTTCTCCCCCTGCTAAACGCCGGAGTTCAGGTGGACCCTCCGGAAAACACACTCCAGAATGACGAAGATTGAGGGGTACAGCTTGAGACCAATTCTGTCGTGCCTGTCGCTTCACTCGATCTTCCCTATACCGTACAAGGGTTGCCCTTGTTCCAGACGCTATTGGCAAACCTATGACAAGGAACGTATTATGGGTGAACAAGACCTTGACACGTGTATATCGGCGGAATACGGTGCCGGACAATCTAGAATCGACCTCTCCAACTAGCGACCTTTCCCTTGGTCTCATCGAGGGGGGGTGCACCGGAGTTTGAGTGGAGAGCCAAAGGCCTCCGCTGTGAAAGCTCCGGACTTTGGATACAGGTGCTACACCATCTTCGCAGCGATGGGCCTAATGCATGGAATACTATCTCCAGAGACTGAGTAGAGTTGTGTAGTCAAATGCCAGCCAATCTAGTTATCGTCGCCATGTTGTCCTTGGTGGTACGGATGCAGCAGATATATAAAGGTATCAGAAGAATGTCACAACACTCGGGTCCCCCATCTCAGTTGTCTTATTCTCAAACGAAATATCCCATACAAGAACTTCCAAAGGTCTTCACATCATTTCCTCTTCCCAAGCTTCGGCACTCTTACTCACAATGGCCCCTATTCGTATTGGTGTCATAGGACTTAACGCTGACTTCAAACCGGGCGCCCTGGCCGGCCAATGGGGCATTATACATATCGCCGCCCTCAAAGCCTCACCCTTGTACCAAGTCGTTGCCGTCTGCAACTCCACCGCCCAGTCCGCCACCCGCGCCATTGCCGCCCATGGACTCGGTGACCACGTACGCGCCTACGGCTCCGCCGAAGACATAGCCGCAGACCCAGAGGTTGACATGATCTCTGTGATCGTACATGTTGACAAGCACTATGACATCGCTAAGGCCGCAATTCTGGCGGACAAGGACCTACTCGTGGAGTTTCCGTTGGCGTCCAACACAGAACAGATGGAGGAGCTCCAGAAACTGGCCCGCGATAAGGGTGTTAGAGTGGTGGTTGGCGCGCAGGCCATAGCAGATCCTGTGCAGCATAAGATCAAGAAGTTGCTCCGTGATGGCACCATCGGCGATGTTGTCTCCTCGTACTTCGATACGGCGCTTCTCCTCACCACGGCTGACGGATGGTCCGATGCGCTGGCGTTTTGGTTGAACATGGAGCATGGCGGCAGTCGTTTCACCATTGGTCTTGGGCACAGTCAGTAACTCCTTCATCTCCTTAAAGGCTTTCTACCTCTTGGCTGACCTCTTCTTCTCCTCTACTTAGGTTTAGCAAGCTATGTAGATGCCCTTGGTGAGTTCACCACTGTACAGTCTATCTTCGGAATCAAAGATAAGACCGTCAAACTCCTTGACACAGCTGGCAACGTCACCGACCCAGCCTATCCCGTCACCGTTCCCGATTCATTCCTTATTCAAGGTATCCTCTCCTCCGGCGGCATTGCCTCCTACGCCCTCCGCTTCGTCCGCTCCACAGTCAACGGCCGCGGCGGACGCTGGCTCATCAGCGGGACCAAGGGCGAGCTAGAGCTCACGTACGACCAGGGAATGATGTACCAGGGTGACCTAGGCAGCGGTGCGGGAGCGAAGCTACAGGTAAAGACGTGGGGTGCGGAGAAGGCCGAGGAGATTGAAGTCGTGGATAAGCATGAGGGCGCACATATCACCGACTTGCATGAGTTGGGTAAGAACACTGGAAGGTTGTATGAGGCCTTCGCAAAGGGTGAGGAAGATAAATATATGTCTATTGATGAGGCCGTAAGGCTTCATAAGTTCATGCAACGTATTGCAAAGGGCGCAGGGTGGGCGCCTTGAAGGATGCCCTCGGTTTTTAGATTTAGATATTTAGCAAGGCACGTCAGATTAAATGTCTAAATCAAACTACATTACTATGTCTCGCTAGATGTTTATACAAATACCGTATATCCCAATATGCGCGATATCCTAACATATCCTGCAGCCTACAGGCTTCCGACCTTGTTCCAATAAGCAGCTAGCTCGATGTGAATTTGCAGCCGACATGATTGGCATCGTTATTCGGAGTCTATTATTTATTGCCGAGAGATTTCGTAAGTGGCAAGGGGCGTTATAGCGATATCGAACTAGAGGCTCTTTGAAAGAGACATGGAGGCTATTAGACCCTAGTCTAGCTAGCTCTTCCAGTTTTATAACCTGATTCATAGAAGAAGAGGTGGTGATAAGAAAATTCTCCGAGAGGCAAAAACTTTGCATACTAGGGTTCTAATAAATGCGTTATAAAGTGAGGCCTCTGATGACGCGAGCACACTTTGAAATAACGACTAGGATTTGGCAGGCCCTTGTTCGACGACATGACACACGATGTCACTCCTCCAGGGGTGACTCGGCCACGCTACTGCGAATCGAAAGGCGAGTATGAACAGACCACTTTCCATGATAACTAGACGAATATGACAGTATAAGACGATCTAAATGGGCAATATCGATGTAGTGCATTGCCATTTGAATATTTATCATCAGTAACCCTCAATAATCTAACACGACTGGTCAGACTCGAAAGTAAGCAACAATATTCTCAACGTCTCATCAAATTCAATGCCTCCCGGTTCCCCGGGTCCGTAGAATCTCAGTCTAGAACAAAATTAAGGGTCTTTCGAGATGGGAAGAACATGAAGAAACAAATTTTCTGTTGAAAAATTGTCTAGTCAATGCTTAGCTTCTGCTTTTAAATATCTGATAGTTCGTTTCCACCCCCTTGGCAGGGAATTGCGTGACCATCGGCCCCTCTTCAAATCCATATCAGGCAAATCGACAGTGCTAATTGGCCGCTGGTGTGTTTGCGCAATGGCGGGTCATCATCACAACATCGCTCCATGTAAGTCAGTAGCGTCGGCTTGTGCCCGCGCAAGGAAGAATAACCTTATCCATTGGTTCGGCTTGTCGTGAAGCCACCGGCATTGTTACCCATGTAATCCATGTGGTATATAAGAAGGAGGCAGCCGTGGACGCAGCGTAGCATCTCGTCTCCCTGCCCGTGACTCTCCACTTGAAAACACTCAAAGATGACTTCTTCAGTCATCTCCGCTGAGGCGGCAACGCCCCAGGTTGAAGAGACCAACAGCAAGCCCGTGTCCCGCTTCACCAGGTGGTTTCGAAGCCCGCTATTCAATGTTATACTGGCAGGTCTCATCTCCTTTACGCAGCCAGGCATCTGGAATGCACTCAACAGTATGTAACCCTCAAGTGGCGGCAGTTTTGCGCCCCCGTGCAAACATGAACTAACCCTCGAAAAGATACTGGTGCTGGAGGCCAGCAAGAGCCGTACTTGGTGAATGGAGCCAATTCTCTGACTTTTGGTATTATGGTCTTCGGCTGCTTCATATTCTCTCTACTGTCGAACCGATTCGGCGTCAAGAAGATTCTCATCATTGGAACTCTCGGCTATGCACCCTACTCAGCAGCTCTGTACGTTAACAACCGCTACGGAGTCGAGTGGTTCGTCTTGTTTGGTGGCGCAACTTGCGGAATTGCCGCATCGGCCTTGTGGGCTTCCGAGGGAGCCATCGCATTGGGGTATGGAGGTGTTAAGGATCGTGGAAAATTTAGTATGTGTCTCACGCCATGGCACATGATGCACGTCTCACTAACCGGTCTTTCTGTGTGTAGCTGGAATCTGGCTCGGTCTCCGCGAGCTCGGTCAACTTATCGGTGCATCCATTCAGCTGTCACTCAACGCCGGTGATGGTCAGCGAGGAAAGGTGTCATACACGACATACCTCGTTCTGATTGCGCTGCAGTGCCTTGGTCTCCCTTTTGCTCTCCTTGTTTCGCCTCCGGAGAAAGTCATTCGGCCTGATGGAAGCAAGCTTGAGCTTCCACAGAAGGATAAGCCCATCAAGGGTGAATTAAAGAAGATGTGGAATCTTCTCAAGAAGAAACAGATGCTGTTCCTTATTCCTGTTCTCGTGGGCTTCAACTGGAACGGCACCTACTTGGGCATTTACCAAACCAACTAGTATGTTTTCTTTCACCAATAATCAACTTGACATCGGTCTCGCTACCATTTCCGGCGATATGCTAACCTCCCATGATTCCAGCTTCTCCGTTAGAGCTCGCACTCTGAGCTCTCTCGTCTCCGGCATCGTGGCTACCCTGGCAAATATCACTTGGGGTTGGGTATATGACCTGCAGCGGTTCAGCCGTCCCCAGCTCGCCAAGTATACCTGGACCTGCTTCTCAGTGGTTATGCTGGCCACAATGAGTTGGCAGATTGCAAACGAACATCTGTACTCCAAAACCGTGCCCAAGGTCACACTTGACTGGGCGACTCCCGGATTTGGTCGCGCATTTGCGAGCATGGTCATCATGAGGTACGCGATTACAACAATCATCATCCCATTTTGAGAAACACGAAGACTAACGAATGCTAGGTTCATGAATGAGTCTCACTACATGTTTGTGTACTGGATTGTCGGCGCTTACTTTGACGATCTGGAGTCATTGACTTTCTGTGTGGGAATCATCCGCTCATTCGAGTCGATTGGTTCCTGTTTGTCCTTTGGAATTGGAGCCGCAAAGGTGGCACCCATGGTCAATCTGATTGTCGCCTATGTCATGTTTATCATTGCCATTCCAGCAACCTCCTATGCTGTCCTTCTGGTTCCCGAACGGCCCGTGGTTGCGAAGCTGGATGACTCAGATTCTTCTGGAGAGGACCTTCGGGACGAAGTCGAAGCGTCAAACAAGCAGGGGGTTGTTGTGACAGCAAGCGCTAACTAATTCTGCACTTTTATATAATAATGGATTACCACTATCTATCAGATAAATAGTAGCTAAATTGTGTGCATATTGAAACATCTTTTCGGCGACCGGCATGATGTAGAACTGCTTCACCCAGAGCAATTACCAGACGTAAGAGAAGTCCCAACAGACGAAATGTTTAATGCCTACGCAGGCCAGGGACCCTTCATCTTCATACTTATTATATCCCAGAAATCTCAAAGAGGACACTTACTTCCTCGTTTACTTAAACGAGGAAGTTGAAGACGGAAAGTTGGCAATATCGACCACTCCCAACCGTTAACCGCTTGCCGACTTCCTCGGTTGTCGTAAGGAATTTCAAGATATCAACCGCAGCGATACCTGAAGCTCGCCACTCTGACTATCATGGCAAACGAAAGCCCTGATCAAGCATAGGTAAAACCGGTGACTAATATAAGTCAGTGGCAAGTTCAAAGCTGTAGAAATGCAGAGCAGCTTTGGTAGGAAGCTAGGGCAAAGTTCTTTGTCTTGGAAGCTCAACTGCTGATCATGGCGAACCAAACACAAACAACAAGGGACACCAGAAGAGGTAAACCCAATACGTAGATCGACAAATTTCACAGTTGAGATGAACAACGGTGCTCGTGTTCTTTGTTTCGTCCATGAAATGGATGTTCCGAGCAACAAGTTTTACTTAAAAAATAAATAACGAGGTTGATCACGTCATTGTTTGATTGTCCAGGATAAATCTCCCCTCTTTGTGTGCTATGTAGAGAGCTTATTTTTGCTATCGCGTCTGCGATCCAACTTCAGCACAAACAAAGAAAATGGCAGCACTGAATGTCGAGCAGCTTCTCAACCTGGATGCGACCGAGTTGGTCGCCATGTTGGCAAAGCGAACCATCACAAGTGTGAGCCTCGTTGAGCAGTTGCTTGAACACATTAGCCTCAACGACAAGGGGCGCAATCTCCGGGCCGTGCTAAGCACTGCACCTCGTGATACCCTCATCAAGGCTGCGTCTCAATTGGACGACGAAAGAGCTCAAGGAAAGCTCCGTGGGCCTCTGCATGGTATTCCCATTCTTATAAAAGTACGTACGTCTCGGGCGACTGTCTGACGCCTACGACCCTTGCTGATCATGGATCGGACGCTATCAATACTCACCCCAGCCTTGGCATGCCAACAACAGTAGGAAGCTTTGCCTTGGTCGATGCCAAGCCCGCGGGAAACGCTGACGTAGTCGAGGAGGTAAGTACAAGCTTCCCACTCTTGTGAGGCAGAATTGCTAACTCGGCCTTACTCAGCTAATCAAGGATGGACTGATCATTCTCGCCAAAACCAATCTAAATGTCCGTATCCTTTCATCCGTTCTAAGTATCGAATACTGACACTTCTCCCAGGAATTCTGCAATTGAAAGTGCGTTCTGTTTAGAGGGATATATGATAAAGATCCAGACTGACCTGTTTTCTAGGGGCTTCAACTCTATTAATGGATTTTCTGCCGTTGGCGGCCAAACCAATTCTGCCTACATCAAGGGTGGACTACAGGATGGAGAAGCAGCAATGGGCCACTCGGTAACCTCAAACTCCAGTATCACGCGATCCCATACTGATCATCCCAGAGCCCCCTAGGTTCATCAACAGGGTCAGCAGTGGGAGTTTCTGCGGGATACAGCCCTGTAGCATTAGGGACAGAGACCGAAGGATATTTGGTGCAGCCTGCTGCAAGAGCAGCTTTGTATGCACTCAAGCCGACCCCAGGGAGTGTCAAGATGGATGGAGTGTGGACATTGTCGCATCATTTTGACGCTATCGGAGGCATGGCTAAGTCCGTCACTGATCTGGCCCTCATAACTGAACTCCTTCATACAGATCAAGTTCGCTCAACATTGCCCAAAGACAGCTATCTATCAATTCTCAGCAAAGATTTCGAGAATTTGAAAGTCGGATTTCTTGATCCTATTCTATGGCACCTACCGGAAGGATTGTGCCCGCAAATTCCGAATGTGGTTCAGGAATTGGTATGAACTCGTTGATACGCATGTCAACTTCGCTGACTTTTTACAAGAATGAGGCCTACGAGCAAGCCATTGAAAAGATCAAGGCTTCCGGGGCTCATGTCGAGTATCCAGTTCCACTTCCTAGTTTCGACAAGTTGACGATTCCTGATGACGAAATGACGGCGATGGAAGTTATCATTTGTAAGTTGTTGTGTGTTTCTGGACATCACCAGCGGCTATTAACACAGAATAGTACGAGAATACTCGAGAAACATTGACCAGTACCTCGGAGACCTCCAAGACTGTAAAGTCCGAACCACCGCCGAATTGATTGCGTGGAATGAGGAGCACGCAGAGATTGAGATGCCATTTGGTAAGCCCGACATGATAGATACAAGTAGTGTTCACTACCATACTCACCGATATCAGATCATGCCAATCAGCAACGATTGATCCAGGCATACAAGGAAAGACCTACCGCCGAGCGATATGACGAGGCTCGCCGGCACATGAAAAAGGTGGTGATCGAGGACGGGTTTGAACCTCTATTCAGCGGGAAGGGTCTTGACCTCGTTGCAGTCCCACAGGATAGTAGAATACCCAGCATGGCAACAGCTTCAGGTGAGTGTTCTTCTCTTCTCTCCATCATACCGACGCATTCTTGATATAAGACTTCTGACATGGTTTTTTTTACCCAGGCTATCCCATTGCCACTGTGCCACTTGGTGTTCTGAAAGACTATGGACGTCCATTCGGCCTCGCTGTCATGGCAAAAGCAGGGCGTGAGGACATCCTATTCAAGTTCATGAGTGCCTTTGAAGCCACTTTTCCAAAGAGGGCCATCCCTACTTTGCTATTGCAGCCAATTACTGAAACTGTCAGCCCCGAGATGAACGACACCGTCCATGGGACTAAAGGCGATAACTGGCGTCGCAAGAGCAATCAGGAACTGTAGGCCAACCGGCCATCCAGGTTGCTCGGCGTACAATGTCCACAGAGTTGCGGGATTCTGCTTCTGATTTGGCATAACCAGCGTTGTAATGGAGAAGTTGAAAAAGGTTGCACAAATCATAATATTGCCGGCCAAAATCTCTGCTGGAAGTTACGGTACCCAGAAATCATAGTGCCTTGTCTTTTGCGACATAATACTCATCATATGTAGACTTGTAACCCAAAATCCATCTCCCAAAATATCCCATGGCATTCATTAATGCCCTGCTCAAGAATCGACCGAACCATCTCGGCGCGATGGGTAGTGCGAGTGGGGTATCAGCGCTCTGCAAGAACGCAAAGAGCTGAAAAATACTCGGTGATTGCCCTTCTTTCTTGCAATCATCCAGGTATCCGAAGAAATTTCGAAAGAATCTCTCTTCTCCATCGATGTCCTCAGGGGTAAGAGAAATATCCAAGAGCAGTGGTTGCGTGGTGGAGGCATTGTTGATCGTGTGGTATTGGTTGGGAGGAATGAAGGCCGTTTTTGCAGCATTTGGGTCGCTCTCATCCAAAATTCTCCAAGGGGTGTCAGAAGTATCCTTGAATAAATAGCACTTTCCAGACACTATCCGGAAATGCTCAGTCTGATACATGTGAAAGTGGAATGGAGGAACCATGATGGAAGGGTCCTTCTGGTTGAAAGGTGGATGCATGTTTCTGAGGAGATATGTCTGCGGGTCTGCAGAGGGCCGAAATTCGAGGGACGAAGCACCATCCTCGTAGATGATCGGGTTCTCCTTCGCACGGTTGGTTCGTGGTAACGTTTTGGCACGCAGAAAGGACAACATTTTTGATATCCAATCCGAAGGGAAAGATCCAAGGAGGGAATCAGAGTGAAGAAAGCTCAATAGCTAACTAAAGCCCAATAGTAGTCAGACTTACCTCCGCTCTGGCTTCAAGCATCTTCGATTTTGACTTCGAGTCCTACCGTCATGGATTCTAAAAGCCGTCGCAGTGGGAAAAACCTTGTTATGATTGCCGGCTTCCGAGTTCCGGACCACTTTCCAAAAGCGCTCCTAGTCATTGCCAGGACTGTATGGGACAAAGTTGCCAGTTCCCACAGCCACCAATATAATTTGATTAAGAGTCTGCTATTTAAGGTCATGTTGGAGATGCGCGTTCTTGCCTGGATTTAAACCAATATTGGAGCCAGATTGTTTTTTTTAATATTGATAATATTGAGAAGAGATTATCTATCTTTCAGAGACTAAAGGACACCACTTCTAGTATGAATCGAAATAGAAGAACTCGTGGGTGAACAGCTGTCTTCCAGCAGGATCATATCGCTTAGGAAGGACATTGAGCACGCCATAGGTATCTCGGGGCTCAAAGTCAAGTCCCATAGTAGACAATCGATGGACATCCGGGCCGTATTGCTCCTTGAGCCAATGTGCCACCATGTCCATGCCCGCGACAGCGCCTGCAGCCGTCCAGATATTGCCATCCACCACCCACTTGGTCTCCTTGGTCCAATTGACTGCCGGGAAGCGCTTCCTGACCCACTCGAACTCGACATTGTTGATTGTTGCCCGCTTGCCGTCCAATACCCCAGCTGAAGCCGCCACGAAAGCTCCCGTGCAGTTGGTGAAGAGGAGCTTTCCGGCAGCCACGTGCTCCCGGATATACTGTGCATACTTGGGATCTAACTCAAAGGTTTCAGGGACCGGGCCTCCAATGAGCAGGATATCCAGCTCAGGCGCATCCTCGATGGTAGCTGTTGGGACGACGAGAAACCCGGCAGTCAAAGGTACGGGTTCTTTAGAGAGACCAATATGGTGGAATTCGACCTCTGGAGCTTTCTTCGCGGCCACTTCGTCCACAGGGCCGTAAACCCTGAGGAATTCCGAGACTTGTTTGCTGCCGGAGCTGAGGACATCAAGAGGGCCGACTGTATCAATGGCTTGATACGGGAAAACCAGAGTTCCTACGCGAAGAGGGTTCATGGTTGGGAAATAATAAATTTAGTCAGACCTGTGTTGATAAAGAGTTAAGGATGATCGGTGTGTCTTTTTTTTCGGGATTTCGTGCATGTCTCTACCTCTATATACTTTTCATTGGTACCAGGTTTTCCTGGACTGACCTCTCCAGAAGCTACATTGATTTGATTTCAAATACTACGAAGAGATGATTACCCAAGCCTAGAGCACAATTGAGTGTTTCAAATCTTGCTCACGCGGGCAATGTTCCCCCGAATGCCCCTCAAATGTATGGAATTTTCTCTAAGTTCCGATGAGGGTCGGCATACACGACTCTGGCCCTTGTGAATGACCAACAAGTCACCTTTTGAATTTGTAATCTACCACTGGGTTCGGGTTAATAAAAATCTCTTTTTGTTTCATATGTTCGCGAAATATTGCCTATTTCCGGTAATTTTCGATAGAGCAAGGGTGCTTGTTAGTGTCAGCGCTTGACGTGCCGAGATCGCTTTCGTTGTTCCGGCTCATATAACACATGAGGAATAGTAAAATCTTGGGGACATGAAAAGTCAATTCCGCCAAGTATCTATTATTTATCTACCTGGGTGCCAAGCTCTATATAACTGTTTGTTGACTTGGGTGCACAGTGAATGTCCCCAGCCCAAGAAACAATGTCTTCTGCTTGCAACATACGAACTCAGCATTGCATCATATTTCTTTGATGATGATACAGAATCAAGGTCCCCCTTCTGAGCAGCCTGTCCCTCATAGGAGCTAAAGAGCTTCATCTTGCTGACCTGAATTGTCGAGGAACTTCTTATATCTACAGGTAAGGCCTCTCCACATAACATATCAATCGAAGTGGGCACGAATCTATTTCTCCTCTCATCTAATTAGAAGCTGAACAGGCAACAGCAGACCAGCATTGAGCATAAGTCGGATGCCCCAATCCAGTGTCGGCGCCTCGTTAACATAAAGCCTGGCACATTGCAGAATAGATCAATGGGAGTAGGTAAACCAATCACACATGCCTAGTCTTCATATTTCCAGAATAATATACGCATAATGGTTTTCAAAGCGGATAATTATGGCACCTGCACCAGTCCGTAGGCTCAATCATAAGGCATCATTCAATAATTGTCAACTGCGACTCGATATCGCCACGGAAAATTATGCGATCCCAATCGCGAATATTACCTACTCTCGTACGTCTGTGAAATCACAGTCGAAGAAGAGCACTTCCGGTCATCCCATTTACCATAACAGCCAGGGATCGTGACCGCCTCACATTTAGATGCCGATACCATGGCCGTCCACCACATACGACCATACCTACCAGGAAGCACTGGATCCCGTCTGCTCTCCGAGCGTTAAGCTGGTAAGGGGCCGATTAGTAGTTGGGTCGGTGACGACCAGCGAATACCGGCTGTTGTATGTTTGTTTTTTTGTCCTTTGCGTGTTTCTTTTGCTGGGCCTTTGCCCCGGATGATCGTCTTACGCACCAGAGGGTTTGTCGGTTCCGCTCCACCCACAAGCATCAACAGGCGGAACCGACTCGAGCACGCAGCCGACAGCGGCGAGGTAAGACGGCGCCCAGAATTACCCCGCTCGTCTTCCCTGGCTTGTGGGGGGGGACTTCGGCTCGATCTTGCTGCTCAAGATCGACTTTGCGGAGCCTGCGGGGGAAAGCCGGGGGACGACTCGTTTGAGCAGTATCTTCCGACGTAATGAAGCTGCCTGGGTGCATTCACTGCTTGAATCCCTTGCAGGCTGTTCCCTTTCGATGGGTCGGTACAGGAAATGTGAAGTTACCCCAGCAGCTGTTCCGATGCTGTGTGTTCTCATGTGCTGGCTGCGCAGGACAAGCCAATCATATCCAGTCGGAATATGTATGTCTCAAATGACACACTCATAGCTTATTAACTCTTATATAACGAGGCCGGTTCCTCCTCCGATTCCGTTTCTCTCTCTCTCTGTCCATCACATTCATCCTTGATTCCCAAACTCGATCAGCATACACATCCGCATACACAATCCCAAGCTCAACACAGCAAACACCAACACATAGCCCGCGATGGCTGCCCTTGTAGAGCTACAGACAGCTGTGCCATCGCATCTGCGAGGCGTCCCGGGCTCCGTCAACATCCACGTTGCCAAGTTCCCCGCAAATGCCACCGCACCCAAGGCCACAATCGATGCTGCCCAGGTCGCATCCCAGTTGGTTGGCACAATCAATCAAGCACTTGAGAAGAGCGACTTCAACGCTCTGTCAAAGCTCTTCACCGATGACGGGTACTGGCGAGACCATCTCGCGCTCACATGGGCGTTCCGAACGGCGCAGACCCCCAGCGATGTCCTGAGCTTCCTCGAAGGCGCTGCGAAATCCAAGGACGGGTTGCGGCTCAAGAAGATCACAGTCGATGCCTCCTCATCCGTGAGGGAGCCCAAGGTGCTCCCATTGAACGCCGACGCAACCGTTTCAGGGGTCAAATTCTTTATCTCAATTGAGACTGCCGTTGGTGCCGGCGATGGCCTCGTGCAGCTGGTCGAGGAGGCGGGCCAGTGGAAGATCTTCACGCTGTACACCCGCCTGCAGGAGGTCCGTGGACACGAAGAGAACGTCAACGGGCGCCGTCCAAGAGGTGTCCAGCATGGCGGACAGCCCGGACGAAAGAATTGGGCTGAGAGGAGGCAGGAGGCGGCTGGCTTCAACGCAGGCAATGACCCAGCTGTGCTCGTAGTTGGTATGTCTTTCTATCTATTTATCTCTTGGGTGAATGTCTCAACTGACTGTCAAAACCTCTAGGCGCTGGCCAGGGCGGTTTGACTGCTGCCGCTCGACTTAAGATGATGGGCGTGGAAACGCTCGTCGTCGACAAGGAAGACCGCATCGGCGACAACTGGCGCAACCGATACCACCAGCTTGTCCTGCACGATCCGGTGTGGTACGATCACCTCCCGTACCTTAACTTCCCATCCCAGTGGCCCATCTTCACTCCCAAGGACAAGCTCGCCGAGTTCTTCGAGGCGTATGCGACGCTCCTCGAGCTGAATGTGTGGACCAAGACGGAGCTCGTCTACACGAAATGGGACGATGCAAAGCAGATCTGGACTGTCATTGTCAACCGGAAACGGGCAGACGGTACCAGCGAGGTCAGGACATTCCATCCCCGCCACCTGATCCAGGCTACGGGCCACTCGGGCAAGAAGAACATGCCTGAGATGAAGGGTATCGAGAACTTCAAGGGCCACCGTCTCTGCCACTCTTCCGAATTCCCCGGTGCCCGCGCCAACGCTGCAGGCAAGAAGGCCATTGTCGTGGGCTCATGCAACTCCGCGCACGACATTGCTCAGGACTTTGTAGAGAAGGGGTACGATATCACCATCGTGCAGCGATCAACCACACACGTTGTATCATCCAAGGCCATCACAGACATTGCTCTCAAGGGGATCTACGATGAGTATGGACCCCCCGTCGATGACGCGGACGTGCTGATCCACGGCCTCCCTACTTCTGTTCTCAAGGCGCACCAGGTCAAGGTCAATGAGCTGCAGAAGGTGCATGACAAGGAGACCCTGGATGGGCTGGCCAAGGCCGGGTTCAAGGTCGATCGTGGCCCTGATGAGGCCGGACTCTTCTTCAAGTATTTCCAGCGTGGCGGCGGTTACTACATCGATGTGGGAGCAAGTCAGCTCATCGTCGACGGGAAGATCAAGGTCAAGCAGGGCCAGGAGATTGATGAGGTGCTTCCCAACGGACTGCGCTTTGCTGACGGCACCGAGCTCGAAGCTGATGAGATTGTCTTTGCAACTGGGTATCAAAACATGCGAACACAGACCCGTCTCATGTTTGGAGATGATGTAGCGGACCGGGTGACTGACGTGTGGGGATTCAATGCCGAGGGAGAGATGAGGACCATCTGGCAGAGGAGCGGCCATCCTGGATTCTGGTTCCACGGAGGAAACTTGGCGCTCTGCCGATACTACTCCAAGCTTCTCGCTCTGCAGATCGTTGGGCAAGAGGCGGGCTTGTACAAGGACGGAGAGATCTAACTAGATGAAAACTGCAAGATAGATAGATCGAAATTTAAGAAATCATGCGCGATGAACTCACATCGTTATTCATATTTAAAGTAGTAGCCTCGAATGTTGAGATTTGCTCGATTCCAAGACGTCTCACTTTAATCAAGCTCGTACTCCAAGACAGTGCCAATACATGGGGTAGATTCTCCAAGATACCACACACCATAAACCATCTACTCCCCTTTCCCCGCCCGACAGCTCAGAGACAATCTTAACACATTATTGATCATTACTGATCTTACTTTGACGCTGAGATAATGGCTACCCGTCACGGAGAGTAAGTGGTGTGCAGTACAGTCCATCGCGAGAGAATTCTCGCGCGGCATGCTTGTTTAATCTGACCATCCGCCCACAGCTTCCCCGCAGTTCGGGCTTGCATCTTCGACATGGACGGACTCCTCATCAACTCAGAAGATATCATCACAGATTCCATCAACCAGGCCCTAGAAAAGTATGGGAGGCCTGCCATCACCGGCTCCATCCGCGCTCAGATCATGGGTGTGCCGGACTCAACAAACAATGATATCTTCCATAACTGGGCTCGGCTACCAATCACGCGCGAGAAATTCGCTCATGAATATAAAGAAGAGATATATCGAAATTTTCCCAACTGCAAGCCAATGCCCGGTTCGGAGAAGCTCCTCTCGGCCCTCAGCCGTGCACGCAACGTTGATGGAGAGCCGATTCTCCTGGGACTTGCATCCAGCACCAAAACAGAGAGCTACGAGTTAAAAGTTACCCAACCCGAGACCAAACGGCTTCTTGACCTCATTCACCCTGATCGCAGAATCTTGGGTGGGGATTCTCGGCTGGGCCAGGGACGAGGGAAGCCAGCCCCTGATACATACCTTCTCGCACTACAAGTATTAAACTCGGGTAGCCAGAAACCTATAATGCCCAACGAGTGTTTGGTGTTCGAGGACAGCGTAACCGGAGTCGAGGCCGGCCGGAGAGCTGGAATGCGAGTGATTTGGGTGCCGCACCCGGACGTAGCAATGGAATATGAGTCGAGGAAGGAAGATGTCTTGGCTGGGAGGTGTAGGACATCCAACCTTGGGGAAGAGTGGCAGCTGGGGGAGGTAAATGACGGGTGGGCAGAATGTATCTCGAGCCTAGAGGCTTTTGACTATGAGAGGTACAACATTCATATCGTATAGCAAGCGGCTAGGTTCGAACGATAACCAATCCCTCTATTTCTCTATAAAAGTACCTATCATCATATCATATCCTACAACATTTGGCTACATCCTCTCGGGCAAAGTTCTTGGCTTTGTATATTCCACTCCACAACAACTTCCATATAGCAACGTGGGCGATGTGGATGAGTTGAGTACGCTGATATGACTGTCCCGTAATATAACAATATAACCTCGAAGCGTACACTTTCAAACTTTGGATGCTCTTGTGACCTATTCATTGTCTAGCTATGGGTATTAATGTTAAGAAATAGTCAGGAGTGTACATGTCACTATTTAACATTATCACAAAGGAACTCTCTTATTGTGAAGGGAATTCCGTTCACTACGAAAAGTAAGATATGTAAAGAATCAAAATGATAAATTTTCAGATCAGAGCAAAACAAGGATTGCAAATTGATGAGTGGCATTGTTCAAATTCATCCACAGCCTATATCGATATTGTTATACAATAGGACTCTCTCCGCCTCATTTCACGCCTCTCAGTCAGTTACAAAGATGCCTTCTTCCGGAGTCGCACCTGCTGATCCAGCACACTCCGAATGGTTTCTTCAGACGTGTGCCACTTGATTCCAAAATCACGCTCCGCCCGCGAGTTGTCCATTGTCGCGCCTTCTGGGAACGGTCCCGATAGCTTCAAGGGAAATTCTGGATAGTAATCACCTACAAACTTGACAATCGTGTCCCAATCGATGGTAGGTCCGTCAATTATAGCCTCGGTCACTGTTCCCCGGGGGCCAACTGGGGCAGTCAATGCTTTCAGGTGAGCAACGGCGACATCCCGAACGTCAACAAAAGAGCTCGGGATGATTGGCTTATCCGACAGGAGGGAATTAACGAAGAGGCCATTGACGCCCTTGGGTGTTTCGTCTACCTGAGTCAAGTCTTCCCCGAGGACGAAGCTCGGGTGGAGGGTGATTAGGTCGAAGCTCGGTGTGGTTTCGGCAATCCAGTCGAGGGTGGCCCGGTGGGCTAGAATCTTGGATGCCTGATACTTAAGAGTATGGCCGATGAAATCTTCAGTGAATTCCATGTTCATGTCCACCTCGATCGACCGGTTTGAATTCTCTGCATCCGTGTTAGCTCAAACGGTGAAAGTTGTAGTACCCAGATCAAGGTTTACCGTAAACTTTCAAGCCCGGCATGGCGAATCCGCCCATGGGCATTAACGCAAACCCAGAGGATACTACCACAACCCGACTCACGGCCGGTGAGGCTGCTGCTGCGTCTAAAATGGAAACCGTGCCCTTGACGGCAGGGTCGACGTATTCGGTTTTGAAGTCGGACCCTGCTCCAGCCATAGGTGAGGCCAGGTGGAAGATGTATTCCACACCTCCCAGAGCATTCTTGATGGAATCGGAGTTACTGAGATCCTTAATAACAACAAATTCCAGCTGGCGGGCATGTTCAGAGAATCTGGATTTCAGAAGCTGGACCTGGTCCTCTCTCCGGACGCTGAATCGAACATCATGTCCTGCACGGAGGGCGAAGGCGGCCACTTGAGAGCCTATGAAACCGGTAGCACCGGTGATGAAGATGCGAGAAGAGGTCATTGCGAATGTGATTAATTAGATGATTGAATTTTTGATGAATGAAGTCCTTATTTAATTTCTTTGCAAAACAGAATCATCTTTATATTTCAAAGGTCCCCAAACAGAAAGCAATTATTGAAAACTTTCGATTTCTAATTGAATCACGAATAGGTGTCTTCTATCTGATTACAAACAGTGTGCGTGATTCATCCATCATACATAAGCCCCGAATGATTATGTGGTGTTTGCTTGAAGGCTGTTCTTGTCACGACGGGCATTTGACAAATGTGCTCCGGGCTGACGCTACCTCGCAAGATGTGATAATACCCGCTGACGGTTGCGGTATGGAGTATGTAATCATAACTTTAGTACTAGCAGCTGCCAAGAGCCGATTATTGACTAACTAGAGAGTCAAACGGGTTGTGGTCCTGTTGCGGTTGATGAAACGCAAATGGAATTGCCAGGGATGGAGGCGCTCATAAATCACGACAGGTTATGCTTCGTATGGATTCACGATATTGAAGGAGCAAAAGAGTCATCAAACCTCGTTGGTCAATTAACGGGCAATTGGATGATTCGCTGCCAAGAGGTGTCAGAAACGGAGTCGTGGCTCTTGGCTTGGCCAGGAGGCAATCAAAAGGCGGACGCGAGCGCTATGGGACGATAGTACTGCGGCAATACGGTACAGGCTGCCGCTGCCCACGCTGCACATGAGATTGGTCTGGTCTGGTCTAGGAGATGGGATGGGAGAGATCAAACCGGCTGGAAGGGGGATGCTGACACAACCAGGTCGTATGGGCCGATGGGGCGCACAATGAAGGATTCCAGACCCGCAGACAGAGGTCACTGTCTGTTATCAGTTTTTCTCGCCATCCGCACGGCGCTATCTATGGTCGAGAAGCTGGGAATGGCGGCTAGATTCGCGACTAGCTCTGCCGGACTTGGATCCAGGGTCTGGTGCCTGACTACTGATTAAGTAGGGAGACAATTTCTTCAGTGTCTGTTCGGCCTCCCGCCCGTGTCGTTATCTGGCCTGTACTCCCGAAGGCGAATGAAATGTGGATGGATGGTGCAAGCCACTGTCTTGGCAGTCAGACGCATTACATTGTCCGAGGAAATGATCCACAGCCTGTTCTCTGCACCGTCGGAACAAAGGTTTGGGGTTTGAGTAGTCAGGGGCAAGACGACATGCAGGCAATGCACCAGGAGGTAACAAAGCAAGCCGAACAATCAGATGGGCGATCGCGAATCATCAGGCCCGGTGCGGGCACGCACTGGAGGGCTGGATCTCGCTGACGGGTGAAACAGTGTGGCCTCCCCCAGCAGCCGACACTGGCTGGGGAATTCAAGCAAATTGTTTCAAATAATGGCTGGCACTATGGCTCGTAGCGGGAGCACCCCTGCGCTTGGAGTGCCACAAAGGCAACCAGAGGGCTGTGGTCGGGACTGTGGGAGGAGGAATCTGGGTCCAGGAGGCCTGCGATCATCATCAACGCCCCGCCGTAATATTACAAACTACAGGCACTAGCAGCATCTGTAGTACATCGGATAGTGCGTGCTGCCATGTTGTGCCCCTATTCCGCTGTCCCTCTGGCGGACGAGATGCTTGCCCTCGCTCGGTTGGGTGTCTTCCTCGACGAGGAAGGGACGGCAGATATCGAAATGCCTGGTAAGAAGGTGGCATCCCAACGGGACCAAAGTCCTCACCTTCCCTCGTATTGCTGCAGTGGACGGAACGTGGCTGGCTTCGACCGTCGCATTCGGCCTGCCTCTGCCCTATCATCCCAAGGCCTCCCGGTGCCCGCCAATGGAATGTAACCTGGTCCCGCCATTCCATCTGCAAGGTTTGGATAATCGCCAAAACCAGCCTGCCACACACCGGCGCCTGGGGCCAGCTGAAGAGGCTAAACGAACTAAAATAGCTGGGCGTGGCATCCCGGCCCAGACGCCTCCCACCTCCCACCAATGTCCGAATCCTCAAGCATTGTCTCCCCTTCCCCCAAGGACCCAGACTGTGGCAGCCCACACTGAAAAGTGGGATGGTGTATTCCAGCCGTTTGTCTGTGCCAATACTTATCACGGCGTCCTTCCTCGTCCTCTTGCTCTGATCTGGTTTGATCTGATCTTCTGACGCTGCCCCAGAGATTCTCGCTGCCAGCCCTCACGCTCGTTCGCTCGCTTGCTTACTCGCTCTCAGGCGCTGTTCAGATCAACCCTCAACCCACGCGATCGGCCAACTCGCTTCATTCTTTACTCTTTCGCCCTCGCCATCATGAAGGGCCTCATGATGCTGCCGGCTCCCGTGCGGAGCAGCAAGGCAATGATGCTGGCGTCATTCTGCATCGCGCTGATCCTCCTGCACATGTTCTTCCGACCCTCGTGGGACGGCAGCTTCAACAACCCTCCTCCTCCTCCCGACAACCTCCCCGACCACCTCGTCACCGCACCAGGCCCGGGTCCTGGACCGATCAAGGGCCCGTCAAACCCGTCGCACAACACCACAAACGACAAGGACGAGCTCATTCTGCCTCCCACCCCAACGCACCCGCCCGAGCCGCCCAAGCCCGTGTCGCGCATTCCCAAGAAGATCTGGTACAAGAAGGGCAAACGCGAGCGCACCCTCGATATGCTCGACTGGGAGGCCGGCTGCCTCCACCGCAACCCCGGGTACACGAGCCAGGTCATGGACGACGAGCAGAGCGACGAGTTTGTCCGCACCACGTACGCCGACCACAAGGAGCTGCTCGACATATACCTGAGCCTCACCGTCCCCATCCTCAAGGCTGACATCTTCCGCTACCTCGTCCTCTACCATGAGGGCGGCATCTGGTTCGACCTCGACGTCTCGTGCGGCACCGTCCCCATCGACGACTGGATCCCCAATGAATACAAGGAGAACACGGGACTCGTGGTCGGGTGGGAGTTTGACTCGCCCTACGGTGCCAACGCCATGCGCCAGATCAACTCGTGGACCATCCTCGCCGAGCCCAAGTCGCCGCACCTGTGGCAGGTCGTCGAGGACATCATCCAGCGCGCGCACGAGATCATGGAGCAGAACAACGTGACCGCCTCGGGCATCAAGATGGACATGGTCGACGACGTGGTGCTCTTCACCGGCCCCATCCGCTTCACCGGCAGCCTGTGGAAGAGCATGGAGCACAACTACAACCACAAGGTCGACGTGCTCAAGTACGCCAACCTGACGCAGCCCGCGCTCATCGAGGACACGGTGCTCCTCCCCGGCTTCTCACTCGCCGCATCGATGAACCGATACCCCGAGGGCACCGTCGTCGGCCCGTCGCTGGTGATCCACCACTACGCTGGATCGTGGAAGAACGCCGAGGGCGGAGAGTCCGTCTAGGCGAGGTGATGATTATCTGAAATGAATAGAGCAAATATCAAGTACTATACACAGGGCCGGACAATAGGATAGGCGTTTCGGTGTCGATTAATTTTCCTACTATTTATGTATGAGCAATAAGCAGAAATTGAATTGACTGTAACTATTTAACTGTCACTACAACCACATGCACTTGCCACCTGTGATGTGTCGCTCCTTCCGCAATAATCTCACGAAGCGGGTGTTGATTGGTACAGGGTAGTTTGTGCTTCCAAAGCCAGTTGGATCGTCGAGAACAGTTCAAAAACAGTAAACGGCCATGGCGAATTGATGATACTACTATTTTAGGTACCCGAGGTGGAAGAGGCTTGCACCAGCGCGTTAGCTTTGCCTTCGACTTGACACTTCAGGTTCATAGGTCTACGGAGGCTTAGCCTGACAGTGCCACATAGAAATACCCCCTTCCTCATCCACGCGCCGAATAATCAGATGCAACCCCCGCTCTCTCCTTTGCCAACTTTTCCTACACGACAATACAAATACAACATCTAGAAAGACGTTCCTTCAATTACACGAGCTTTAGACAACGTTAAATTATAGTAATCAATCAATCATCGTCATAAGTAAAGAATTCTGTTTACTGTCAGATGAGTAGTCTAGGGTAGGTACCTACTCGGCCGGACCTGCCAATTTGGGGAAGCCGCTGCCAACCGCGTCCAGTTCTTCGTGTGTTCCTACGACAATCGCCAGCCATCCACTGCAATTACATAATCCTCTTCCTCGCCAAACACTCCCGCCAATTCAAGAAACGCTGCCATGACGTTCGGTTTTCGTCGGCTTGACCTGCCGGCTATGGAGAACGCGCGAATTACGATGCCAGAGCAATCCTCATTTGTCGTGTGAATCCTTGACACAAGCATCGCTTGTCGCTGCCGAATTTCTGCCCTGTTGCAAACTTGCCTCCGAACTCGGAATCATCCCCTCGTTCTGCCATGCCCAGCTCATCAACACCAGCTCCAGTGGATATGCCTGGGTGAATATATACAGTGGCCAGCGCAATCGCTGATGCTCCACTGAGCCTTCCTCTCTGCATTTACATCCATCCTCTCAACGGACCGCCGCAGCCATGGCCTTCACCGTCCTCTCCGACGACAACGTCAAGGAGATCTTCCAAGGTCTCACCCTCGACAATGTCCACAGCCTCGCCGATGCCCTCGAACGAGCCCTCCTCGACTACTCGTGCGCCAACGAACAGCAATACCAACCTGCCCGCAGCGTCGTCTCCCGCCCCTCCACCGGCCAGGTCAGCCTCTTCATGCCAGCCACGACCCCCGAGTTCCTCGGCGTCAAGATCGTCGGCATCGCCCCCTCCAAGTCCCCCTCGACAGCCCCCGCCGACGACGGCAAGCCCCCTCTACCCGCCCTCCAGAGCGCCCTGACCATCTGCGACGAGCTCGGCCGCGCCATCGGCATCCTCAACGCCGCCGAACTGACCGCCTTCCGCACATCTCTCGGCTCCATGCTGCTGTACCGCTGGCGCAAGCAGACGGAGAACATTCTCGTCTTCGGCGCCGGCGCGCAGGCCGTCTGGCACGTGCGCCTGGCCATCCTGCTCAAGGGCAAGGACATCCGCAACATCACCGTCGTAAACCGATCGAGCGACCGCATCTACAAGCTGATTGAGAGCCTGAAGGCGACGGGCACGCTGCCCGACCACATCACCATCACGCCCGTCGAGACCAAGGACGCGCAGGGGGACGCGCTGGAGGAGCTCGTCACGGCGGCGGACGCCATCTTCTGCACGACGCCCAGCACGCAGCCGCTGTGGCCGGCGTCGTACCTCACGTCGGAGAAGGCCCGCCAGAAGACGAGGTTCATCTCGGCTATTGGCTCGTATCGTCTCGACATGGCGGAGATTGACCCCGAGCTGCTCAAGGCCGTGGTTGACCCCGCGGGACCCTTCGCCTCGCAGGTCCTGAATGGCCAGATTACAGTGGACAGCCGGGAGGGATGCACCGAGGAGGCTGGCGAGCTCGTATCCGCTGGGATCCAGCACAGCCAGATGCTCGAGGCCGGCATGGTCCGTGATCAGAAGAACAAGGGGTCGTCGCCCGAGCTGGACCGGTGGCTGGAGTCTGGGTTCGTCATCTACAAGAGCGTGGGTATTGGCATCATGGACATTGCCATTGGCAAGGCCTTGATGGACCTGGCCAAGGCTAAGAACATTGGTTTCTATGCGCCCAGCTTTTAATATACATGGAAATCTTGCTTTCACGTAGTATATGAGGAACCATGAAAATGAAGACGATGTCAATGGAGAGCTCGTACTGCTCTTGCCGAGCCTCATCCCCACCCAATTGACCATCAGGCCGCCTCGGATGGTTTCTAAACGAATTCTGCTCTCAACGTATCCATTTGGTAATATTTGTTTGGCAAGATTTGCGAATCTGGGCAATCTAAATTTGGCCCACGAAGCAGGGCTCGATCCCGCCTCGTTTCAGCAGAGTTGCAGCGAACCCGAGTGATGTCACAGGGCGCTTGTCGGGACTGAACCACTAATAAGCCCTGTAAGTTTAGGCGCCGTTAATGAGCAATTAGTGGACGGTAGGGGCCCCAGAACCTGAGAGGTGGAAATTAGCGACTGGCTCCAGGGGTTTAGGCGGATACCTACCTATCTCAGGGTCGAGATGCCAGCAATCTCAGATTTACGGGCTTCTGCGGCATGTATGTTCCTGAAGCTTCTCTGCCCACAGTGGACTAAAAGGCGGATATGAACATGATTTCTGATTTGGAGACGACGCCCTGGAGAAATCAGTATGCTTCGTTGACACTAGCATGTCCTGTGGCAACACGTTCTGTAATGTGGAATCCCAATGAAGCCATATCTCACACTTGGGAACAACATTCCGGTACATGAGACTTTTGGAAAACACGGGAGAGGCGCGTGGAGTGCCTCATTTTCAATGGAGTAGGAATTTCAACGAGATTACTCTACTTAGTGGGAACTCACGAATGTCCCAGTTAAAGGGCAGAGGTGGCATCTGAGACATCAATGTTATCTGTAGAAGTTCAAGATCAATTATTACAAGCAAGAATTGGGCTAACTCGAGTGATACGTATCACCTAGGTATGGAAGAGTGAGACAGCATTCTGCGACTTGATTCGACACTCATACTAGGCTAAAACATTGTGTTAGAAAGCCAGAATTATTCGATTCCATACGACCAAGATAGAGTCCAGGGATGTGTTCCAATCTGTTTCCTGCGATATTGCAAACCCATTATGGCTTCTGAGGGACGTTCATCCGAGACATCAACGTGAGGCATACCATGGAGCGTCTTCCGAGACCCCATGCTCATAGACGTTGTCGACCAGCGGGTTAGGGAACATGGGGGAGATGGCAGCCCTCACGCACAGCTTCATGATCTCCTCCCAGTCCGGCAGCGCGGGGGTCGGAAACTCGGGCAGATCCAGCCCGTTCCCGCAACTACACAGCGACTGCTCCCTGGATTTCGTCGAGAGGGGGATGTTGTTGGCGCGTACGTACTCGCAGTCGGCCCTGTGCTCCCACGCGCGGCACCGCTCAACCCACGCCGGGAGCGTCTCCTTCCAGAGAATCATCTCCCCCTCGCCCACGTCGGGCTTCACCACCCCGTAGCTTAGCAGCAGGCTCAGAAAGTTCCCGTGCTTCTCGGTGATGGCCGCGGTGATGGGCAGGACGATGGCGTCGAGCATGACGGCCCGGCTGCTGAGGTCGAGGCGCAGCTTGGCCGGGAAAACGATGAGCTCGGCGACGCCGTTGAGGCCGATGGCGAAGGCATTGGGTTTCCACTCGTCGTCGTTGGCGAACTGGGCGATGATCTCGTAGATGGATCTCTTGAGACAGTATCTGACTGCCTGGTTTGGGTGGCAGTCTGGCCTGGGATGACCTGTCGCCTGGATGTCCATTGATAGTTTCCGCTCAGGATCTGAGAAGTGCTCGGCGAGATGCGGCCGGAGCCATGTCATCTCTCGCGGCCGAGAGGTGATGATCTCGGGAAGGCGGTCGAGGTGTAGATAGGTGATGTTCCAGAGAGTATGGCGGTAGTTATCCCATATGGTCGGGAACGGCGAGCCTCCCGCTCCAAGCCAGGTCGGACCGGTGGAGAGCTCATCGGCGACATCAATGTAGTTCCCCCTTGGACCCATGCGGGCTTTGAAGCCAAACCTGTGTAGTGGGAGCGGGAAGTTGGCGACAAGGGGCTCGCATCTGGCGACCTCGACGAGGATGGTCCACGGCGAGATGTACGAGGTCATCACTTCTACATTGGCGAGGAGCCTGGACATGATTTCAGGGCTCTTGAGGTACAGGCGGCGCGTGAGACCGACGATGGCGGTGTTATGAGGAGTGGCATGAGCCCAGGCTTCGAGTGTCTGTTGGGAGACGTTCTCGGTGGGCGGCGGCGTCTGGACATCACAGGCAGCAAAACCGCCGACTTTCATCTGCGAGTTCTGGTTCGGCATGTTCTTGGTGATGAGTACGTGATCTGAGTCGTCAATTCGAGCAGTGAAGACGGCCAATTCCGAGCCCAACTGCGCGACAAAGTGCATGGTATCCGGGCAGCTCTTGATGCACAAGGCAACCTCGGTGTTTTCGGGCTCTGCGATTAGAATCCACGATGGAACCAGGAACGAGACAATCAGGTCGCAATGCCCGGCCCAGGCGGCCTTATCGTCGGAGACCTGGAGCTGGAAGCCGTCGGTCCATTTCCTGCCGCTGGCGCACAGAGTTCCGAAGCCGGTCTGGAGAGCCGCAAAGGCATTCGTCCCGGCCTCAGGGGACTTGACGAGACACTCGAGGAACGGAATGGCGATGTTCGTATTTGTGCTGTTTCCTTGCATGAACGGTAGGAGGCTAACTCTTGAGACAATCATAGTGATAGAAACAACAGGCGGCAGACCAGTCCAGGACAGTATGTTATCTGATGATGGAGAACGCATGGACGACGACAGAGGTGAATTCGCCAGCTTGTCAACCGTCAACACACCCCGAAGATGCAAGTGCAGAATGAACTCTTCAAGATACAAATCAGATAGAGGCACAACAAGATCCCGCCTCATCTCAACAAGCAGCCGGTTGACGGCATTCTCCACGCCAACGGCCAATCTCGACTTGACCAAGCCGATGAAGGACGCAAGGCTTCCGCGGTGGCACAAAGACGTGGGAGCAGTATCGCTCGCGATTTCAGCCAGGCTCATCTTCTGAAGCATGGGAACAGATCTCTCGTGCTCGAACATCTCGCGGTTCATGCCCATCAGGATGCGGAAGATGCTGTCGTCCGACATGCGCAGCGGCTCGAGGAGCGCCGCCTGCATACACCCGTTGGTCAGTGCTCGTTTCCACGTAATGGGCATGTGTCTCTGATGCACATAATCCGATACGCCTCCCATCTGTTTCTGGTAATCCACCAGAGCCTCGTGGCCTGCAGATACGGTGGAGGTGTTTAGAGCGTATTCACATGGTGCGAGACCTGCGAGAAGGCAAACTGTAAGCAAGTCGCCAGAGAACAAGCCCCTTGCCATCTTTTGAACCGGTCGCTCGCGCCCGTCCAACACTTCCATATAGAGACAGGCAGAAGGCTCGGAAGTGAGGAGAGGGGAGACGGCAGGAAGGAGATTTGGGCCTTCAACATGATCCAACAGGTTGGACGTCTCGATGACGGTGAAGGTCGAAGGAGCCGTGCCGTCGGGGCCCCAGTCGTCACCATCCAGAATCAGCGGCTCGAAGGTGAACTTGTCGCGATACAGATTGGCAGTTCTTTCGTCTGGATGCTGACGGACATGCTGCAAGGTGTGACAAAGAGCCAGCGCGTCGCCGGAGAAGAAGCGTAGGGCCAGCCCCTCGCGCACGCATTTACGGAAAGAGAATGACCAGTTGCAGAACTCAGCCTTGGCAGCTTCCAAAGCTCGATGCGATCTGGGCTTATTGAGGGGTGTCGGGCCAGTGGTGGCGATGTAGGCGAGGGCGATATGATACCCATCAAGAGGATCAGTGCGGAAATGCAGCTGTGTTGTCGAGCCGGCGACGGCAAACATGGGGTTGAACCGCACATCCACGTCGGGATTGCGATATGCCTTGTGCCTCTTCGGGAGGTCCTCCCAGAATTCGCTCTTCAGGGCCTTCAGTTCGTTGGCATGTCCTATGCCGCCTGGGTAAATAGATCGGAGATTGCCCGTGCAATTTCCTCTCGTGGACCTGATGCCGATCGACTTCTGCAGCCAATAGTGGTAATGCGATTCGAATGTACTCAACGAGTTGCCTGATCTAGGAAGAGCATACTGCTGCCACAGTTCTCTGACTTGGGCGAGCGAACGGCGGTCGGTGAAGCGGATGACCCTGCCATAGGGGCCGCGATGCCAGTCCTGCAGGGAGCTGGAGAGCCTGCAGAGTCTTCGCGCATGATTCCGTAACGCAGACAAGTCGTCATCAGTTATGTATAGATGGTAGTAGAGTTTCCAGTGACGAGTGTTCCTCGCTCCCTGAGTGTCGTCGAGCAACAGTGTGAGCAGAATGATGTTCCGCGCTATCGATTAGTCGCTGTCAGCACTCATTGATATCTAGGCTGGGCCTAATTATCCCAAGGTTAGGAGATGGGAAACACATAATCACTTACCTAGAACGGCCTTTTCGCGATCACAGCAGGTGATGTCCATAGGGCGGCCTGGAAAGTATGCAATGAGCTCGCTAATCGCCGCGACAAGTAGGATTCAGTTCAACATACCATCTACATTGCAGGTGAAGAGGATGTGTCTGACATCTCCGCAACCGAGGAGGAGAATGTCCGTCTTGGAATAACCACTGGGCGGCTGACCACGGGTCAAGGATACGGCTGGCGTGTTGCCAACTGGGTAGAACCACACCAGCAAGTCGACCCATTGGGAAGTCAACATTGCATCGACCGTGAAGCGCAGAGCGAAATGGCAGGCAAATTAAAAAGATAGGTTTACGAAAGTCTAGAGAGAGAATGGTGAAAGAGAGAAGGTGGACAAGAATGTGAGTTGGGTCCCAGGACAACTTTGGTCGTGGGCGTGGAGTATGGTATGGAAGGATGGGAGGATGGGAGGTGAAGGAGGACCACTTCAAATGATATTTACTGAGAACTCTCAGCGTGTAACTGAGAAGTGCAATCTCGCCTCATGACACATTGCAAATGTTTGCTTCTGTTGCAGTTTCCAGGACTGACAAGCTGCCGTCAGGGCATGACAGTAATCAATCATGTGAAAACTACAAGATGGAGTTTAGTAACGAAAACAAAAGAGATGTATAGCCAACTTACCGACGGGGCAGGTCTCACTGATTTCGCGGCATCTTTGATGGCATTCTTAGTCGTCAGGTGACGGCGTGTCGCCCGTGAATCAAGACAAACAGCCACACGGCGTTTGTTGACCCCGTTAACGGTTCTTGCGCACCGTTTTAGGATCGTTTACTTGTCGTTTGCTGAAAGAGATTTCGCTTACCCGTGCAATAGAGATTGTCAAGTGAACGGTAGTGTAACGGATTGCGTAGTTTGAGCTGCTACATGTTGTTTCCCTTCCTCAACATGCAGCTCTGAAACAAAGCAGCATTGTAAGGTTTTGGCCATGAAACACCTGATTGCAGGCCCGAATCTCAAATAAACTAGGGTGGAAACATGCGAATCTCGGACAAATAGGATAATTACAAGTATCCTCAAGGATCTACCTGTAGACCATGCCGCTATGCCAGAAGTTGCTGGCGCTGAATCTTATGTACGGCCGGGCGTAAAAAAAGGCCGAACTTTGATGTGAAGGCGGTGTTGTGATGCTGGGAATAATATCAATTTTTAGGTTTCTTGGTGTTCGGGTACCCGCTCTTCTTTTAAGCAGCTGCTGCGTAACCTAAGTAACTCTCTCTCACTTCTTACTGTTACTATGTCAAAAATTTGAGGGGGTTTACCGGAGACTCAACGTTGTTGATCATGCGTCCCTTTCCCATCTACCAGCGCTCTATTTGGGTTGTCGGCAAATTGGATATAATAACTGCACATATATGCTCAAGTCAGCAAAGGATGGAGCAAAACCCTGACCACCTGTTCGGTATATCAAGCCACGATGCTTTTCAGATTCCTGCCCTACAGCGTCTGGGGTCTTGGCGCGTGGTAAGCAATCATTACTGGTAGGTGTGTTTTCCCCAAAAAGGTAAATAACTTGGCTGTAGAGATTAGAAATCAAAAATTCATGTGGATTTTGATAACACAAGTAGCGCCTATTTTGAGCCGTCGTCCGTTTCTCACCCTTGGCCATCCCTGAAAGCATCTTCCTAATGTGGTGATTTGAGTGATTCGACTCCACGCACGGAGCAATCATGTCGATGCGCTCCGGCGAATAAGGCATTGATCAAAAGAGGATACTCTAACTTGAAATGACTAGCCTCGTTGTGTATTTCTCGATTCGTTACAATTGCGCTTCACGAAAAACAGGGGTGTAAGCAAGGCTGTTGTGCGCGCTCTGAACATCAAGAGGACATAAAAATTGTATAAGAAGCGGCACTCATCCAAATATCCTGCCTCCCTTGCCGAATATGACTTGCTCACAGAGGACTAACACTTTGAATTAGTTTCGATTGCAAACATTACAATGGCGGCCAAGATACTTATTACAGGAACCTCTGGCCTGGTCGGGTTTCGAATCCTTGTGTCAGCTCTCTTGGCTGGTCATTCAGTGGTCGCTACCGTACGCTCTGAAGAAAAGGCGAGCTTGATCAGAAACAATCCGTCTATCCAGAAACTCAGCATGGGACATCGACTCATTATAGCTGTCATTCCTGATATGGCCACCGATGGCGCCTTCGACTCCGTTCTGGAAGGAGTTTCTCATATCATTCATACGGGCTCACCTGTGCCATTCCCTGAATATGAGCCTTGGTCTCAAGTTTACGAGCCGACAATATCAATATCCTCATCTTTGCTGTTTTCAGCACTGAAGACGCCTACTGTTCGACGGGTGGTTATCACCTCCTCGATTGTTACCAACCTCGGCCTCAATCCATCCACGACCGTTGCCGTTTCCTCCTCGACTCGCATCTCCCCATTAGACCCTGTTCCTGCATCGTTTGCGAACCCCATGGAGGCATACGTCCTGGCCAAGATAGCTGAAATACACAACACGGAGTTATTCATCAAGACACAGAAACCGCATTTTAGTCTTTCTTATATCATGCCTGGACACGTCTTCGGCAGGAACGAGCTGATTACAACAGCGGATATGATGTTCGGACAGAACAGCTCCAACAACTTCCTGATGCCGGGAATGGTTGGCGGGGAGCTTCCCTTCCCCATCCACGGCGCATTTGTCCACATCGATGACTTGGCTGACATACATTTGCGTGTGGCGATGATGGATTCCAGTTCTCCACGAGACTTTGGTATTGCGCGCACCGTGGACTATTCGACGATATTTGATCACGTGGAAAAAGCTTTCCCTGAGGCTGTAGCGGCGGGTGTTCTCAAGAGAGGTGTAGTGCCGGTTCTACCTGTGAAATATTCCTCAACCGAGATGGAGGAGCTGCTGGGCAGGGAGTTGAAGAGCTTCGAGGAGGCAGTAGTTGACGTTGCTGGCCAGTATTTGGAGAATTTAGGTCGGAACAAGGCTTGATATGTACAATTGCGCTCTCTACGGGCAAGATTTGATTTTGTCCTGTTTCAACTAAGAAAAACGAAATTACCCGACCTGAGAGTAGAACTGTTTTGCCAATTTGAAGGTAAAGAAATGATATGCCTTTGCGAAAAGTACTTGATGAAAGAACCGTGTTTGAGTCCTCCGCTGTCATTGTATGTCTGCACCATACTGCTTGGATTACGTACGCTTCTTCAACTACATGCCTGATCAACCATGCAGCGAAATTGTTATTGTTGTCAGATTTTGGCCTTGCAAGGCGATCGAAAATCTATCACTTGGCGTCGGGATATTTGAGCCGAGCCGGTGACCAGTATCAAAGCTGATCAGCTTGAGGTGCTGGATCTCAGCTTACATAACCACTATCTAGCCGCTAACTGATAAGAATTACAGGGCAGGTTTAGGCTCATGTCACCTGATTAGAGGGCATTTGACTCGTATTGCAGGCCGTGCATCTCGTCTTTGGTCGAGCTGGACCTGTGTTTGCTTCGAAGAGGGTGGCTGTTCGACCTGTCCACCGATCTGTGTGAACAATGTACACATATTGAGCCTGCATGATAACGTAGATATTGACTGCAGGGCTGAGATTGATAGTTGCGGACGAAGATCACCCAGGTGCGCCAAGTGCAGTGACACAGCACTCGACCGACCATAGATAAAATACATCGACTTTGCGAACACAACCACTGGCACCCAACACGCTACCGGACTAGACTTTCAGCTCCCTTTCGCCGATAACTCCGGATGCGTAGACTTAGTGTTAGAGCAAAGTGCATCCTAGCGTGCATCGGCGAGATGTACGCCGAGCCTGACAAGCGACCACAACTGCCTTTGTTGCCTCGCGAACGCTGTAGCTGTTCAGCCACAGTGCGTCATCTAAATTTGAGCTGGGCCGTGTAGTCGAGATCCTTTCCATACCAATATTGAAGACTATTCGGACTCAGAATTAGCTCTGAACCTCAGTATTCGGAGAAGTTAGTAACGGACCTATCGTCCGTTTCCACTCGAGTTATGTAGGCAATCGCGCCGTGCTGTAATAGCCCCCCTTGGCCGAACCAAGTCGCCGAACTCGATACTTTGCTGTACTCACCATGTGCATCCACTTGATCGGTGCTCTGAAAACGCAAAGACCGGGGTCCTTTTTAGTCTGAAATCCCAATTATGGCGTAGAGCTTTTAGTAAGGGTGGTCGTGACCTATGTTTGCCACAGTAGCAGCAAGGACGGCAACGGGGCCTTCGAGAGGGACATAGGTTGCAAATCTGTAGGGGAGGGAGGTCAATAATGTAGAGTAAGTCAGGCGGTACGAATATCTTACAGTAATGTAGTCGCAGTTCCGAATTGGTTGCCTACGAGGTTGAGTTCTTCAGGAAGGCCGGCAATGTTGGCGTTTCCCAGGTTGCTTCGGTCCAGATTTGACATCAAGTAAAGGAATCCCATGGCAGTGACTGCGAAGAGCTGTTCTTTGCATTTGCATTGTGAATTGGCTAGAAAAGGATAGACGTAAGACCTACATCAAACTTTCGCATCATGCGGCTCTCTTTGACAGGATCAATGTAATAATCTGATGACCCATGTTCAGAGTCTGGCTTGCTGTCGTTTGGAGTCACCGTAGCCTCTTTCGAGGAGCGAACCTCTTCAGCTGCTGTTGACATCTTGGAGAAACCCAATTGAAGTGATGAAATATAGAATGGACGTTATTCAAGCCAATGGAGTCTAAGAATGTTGTCAACTCCTCGAGACAATGTTGGCTTTTGGTAGGGGCAGGTGGTAGGTAAATATGGGACAACGAGAACCTGTCATGACATGGTTCAAGTTTCTTCTCACCTCCAATCGTTCATAGCACTACCGGCTTGTGATCCCTGGCATATCTGATTAGTCAATTAGAGCAATCGAACGATCAAGGTCAGGCATGAAGCGAGAATCTCTCACCGGACCTTGACAGATAACGGTTACCAACCAAATGATTGTTATCTTGCTATCAACGATATCTGCGAGTGGATCACATTTCTGTTATCACTTGGCTTAGGCCGGCTTGATTTGAAGGTTGCCGATCGGTTTAACATCTCCGCATTTCCAAATCGGCATTGCCGTGATCCAGCCAAACTACGGCAATGCGTTGGCTTGAGCCGATAAGTGAGTATCGGCACCGAAACCGTGACCAAAAATTGAGCAATAGAGGCTTTAATAATACATACCCATCTCTTGTTAAGGACCAGACCGTCGCTCTAAGACAACATTTCCTTTAGAATCTTCACTGTTTAGAAACCCGACTCGAAGCCCACAATCATTTTTTCACCAAACATGGCTTCGACACAGGGAATCCGCATTGCGATTGATCGAGGAGGCACTTTCACAGATTCTTGGGCCAGGCTCCCAGGAACAGACCGAGAGCTCGTGCTCAAGGTTCTCTCCCAGAGCCCCGATGACCGAGTGCATTCGCCAAATTCTAGAAATTGCCACCAACACAAAAATTCCTTGGGGAACACCTTTGGATCTCAGCCCGGTTGAGTTCATTCGTATGGGCACGACGGTTGCGACCAACGCTCTCCTGGAACGCAAGGGCGAGCGCTGTGCTCTTGTCATCACTAAGGGGTTCCGAGACATCCTTGAGATTGGAAACCAAGCAAGACCGCACATCTTCGATCTCTCGGTGCGCCGGATGAGCAAGCTGTATGACAGAGTTGTCGAGGTTGATGAGCGTGTCACAATTGAGGGATTTGCCGAAGACCCGGAGCCCCAACCCATCGATGTGGACTCTGAATCTTGCCTTACCACTGGGCTGGCTGGTGAGGCAGTCCGGATTATCAAGGTCCCAGATTACGACGTAGTCCGCGCTGACTTGAAGGCGCTCTGGGAGGAGGGATACCGAAGTCTGGCCATCGCCATGATGCACTCCTACACTTTCCAGGACCACGAGCTGGGCATTGCCAAGGTCGCACGTGAGATTGGCTTCAGGGTTGCCGTCTCATCGGATCTTCAAAAAATGGCAAAGATCGTGCCCCGGAGTCAGTCGGCTGTTGCTGACGCCTACCTGTCCCCCATTACAGACGAATACCTTGAAAACTTCCGGAAAGGATTCAAAGGCCAGCTTCGAGACAGCCATGCTAGCAAATTATTTCTCAACCAGTCAGATGGTGGTTTGACGGCATTTGATAACTTCACAGGCCTCAGGGGTGTATTGAGCGGCCCTGCAGGCGGTGTGATTGGCCTTTCCAAGACTTGCTACGACGAGAAGGATGCAACTCCCGTTCTCGGATTCGATAGTAAGTTGAGCCATATAGTTTTCTTTTGCAACTAGTTTTAACATTACCTTTAGTGGGTGGTACCAGCACCGATGTTGCACGTTATGCCGGCTCTCTTGAGCACATCTTTGAGAGCACCATCGCCGAAGTAACGATCCAAACTCCACAGCTTGACATCAACACTGTTGCTGCAGGTGGTGGATCGATTCTGACATGGGAAAACGGGCTATTCAAGGTCGGACCTGGAAGCGCTGGCGCAAACCCAGGGCCTGCTTGCTATGGCCGTGGCGGTCCGCTGACAGTAACTGATGCAAACTTCTTCCTGGGTCGTATTATTCCAGATTTCTTCCCGCGACCTCTTGACCTGGAAATTGTGAAGAAGAAGTTCTCTGAAATCACGGAATCTATCAACAGCACCAAGGACGGGGGTACCAAGTTCACGGAGGAAGAGGTTGCGATGGGCTTTCTTTGATTGCCAACACCACGATGACACGGCCAATTCGAACTCTCAGTGAAGGCCGAGGATTTGAGACAGCGGCACACAATCTTGGCTGCTTTGGAGGAGCTGGCGGTCAACACGCCGTTGCTGTAGCAAGAGATTTAGGAATCCGCCACGTTGTCATTCCTCGGTACTCAAGCATCCTCTCTGCTTACGGCATGGCGCTCGCCGATGTCGTCGTGGAAAACCAAGAGCCGGAAACTCTGACTTTCTCTTCGGCAGCTGTACCTAAATTGCAAATGAGATTTGAAAGACTGTCCGTGAAGAGCTCGCAGGGCTTATATGCACAGGGATTCAATGATGATCAAATCAGGCACGAATACTTCTTGAACATGAGATACCAAGGCAGTGATACTGCCCTTATGATCCAGCATCCCGGAGATCTTGCCTTATTTAACAAAGCATTCGTCGACCGCCACCATCAGGAGTTCGGCTTTACGCAACCTCGAGAGATTATTGTTGATGATGTCAGAGTACGAAGCGTTGGAAAAGGTGCAGATCTCAAACTGAGCAGCCCCCTTGAAGAATTTCGAAGACTGCAGACTTCGCCCCCCGTCACACCCACAAAGCCCGACTCCGTGAGAAAGGTGTACTTTGAAGGGCAGGGCTGGACCGACACGAGCCTGTATTTCCTAGACGACATTCCTCGGGGAGCTCGCGTGAGGGGGCCTGCAATGATCGTTGATAAGACACAAACTGTCGTCATTGACCCCTCTAGCGCTGCCTTCGTACTGCCTGAGCACCTTTTCCTCGAGATTCTGGACGTCAACAAGCCTGAAATACCCACAGATTCCGTCGACCCTGTTCAGCTCAGTATCTTTGGCCACCGCTTCATGAGCGTGGCAGAGCAGATGGGTCAAACCATGCAGAAAACCTCCATTTCGGTCAATATCAAGGAGAGACTGGACTTTTCTTGCGCCGTGTTCTCTGCTGACGGTGGGCTGGTCGCCAATGCGCCCCATATCCCAGGCCACTTGGGGTCGATGAGCTACGCCATCGCCTACCAGGCCAAGCTCTATGGTCCTGGAGAGCTGAAACCGGGCGACGTGCTTTTGAGTAACCACCCGTACGCCAGAGGAACTCACTTGCCAGATCTGACGGTGACCACTCCCGTTTTTGACGATGAGAAGAATCCCACAAAGATCCTCTTTTTCGTTGCCAACAGAGGGCATCACGCAGACATTGGCGGGATCCAACCTGGGTCTATGCCGCCACACTCCACTGAATTATGGCAGGAGGGTGTTGCTGTTGAAACATTCAAGATTGTCAAGGAGGGACAATTTGACGAAGAAGGCCTTCATAAAATTCTCGTCGATATCCCCGGTTCATACCCTGGTTGCAGTGGGACGAGAACATTAAGAGACAACATCCCCGATCTCAAGGCTGCTATTGCGGCCAACAACCGCGGCATCCAACTCATCAGCGCCCTCGTCAAGGGCTACACGTGGCCGGTGATCCAATTTTACATGCAAGCCATCCAGGATAACGCTGCGCAGTCGGTACGGCAGCTCCTTAAGGTCTTCTCTAAGAGATTCGAAGGCCAGGACTTCCAAGCCGAGGACTTCCTTGACGATGGTACACCTCTATGTCTCAGTATCAATATCGACAGTGAGACTGGCGACGCTGTCTTCGATTTCGAAGGAACCGGGCACGAGCACTTTGGCAATCTGAACTGCCCGCCTGCGGTGATGTTCTCAGGTATCATGGTAAGTGACAATATATTGATTGACTCCATCACCGATGCATTTACGATTTGCTAACTAAGACGTTAGTACTGCTTACGTTCCATGATCTCAACCGAGATACCCCTCAACCAGGGATGTCTGGCGCCGATCAAGCTCAAGCTCCCTGCCGACTCAATCCTGTCGCCCTCCCTCAAGGCAGCTACTGTGGGGTCCAACGTCGAGACGTCGCAGAGGATAGTGGACCTCATTTTCAAAGCATTCCAGGTCTGCGCTGCGTCCCAGGGGACGTGCAACAATCTGACATTCGGATACGGTGGCACGGACCCAGTCACAGGCAAGGTAACGAAAGGTTTCGGATACTATGAGACCATTGCAGGTGGTTCTGGGGCGGGTGCTGACTGGGAGGGCGAGAGTGGTGTGCACACTCATGTCACGAATACGAGGATATCTGATCCCGAGATCTTCGAGCGACGATATCCCGTAATCCTTCCCGAGTTCTCCATTCGCCATGGCAGCGGCGGCATGGGTATGAATCGTGGTGGTGATGGCTGCGTGCGCGATATCGAGTTCCGGATGCCGATGCAGGTGTCCATCTTATCGGAGCGTCGTGTTATTGCCCCTTATGGTATGGCAGGAGGCGATGAAGGCAAGAGAGGACTGAACTTGTGGATTCGCCGTGATGCCGAGGACGGTACGACCAGAACGATTAGTCTAGGCGGCAAAGCAACTACGATGATGAACGCTGGAGATAGGATTGTTGTCTTGACACCTGGCGGTGGTGGATATGGTCCCAACCCAGACAAGAAAGTGAAGAAAGAGGTGGTTGGAGCTTTCAAAATTGGAGAGAAGTTTGCCAATGCCCAGCTTTTTGCTCGGACCAAGGGAAGTGTGGCTCAAAGAAATGCAACTGCAACCGAGGGATAGATAATTTAGCAAGGGTGAATAGCATAGAGAATACTTGAATATCCTTGGACAATCCAAAAGTTTGCCAACTGATATGCAACTACCACCTCGAAAGATTGAGACTTATTTATAACCACACCTTCACATATTCATTTAATCTCCATGAATTTTACATCTAAATAAACTGCCGTTCAAAGAATGTCACTCTGTTTGGTCATTTCATGGACAATGCCCATCAACTATAGGGTAGCTCGACTCCATTGCTGCGCCGTCTCCTAAGCACAACAAACCCAGACGCCTTCAAGGAGCGTCGCCCGGTGACGTCCCTGGCCAGCCATTAGCTAAGGAGACTGGACCAGGGATGCTTTGCATTCGTCCAGAATGAATGTGGAGTTATCTAAGATTATTTCGGATGAACACGCACGCTGCATAGTGGGTAAATTGGCTGGAACGCTTAAGGTGGCTCGAATTCGCGAGTATGTAATCTGCGATTCCCATGCTCCTATATACAATAATTGGATAACTCCACCGTGTAGTTATACTGAATATATTGTGATCGATGAATAGGTTCCGGGGTCGAAAACCACGTCGGGCCTCGCTTAGCTGGTCAGTCAATTTAACCAAAGACACTTTGATTAAAAGGGGACACCAAAATAAAGTTCTGGGTTTGAAACTGAACAATTATTGGATTATTCAGCTAAAATTAAGATACAGCTGAGCCGGGCTGAGTGAGATGAAGCCAGAACGCGCAAACCCATATCAAGTTCACATTCTTAGTAGCCCTTGTGTGGAATGCAAGCCGGCCGTTGATATCAAGGGCGCGGTGTGGCGAGCGATCGCGCTACTGATCTCGATCTATCACCCTTGCTCATAGCCATGTGGTTGAGCCTGCGAATTGACGGGTAGTAGATGCAAGTCTCTCGCACGAAGGTGGACCGGCTGGGTCGAGCACGGTTGTTACATCTCCTGGACATTCGAAGTCGACTCTAATTCCCATGATAGGAGACATGCTACCTATCGGATGGCTGGGAAGCATGAAGGCCAACGGCGCCATTACCACAACCGAAGGAGTTCGCGCCACCATTGCTAATTGGTCGAGCGCAAGAACGGATGGAAGGGAGAGTACACAATAATACAGTTGGTGAAGCGAAAAGCTCGAGAAATCTATTTTAGCGTACGTTGGGCACGCGAATATTGCGTGCTGGCTCCTCGTGCAGGCATGCAAATAGAATTCGACTGAGACATACCTACCCAACGGTGTGCGGGAACTAAATCTAACGATAAACGACTCGTGGATCTCCTGAAACCTGCGACATCTCATTCCTGTTTTCTGATACAGTTGATATGCCACCCCCCTTTCGTAAAGCGCGAGTTCATGTGTCAGTGCCTGAAGGCATTGCTCATGGACACTGAAAGAATAAATAAGAAGCACAGAAGCTCGCATCTGAATGTGATGGTAGGTAAGCTCTACAACAAACCGACTGCATAAGCCCAAGCACGTGTGATAGCTTGGCTGAAACTTGATCATGAGGGTAGTCCACAACCGCCTACTGGCCCTAATGGCCTTCATAGTCTTCATAGGCTTTATGAATCTTCCAACGGCCCTTGCCTTTCCCAACACTTCAAGGTAAGATTAGGGAGTCCTAAAGTTGAGCTGAGCAAGAAGGATTCTGACATTATTGTATAGAGTATCTTCCATTCATTCGACTAGCGAAACGCCCAAAGACAACGACCGTACATATGGTTCCCTGTTCAGGTCCCTCAAGGGGGCCATGATGAAACGCGATCCCCAATCATCCTCCCGCCCTCCATGGTGGTGGCCAAATGGCGAGTCTGGACTGACGTATGTGCCCGGTCAAATTGGCGGAGCAGGGCCGTCGCAGTGGCCTTCGCAATGGCCAGGTCAACCAGGGCCACAAGGTCCCCAAGGTCCCGTTGGCCCTCAGGGCCCAACAGGAGCAACTGGTCCCAAGGGAGATGTCGGTAGCCAGGGCCCTGCGGGTCCTATTGGAGCAACTGGTCCCAAGGGAGATGTCGGTAGCCAGGGCCCTGCGGGTCCTATTGGAGCAACTGGTCCCATTGGGCCCGTTGGCCCTCAGGGCCCAACAGGAGTAACTGGTCCCAAGGGAGATGTCGGTAGCCAGGGCCCTGCGGGTCCTATTGGAGCAATTGGTCCCATTGGGCCCGTTGGCCCTCAGGGCTCAACAGGAGCAACTGGTCCCAAAGGAGATGTCGGTAGCCAGGGCCCTGCGGGTTCTATTGGAGCAACTGGTCCCATTGGGCCCGTTGGCCCTCAAGGCCCGACCGGTGCCGATGGAGGTGTCGGACCTATCGGACCTATCGGACCTGCTGGACCCACTGGCCCGGCCGGACAGAACGGCGCCGTGGGACCTCAAGGACAGATTGGTCCTGCTGGCCCTGCTGGCCCTACTGGCTCGCAAGGTGACATTGGCCCTCAAGGTGGTATTGGTCCAGCTGGTAATGATGGCCCCGCTGGCCCTCAAGGTGATATTGGACCTGCTGGACCTGCTGGACCTGCTGGCCCTGCTGGCTCGCAAGGTGACATTGGCCCTCAAGGCGATATTGGCCCTCAAGGCGATATTGGCCCTCAAGGCGATATTGGCCCTCAAGGCGATATTGGGCCTCAAGGCCCTCAAGGCGATATTGGGCCTCAAGGCCCTCAAGGCGATATTGGGCCTCAAGGCCCTCAAGGCCCTCAAGGACCTATCGGTAACGATGGTGCTCAAGGAATTCCCGGCAATGACGGTGCTCAAGGTCTTCCTGGCCCTCAAGGTGATATTGGCCCTCAAGGCCCCCAAGGCTTTCCCGGTAATGATGGAGCTCCTGGCAACGATGGAGCTCCCGGTGCTGATGGAGCTCCCGGCGCCCAAGGGGCTCAAGGCCCTCCCGGTGCTGACGGTGCTCAAGGCCCTGCCGGTGCTGATGGAGCTCCCGGCGCCCAAGGGGCTCAAGGCCCTCCCGGTGCTGACGGTGCTCAAGGTCCTGCTGGTCCTGCTGGTACTGATGGAGCTCCCGGTACTGATGGTGCTCAAGGCCCTGCTGGTCCTGCCGGAGCTGACGGGGCTCAAGGCCCTGCCGGTCCTGCTGGTGCTGATGGAGCTCCCGGTGCTGATGGAGCTCAAGGCCCTGCTGGTCCTGCTGGTGCTGATGGAGCTCCCGGTGCTGATGGAGCTCCCGGTGCTGATGGTGCTCAAGGCCCTGCTGGTCCTGCCGGAGCTGACGGGGCTCAAGGCCCTG